ATAAGGCCCTATAAAAAGGAGCCTTAGGGGTTAATATTAATTATACTAGGCCCTATAGCTAACCGTTATATATTAGCTCCTTAAAAGTCGGTACGGTATAGGCACCTAATATAGGGCCGTATTGCCTATAAGAGGGGGGATAGTTATAATACCTTTCTATAGCTACAGGCTATAGAGGTATTATATACTGTTATAGAAGGCAATCCTAATATATAATGTTAGTATTAATTAATCTTTTTAGGTCTTTTAGCTTAGTAGGTACCTTCCCCTATTTTACTATTATAAATATCCTTTTTAAAAATAATTATAATAATAAATAGGCCTATTTAAGATTATTTAAATAGTTAAAGACTTAGTTTATAAACTTTAATTACTTAATAATATAAAGATTTATTTAGTTATTTTAGTTTAATAGCTTTTATTTATATATATTAATAACTATAAAGAGAAGGAATTAGGTTTTATAAAGGGAGGTTTTAAAAATAGTAAAGAATATATTATTAAGTATATTTTATAATAAAACGTTAATTAATTTAGAAAAAATATAATATTAATTAAAGGACTTCTTTTATAATAAAAGGAATAAAGACCTTAATATAATTAATAGGTATAAACTATTAATATTATTAAGGATTTATTTTCTTTTTTACTTTAACCTTTAACTTCATTAAGCCTAGGCTTTTTAAATCTCTTAATAATATTAATAATAAAAACAACCTCTTTTAAGATTAAAAGCTTAATATAATTAGGATATTAAATATTATATATAGTAATTAAACTCTAATTAAATAAATATATATATTATATAGCTATATATATAAAAGCTAGCTTCCCCCTTATACCCCTTAACCTAATCTATACTATAAGCTAGTTAATTAACCCTTATAGCTATAATTAGTTAATTAACCTCTAGTTCCCTTTTAGTCTATATTACTAACTTCTTTTATAGCTATTATAATAAGTATTACTATTTAAACTATAGATATTTACTATACTATAAGCTTTAACCTAATCTATAAGAAAATTAATAATATATCAAAAAACTATTATAAAATAAAGTATAATTAATTTAAATATAAAACTAGAGACCTTAAAATTAATATATAATAAAACATAAAAGGTTTTTATTACCTTTTTATAATAAATAAAATAATTTTTACTTAATTATATTAATTACCTTTAGCTATAAGTTTTTAATACTTTTTTATATATAATAAAATTAAGACTTTTTTTTATTAAGAATAGCTATTAAGTTTAAGATATATAAAAGATTAACTTAAAAGCCTAAAAAATAGGCTTATAAAAAGGCTAGTTTTTAAGATTAATAGCTTTTTTATTAAGGTATTTAAGTTAAAATATATAGCTTAATATAATAACTTAAAGAGGTAGCTTATAAAGATACTTAAGGTCTTTAAGAATAATCTATAAAAAGAAGTTATATATAAAGTATTAAGGGGTTAAGGTAAAAATAAAAATAAAAAATTAAAATATATTAAAGGAATATATATTTAAAGTTAAAGTTAAAGTTAAAATAGCCTAAAATTAAAGATAGTTTTAGGCTAAGGAATTAAATTAGATTATATAACCTTTATTAAAATCTTACTATACCTATTTTTATAATATAATATATAATATTATTAATAATATTTAATTAAGTTATAATTATCCTATTTATTATAAAAAGGTAATATAAAGTAATTATTAAAATCTTACTTTAGATTAAGCTAAAGATCTCTAGCCTTAACTTTAAGTAGGTTAAGTTCTTACTTATTATAGTAATTATTAATAGCTTTTTAAATAAGTTTATAGATTAGATTAAGGTTTATATTATAATAGATATTTATTATTTAAATAGTAATACTTATTATAATAATAACTATAAAAGAGATTAGTAATATAAACTAAAGAGTAAGGAACTAAAGGTTAATTAACTAACTATAATTATAAAGGTTAATTAACTAGCTTATAGTATAAATTAAGTTAAGGATATAGGGGAAGTTAGCTTTTATATATATAGCTATATAATATATATATTTATTTAATTAAAGTTTAGTTACTATATATAACTTTTATTATATTAATTATATTAAGTTTTTAACTTTAAAAGAGGTTATTTTTATTATTAATATTATTAAGAGATTTAAAAAGCCTAGGCTTAATAAAATTAAAGATTAAAGTAAAAAAAAGAATTATTAATTAAGGATATATTTAATATAATTATTCTTTATATAAACTATATGTAAATAACCTAATTATTATATATATTTTTTATATTTAAAATAAATATTCTTTAAAATATTATAATAAGAATATTTCTTTTAATAATAATATATCTTAATATAAAAAGATAGAACTTATTAATATAACTTATTATATCCTTAATTAATAATATTATTAATAATATTATATATTATATTATAGAAATAAGTATAGTAAGATTTTAATAAGGACTATATAATCTAATTTAATTTCTTAACCTAAAGCTACCTTTAACTTTAAGCTATTTTAATTTTAACTTTAACTTTAAATATATATTTCTTTAAGTAATATATTTTAACCTTTTACCTTTCTACCTATCCTAGCCCTTTAGTATCTTATATATAACTTCTATTACTATCCTTAATAGTTATATACTTTTAGTCTTAGGCTAGGACTAGGATACTTTATAGATTATTCTTAAAGACCTTAATTACCTTTATAACCTACCTTTTTAAATTATTATATTAAGTTATATACTTTAATTTAAATACCTTAATAAAGAAACTATTAGTCTTAAGAACTAGCCTTTTTATAAGCCTATTTTTTAGGCTTTTTAGGTATTTAAGTTATTTTTTTACTTTTTATATTTAACTTAATATATACTTTTAGGTATAGTTTTCCTTATTAAGCCTTAAATTATAAAGTATTAAAAACTTATAGCTAAAAGTAATTAATTTAATTAAATTATAATTATTTTACTTATTATAAAAAGGTAATATAAAGTAATTATTAAAATCTTACTTTAAATTAAGTTAAAAATCTCTAACCTTATCTTTAAGAAGGTTAAGTTTTTACTTATTATAATAATTATTAATAACTTTTTAAATAATTTTATAAATTAAAGTAAGGCTTATATTATAGTAAATATTTATTATTTAGATATTTATTATAATAATAATTATAAAAAAGGTTAATAATATAGACTAAAGGAGGATTAGGGGTTAATTAACTAATTATAGCTATAAAGATTAATTAACTTATTTATAATATAAATTAAGTTAAGGATATAAAGGAAGTTAGTTTTTATATATATATTTATTTAATTAGAGTTTAATTACTATATATAACTTTTATTATATTAATTATATTAAGTTTTTAACCTTAAAAAAGGTTATTTTATTATTAATATTATTAAAAGATTTAAAAAGCCTAGGCTTAATAAAGTTAAAGGTTAAAATAAAAAATATAAAAAATTAACTTATTATATCCTTAGCCTCTTTAAGTTTTAAGGTAAGGAAATTAAACTAAATATTAGCTTTATTTTATATAATAATATTATTAAATTATTTAATAAATACCTTTTAAATATTATTTCTATTTATAAATAACAATAAGAAGTTAATTATAAAATCTATAATTATAATTTATATTTAGGTAAGAAAGTAACTTTCTTTTTATTATAAAAGGTTAATACCTTTTTATATACTAGCTATAATAATAAAGATAGTAATATATTACTTTTAAGCTAGTTATTATTTATATCTTTTTAAAAACTATTTATATAATAAGTAAAGTTTTAAATCCTTAAGATTATTTATATCTTTAATTTCCTATTTATTTAGGTTAATAAGAATATTATTAATATTCTTTTTTTTTATTTTTTATTATTTAGGCTAAAAGACTTTTCTTTATTTTATAAAAAAGATATAATAATAACCTTAAATTATAATTAATATTATTATAAAATAGAAATTAATAAATAGCTTTAAAAGCTAGTAATTATATTATTATATTAATTATATAAAAGCTAGGTTTATAACCTATTAGTTAAAGGTAAAATAGTAAGTTATAAAAGAAAATATAGTAGGGATTAATAAGAAAGGTAAGGAATATTATTAATAATAAGTCTAAAATAATTAATAGGAAGGAATTCTCTATTTATAGATAATTCCTTTTAATTTATTAATTATTTCCTTTTTTATTTATTTAGGTAGCTTTAGGTTATTTTATAGGTTATCTAGTTACCTGACAAACCTATACTATTTTCGCAGGCACCATCTAATATATATCTAAACCTACCCTAAACCTAGTTTTGGCATGTGCATATCGAAGAGCAAGAGACTAGGGAATATCCGATGCTACTGCATTACTGGTTTTCTGCTGATAATAAAGCATGTATTAAACAAAGGTGGAATTATGGGCTAAGCAGTACTTCGCAAACCCATAGGTGGTACCATGATAGCGTGCATTGTGCATGTAGATCGAGGAAACAATGGGCTCGACATGGAGTCAAGTACGATCCTTGGATGAAACATATCGAGTCTGTTTCCACATAATTATCAAGACCTGCATTGGTCGGGCCTAAGGATGAACCGTTTATGCATGAAGAACGTATAGCTTTACTGCATATTGTGTAGTGCGAACTCCCATGACCTAATCAATTCTTCAACGTGGTGACACTCGTCTTCTCTCCCTTTTCAACAAGTCCCGTTACACATGATATTATACTTGCTATGCCTAAGTAGATACAACGGAAGATATAGAAAGGAAAACGAAACTCGATCCAGGATTGGGAAAACCCCAAAGCGTTTAACTTCTCCCAAACAACGATTCATGCGTTGAGTGCTAAACTAGAACCTTCAACGCAAACCCGACCCCGAAAGACAAAGAAGCACGAAACGCCATATGACCGCGTCTTGGATAAATTGGCCCTGTTAAAAGAGTGTGTGATTCGGCGTGGCAAGTTTATCTCATCACTAATGCTCTGGCAAAAGCATCTGACTGTCACAGGCCAAGACTGCTCAAGTTGTGGTAGGGCCTCGAAAACCAAGCTTTTGCTTCTGGATCCGGGGAACGACTCCCACCAGAATTATGACAGACAGCAAGATAACGGCCCAGAGTTTCATCTTCAGCACGTTGTGATTGAAGTCGGTCTCAACAGCGCTGACCACGGTAGCCAGAAGGAGAACAAAGATTGTGTATCCGCTCCAGCGGTGGTACTTCCAGACAGCCTTGGCATTGTTCTCGCCTCCATACAAAGCTGGGGTAGCCCACATGGTGAAGCCAACGCCATACTGGAGAAGGAGGATGACAGAAGTGATGACGCCAAGGTAGCCGTGGACGGAGTGAAAGTGAGGGCCGTTGTTCGAGAACTTGTTGTACTCAATAATGGTTACGCCAGCTACAAGCATCAAAAAGGCCACAAGGTTGAGGATGGCGTGTACGCGCTGTCCAGTGCGCTTCTGGTCAGCTGTATGCGTAGGCTGTAAGCTCAGAACAGACTGTGCCAAGGTGAGGACAGCAAGCGATTGAAGCAGTGGGTGGGCTGAGAAGAGGATCAAGGGCTTGGAGAGAACGCTTGCCCAGATCAGAATAGTGAGTAGAACAACACCCAACTGGGCGACTATTCCAGTACCTGATAGTGTATAGTGTCAGATAATATCGACATTTGTAGGTGTAGTTATGGAGTCTTACCAAGCACAAGGTTTTTAGCAAAGGGTACACCATCTTCTTGCGCAGCATCGCCGGGGCGTCCAAGCAGAGGCTCGGTTTCTCTAGCAGATAGACCCTCGATTGAGGGAAAACGCTCCGGAACACCCGTAGCACTCGCCATATTGGCGTTTTACTGTCTGGTCCTGTGGTCGAGAGGTGTATTCGGAGTTGATGGGCTGGACTGCAGCCAACAAGAAGCGATAAGTGCTTCAACACAGGGGTTGTCTAGTTGAACTCCACAGACGATTACGCACGTCAGGAGTTTGATAAATGAGAGGTCGTCACAGATGCAGGCAGAGACATGAAAGTTTGAGTGAGGGAAGATTCGTAATAATCTTTCCGCTTGTATTTGCAGTCAAATGTTGACGTCAATGACAACATTGAGCTTTAGCCAATCACAAGACATCTTTTTGCAATAGCGCGGGGTAAAGCAAGAATGAGAACCAGGGTCCTAGGATACACCATTGAAGATAGCAAGCACGAAATGTCTAGGGTAAGCACAAAGGAACTAACTGATGACTCTAGGTTAGGTAGGGAGAGGCAGAGGAAGGCGGGAGAGGCTATATAAAGCACTACGACGGATACTAGGGTTAATAATAGTTAATATCTATTACTCGATGTGATCGAGCAAATGCATCAAGCTACCGATAACGTCTTTAGACTATCTAAAGTGACCCGCCAGTAACTGATACTCTGGTTGGTCAATCTTCTGTCTAAGAAGGACCCCGAAGAACAGGCGGCCGGCTAAGAGTTGTCTTCCTCCACTCCCCCGAAGCCGGCGACGGCACTAACCCCGCGGCAAACAGGCAGATGGCCGGCGGCCCAGCCGAAACACCAGACTTATCAGCGGTTGCACTTGCATAGTCGTCCACTGTTTGTGAATGATCGTACGTAAAAGCTGCCTCAGCTGTCAGCTTCACTACCGAGGCGTCCAATAAAAAGAAAACAAGAGAAGAAACCGGCAGTAAATTGGTATCCATGATACCATTCCCACGCATGTCGGTGGGCGGATCGGAAGTGGCCGAGAGAGATCCTCTTCTCCGGCCAACACCAACAGGTCATGACTACAGGGTCCAGCGTGGTCAAACAAGGAGATAAGATCATGGCCCATCCTACAAATTGATTGATTCCCTCCTCTTGCGAATTCTGGATCTGTATTCTTCTAGCTCATAATTCATCAACTAATTCACCATGGCTTCTGTTACCGACGAGATCGAGTACAAGCTCGACAATGTTGAGGTCTCAACGCTCCGTCCCGAAGATATCGACAAGACATTCCGCTCGAAATGCATTGGTAAGAGTTTCGTATGCCCCCATAATGTTAGAGCATACTGAGCAATAGTAGACCTCATATCCAGTGGCCTCGGTGGTAAGGTCCTTGGTTACTCAGACCAATGGTTCTGCGAAGCTTCAAACCTCCTGAACCCAAGAGCTCCATTTGCCCAACCAGGCAAGATGGTCTTCACAGGTGCTTGGTACGACGGCTGGGAGACTCGAAGACATAACCAAGAACCATTCGACTACGCTATCATCAAACTCGGTGTAGCTTCTGGCACAGTCGAGGGAATCGAGGTTGACACTGCGTTCTTCAATGGAAATCATGCCCCAGCCATCTCGGTCGAGGGCGTCTTCAGCCAAGACGACGACAAGGTCGTATCATGGGGAGGAGGTCGGGGAGAGTGGGAAACCATCCTCGGCGTCCAAGAGTGTGGTCCCTCCCAGAGGTTTGGCTGGAAGCTCAAGACTCCTGGCCAGAAGGCATACACTCACGTTAGACTCAACATGTATCCTGACGGTGGTATTGCACGATTTCGTCTCTTCGGCCACGCTGTTCCTGTCTTCCCTGATGACAAGGAGGCCATCTTCGATCTTGCTGCGGCGCAAAACGGCGGCATTGCTGTGTCGTGCAGTGACCAACACTTTGGAACCAAGGACAACCTCATCATCCCAGGCCGAGGAAAGGACATGGGCGATGGCTGGGAAACAAAGCGATCGCGAGGAAAGGACCACACTGATTTTGCCATCATCAAGCTCGGCGCTCCTGGCTACATTGAGAAGTGGGTTGTTGATACTGCACACTTCCGAGGTAACTATCCGCAGAAGGTGTCAATTGAAGGGTGCGAGTGGACAGGCCATGGCGATCCTGTTGCAGATGCCCCGGCCTGGAGAGTATTTGTACCTCCGAGCAAGACTGGCCCCGATCAGGAACATGAGTTTGAGAGCGACGAAAAGGAGAAGAAGGGTCTAGTGACACACGTGAAGCTTGTCATGATTCCTGACGGTGGAGTGAAGCGGTTGAGAGCGTTTGGTAAGCGAGCAGTTTAGGGTAGTTTGTACAACTTTTCATCTACAAATATGTGGTTATGACGAACATAAAAGAAATTGGTATTATTCTTGCCTGCTGGGCACGTATCCTCAATTAATTGCATTGTGAAATTCTGATTACACAGGTGGGTACGCCATTAATCTCAAACGATTCGCGTCTTATCTCGCGCAAGGCAAAACACATATCTCATGGCATTACATGGACTGGTCGAGGGAGAGACGACACTTTTATCAATTAGGTATTCTAAATGCCGGATTGGGTACCAGTAATGCCGTGGCGGTGCTTCTGTGACGACGTGCGTTGTACGTAGCTTTTATGTCTCTGTTATGTGACGTTAGCGGAGCTGCTCCAAAACCTAAGCGGAATGACGGTTTCTCCAGCTCATTAGGGACAAAGTGGGTAGGTTGCTCTCCACGACAACTCAGTAATATCAACACAACCAACCAACTCTGAATAGACCAACTCCAACGGTTTTGGCCCAATAATAGCGAATTATCCTTTTCAACACCAAAAACTTGCGCGCGAATCCAATCTCCGGCGATAGAACCATCTATTGCGACATTCCATGAACCACGCGACACTTTTGTCTCTATCTCTGCCCCTCGCTCCATCATGGATCTAGGGGACTCTCTCAGTCAAGATGGATTTGGACAGCCTGAAGACAAGCCTCGACCTCTCCCTGCAGATCTCCCCACGTCTCTCGACGACCGGAGACATGTGCCCAACGAGCATCTCATCACCGAGACAGAGATGTACGATGGCTGGCAAGGTCCGTCGCATTACCACCTGCGCATATGCGCTTCTTGTATAACCAACACGTCACTGACGGCGCCATAACAGGCCAGTCCCAGTTCCTTACGACACCGGCTATAGCAAAGCCCCTAAACTTCGGAAACCTGTCGCTGAACGATCACGACTACGAAGATGATATTATGAAAGGACCTTCGGATAGCGATACACGATTAATGGAAATGCTGGCCGCCCAGGCAGCGCACCAGGCTGCTCCTGCTTTCGAGAACGAAGACGAGGTTGTGAATAGCGAAACTCTGTCCGAGGCAGAGAAGAAAGAAAAGCTCCAGAAAGCCCTCAACATGGCTGCGAGCAACGGCGATGTCGACAGGATTCGAAAGCTTCTCAACGGAAAGGCAAAGGGGTATCTCGAGCTGGACGCCGAAGACGAAGACGGAACACCACCGCTTATCTATGCCAGTTGCTTTGTAGGTGCCTCCCAATAACTTGCAAATACGTTACTGATGCTCTAATAGGGCCACGAACCCGTTGTTCAGGCATTGATTGATGCGGGCGCCGACGTTAACAAACAAGACCGCAATCAGTGGACAGCTCTCATGTGGGCTATGACAAACCGACATAAGGGCATCGCAAAACTACTTCTTGACAACAACGCATCTTCCGATCAAAAGACGTCATCAGGACGGACAGCATTTGATTTTGTTCCTCCGGACAGCGAGATGTCATTTTACCTTCACGATAATGGCTACAATATTGGCAGCGCAGGCACGGATGATTTCTACCGACCCGGTTTCTCCCAGGATCGATTCGAGGAAGAGATGGCTGAGAATGAGATGCGAAGACGGCTTATGATGGAGAGTGCCCGGGATCTCGAAGTCGATCTAGGAAACGTGGGCATGGATGATCAGCCTGAGGTATGGTGGAACACATTGCTTCGAGTATTATTGGACTAACTGGTTGTACAGCCTGTCGACGAATTCGAGGAAGATCAGCAAGAGTTTGACTGGAATCGTTGTTTACATGACCAGATGTTTGTCTTTCAAGAGCACGAGCTGGAACGCATACTGGATATAGTCATCACCAACATGACGCCTCAAAGATCACCGACGCAGAAACCTGTCCCGGCAAACATGATATTCCTTAGCGCAAGGTATGCGCATTACCATTCCAGCCCTGAGCTTCTAGAGCGACTTTTAGTGTCAGCTATGGACTGCATCAACGATGTTGTTGAGAAGTGTCAGTGGGATATGACTATCTTAGCCTTCTGGATTTCAAACGCCACTCTTCTCCTTCATTACCTCAAGAAGGACCCGGGACTTTTTCAAGCGACGGGTGAGTTCCAGGCTCAGCTTGCGGAGTTGATAAACGAAATCTTTATTCTCATCGTGCGAGATGCTGAGCGACGCCTGGACAAGGTCCTGGATGCGGCCATGCTGGAACACGAGACTATCCCCGGATTCGAGGACATTGCGTTTCAAAATGAGTGGAAGCTGTTCAAGCGAAAGACACAAGTCAAGGAAGAGCCGCTGGAAAAGCGCTTCCGGCCACCGTCACCGAAGCAGCGAGCAAAGCCAGCGCCTCGAAACGTTACCTCCCTCCTCTCCTCTACACTCTTTGTGCTTGACCTTTACGACATTCACTCGGTGATAACAGCCCAAATTATCTCCCAGCTTATCTACTGGATTGGAGCAGAGCTTTTCAACCGTATCATGTCAAATCGAAAGTACCTGGCAAGAACAAAAGCCATGCAGATTCGCATGAACATATCCATACTTGAGGACTGGGCCCGGACAAATAATAGACAATCAGAACATTTTGAAGGGGGTGAAATGCGCGCTTCAGGAGACACAACGATGGATGCTGCTCGAAGACATCTTGCACCAGTTATTCAGCTACTACAGTGGCTTCAGTGCTTTTCGTCTCTCAATGGAGATGATATGGAGGCTCTGATCATTACACTTCAGCAGCTTAAGCGATTGAGCCCCCAGCAGCTCATTCATTCAGCCAACCACTACAGACCGGAGGTGGGTGAAAAGGGGCTACCAAAAAGTGCTATGAAATACCTTATCAATCTACAAAAAGAGGCAGCACTAAAGCGAGAGAGACGGCGGAGTGGCATACCTTCACCGCAAAGGTCGGGCCAGGACAGCACGCCGGTGACACCGATAAGGGGCCGGTCAAACGGCGGTCATCTTGAAACTCCCGGAAGTGTCGCTACTCCTGTTCAGGACGACTGGTCCGATGATGAGGACGCACCCGAGCACCTCCTATTAGACCCGGCCCTCATGTTGCCTTTCGTGCTGCCGTCAGTAACTGACATGCTCGTGACGTATGGCGCTGGGCTCGGTGGAGTGAACCGTGAGAGAGCGCGCAAATATATCCCCACAGTACCGCCGGAGTTTCTTGAAAAGCTGGAGGTGAGTGGCGGAACCAGGAAGGGACCTATGTTTGGTGAAGCGGACTGGGAGAACGAAGAAGTCTAGGGAGCAAATACTGTGGTTGTCACGGATAGTCACCTGAGCTGACCGAAGGCGAGCGGCGACGACCTGGCAGATCCAATGAGGAAGTAGACCTCCTAAACTTTTCTGCCCAAACATCAATGCTGCTGGCTTTGCATACAAACGGCTATGAGATGGACGCGGACGCTAGGGAGCATTCAAAGGCCAAAGACGGCAAGGCAAGTACAGGCCAGTGATTCATTGGTCACAGCTGGGAATCTCACTATGCAAGCTGCAAGGGGCAGAGGCATTAGCAACGGGAGAGATCAACAGTCCAGGTGGCGGACGCGCAGACACGGCCACGTTCTCGACGTAATAACGACTAAATCTAGAGGTGGATGGTATCTGGCAAGCGGCCGGCGCAGCCGGCACGGAATATGTGGCAAGGAGCAGAAGCAACGGGAGGTACAGTCAAGTTGTAGGTTTAGGGCAGGGTTGTGTAGCTCAGCATAGGGCGTATGGAGTTGTGCAGAGGGAAATTTTACCAAAATTTGAGATTTTCTTCATTCTTTGTTTGCTTCGAACGAGAGTAGTGGAACAAGTACCAGCCCTCTCAAGGCTACACCAGCCACCCGAGCAAACGGTGACTGCAATCAAGGTTGAAGCATGGGGCCAAAGGTGTCGGAGTCCAGCCTAGCAAGGATTACGCATCCACAGAACAACGCGGCGCTGGCTTTTGCTGCATGCACTCAACAGTTGGCGTTGGAATGCGGGACTAACGTTAGAGGGAACTTAACTTATTTTCTCTTTTCTCGTTGTGCGTTGCGTTGTTTATTTTGATGCCCTATTCCATCCCCTGTCAATTTCACATGATACAGCTTTGCCTCACGAGTCTGGAATATGTTGCAGAGGTTGTTTCGGAGACAAGAGAGCACCAGTATCCTTTTTCTTCTTATACCGCCTATTCGTAGTTGTCCCCCGTCACCATCAATGGGGAAAAAAAGAAAAAGAGAGTCCCCACTACCACGCGGGAGACGGATTAACATGGAGGAGGATGCAACAGCAACGGCAAGGGGGTTGCCCGATGAGTTGGCATCGACAGACCAGGGCATGGGAGTGAGAGCGGTGACAGCAGACGGGAAGAGTGACAACCCTAAACAGGAGACAGAGAAACCATTCTAGAGTATCCATTGGATAGAACGTGGACAGCGGGAATATCTCGACAAACGGGACCGGGTGGCCGCATTCCGCATTCCGCGAGGCCCGGCCGGGACGGAAGGCTACATGACTTGTCCGGTGCCTTCTAGGACATACGTACTAATAATTGCGCTTTGTTTATGCTTATGCATGTTCCCTATTATTCAAACAAGCTCTGTTCGGCGTTTGAAGAGTTGTCAGCTCTGCCCTACTCTACCAAAGTAGGGCAAAGGATGATCCTTGTTCACAGATCCCAGGATGAGAACATGGCTCCCTATAGGTTCGGGAAGCGGGTAGATCATTCAGGGAAGATAATAAACGGATCCCTCCGTCGAGATTCGCAGTGGCCCAGGAAAAGGCTGAGACAGTTTCCCAGCCTTGTTTGAGCACGCCAAGATCGATATTTTGCGATTCTTTCCAAGACAACTAAGGAAAAAAAAAAGAAAGGTTTATTGTATATCTTACTCCGTAGAGACCAGTTAATTATGCAAGGGATATTGAGTTCAGGATGAACCCTTAGTTAAAGCGCGAGATAGAGCGTAAGAGCTCGCATACAAAGTCTCAATCTTAAGCATACTCTATTAGGAGACCAACCGGGTCTGATCCAGAACTAGTAGAACACCAACTTGATAGTCGTGATGCCACACCAATAAGAAAGGAAAGAAAAGAAAACACCGTTTCATAGTAGAAAGATGGTGTTAACACAGTCAATGCAGAAGGTGAGAAGCTATGTACTCTTATTTCTCAGCAACCTGGGTAGTTGAGCTGTTTTTAGCGCAAAGTGACGAACTGGTGATGGTGATAAGCATAATGATAAAGAAAGAGAGTTCGGTCCGCGTTGTTTGTGTAATTTTATTAACGTTAGTGGCGATAACGTTGTCCTGAAAAGCACCGAGGTGGTTGCAAAGTCTACGGATATCGATGGAGTTTGATCTAAAAACGGTGATTGCGAGGCTTTACTCCGTAGTTTTACTTTACATATGGATACGTATTCCTTCGTACAGAGTAGGGTTTGTCTCGATTCCCTCTCCCGATATGCTGTGAGGCGGCTGGGTTTCTGCTGATACTCTCGGTTGAGGCACGGCACTATTTGGACGTGTTCCAGAATAATTGTCGCTTACATCAAGGGATCGGGGGTAATTGGGTATGCTGCGGGATGAGGCTGTCTGCTGTGAGACCAGGACAGGGCACCCGACCTTGTCTCATCTTGTCTTGTCATTCTTTGCCTTGGCTTCGGAGCTTCGTTACGTAGGTAGTATGCTTGTGATGGGCAATGTGTGGTTGTGGTTGCAATATTTGGTCGCGGGTACCTTGCAGACCCTGTCAAGCCGCCTGTTCTCTTTTGGCGGTCTCATCGAAGATCCTGGTCGTTTACATTAGGTGACTCCCACAGTTTGGGTATCGATTGGATCAATATGATAGCTCACAGAGGCCCAATAGTTAAGGTCGCCCGCGAAACCTGATACGGGATGGCTGGGGGAGAGAGAAAGAGAGAGAGAGCACCGACTGATTGACATGTGTCAGCTCTGCCACCCGTACTCTGTAGCGAGGCCAAAGACGAGGTCAATCAATTGGCTTTTTCTCTACTCCGTACAGGAAAAACGACTTCAGGCGGGATCTTCTGTGTTTGTGGTGGTTTTTGTGATTGTCTTTGACTGTATGTCTCGGTCATCCCTTGCATCAGGAATGCAAACGCTTTAGCAGCGACTGATTCAAAGGTAAGAGCGTGCAGATGACGATGATGAGGAAATAAAGGGAATGGAAGATGGTGTGTGATATTATTGCGTGTGTGTGTGTGTGTGTGTGTGTGTATGTGTGTGCTTCGCGACAGCCTCTAAAAACTCTATGTACCCTGGTTCACTTGAAAGCAAGGCTCTTTTCAGCTGCAGAGGGTGCCTTTGCTTTTGTTAGGTTGACGTAGGTAATTCTGTTGGGTCTTGGTGAAGGTTGCCAACGTTTCTTTGTGCCTGAAGCCTGAAGGTTGGATACTGAAGGATGAAGGCTTATTACCTTACCTATGAGGCGTTAGAAGGGTTACATGTTACATGCATTCATGCAATTCGCCATTTTCCTGATTGATCATGAGCTTGTTCAATGCCTCACGGGGGTAGACATTGTACTCGGTGTATGTGACTGACTGCCCGACTGTCTGCCTGTCTGTCTGATGGTCGACCGTGAGATACGTGGATTTGATGTGCTGTTACCTGTTACCTGTATCTTGGTCACGCTCCATCTCATCTGGTGATTACCATTACCGACTCTTTATGTCTGTCCTTAATTGGTTAGTTTAATGCCGAGATGCAGAGAGAGTGCGGTGTGGATTATTACATGCTCTTCCCGTATCAAGCCATTGAGTGGTTTTTTTTTTCACCGTCTCGCTTCGTTTGCAGGACCCCCGGCTTCTTGCCGTAGACCCGTGGGGCCCGGTGGATGATGTGGCTGTCGGTGGATGGACCAAAGAGAAAAGAGATGCAAGAAAAGTTGTTTTTATTTTTTGTTGTTCTTGCTGTTGCATTGTTAATGAGTCGGTCTAAGAGGGAGCTAAGAGCGGTGCAGGGCATACGAGTTTGAATAGAGTAGAGTTTGATTCTATGGTATCCATGTATAAGGAACGCACCATCTTCGAAATCGCATCGCTTATATTCCATATTCTTGAGACTTGCATCACTCACACATTTCTACGTCGACCGTAGTTTTCCAGCTGGACACATCAAACTCACGATTAACGACGGATACCAGAAGGACATATCGCCTTCGATCAATGTTGTGCCAACCTTTCGACTTTTCGCTACCGAACCATCCTTGGCTATTTCTCTGCATACCCGCAGCCTTCAACCTGACCTCAGCAAGATTGCATTGTCTCATTCAAGTCTAAGACTTGGGGAAATCTGCCCTTTTTCCAACTCCAAAACCGACGCCGACTCGTATCAATTTCGCCAGATTCGAGTTCCAGTTCAAGTTTACATTCTGGTCGCCTTTTCTCGCCTCCCTTGACAGGAATCCTCTCTCTCTCCCTTGGATTCTCGACTGTGTGCCGCTGTTTGTCTATAACATTGACCCTCGGCCCTCTCTCCCTTTCTTCAGCTCCTGCTCCTGCTCCTGCTGTTCGACTCGGACCATTAGTCTATTTACCTGACCTTTTTGGGTTCCGTGCTAGTCTGTGTTCCCCAGCATCAGCGCTGCTCCCTTGCATTCGCTGCTGATCATCGCAACCCATCTGACCGGGGTCTCACTTACAGCCAAGGCAAACATCTATTTACACAAACAGGCCACCACCTCTTTGACGACAATAGCCAGCCACCCTGACTGCTGGTTGGATCTTTTAACCACCAAACCACCATTACTATAACATTGCCATCGTTGGCTTCTTTGTTCACAATCAACCAACCCACACACACCATGTTACCATCAAAATTTGGTAGCGTGCGGCAGCAGAAGCCGCCCACAGAACGCCGTACAAGTCTACGACTCGACGCGAGCATAGTGGCTTTGCGATACGAAAAGACTGTCCCAGCGGAACCTCCCATTCTGATTGTTTCACGAGACCCTACTCGCCTTTCACGTCGTCCTTCGTCTTCCTCGGCATCATCTCACAGCTCTCGTCACCGTCCTATCGTCATTGTTCCTCCTGGCATGGTTGCACCACCCGCTGAGGAGCACCCAGCCCTGCGAGGCTCATCATCAGCTTCGTCTTCAGCTCCATTCTCAGCTTCAGCGTCATCCTCATCTTCACCAACGCCCAGAACATCCCCCGTATCAGTGGAGGAGTGGAAGCGTGATTCTGGAGTTGCCAGAAACAAGTCTACTTCAACAATTCACGAGGAGGAGGGCGAGGACGACTACACGGAAGCTGCGTGTAAAAGCAGGATTCCTGCAGTGGGATCGACCGTGTCTTCTCTCGTATCATCCGTCATGTCGCAGCCAAGTACGACAGCGCAGCGAATAGATGATCCATTCGTGGACGACAACAGCATCTTTGCTCCGCTAACAACAACACTGAGTGATCCTTTGTGTGTCGTGTACAACCCTCGATGCACCACGCCGCCTCCTCCACCTCCACCTCAGGCGTCCCACTCTGATACAGCTGCACCTTTATCTTCACCTTTATCTTCACCTTCACCTGCAACCGTGACTGCAACACCAACTGCGCCTGCGACGCCTACTCGACCAAGCAGAGCTGCCCCTACGGTTCCTTTTTCTATTCCTTATTCTGAATGCGTCGCCGGCAGAGTCCCATCCTCTCCCACAAACCCTCCTACTTTTAGCCGTCGTTCTCATCAATCTACCCGTCGCTCAATCCAATCATCACCTCGAACTTCTTGTTCTTCCTCTCCCCCCACAATCTCTAGGGGTCTTAGCCCACGGTCTGGATCTCGCTTCGGCATATTTTCCCAGATGTTTACTCCAACACAACCCTTGTGGCGGGGCTCTGTGAGCGCCAGCACCAGTAACAACGGCGGCGATTTCAGCGCCTCCAGCACCCATACCCCTACCGCCAGCGCACATTCCACTGTCGCCGCTGCCGTTCCCACCCCTGAAGCTACCGCCAGCGCTACCTCTACCGTCAACGCTACAGCCACTGATCCCGCTGTGACCTTGGCTTTGACTGGATCTGAGCTAGAGCAGACGCATTCGTCGGAGAAGGAGCAGGGTTCTTCCCATTTTTGGAACAGGTCCCGTTCTGCCTCCACAATCTCGAACAAGAATGGCACTAGCACTGCGACATCAGTGGACCCCACCACTATTTCATCTGATTGCGATCTCCCCTTTGTTCCCATCGACGTGTCCATCCCCTGCGACAATCTCCTTGATGATGCCTTCATGAACACTGTTTCTTTCTCCAATCGAGGCAGCATCATGTTAGGAGCTCAAGACGCCGCTCTTGTTGACGGCGCCATCCAACAGTGCAGCATGGCGTCAGCGTCAATTGATTCTTCTTCTTCCGCATCCGCTTCTACAAACACCGACACGCTCGCGACCCCAAACAATGACGAAAGCGACTCTGGCTGTGCCACGCCGACGCCGACGCCTACTCCCTCTAATGCCGCACCGCGTTCCGTCATTCCTACTTCTACTCCTACTACTCCTACGACCCCAAAGTCACAGTCCCAAGACCTTCCTCGACCCAGCGACGAGTCCAACGACATGAACAACCCGATTAAGGGGGCAGACGATGGTTCCCTTCAGGACTCATCATCGACCCCCGACATTCGTGTCTTGGCCGCCGACATGGAGAAGGAATCTCAAAAGGTGAGATCGCTCTATACTGTTGGCGATGGTTCCCACGGTGAGCCTGGCAAAAGGCGCTCGTACTGCGAGCGTCTTGAACCAACTCCCGAGGTCCCATCCGAGGAGAATGAACTTGACCCGTATGGTTTTCCTTGAATGTCCCAGTTATATTCGTCGCGGACCATGATTTGTGCTAACCTCAATTTCTTCTAGTGCCCAAAGTCACCTTTCTCCGGCCTGGCAAATGCCCGCATCTGGAAGTTCTTCTTCCCTCAGGTCTAGAGTTGGGGTTCTAGAGGACTGGGATGACCTGGAAGGCGCCCGCGTCGACCGATATGGATTCATCACCTTACCGCCGCCAGCTGGCACAAGAATTGGCACACCAACAGAAACAAGGTCCGCCTCGGGCTCGCCTAGGAAGCGTAGCATACTACAGAGGCGAGACCCGTATTCCTTAACATCTACCCTTAGCGGCAGTGGTCGGCGGACACCAACGAGAAAAGTGTCCGCTCGATCACTCAACACACAAACATCCGAACTATCAGTATCGACATCGCTCCGCTCATCTCGATCGGTCATACGACAGGCTAGCAATTTATTACCCCACAACAGAGACAGACGGTGGATGGACGAAGCAGGTGATATGCTGGATGCCGCACCTAGTCTACAGGATATAGTGGATGAAATTCAAGCTGAGAAGTTGACAGAAGTAATGAAGAAAAAGGAGTGGGAGCGATCCGAAAAATGGAGGAGGATGGCCAAGGTCGTCCGCAAGGGCGGCGAAGGCGAGGGTATGGAATTCGAGTTTGACACCAAGAACCCGAAGCTCATTGAGAGGACATGGAAAGGAATCCCGGACCGATGGCGGGCAGCAGCGTGGTGGTCCTTTATGGCTACCAGCGCTAGGGCTCATGAGGGCATGATGTTGGAGGATAACATCGTGGCCGAGTTTCACAGGCTCCAGCTGCGAAGCTCTCCTGACGACGTACAGATCGACTTGGACGTGCCCAGAACAATAAGTCGTCACATTATGTTTCGACGACGTTATCGAGGCGGCCAGCGATTGTTGTTTCGAGTCCTTCACGCCATCTCCATCTACTACCCTGAGACGGGTTATGTCCAGGGGATGGCGTCACTGGCGGCAACATTACTCTGTTACTTCGATGAAGAGAAGTGCTTTGTAATGCTTGTCCGCATGTGGCAGCTGCGTGGACTTGCGCGCCTATATCGCCCAGGCTTTGAGGAACTTATGGCAGCCATGAGTGACTTTAGCAAACACTGGCTTCATAAGGAAGTAGCCAGTAAACTGGTTAGTCTGCAATCTCTCTATTACGCCCGCAACTTGAGTGCTGACCATTCTACTCTAGGACGAATTGTGTATTGACACTACTGCTTATGGTACGCGCTGGTACCTGACGCTGTTCAACCTTTCGGTCCCCTTCCCGGCCCAGCTGAGAATCTGGGATGTCTTTTTATTATTGGGCGATGGCTCATCTGCTGCAAGCGAATACCGAAGGCCGGAGAGTAATTCTTCTTCGTCGGGCGAATACGATGTTTTGCACGCTACTAGTGCAGCATTAGCCCAAGCCCTTCGCGAAGTTCTCCTTGATGCAGAATTTGAGAACGCCATGAAGGCCTTAACGTCATCGATTCCCGTCAAGGATGAAGACCTTTTGATGAAAGTGGTCAAGGCGGAATACAAACTACACCACGGCAAAAAGAGGACTTAGCAAACCTTATTGCCATGACTAGTCTATCTGGGACATTCTTCTTTGTCTTTTGGCTTGATTCCTCCTTGTACTTGCGAAGCTGTATCATGATACCCCATTTTAGGGTGCTTTCTTGTTTTGCGTTGCGAAATGCTCGATACCCCCCTCAGGCTGCGGCCTCTGAGGGACCACATGCCTAAACGAGGCCCATCTTTACTTTGTATTGGTTCATGGGGACGTGATGGATTCAGAAAAAAGATGGAGTTTTTCCTTTTCGGTGCTTGATCGCGTTTGGAGCCACGGAACCTAATTCTATATACCCCTTCCTGGCATTTTTTTTGTCTTGCTTTGAGGGCTGCTCTGATGAGGTTTGGAATTATGTGGTGTGTTATAGGCAGTCTAATGTACAAGAGGAAGACGAGGGGGAAGCCGAAGGACACGGAATGAGGAGGATCAAGGAGACAAGCGAGATACGAGTGCCACAGCAGGCCTCGAAGTTAATATATATGCAATATGCAGTATTATTAGAGATGTTTACTACGACTTCCTCAAGTGAAGGTAGCCATGCAAAGAACCCACCCAGCCTCTGGCTAAAGAAGTGTGATGATTTCGCCATTTTGGCTGATCCTATCATGTTTAATGTGACAACATGCGACAACATTAAGGTATAGCAGTAAGTAGTTTAATTCAAGGCAGTCAATTGGAAGTAGAGAGTCAACTACACAGCAAGACTTGGTAGTATTTGTTGGTTCAAAAGTTCTCTCACTATCTCAGCCGCAGTCTCTATCCACCTACACCTGTCACTCTGGCTGAGTGTTCCCATTCATACACCCTTCTGCAGTATCCTCCAGGCTGAAATCGAGGTCTGTGCATCCCCCCTCCATCTTGGATCTTGAATATCAAAATTGCCTCTTTTGGCCTGGACCTCCGACCCCCTCCCCCTCTGCCGGACCTCCGATGCGGGGGACCCGGCGCCATCAACTCGGAGGCGGCTCGGAGTAGCAGCGGCCAATTAATTGTGCAATGATCTGCAGGACTATCTACAAACTACGACGTATACCGAGTTCCCGGTGATGTCTCAATCAGCTATAGCTCGGCTAGCTTGCCTACCATGCACTTGTTGTCGTACGGAGTAGAATTGAGTTTGATCCCAGCTTCGATGTAACCCGCCTCGCCTGGCGATGACCCGAGAACCGTCTCATATATGCACACATCCAGTGACGTGAGATAATAAAGCAGCTGTATTATAGTAATACAATCCTACTCTAGGCCTCAACAATTTTTCCTGCTTCTCCTGCCCGTCAAATCCTTCCTATCCTTCGATTACTACGTCCCATATCGCTGCAGAGTTGATGCGCAAACGGCTGAGTTTTCCTCTTCAAGGCACTCAGGCGCAAGCCACACGCCATGATCTAGGGAGCTGAAAGAGGAGCAGTTGGCAGTGTTACATCTTACACCTTCTCTTGTCTCCTTCATGGCGAAATGGCACGGTAACTGTATTATGCATGGGCTTATGCATGGAACCGTAGACCTTTTGTGTTATTTGTTTGTCTTCTCTGGCACACATATCTGCTCTTTATGCGCCATGAGGCTTTCCCTCCTCTGGCAAGCCTCCTTTAGTGGCTTTTTCGTATTCCCTTCCTTCCCCTCTTTTGTTCCCATCTCGGCCACTCAAACTGGAACATAACATGGCAAAAGTCAAAAGACGTGGTTGGGGCTTTTGGGTTGCAGTCTCAGTTGGCATCTAGATTCCTTTGAGGACTAGATGCAGATATATATCCCTGTTCTTTACGAGGTTACGAGCTTGCTATAACGATTCTGGTGTGCTCGGAATAAGCTATTTCCTACTAGTGGCATGGCGTTCGATGACCGCAACTTTGTTTTGGGACGTTCCTGGATTTACTGGATCTATTTTGAAGGATGGCTTTTGGGGGCTTTCAGTAGGCTGCTTTGGCTATGTGTGGCTCAGCTGTATGCATGGACTATGAGGTTGTGCTGATAATCACGACTAACAACAGTATCAGCATTAGCATGTTCTTGCTAAGCCAAGAGTCTGGAGAATGCTCAGTCAGGTATGTATTGCCAGAAGTGTCGATACTTCATTTCCTTCAAATCTACACCAACAGGATAGCTTCAATCAGATGCAGAGCTGTTCCGAGCAATTCCCTCGAGCGTTGGGCTCGCAATGCCAATGATCTTCCCTTAAATCACCACCTGTTCCTTTCAATAATCAAAAGTTGATGATAAAAAACTCCGTTCTGCTCCAATCCCTCTCTTGCTTATAACCATCCCGCTTCGTTTCTCCTATCTGTGCTAATTTAATATAAAGTGTGATTAGAATACATTGTTTCCTAGAATTGCGCCGCCAACTTCTAGTAATGCCGAAAGTTAATGGCTGATTGCCACAGATCGAAACTCGATTTTTACTGGTGACTAGATAAATAAGTCGCCCCAATAATCAGATACTCCTTCGGTTCGATGGGTGATGTCAATCGTGTATATATATGTGTGTGTGTGCGCTCGATAAAGGGGGGGAACAGTTTCACGTTCCAATCGCCCAGATAAACAACTCTTTCATATCGCGGGTTGCCATAACAATCGAGGTTGGTAGTATTAGTGGGTTGTCGTAAATGAAATGACAGCCACGCTTGTTCATAAAATTGGTATAGTCGTGTGGCGCACAAGCGCGAGGGATGATCGACAAGAACGCGTCTAGGGAGAGTTACTTTCAAGCACCTCGTCGTTCCCCGGCATCATCCCGAGGGCTTTTGTGTTCGCTCAACGTCCCTATGCATCTTTGAATCTTCCGGAGACGATTGTCTGTATTGATATTCTCGATCATCGCCCGGGTGAGGAGGTCCTGAATACCGCGCGGCGGGCTGAGGTTCCTCTGATAACATGGCTGACACCGACTGCTTCTGTTCGCTGCCTTGTCGATTTTGGTAAGGCATAGGGGTCGAACTGCGTATCGGTGATCTCCGGCGTAGAGGCCCGCCGAAACTCTCTCTCCGAGAACGACCGGGGCCAGTGACTCTGAAGGGCGACATATCACTTCTTTGTCGCGAGTGACCTCGTCGTGATCCGCGGAATGGTGCGTTTGATGAGCTGCTTTGGCTGAAAGGCGGGGGTGATCGATATCGTTGTTCACTGCGAGTGGGCGAAGGAGCATGGTGCTGTCCTGTAGCCTTACGTTTTCTGGGAGTTTCCCCTATGGTCACAAAGGCCGCATTAGTTTATAGAGAATCTCGCTTTCTCTTGGTTTTTGACGAACCAGAAGGACTTCCAGGTCGATTTGAGCTGCCGCTGGCTTGCGATGTTGGTGGCTGCCAGTGGTGAAAGTATATGGAAGGACTTGACTGGGACTCTTGCTGCTGTTGAGCTTGTTGCATGTGCGAATGCTGGTGCGAGTGCATCACAGGGGGAGCGTGACCGGGCTGTGGTGCATTGGTGTTGAGACTCGGAAGCGTTGACATGCCCATTGGCCGTCCAATAACACCACTCACCGTCTGGCCTCGAGGTCTTGATGGTGATGGCGGATACGCGTATCCAGCTGCTGGTGTCGATGTCGGAGGAAGGCCTTGGTGCTGCGCATGACCCTGTGTCTGTGACTCCCGTTGGTGTTCAGGCGATACAGGCCATTGTACGGGCATAATCTGAGCACGAGGGGGGGCTTGACCTGGGGGCATAAACTGCTGAGCCCATTCTAGAACAGCTTGAGGGGCGACGCCTCCACTGCCCATGCCCGAGAAAACCAAGGGTACCATAGGGGGAGGAATACCTGCTTGGAGCGATGTTCGCAGCATATCCATCTCGACCTTACGCTGTTCCAGACGTAAACTCTCCTGTCTCGTTCGTTCCTCCTCCTGTCTTCTCCTATCCTCCTCTGCTCTCGCCTGCAGCCAATGCCTCATAGACTCCTCCGCTCCCTGCCATTGCTGAGGTGGAGCAGGAAGCTGACCCCAAGAATCCCTCTGCTGGTGGCCTGGAGGGCCTAGTGATGGCTGTGGCGGAGGTGGAGGAGGTGGCGCGTGGGCTGGATGATGTGCAGGCGGAGGAGCACCGGCTGTTGGAGGTTGCTGAGGAGGTAGAGTCATGGCCGCCGGCGGAGGCAGGCCACGGTGAGGAGCCGACATGGGCTGGGATGGCGGGCTGTGACCCTGATAGGTAATGGGTATGGACTTTGTTGCTGGTTCTTGATACCTCAAGGGGGGAGAAGGTCGAGAGGTTGAAGGCGGAGTCGGAAGATCATGGACGGACTTGTAGCCGTAAGTTGGTGGCTGCTTGACGGTAAGCATCGTTATATGGTAGCTGGGCTACGCCAGTGGGGACATTGATGCGGCAGGTAAGAGATGTGAGGGTTTGAAAGGTGCGTGTTGCTTGGGAGGCTGGGGGCTTGTTGCTATTGACTTTTTGCAGACAAAGAAGTACCAGTCAGATAAACAGAATGGCGTAGGAGCATGAGCCGTGACTGACGATGCAAATAATGGAACAAGCACACGATGTGACAGAGCACTTCCAGAAAGAATGATGGTTCAGGGTTAAGGATCAGATACGGGATTGACAACAATGACGGAAATGGAAGGCAAGATATGCTGCAGATGCTGTTGATGAGTCTTATTTGGCTGCAGGTCCCTCTAATAGAGGCATTGGTTCAAGCGGAGGGGGAAGAGACGTCGATGAGGGATGAGGAGGATAGTAACAAAAACTAACAAAGAGGAAATCGAAGAGGGAAAAAGAATAGGAAGAAATGCATACAATGTGGTTGTGGAGGTGGAAGCTTTGTATAAGACGACCAGAGGTGACTGTGGGCTGCGAGCTGGAGATGTCGGCCAGCTCTAGAGGTGTGGCGGTCGAGGCAAGCGGGGCTGATGAAACCAGTTGACAAGCAGGGCCAGGCTCATTTGGAACCAGTCATGGATGGCTCTTCCACATGGCACACATGAGGGGCACGCGCAGAAAAGAGCTGTCAATGATTGCGAGTTAGTAGTAAGTTCGACTTAGAAGTGGAGAAGATCCAAGGCTGACAGGAGGCAGGTTGAGAAGCTGAATCGAACAAGAATGAATTAGGCCGAGATGAAGGATAGAACAAAGCCCGGGCAAGGAAAGTTCCGCGGGCGAGTCAAAAGTGGGAAGAGCTCGAAACCTCAAGCTCAATGAAGCTGCTATAGATGATGCAACGGTGTCAACGAGAGGATAACCCAGACTCAGACGCAGGTACCAGCCAGCGTGGTCTGTCTTGCTCGTTGCCTTGGTCTATCACAACTAATAGGCACGTCTGTGTGCTCGACGAGTAGATACTTGAGCTACCAAGAAGAGGAGTCCTTAGAATGGAAAGGAGTGTTGAGTAGAATCTTTGATCTATGATCCGGGCTGTCCTACTTTGGCTTGTCCGTCGTCGTCGTTGTCCTCTTCAGCCTAGCTTACCATTAACAACTCTGAGGCGACCGGAATGAGATAATGAGGGTAGCTTGCAGACTTCAGGGAGCTATGACACGAGACCAACGGCTCCAGGGACCAAGGTTGTTTAATGAACGAATAGGGAGAAAGGACAATGAATGAAAACAGGAGATGATGGATGTTGATCCTCGACAGAAGATGGATGGAGGAGAGAAAGAGAAAGAAAAAAAGAGGGCTGAACAAGCTCGAGTGAGCTTCGGTATGAGTGGAGAGAAGAGAGTGAGTGAGTGGTGGAAAGCGAAAGCGAAAGCACACGCACACGCCCGCACACGCACACCCGCCTGCTTATACGCACATCATCAAGCGCCGGCCGCCGAGACGTCCCTCTCCGGTCCGCATCTTGACGCACCGGGGCCGCAATAACAAGAATCAAGGACACTCGTTCGCTTCAAGGAAGAGTGAAAACGCTTGATGGTCGAAGCTTTTCCGGGCTAGACAGGGGACACTCAATCCAAGTGATTGATTAAGGATCAATGGCAATAAGCCAGAAAACCACAACCAAGAGCTCATAGTCAACAAGTTATGCCGGACAACGGGTCCAAAGCGTCGAATGTGGCCAGGCCAGTCCGGCATTAGACATCTGAGGCAGGGGCTGGGGCAGATACTGTACCAGGAAAGATATCAAATGCGGCCTAGGTCAATTCACTAAGGCAAGATCCAGGATAGTAGCCTTGAAGCTTCTGGACAGAAGAGTGTATCAGAAAGAGATTCGACAGATTTTGGGACACATGGTAGGGACGAGACAAAACACTAAAGAGGTGAACAATACAAGGAGTAGGGGTCGATATTGTCTGGGCAGTAACAGAGAAAGAAGCAGTCTAGAGAAGTGGCTGAGAATAACTGGGGGTCTAGAGGATTACTGCAATGTTGAAAACCTAGACGGTCCCATCGAAGTGAACATGCATGCTTCTGAAGAGCCAAAGAGCCAACAAGAAGACAGGATGGAGGGCCCGAAAAGGGTACATGTTTAGGGATGGATGAATGGGATCCATCGGGAGTCAGGGAGGGGCGTGTGTACTTACTTGCTAGAGGTGTGTAGAGTTGGAGTCCACACAATGGTGTAATCCAATAACTACCTAACATGTCGACGCAAACCCAAGTACAGCTTCGGGTTGTCATGGTTAGAGGCAAATAACAGACCCAAGGCTCAATTTGGCAGCTCCTTTCTACCCACCCTTTGCTCGTGTAGTTTGCGAGGTGGTAGACAAGCCAAGTATGATATTGTCGTGAAAACACATTCTTTCTTTGTACCTTACCCCGGGCTGCAGCTCTGGGGCTAGTCAACGACACGAGCGCCGAGGCAAACTGTCCGAGCTGCTGCAGCCTCCAAGCTTTCTTTCTTGCCAAGCCCCAACCTTGACATGATTAACGGGAGGGTAGGTGAGACACAATGCCTTTAATTCGGTAGCTGGACAGTAATTGGAAATTCGCCAACGAGGTCACTGCTCGTAAATATGGACGGCGGAAAGCCCCGTAGAAGGCTAGAATCCTGAATGCATGCTGTGGTGAGTGTGGCGAGCAGCAAATTGTGTAAGTCACTAGCGTACCTGCTTAAATCGATGCGCTTTAGCTGATGATGCTCCGTATGGTGTGAAGCATTAGGTCAAATTATGTACTGAATTGAACTGTAATCTGGTGATAAAGCTTTTCCCTTTCTCGTATTGTTTGCTGGTTGACGATTGGCGATTCTATTTCCTTCGCCAACAAATGCATTGGCAGGTTTGCCTTCGTTACCCAGCTGGACGTGTTGGATATTGGCTCTGATCGCAACAGAGATAAAACGCGGACATTGCTGGGTTGGTCTGATCTTGGTGCACTTTCTATATCAGCCATCAGGTAGGAGATTTTCCACATTCACTGAAATGCAAGCGAGCTGTTGGGCCCTTCAAGGAAGCGTCAAGGTCAGACTGCACCTATGTATCACACGTATGCCACTCTAATCAAGCGGGGATCTCGACAATCACTGAAGCTTGATGAGGGAAGCCGTTGCGTTGCACCAAGCGCGGTTCCCGTAGTAGCCGGGTTTAAGCCGCTCTCTCGTAGCGTACCAGGTTCGGATATCTGTGGCTTGTGGTCTATTGTTTCGGGTGCGACTGGGGTGATTGCATGGGATAGCATACAAGAAGCGTATCAATGTCAACGTGGATGGTTTTTCTATAGAATGGTGTTTCTGGCTTCACTTGATTGTGTTCTCGAAATCATCTTACTAACCTACCTATGGCGTGGCTAGGTAGGTACTTTCTCACTTTGGTTGCCGTCGGCAATTTACTTATGCTTCTTACCTTCCTCGTATTTTCATTTGCCGGTGTGGTTGGAATGCTCAGCTATAGAAGGCACGATGCATTCAACACCCTGCCTGCCCTTTCCAGCACTCGAACCTGGGCCAAAGCGCTTCAAGAGCCCTTGGCCGCTCTTTTACTGTCAATGACGTGGCGTTGCCAATTTTATTGAGCTGTTGCTGTATGTGTTGCTCTCTTTCGTGCCCCAGTTCCGCGTTTCATCTTGTCAAATCTCCATACCGTCTCCCACTTACCGAAGTTACAGGAAGCCGCTTTTACATGCTGAACCTCAACACATCCAGATACATCGATCACGGTCATCGTTATGAGCCCGCAGGACACCGATATCTTAGTCCTTACAATAATTTCCCACCTGGTCGGTCGCCAACAACACCCACAAACGGCAACCTTGGCCCGTCATAGCAATTCCAGCATTAACACCATTTTTCGTCATCTAACGATCTCAAACAATGGCAGACCCATCCATCCCTACCTCGTATGTACCAAGGCCGCCTAGGTTGTTCGCCTAGTGAGCCTTTGCCAGGGCGAACGATGATGTCCAGGTTGGGTCATGATGCATTGGCCCAGGACTTTTAGCACCCTCCTCTGTCGATAGTCCCTCTCTACAAGGCTTTGAGGCGTCTGGGAGCAATCCAGATTAGCGTCGCCCGATGCTCATTAGTCTTAGTGATGGGCAGTTTGCCCAATTGATTCAACAAGATATCGTCGCGCAGCCACACTCTCTAAAGGCCGTCCATCCTAGGCCACCGTTGTCGAAAGCACGTTGCAGCATGGTATTCTAGTGTGATAGCCGGGCCACACGAAAGGTCCATTTGCAGCTTTAATCGAAAAGCGTTTACTAGTCTGGCAGTCTGACTATTTGGGGTGAGCAATGTCGTCTAAAATACTCCGTGCGTAGGCTTGTTTCACATAGTATTGGGTGCTGGTTCTTCTGTCTTGATACAATCCTCGGGCAATACGCTCTGTCCAATTGGAGCCTTCTGAAGCTCAACTTACTTAGGAAATCCCGAGCGAAAACCCAGAGAGTTTCTAACAGGAGCCTGTCGATACCCATCGTCATCAGAGCAAAATGAGAAAGCTCAGGCCAGCGGCACCACCCCACCCTGGGACAGTCTCACGCACCCCATAAAAAACCGTTACCACCCCTCTTAGATTTCTAACTGCCCGCCGTTAGAATTCGTCGGCTACCGGGAAGCGCCACAGTCTAGGTCAAGGTTCTAACCAAGATGCGGCCGTGATTGATGATCAATAGACTCTACAGTCCGGTCGTTAGCTTCTTTCAGATGGTGCACACATTTGTTCTGCGGGCCTGTTCTCGAATCCAGTGATCGAAAGTCGAAAAAGATCTATTCGAAACTAAACGCCATTATTTCGAGGACGTGGCAATCGAGAGGTCTGTTGCCGACTGTGTGCAGCCGATATCGCCCCAGTACCAATAAAAGTCCTCGTAGCACGATATGATACGGAAAACGGTCGTTGACTGTGAGAACCAGTTGGTAGATTTCATCTTGGGCATCGGCAAGCGTGCGTCCTGACGAAATCCCATGTGTTTCGTGTAGAGGCATATGTTGACTGCAGGGTTTGTTAAAACTTGGTCCCTTGCTTCCGAAGTCTCGATCTTGCGACGCAAGATTGCTCAAAGCCAAAAGACAGACGCAGCCAAAATTACACAATCTTACTTCGCTCACCCTTACAGAGCTAGTCTAGCAACTTCGATGCGTTTGAGTTGACAAGATCCTAGGGCTAGATGTGGTATGCGCGAGCTGTTTTTTAACCGAGAGCCTATTTTGGTGTGATGCATGTGAGGCTCATTGAGGTCGAGTCAAGATTCAGATGCGCCTCATAGCTCATTAGGCGCGCAAGGATATCAAGAAAATATATCCATGTGTGTTACAGTAACACTTGATGTCCTCTCCAAGTTAGTCTTCCGCTTCTTTGCCTTACCATGGTTTTGTTGCACAGAATAGATCTATGTAGCGTTCCTCAACTTAGAAGAGTCGTACGTACTCACAAATCAAGTCAAGGCCAATCCCAAACTGTCTTACTTTACCAATTAGGCAGTCAGCACGAACTCAACGGACCCGGGTTCACGCTCAAAATCCACCTATCTGGATCTTCCCCTAAACCTCGAAAGAAATTGGGAGTGTGGCATCGCTGGGTAATACTCTGGCACCACAGCCGTTCATTATATGCTTTCTCACGTCAGTTGAAGCTATAATAACGAACCCCGGATGATCATGTTCATGTTATTCACCAAGCTATTCTTACAGCTCAAATGTAAGTTATTTGCTATGCATTGGCCATAATTAAGGTGTCTCCGAATCTGTTTTGGTGGTTAGATTTTACAACCCCCAAAGGGCGTGTGCATAGGTAGCAAGGCCCCTGTGCAAGCTGCCTACCAATCAAAGCCTAGCAAAGCATGCTCTCCCAGTTCCAAGGACTAGGGATCCCAGGACCCTGAGGATATCACGGCCAATTAGAGGATGCAAGCGTCGGTCGGACCCGAGACGCACCTGCCGCTTGGAAACCCCCTGCCCCTCTTGTCGAAAGGGGATATCTGAAACATGATGCTAACCCCTGTCCTTTGTTCCTGCCCAGCTCCGACATTCCCCTCATTCTTGTTAGTTTGTCCAAACTGGGTAGTATTTCCTTCCATTGATGAGGATGTATCCATACACGATTTCTTTTATTCTTCGTTGCTTTTTCTTGACTTGGATTCTTTAACTCTCCGACACCCCGCTACATCCTTGTCTGCTGCATGCAACCGAGGAGACTCAGTTGTCATGAACCACACATCACCTCGCAATTATCACATCACACCAGCCACTCAACGATTTTGAGACGAGATGGGACGAAGTGGTTCTCCACGCAAACTGCATCTTCAAAAGCAACGACTTGTTCTACCGTGTTTCATTCGTGATCTTGGCTGGCGTTATACGCCTTTCAATCGTGTCTCCGGTTGGCCTTTCGACTACGTACCCGTACAGACATTGTTACCGCGCAACACCCGTCTCCGATGCCCCGATATCTAGAAGCATCTGAGGGAGGATTTAAAATGAAACAAGCGACTTGCTTGTCGCACTAGCCGCATACACTCATGACGGGGCTGCTCAGCCGCAAGTCCCAGGCCCTCATATTGCTATTAGATGCACTGATCCCTTTGTGGTGTTCTCTTGGATCTCCAATCTACGGCCCCTGGTCCTGGTCCTGGTCCTGGTCAATGGGCTCGAATTCATCGGACGCCCTCCTCTTGTAATGCCCTTGTGAATGAGCCGACATTTCCCTTCCGTCATACTCCAACTGGTGGGCTACTCTATTTGACAAATATGCCACATCATGCTTATCCAGTACCTTACTTCTGAGCACGGATGACGGCTTCCATGGTTTTCTGTTGAGACATTTAGACTATATCGTCCACCCGCTTTGGTACTGAGAAGACCAGGTGACTCTCGAGCCCTGGTCTGTGTTTTTTTGGCCCATCACGTTGGAGCAGTATGTCATAGATCACCAATTTTGCTTTGTTACCTCCGGTTCCCGTGACAGGTTCACTGACCTTGCTTGCACTAAGCAACTTAATTTCGCAGATCCTTGACCACAATCGACCGCGGCTTGGGACTTACAAGGCTGGCTCAGGCACGCACACATGGACATAACCTGGGCTCGTTTAATTTGCCGCCGCTTACGGAGTACGGAGCATGAGTTGGAAGCTTTTGGTAACCCTTCTAAGCTGATAGATCGGCAACTAGCTTCTAAGCGACTTGCCCACCCTCGCGGTCGGCCCAATCCGACGACACCCCTTGTCAATTTTGGATCTAACTATTCCGATCTTGGTGCGGGTCCAGCTCGGTCTAGAGTCCAGAGTCTGGACGGAACCTGGCCTCAACCCTTCAAGGGTATTGCAGCGCTTTCAAGCTTCCTGGCGCCATACAGCCATAATCCAACTGCCCAGTTAGCCAGTGCCAGCTAAACCCACTTTGGTCTTGGCCATAGCCAGAGGTCCATCACCTTAATTTCCTTGCTCCCCTCGGTCCCTTGTCTATACCATGATCTAGCCATGGCCTTGTCTTGTTTTACAATGATGTACGGCACTCCGTCGTCACATCGTTGGTGATCAATCCAGGGCCTGCATCCGAGAATACGCGTACCAAGAAACGTCTCGGCCAGGTCTGTTACTTGATGCTTGTTTCTTGAGCTCGAATACCTAAATTAGGATACGAAACTCGGCTTTCTTTTGCGGCAGCCTACCGCTCTCATGTCGACCCATATGCTTCCCGAGATCCATTAGTCAACCGGCTACTTGCACTCAAACCCGTTACACTATGTACCGTCGCGGGTATAGATGCCTTCCATCGACTGCTGTATAGTCAGAGACGGTAGACGTTACCCTGTATCAGGTACCGACTGAGTCGAGTACAAAGTTTCCCACATCAACAAGAACTTGGAAATCATCTGCGTTTGATCATCAGGCTCTCAGACATTTCAATGAGTAAATGATCCGATAACCCACATGTCAACTTCCCCTTGATTGCGATTATTTGGGTGATCAAGATCAGCAAAGTGGCCGCCCCTGCTAGCGTCCTTCATCCCATCTGACATGTGCCTATCGTCCGATGACCCACGAGCCCCAAAATTTAAGGCAAGCCATCGTCTAGGGATCAGCAAAGGGGGCTGCACCGGACGTTAGAGATTGTCTCTCTCTGTCCATAGTTCAGAACTTCAGCGGTGCTAGCTCAGGGACATGGTTCCCACGAGAGCCGCCCATTCGTCCAGCTAAGCTTGCTAAGACTCTGGCTTCTACTGGATGGCGAGAGATGATGTTTAGCGATACTTCTTAACGGCTGAGCAAATCTATATTCCGTGGCGATCATTCCTTTTGTTTACGGAGCCCGTATATTACACGAGATGCTGTTCCAGGACATTAACTTCAGGCTTGCTGAACCAGCCGCAAAGACGCGATGGATGAAAGGTAAAAGATCAGTATGATCAGTTGCTGCTAGTGAGTACTGTACTTTACTCAGGGGAATAATATATTGTACCTTGCAAGTTCTTTTAGGGCCCTGCCTAACCTTTGCTTCCAGTTACCGCTCCTGGTCGCCTGAGCACTTCGGGTTTCAAATTCATATTGGAAAGGATTTTGATATTATGAAAGACGACATGAGTCAAATCCTCCAACCGCTTCGATAACGATGACTGCATGAAAAGTGGTCTATCGGGGTAGGGTTTTAGGTACTGCTTTTCAGCGAATTAGTAACTTAACACCACTGTACCTGAACCGTCGGTGGGCTTGCGGTTTGCTAGCTGAGAAACCCTTCTCCCACTCCACAACTACATCTGCATGTCTTTACGCGAGATCGAGTCCTTGAGCCAAGCTTACCATCGACCAACCAGACGAGGCGGAATCTGCTGTTGATCGAGAATTGATCGGTCAGTCAGCTTACACGTCAACTCCTTCTCTCGATTCTCCACCCTTCTCCACCAGGCCGTCGCCACAGAATGGGATAGTATGTATGTATGCATGGCTATCATCCCGTCGACTGCCGTCTGGCTCATTCTGCCTGCAGCGGTGCAGCCTACCTCATGTTGAAGTGTACGAGGTCGGAGACTCGTCTCATCTAAGTTAAGTTAATCTCGGACGCCAATGCGTTGTTGTCGCCAACGGCCGTTAGCGTGCGCCCCCCATATGGCTCCTCACCTCTCTCTTAGTCTTTACTAACATGTCGATCAGGCCCCATTTGTGGCTATGATTATCAAGCTTCGGTTCAACTTCCACATACCAACACACCCTCTAAGCATCGAGATGTTGAGCTTCGGCGAACTCACGTGCATATTGCTCGCGGTGGACGGAACAACATACTATAGGTACGTTGTGTAAACCATCTCTCCAAAGCGATTAAAATTACGAGTCCAGCTGAGACTTTGAGATGATTGTCTCTTACAATTCATTGTCTTGATTCTTTTGATGTCTCATGTCTCCAAAGCAGTGGTCCACGCTATCTATGCTAAGTCGATGACCTCTAATAAGAAAAACAAAAGCATGAAAGCAAACAGGAGGATATCTTGCAAGTAGCCCCAAACGGCTTACCACACAACCTTTAGCCTCCTTTCCTTGCCATGAATCGAAATGTCCTCGTTCATGTAAAACAAAATATTCAAAATCCAGAGTGCGCTCGAAGACGTGTAAATCGTGGAGGCGGGTCGACCAGTCTGTAGCTAACCCGCCTATGCCCTCTGTAACGTGTCTTCTCCTTCTCTCTGCGTACTCTATCAATGCTAGAGCCGTCGAGTCCCGCCTCGTCATCCTTTCTCAAACCCCCCTTTCTGTTTTGAATATGATCGGACCCCTTTGTCCTCCGCCCGCGCCTCTTTCGGTTTCCGTCTTAATTTGTACGTCGAAGAATCGGCTATAAACTGTGCCGTAAATGATGATAGTGTTAATACAGAGCTGGCAGTAGTATGATACCAGATGATCATGATGAATGGTTCTATAAAGGCAGAGGAATGGTCCCTTCCATTACCTTAGTGGGGAAAAATTCGGTCCTTCAACGATGAAGCGGACGATGTCAGACTACTGCGTTTACTGGAATCCTTTCCCGATCCATAAAGACTATTTTCTGCCTTCCGCCCTTCTTCAACGAGGTTTGTCGTGCTCTGCCGTTGGGGCTTCTTTAGAACACCCCTGGACTTGTCGTTGGGGACGCCAGCAAGTGACGGTCGCTCGCTATTTGACTCGCTGCTGCGACGGGTTTTGATAAGCTTCCGGGGAATGCGCTTCTGGGATTGCGACGTAGAACTGTCTGCAATGGAAGCAGTGTCTATGGAACGATCATCACTTGATACACGGCTAGGAGGAGGCATGTGCATGGAATGGGGTGAACTGCCCCGTATGGTTAATGGTGAAGGTCCCGGTTGTTCTCTGCTGTAGACAGGGCTGTCCTGTGCTTGCAATGCAGTTGGGTCGACAGGTTGGTTGAACACTGCTTCTTCCTGCATAGGGTCCATGGGGGCGTTGATCGGGTCTCGAGCTACAACGCTTGGTTTGACCACAGGTGGGAGAACAAACATTGAGTCGGATTTGTTAGCTACTCCTGACTGTGTGTGTGGGCTGGGTGTTGATTCGAGGGGGACTGGAGGAGAAGGTTCTGGCTTTGGTGGTGCGTACTGTGGCATGTCAATTCACGATCCCAACTCTCAATGTTCGTTTTCATTTCACTTACCTCGACACTAAGATACGCGTCCAGTTTCTTTTTTAGTATCTCTGACCTGACAGGTTTTGCGAGATAGTCGTTCATGCCAGCTGCCAAGCACTTCTCTCGGTCTCCTTGAATGGCAGAAGCAGTCATGGCAATAACCAAAATCGTGCGTACTGCATCTAAAGAGTCCTTCCGAATCAACTTTGTCGCCTCATAACCGTCAAGAATCGGCATCTGGACGTCCATCAAGACCACATGGTATGGCTTGCCCTCCTTGGCCTTCTGGCGAAGACCTTCGACAGCCTTGAGGCCATTGTCGTATGCTTGAACACCCTTGTATCCTAGCCTCTGCACGTATTGTATGGCAATCTTCTGATTGATGGGGTTGTCCTCGGCGACACAAATACGAATCTCGTCCTTAGGCACCTTGGACAGGTCCAAATAAGGGTTCGGCGAGTCCGCTCGCTCCTGGGGTGAGTTGGCCGCAAAATATCGGTCAGCCGAGGGTGCAGTTTTGGTTTGTGCATCTCCTGCGGCGACATCAGGCTTGGCCTTCTCAAACGTGACGGTAAACCACGCTGTTGTGCCGACGTTTTCTTCGCTATCGAGTCGGATCTTACCCTTCATCATTGTCTCGATAAGAGACTTGCAGATACTAAGACCAAGTCCGCTTCCACCATACTTCCTTGCTGTGCTGGCATCCGCTTGGCTAAAGGGTTGGAACAATTTGGCCAGCTGTTGAGGAGGAATGCCAATGCCAGTATCTCGGACCCAGAAAGTGAGAGTAGCATGTTCCTTTGTTTCTTTGTCAAGTCGAGCACCAATAGTGATCGAACCATCTTCAGTGAACTTGAGACTGTTTCCAATGAGATTGCCCAAAACCTGATGAAGACGGATGGGGTCGCCATAAATCAGCATGGGTGGCAGGTTGATGTTCTGTACAATCTTGACATTCTTCTTGGACGTCTTCTCCCGGTTGCTGTATGAGACGGCCCGAACGACTTCACGGACCATGTCTTCAGGGTTGAAGGCGATGATGTATAGTTTCATCTTGTCTGCCTCCATCTTGGAGAAGTCCAGAATGTCATTGATAACGGTCAGCAACAGATCGGCGGAGACTCGAATAGAGTCGGCCATCTCGAGTTGATCTTTGTTTAGCTCGCTGTCACGAAGAAGTTCCGAGTTGCCAATAACGCCATTGAGAGGAGTACGAAGCTCGTGGGAGACGTTAGCCAAGAAAATGGATTTGGCCTTAGCCGCTTCTTCTGCGAGCTTGACGTTGCGCTTGGCCTCTGTTTCGGCATTCTTGGCCTTTGTCTCGGCCTCGAGGGCCTTGGCAAGTGCGCGCTTCTGCACAGCCACCATAGAGCGGTTCTCTGCAGATATCTTCTCGACATTCTTCATCGCCAACGCGTTTGAATAACTGATGCCAATCTGGTTGACAAGAAGCTGGAGCACAATAACGTTGCGATCTGTGAAAGCGCCAGGCTCGCCTTCTAGGTAGAGAACACCCAACAGTGGCTTGTTCCCATGGCAAATTGGGATTGCAATGATACTCTTACCAACGGGGTTTCTTCGAAGCCAGGAGTCGTTGACGTTGCCAAATCTCTCGTCAGATACCAAGTCGGGAACAAAGACTGACTCGAGGAAGCGTGTAGAATAAAGAACAACGTTCTCGGCGATGAGCGAGGTCCCTGATAGGGGTATGCCAGGTATATGAGCTGAGGCACCCCTTTCAGGATCACCGCTGGCTGCTACACACCAAGTATCCACATCGTTCTCTTGGACAACAATAGCAGCTAGGGTGGCTGAGCCACCGCAAGTTTGGAGGATGACATCGCACATAGTCTTCAATAACTCATCAACTTGCAGCACGGACGAGATGACCTGCGAAGAGACGAGAATAGCGTGCAGGTCGATCATATCGAGCGCAGGCAGTCCCGCTCCAGGCTCGGCCTGCATGTTCATCGAACCCCGCCATGCCCCTATACGCTCACCCTTGTTAAGATCGGCCATGTTCATGGTGTTAGAAGGGACATGTGTCAGATCGCCGCCATCATCTGCATCGGCGGTACGATACTGAACGGACGTGGTATCGGCGACAAAGTCGGTCTGCACACCAGTATCACTGGTCCGGTGGTTTCTTGTAGGACCATGCAATAATAGGCTGTGTTCCTCCTCGATAGCTTTCGAAACGCCAACGGCGCCCATTTGCCTGAACAACCCAACTGCTTCAAGAAGCGCTGCCCGAGCCGATCGGCGAGCGCTTCGTCGGATGAACATACCGGCCATGAGATAATTTCCAAGAGCTTCATCAAAGACCGAATCATGCTCAGTTGCATGATCCAAAGCATGCTCGTAAAGATGAATAGCGTTTCCGTGGTGCTCAGACAACTCCTCTATCTGCGCCTGGAGGAACTTCATCCAGCTTAAGTAGTTGATTTCAGAGACTGTGCACCACTCATCCATCATCTTCACATAGTGGCGCAGATCCTTGATAACCTCCTCGACCTGCGAGGTGAAGTCTTCGGTCGGCGAGCAGGGGAGCTGGAGCTTTTGCAGCAGGTGTCCAGCACGCGCTAGGCCATGGAACAACAATATCAACCTACTGTTGTGCGCTGACCAAAGCATACTAAGCTGGTCGACGGCATAACCTCCGACCTCTATGGCACGCTCATAATGTCCGTAAAGAAACAAAGGTATGATCTCAAAGCTCTCATAGAAGGTGACTGATCGGTTACTCTTTCTGCTGTTGCTGACCAGCCACTTCTTGTAGTTCTCTGTGTTGTGTGTCTCGTCGCTCATGACTTCGAACGCATTGTCGATGTGAGTCTTGCCTTGAAGAGCCCGGCAAAGTTGCTTCACAGCAATAAGAAGTGAACCACCTCTAGAATCAGAATACCAGTTGGGGATCTCCTCGCAGCCGTATTGACAGAATCCTTCGAGATCTGAACAGTTCTCTCCGCTGAAAAACTTGAAGACCGCGGATACACCGTAACTCATTATAGTAGATATTCTGTCACCAGCGACTGATGCATACTCCACCGCATCCTCCATCTGTGCCGTGATCATAGGCATCGTCATATGAACATGTCCGACACACATTGAATAGAGCATCAAACCACGAGCGAGGAAGAAGGGATCTCGGGACTGATAGAGGAGCTCCTGGGATGTGTTGCTCAGTTCCACTGCGAATTGTGTCATGTTGAACCGTGACAGCGCGATCATTGAAAGGTAAAGGAATCCCATTCCAGACTGCGGATAGGCACCTCTTTCCAGATGCATCTCAACCATCATCAGAGTTAGATGATAGTATCGTAAGCCGTCGCTCCACCAAGAAGCACTGATGGTCTCAGCCAACACGGCTCCAACAGCCGTAACACTAGGATCTTCTGCCTGCTTGTAGTTGAGAAGTTCGCCTTGGTCCATTGTTTGTATCTGTATTGACAATCGTTCGAACTTTTCATCGCACTTCTTAAAGCTTGGCTCATCTTCCAGAGAAACCCCAAGACCAATCAGGCAATCTTTGAGTGAAACAAGAGCAGCAGCAGAGTCGCCACTTTGGGCATATATTCTCGACTGCAAGACATACGCTGGTGCTTTGTCAAATGACGACTTTCCATTCTTGAATATGGTATCGAGGACCTCGTTCGCAGCAGTATAGTGACCCATGTAGAGATAACACTCAGCTGCCCTAAGATAGAGCTGCATTGTTTCGTCGTAAGACACGTCTTCCTTGTCTTCTGTCCAGGGGTCATCTTGCAGAAGAGATACAGCTGTGTTGTAATACTTCGCAGCTGTGGGCTTTGCGCCACTCTCAGCGGCGGCTTGAGCGCAATTTGTCAATAGTTTGCGGTATTGGCGACGATGGAAAATTCGTCTCTTGATGATATCAACCGCTGCGCAGATATGAGCAGATGTGTTGTCTAGCTGTTTGTTTTCGCTGCTGTAGTATTTTTGGAGTGTCTGGGCAATGATGAAGTGCATTTTTCGCGAGTTGCACTCTTGCAGATCTGCTGACGCGTGAATATATCGGTCATGGGCAAATCGAAATCGATCATCGGTCTCGCTGGGCACTATGATGTAGGCCTGAATAGCTGCTTGAAGTCCGGCAATGGCTTCTCCCTGAGAATAGGTTTTGTGTGTGAATGTTTCACAGCATGCGCCCTTTTCATCGTCATGGTAATCAAACTCACCGCCCATCAAGTGACAGATGAGTTCGAACGAGAATGAGTTCCCAATAAGCGCAGCCCAAGCCAGAAGAGTTCGCGCCGCCGCAGGGAGTTCTGACAATCTGCGTGTGATAAAGCCTGTATCGAGAATGTCGTAATCCTTCTCCCCTTGGAACTGCTCGAAGAGCCTGTCGAGGTCGTAGTGCCATTGACAGTCCCTGTAGTCGTACCAGATACACTTCTTACGGTGGCAAGCACTCAGCATCTCTCTCATATAGAATGGATTGCCCGCTGTCTTGGACTGCAGCACCAGCGCAAGGGGCAAGACTTCTTCCTTCGGCCGACAAAGCGTCGTTGACACATACTGAACAATATCGTCCTCGGAAAGTGGTGATAAGGCAATCCGAGTCACCAAAGGACCTCCGGAACGGGATAATTCTGCTTCTCTCTTTTAGCCAAAGTTCTGAAGCCAGGGTAGCTATGTATACGTACCTTCATTTTCGGGAAGATGAATCATGCTCTGGATCTTTTCCCATGTGATTTCTTCCGTTCGGTAAGTCATGATGATGACCATTTTCATCCTCGACGCAATGATCTGGGAGATGAGTTCCATAGACTCATCGTCAGCAAAGTGGAGATCGTCTAAGCAGAAACAGATGAATTTGTGTGCGGTAAACACTCGAAGGACGTCCAGAAAGATGTTCATCAATCGCATAGTCTTGGTAGATGTGCCGGAACGAAGAAAATCTGATGACGATTGTGAAGCCACGCTAGGATTTCTTGCAATTGGCTTAGGCGAGATGCCAGGAGATGAGCCTCGACGCCTCAAGCTGGCCTTGCCATTGCCTTTATTCGAGCTGAACTGCAAGGATGACGATATCGATCGACCAATTGATGTTTCAGGGGGTCCAAGAAGGAATTCGGGAAGTCCCAACAGACGGTGTAGCATTGGCCAGACGGGACGAACAAACTGCTTGAGGCCCTGGTGGAAAGGAGTCTCTGTGTTCCTCTCTCCCCAGACCTGCTTGAACAGGGACGAAAGCAGCTTAAGCAGAGGTCCAAATGCTGTTCTCCTTGCGGTGTCAAATTTGGCTGTTGCACAATAACCACGTCTCCTGGCATCTGCTAAAACGCTTTGAACAAGACAACTCTTTCCAAGACCTCCAGCACCCTCAACTGTAATAACCTCGCAGTGGTCACGACGACGAAACTTGGCGGAGCCTAGCTGTCGCGAAAGGCTAGATGCTGTCGATTCCACCATACTATGGCGGTTTTGAGAATCAAGCCCAGGGCTGTCGATGAGACTGCGTGTTTCGATCGAGATGGACTGGTGTCTCTCCCAGGGTTTGGCGACTCGAGTAAGGGTACCCGAAGGTGAAGAAGAGATTGTATCGCCTGATAGGGTCTGAGTGTCCGAGTACAGAGGGTTAAAGCTGGTCTTTGGTAGCTTGGGGTCTGACGAGGCTGTATGAGTAAAGGAACCGCTCCTATAGTTGGTACCATCTACAGAGCTTGCCCCTCCCTCGCTAGAAATATCATCAAAGGCAGCGACATCGTTCGATAAGTTTGAGCCGTCAGAGAACCGATTAGTGTTTCCCTTTAGGGTCATGGCGTGGCTTTTCGCAACGCGATCAATGACCTTGTTTAGTTCTGCCTGCTCGTGCTGCCGGCCGATCATGATCGCGGGAAGCATGAAGAAAGAAGATACATCCTTGGTTCCAATCCTCCACTCTTTAAGCGCCAACCAGTCCCCATCACCAAGGAACTCCTGGACTTTGACCAAATCATGACGGAGCCCGCTCGCCGAGTGATAACGATCTGTGACGTTCTTGGCTGTGCATCTTTGAATGATCCTTCCAACAACGTCAGGGATGTCAAGTCTCACAGTAGAAACGTTCGGTATCCTTCGGCCTAGAACGCCTTGCACAATGTCGAGGGGGGTGTCGCCATCAAAAACAGGCTGTTGGGTCAGCAGTGTCCAAAACAAGACGCCCAGAGAGTAGATATCGGTACGGCTATCTGGCTCTGCTGGCATTCGTCCTGTCTGTTCAGGGCTTATATATAAAAGTTTGTTCCGGGCTCCGAGTTCTTTGGAAAGGGTGGACCATCCTGTACTCGTCAGGCCATGTTCGAAGGATCGAACCCCAGAACCGAAAGACAAGACCTTGACCTGCCCTGTGTCGACATTGAAGTGGAACGCATCGCCTCTGATCTCGCCATGAATCATGCCGAGGTTATGGTGGAGTAGTTCCAGACATTGTGCCGCGCCTATAGCAAAGTCGAGAAAGTACTGTAATGATATTGGGTCATGCAACTCAGGTTCATTCTTTCGTATCGAGGTGAATGTCTCTCCGTGGGTACGAGCTCTATAGAAGGCTGGCCCCATGTCCAGCACCTCGAGCAGATAGTTCGGTCCAGGATGTTGGTATATAGCTACAACAACCGGCGCGCGATCACCAGGAAGAGGGTTGAGCCTGATTAAGTCGAGGGGTTTAACAATATGTTCCCCGGTTGGGTCCGAATTGGCAATTAAGCTTTTGGCAATGTGGAATGCCCGCTCTTCTCGTAAGGCATGATAAGATAGTCGAGCAACCACTTGTTCTTCGATAAAAGGGGAGTCGCTTGGTATGTTCGACGAGGAGGAGGCAGGTGGTGTGATTGCCTGGGTATCATAACCGTCACTGTGCGATATTTGGACATATGGTTCTGAGGGAGACGGGCGGCCGGAGTGCCTCATAGCTGATCCTGGACTCGAGGCATTGTGGGAGCTAGAGGGGGAAGGCACCGACGATACGAAACGGGTGCCGATTACATGCCTGGAGCAAGTTAGTTGGTGATACGGTGGATCGTAGAGATCATGAACAAGACTCGTAGAGTATGGCGGGGGGGGTTTTACCAGTAGTCATATGAGGAGTGGAAGGGTAGCTGGCTTTCATCCCAGGTATATCCAGCTATCTGACGAAGTCGCTCGTATATTCGAGGAGGAGGGTCGAGGAGGTCATCAGTAACGAGAGAAGAAGCACCGTCCATGATGGAGCGCAAACGAGGGCGCGCCGGTCGGCCGTAGCAATCAGTGCCGGTCGCAGGGTATAAAGGTCACAAGAAGCGAAGGTTTGTATTCAATCAAAGTCTGGGGCACATGAAAGTGAAGCGCCCATCATCGGAGATATATCGGTCGTGGTTTGACGGTGCCGGTCGCAGAGCAATGATTGGAAGTTCGGTATTGTAAGACGACAAGTGCGAAAGAGAGTCGGGCGCAGAGAAACACAGCCAAGAAGCAGACGGCGACGATATCCGGGATCTTGTAGGATCTACGTCTGGATGGTCGAGCGTCGGTGGAACTCAAACTGTTGCGGGACAGTGTGTGGATTCAAGGGCCGCTGTCGATGACGGTAGAGGCTCGTGTAATGGGGGAGGATTACGGTAGGTCGGAGCGGCTGGCGTCTGGGGGTATGAGGATCAAGCGAGTCTGAGGATGGCAGGCGTGAAGAAGTTGTTGTTGCTGATCCTACGACTCTTCAGCAAAGAGACGATGGATGGAAACGAATGATAAAACAATCGTGTGTTAGTGTGTGGTGTTTTAGTTACTGTGCCGTGACCGCCGAGCACTGGCTGGACCTGAACCTGGACCTGGACAGAAAGAGAGACACACAGGGTCAGTTGAAGCTGGGTTAGGTCGGGTTTTTTTGGTTTAGATTTGGGATGCAAGACCTTGAGTGGACTGGGCTCTTTGAAGTGGAAACCCGCAGGCCCCTCTTCTCTCAACTGGAGTCTAAAAAGAACAAGGTTAGGTAGAAGGTAGGTAGGTTGATTATTACTATAAGGCCGTTGTCTTTTATGTAAATCTAACTTTGTTTTTAGACGTGATTTCAACCTAGAGGCACTTGAAAACAGAGACACACCAGTCCATTCAGGAGTTGAGCTGGCATCCGTAAATCAAAACAAAGTCAATACCAAAGTCAATGTGAAGGCGCCACTACCGGTACACTAAACAACAGCTGCATCTGCATCGTCTTATCAAGTCGTACAATATTGATTGGAGAGAATTACTATCTTGATTTTTTGTGTGTGTCAAAGATACAGGGTCCAAGTCTTGTTCACGAGCTGGTCCCGTCTTGAATGGGTACGGATAGTGGATGACGGAATAGCAAGGGTGTCGTCCCGGTTTGACAGTTGAGGTTGGGCCTTGGTCGTAGCATGTCCATATCCATGTCCCTGTGCTTTCAGCCAATGCTCGGTAGAACACGTTGTTCTTCGATTCAGGGTAGTCGTAATTGCTTCGCACCCTGCATATTCAGCTTCCATTGCATCATCCAACGGTAATCCTCTCTCCTCATGGCATGAGGAGAGAGCATCAACTCCATTACTACTATCGTGAACCTCACATCACCCCCATAACACCAAACAAACGTTCTTCCCTCCTCTTTGCCATAACCAGAAACTCTACATCTTTCACAAGGTTTACTATTCCCACTTGGGCATCGACGATACCCTCTCGGGCTACTAATCCCCTAGCCATCCATATCTTATCTCCAGATAGTTCTTCTGCTCATCCCTTCTCTTTTGGCAGAAGCGCAGAACCGAAAGGAAGGTTCTCAAGCCTCGCGCTACGAATTGGTAAATTTCGACTTTCCCTATAGCGAGTTTACAGTCACACCTTGCTGGTGAGTCGGTGACCGACTGTAAACACTCACAGTAAATAGCTTAGTACCTAAACTATAGGTCTGGTGGGATACCAAATTTCGGCTTGTGCTGCGAGATGGACCCTTGTGGCGCCGTTTATGGGGCACCAGCGCTTGTTTTCTTAAACTTTTTTCTGTCCACTTGTCGGCGTCGGTTGTTGTTTCGACGATCTATGCCCCTGTGCATCCATTCATTCCTCTGAAGAAATTGTGAAATTGTAGCAATTTACTTCTTCCCCTAAGTATTTTGGTGATGATGACCGCACGGGAGACAACCTGTCTCTCAATCAATTGCATCTTCTTAATTTCGTTCCCTCATTTGCGCTACGTCGACAATGATGTAAGTGGCAGGGGATAAAATGTCACTGAAACATACATAACCTAGACACCAACCAGTATAAGACAATGTCACCGTTGAAACCTACGATCATTGATTGAAACATTCCGATACTAACTATAAGCAAACACAATGGGCAGCAATAATTATATGAATATGAACAGGTTGTAAGTTCTATTGTGTGTTGTATACTATTATGTATGTATAGGACAATCCGTTCATTTGTCTAACCCTAGAGCAAGAATTCCAGATCTATCCTTTATCGTGCCCCGCCTTCTAAAGCGGAAACCTATATCCATTCGTCCAGCTGACTGGGAATACTCACCAGCAGCGTCCTGTTTCCCATCATCAATCCTAAAATCCGGACTCATCATTTCTCGAGGCGCTAACTCGCTTCCGACAATGTTTTCTTGTACACATATCTCTTGAAATTTCAAACAACGTGCTCAATGCTAGATTGTCCACGCCATGCCTTCAACACCAACTCCCATGCATTGGCTGTTTACTGAGCCTTGGAGTGGCTAGGGATCTCCTTGGAGCCGTTGGTCTGAGGAGGAGACAGGATGAAGTTTTGTGTAAGGCGACGCTCAGTGTTCTGGCGGGAGTTGACAAAGTCAGGGTAGTTGAGGGTCAGCTCGACAGCACCGCTGTGGACGGCATCGACAGCCTCCACGCCGAGCATAAAGGAGTGGTCCTGGTTACCGACCTCGTATCGCCAGCTGCCGAATCGGCCACGGGACAGGATGTCCATGGACTCGAGCTTGGGGAGGACCTGCTTGAGGACTCCCTCACGCTCAAGGGTAGGAGTGGGGTAACCGTGGTCGAAAGCACGGTGGTAGGTGGAGACGATCTCGTCCTCGGGCTTGATCATCTCAGTGTTGATAAGACCCTGGATGCTGTCCTTGAGGAGGTTCTCAACATCAACAGGCTTCATGGTAGACTGGGAAACCTCCAGCATGATGGACCAGTAAGGACCCTCCTTAGCCTCAGAAGAGGCAGCCTTCTCACCGTTGGCGAGGTAGAGAGTGGGGAGCTTGGCGTCCTTTTGAGGCTGGTTGTAGGGGGAGTAGTTGGAGAAGATGGTGGCGCGGTAGAAGGGGCAGTTGTCCTCGGGGAAGTACAACCAGCACTTGTCACCGATGCGCTCAGGGCGCTCACCTCGGATACCGACACCAATAACGTGGGTAGTAGAGTAGTAGAGCTCCTTGGTGAGGCTGATGAGCTCCTTGTTACCCATCTTCTCGGCGAGGTGGTCAACAGCCATGGTGTTGATGAGCTTGTTGTAGCTGATGGTGCTGCCGTCGGCGAAGTGGGCAACCTTCTTCTCGGCATCGATCTTGGTGACTGTACCCTGCTTACCGAATCGCTTCTTCTCCTTGGGGATGGTCTCAGCGACGGCAATCCAGATACCACCGGTACCATCACGGGCAGGGAATCGGAAAGTAGCGTTGGGGCCCCAGTTACCAGCAACCTTGTTGAGGATGACGTTCTTGGTAACGAGCTTAGCATCAGGAGCGGCGACACGCTCACCGAGCCACTGGCATTGCATCTGTACATCAAATCAGCACACCGCCTTCTCCACGATCTCTCGAAATATAATATCATACCTTGTTGGTGGGAACAGCCCAGACCTTGTAGTTGTAAGGTCGCATGAAGATGTTGGCAATACCCTCACCCATCATGCGCACAATCCACTCGTCGAAGTCCTTGGGCTTGGTGTTGGCGACCCGGCACTCGAGAGCAGAGTCGATGATACCCTCGATACAGTCGACCTGGTCCTCCTTGGGAAGCATGGAGATGTTGTTCTGGAAGGGGTAAGGGACCCAGAGGCCCTTGTAGCGAACGTAGGAGATTCGCTGGTGAGTGTACCAGTCATCGTCCTTGGGGAGAGCCTCGTCGATGCAGTCGTCGAAGTACTTGTAATGGGAGAAGATAACGTGGCCACCGACATCGTACAGCTGGAGGAATCGAGCGGTCAGCTACTTTTCTATCGAAGTCTGGCGGCGACAACTTACGAAACCCTCGGGGGTGGTGTCAGTGCTGGCAAGACCACCAGCCTTGTCAGACGAGTCGACAATCAGCCATGAAGGGCCGTTCTGTATACATCGTCAGTTGAAATTCTCGCGAAATTCTCACCCTCAGGTTGAAGGTGGCGGTGAGCGCATACAATGTGGTTGAGACGCTTGGCAGCACCGAGACCAGTAGGTCCCATGCCAATGACGAGGACATCAACGTTACTGTAGAGAGCAGGAGAGTCAGTAAACTGTCTTGAACGAGAGACGAATAAATTGTAGCAAGCAGTGCCGTCAATTCATTGCAGGAAGAGGCGCAAAAGCAACTCACACGTCGGCCATGGTGGGGGTATTAGTTGAAGGTGAAGAGGATGCGGAGAAGATCGAAGGAGACAGGGGAATATGCAGACGCTGACAACAATGGAGCGACTGAGAAGAGAAGAAGCTGAACAGAACAATGAGAAGACAGCGAGAAGATCAAAGCCCCAAAGTTGCTGTAGATATTGACCGCGATTGCAGGAAGTGAGCTGGCTCAGGAGTCTCATAAAAGGAGACGCGGGGCTAAATTTTTGGAGCCCCTAAGGGAGGGTCAAGAAGGGGCCCCACCCACCCGACCCGACCCCTGGAAAGATGCTAATGGCGGGCGGCGTGTGGGTGGGCTGGCCGGCTCTGATTGGCTGACTTATGTGATGGACTTCTCTGTTCGCGGTAGGACAATAAGGGTCAGAGTCATGATAGAATAGGGACTGCGAGTAAAGGGGATCACATTTCAGCTGAGTCTGGAATCTCTAGGCCATCTCTGTATGTGCACTGGACCTGCATACATGGCCTGAACGTGGTTGTTGTGCCATACAACAATGGCTGGTAATCTGCTGTAAGAGGTAGTCGACAGGCATCTTGCTCACCCTCCTTGGCGAGGAACTGAGGGATAGCCCTGCACGTTTATCGTTAATAAGGGTTCGAATCTGGGTGGAATCCTCCAAGAGCCACCATCCTTTGACAGTTGCCAAGATTACCGACTAGAAGGAGTCCAGTAGTCGCAGTATTCGTATTGTGTAGGTAGCCATTACGGTATCTTCCTCTATGTGTAACGGATACTGTGCTATGAATGGGGACGATTAGCCTTCTTTTTATTATTAGTAGCTGTTGGACTGGCTTCCCGTCGTCCTGTCTCCGCCAAGAAAGCCATGAACCCCGATATCAGACAAAATAACTATTGTGAGGCTGATCTTTTGTCAATCCGACACACTGGCTCAATATATTTGAAACCTGCATGTACAGAAACATCTATGCATTATCAGCATCACCCTCATTGCGTCTTTCCCAGAATTTTGGCCCCCGATGGATCAATGGTTCTTTGGTGCAAAAGGCCCACACAGAGGCGTTGCTGTAATTTCCTAAGATGAGGCGTAATTCTATATTCCAAGGCAGATAAGACAGTCGTTGAAGAGAAAATGGCTTTAACTGGACGACACATCAAAACTCCCACTCGACCTTCTTCACTGACCAATCCGAGCCAGGCTCACGACTTGATCTCAATTTCTCTTCCGCATGTCACCAAATTAAAGATGAAGCCACAACTAAACGCTTAAATGCTTGTATCCGAGTCTAACTGGGTAGGCGACTGTAGTCTATATGTATGTCTGACCGTGTATCATGCCCGTTTGAGATCGAGGCTGGTCTTCGTGAAACTTAGCAAACAGTCTCGTGTTCCAGAGTTGCCGTATGGATTTTGTACTATCCGAAAGCTTCGAAACATTGTGCGAACAAGCAACTGTCAAAGCAGGTAATTATCCCTGGCCGCCGCTGACAACTAGGTCGGGGATCTCTACGAAATTCATTACGACGTTTGGAGGGAAAATAGTATTATGGTAAATATCAGGGGTTGGTGAAGATGGATGGGTGGGGGTAATTATCAAGTGCGGTCTAGAAGGTGGCATTGGACAGTCAAGAAATATCAGATAAAATGTTGATCAAGTTCAAAGCATTAATGCCCAAGTTTTTCTGTCACCCAATTTATTTAATGAGGGAAGTCAAGTTAGGGATACTGTATCCGTACAGTGCAGCATGAGACGAGTCAGTTTTATCGTGATAAGACGGAATATGCAATTAGTCGAGGGAATTTATTGTATTGGAATATTGAGCCTCTACCTGTAAGCTGTAACAAAACCATGACACTTGCAGGAAGCGGTCAACGTCCAGCTGAGAAGAAAGGAAGAATTCGATTCCTGGTTTTCCCTGGTTGTTGCATGTAACAAGCTTTCGCCTTTCCCTACTCAGTTTGGTGGTCTTCTCCGTAGGCAAGCGACGATCACGGCAATTGTGTCCACTATATCGGCTCATGGCAGCCCACCTTGAAACCATCACGGTCGAGATATCAAGCAGCGAGATGAGGGCCACGCAGAAGGCTTCGTAACCCTTGGCTCAGAATCGTCACTGGACCCAGTCATGTTGATATAATCAAGGGATCAACTTGTGGCTTCTGAGGCTGCGTCTCCACTGAGCACGGAGTGTTTGGCATCCTCTAACAGCATTGAATTCACTCTGAAACGAGAACCAGATCAACAGCAGGATCGTCCTAGCGCTAATGATCCTCACCAGAACCAGAGCTACAACCGCGTGCGGCTTGCTAGGCAAGGCAAGGCAAGACTCGCCTTGCGTAAAACTCCAGCCCGAGCCCTGGCTCTTTACGGCACCTCACTGCCGATAGGCTACTCCGTATCTGTACAGCATTGAATACTAACTTCAGATTCCGGCCCTGCTATCAAGGAATACCTTGCAAATGTATCAAGGTCGTTTTTGTTTCAGGAAGCATTCGATAAGCTATCTCCAGTAAACAGGAATAGAGCCTGTGTTCACTGCAAGGCTTTTCTAGTGGTGACACAAGGGGAGTCCTGGTTCTACTCCCAGGACCCCTTTTCTTTTCAAGTACCTGTACTTGTCATGGGTGAACGCATGCTGTGTTCGACGACCTCACGGTGCGTAGATAGGCTCTTGAAATGATATGTTTATATTGTCGAGTTTGTAATGGGGCCTGAAACCCCTACCCGATGCTTAACTGAAAGCCAAGTCTCGGGAAGCTGGGCCTTAAGCCTTGGAGGAACGTGCAAAGATTCACTTTTGGACACTTCCTCGGCTGAATCTGCAAACATGTGGGCGAGCTGGTGTTGAGACTCTGATTGCGTTCCGATGCCAAGCTAGATCTGCCGATTGATTCGTTGTAGGATATCTCAAACCATGCTTTAGGGTTACTTCAAGTAAGGATAAGCCTTTTTGAGCTCTTCCTACTATGAATAGCGCTTTGAGTTAAGTATGAACTAGTGTTCTTTATTCATTTGGGGAAGTATGCATCGTCTTCGATGTGTGCATATGAAGTTAGGTTGTCAATTTGATAGTCAATTTTACTAGGCTTGAACAGCTCTTACATGCCAATGGTTGGGTCAAGAATGCAGCGTTTTGTACGTCTACCATTCAGAGCCTTCGACTCTGAAATGGAAGGCATCAAAGTTACGCTTGTTGATAAAGTAAATGTAGTTGCGAACCGCGTCATGGGGGTCCAAAACTTAGGTATTGTGGGAATGCAAGAATGAAGCTATGTATAGTACCTTTATAGCAGGAATTAATAGAGTATGGAGTTGAGTTAAGTTCATTACATCTCGATTAAGAATAGTCATTATCTGAGCGACGCTCAACCATATTTTGCTTTTGTCCATCTGTCCACTTCCTAGATAGGGTCAGGTCCTTTGAGAAGTTCGAAAGGGTGCGAATGCCCAAATTCGAGATGGCTTCGGCGGTTAAAGGTACATCAAAGTCTAGGACGAGGGGAAGAGAGTATTTCACAGAACAAGGTCTAGACTATATACACAATTTAAAGGCGGGTTTGGAGATGTTTAAATACAAAAAAAAACAATTGATGCCGCCTACCAAAGTAATTCAGGATCCAATCTGTTTCTCTTGACGTTGACAGAACCTGTCATATCTTAACATGCAGCCATTCAGCCACAGGCATTCCTCTGCCTTATTTTGTCCAGTACAGTAAGCACACAGTGCAATCAAACTACCTAGCTCGAGTTGCTTATCTGAAGGGCGATCTCTCCAACGTGGGCGGGATGATTCGACCAGGCTGGGTTGGCTTCGACGGAACTCCCCTACTCCCTACCTTACTCCTTACTCCAAAGATAGGTACTAAGTTAGCCCCTCACAGCCCCTGAATAAAACATCAGCCAGTTTGCGGGTTGCGGGTTTGCAGTTACGGTTCCAGTTACAGCATTTTATCTGTCCGTACCTGTACTCAATACCTTGCATCCCCTCCAACAATTCCCCCTTGTACACGCGTCAAATAAACTCCATGACGGGGTACCTGTACATCGCCCGTCCCCCGTCATCCACTTTGCTCGTGTCCATAAGCGGGTTCAACTGGCTGAGGTTCCAGTGCTAGTCAATCACTGCAAGCTTGTGTCTCCTCCACTAGTATGCGTCTAAATGCCAATTTCAGAGGGAGAGACAGAAAAAAACCCTTCCAAAATATTTTAATTGCCGCGCCTCACCCTGGGGCTGGCTTTGACTTAAGGCGCATCTGCCTCCAACCAAAATAACAGTAACCCACACCCCCTGGATGAAGTTGGAGATCTAGTAAACGTTACCTATTCCCCTTTTGCCAACTAAAGTACCCTTCTTCATCTGAACGCATCCCTCCCAATCCTTTTTTATTTCCTCTCTCTTTCTTCTTTTAGAACCAGGGACGACTTTCTTGTCTTGCTGTCTTGTTTCTCTTCAGTCTTTCTCTACAGTTACTGTCCACTTACCTCTTTTTTCTATCCCTTCACATTAAAAGAGTAGCACATACTTTTTTCTTGCCCTTTTTCTCTTCTCTAAGACCTTGTCTCGCCTGGGCCCCGCCAAATTGCATATCAAGCGCCCCTCGCCTGTCCCGATTCTCTATTACAGGACTCGGCTGTCCGTTCGCTCGTTTGCGCGTCCCCCCTAAAATCTGTCTTCAAGGGGTCCTCTTATCTACAACAACGACTTCTCGCCGGCAGCCTCAACCACCTTCAACCACAATCTTTTCAACTATCAGCAAAATAAATAATCACAATGTCGGCTGACGAGAAGATTCGCGTCTCTGGCGAGACGCCTCGTGCGACTACTCCTGTTCTTCCTACGGTTAACCCTGGTCTCGAGAAGTCACAGTCTGCTCGCGCTTCAATTCACCCTACTTTCTACGTTATGTCAGTACTTTTCTCTCGATTCAAGCCTCGAATTGACTTTCCACGATGCGACCGTTGCTAACAGCATGATACAGTGCATGGATTGGCTTTTCGTCGTCCGTCATTCTGTTTAACAAATGGCTTCTCGATACCCTCAACTTCCGTACGCTCTCGATCCCGTCCCTCGATCTCCTGCTCCCTTGCTGACTTCTTAACCCTCAGGCTATCCGGTCATTCTAACGACTTACCATTTGACCTTTTCGACCGTCGTCACCCAGGTTATGGCACGATGGACCCCCTACCTCGACGGCCGTAAGACTGTTAAGATGACCACTCGCGTGTACTTCCGTGCTGTTGTCCCTATTGGCATCTTCTTCAGTTTGAGTTTGATCTGCGGAAACTTGACATACCTGTACCTTTCTGTGGCTTTCATCCAGATGCTCAAGGCCACTACTCCCGTCGCCGTCCTGATCTCTAGCTGGATTCTGGGTATCTCTTCTCCCAACCTGAAGCAGTTCCTCAACGTCTCAGCCATTGTCGTCGGTGTCATCATTGCGTCCATGGGTGAAATTCACTTTGTGACCGTTGGTGTTCTGTTCCAGATGGGTGGTATCGTTTTCGAGGCTCTCCGACTCACCATGGTCCAGCGTCTTCTGAGCTCGTCCGACTACAAGATGGACCCTCTGGTCTCTCTGTACTACTTCGCTCCCATCTGCGCTGTCATGAACGGTGTTGTTGCTCTCATCTGGGAGATTCCCCGATGCTCAATGGCTGAGGTTTACAACGTTGGCCTGTTCACTTTCTTCCTGAACGGTCTCTGCGCCTTTATGCTCAACGTCTCTGTCGTCTTCCTGGTATGTTCTTTCTTGCAAAATTGAAGCAACAACAGTACTAACAACTCTACAGATTGGCAAGACCTCTGCTGTTGTCCTCACCCTTTGCGGTGTTCTAAAGGATATCCTTCTGGTCATTGCCTCCATGATGATCTGGGGCACCCAGGTTTCTCCTCTCCAGTTCTTCGGCTACTCCATTGCTCTGGGTGGTATGGTTTACTACAAGCTCGGCTACGAGCAGATCAAGGGCCACATTGCTGATGCAAGCCGACAATGGGCTGAGTTTGGTGCTCGCAAGCCCATTCTCCGCAAGGTCACCATCATCGTTGCCACTGCTTTCCTGATCTTCACTCTGTTTGGCGGCCTTGCCCCCAGTTACTCTTCTGAGGTCGATCCCGCCAAGCTGGCCAATGAGGTGTCTAACCGCTTCGGCATCAATGATGCTCAGCATGTGTAAAGCTCTTCGATGTACAGCGTCAGTGGAACAAACCACCCTGACGTTAACTTTACGGGGCGAACGGCGATCTAAGGAACCTTTCTTCTATATTCGTTATTTCCTTATGTATTACGCCTACCAAGTTTTGAACCTGGTTTGATCGCGTCCATGGTCGGGTTGACTGGGCGCGCTTTTTCTGCGGATTGGAGACTTTTTGATATATTCTGTTTGACTGAGGATAGGTGGCATTATGAAGTGTAAAGCCATAGTGCTGGGCGCAGAGCGCGAGGGAGCGGTCGCATGCATGAACCGCATCACGAATGGTCTTAATTGATGTGTAACTCTAGACGGCGTTTGGCCATAGACATGTAGAAACGAAACGGTTAAGAAAACCTATCATAACAAAAGTTCATCGTTACATATGCTTCTTCCTGTTCTCTGTCTTGCGTTGGTACTCATGGGTTCGCACAAAATTTGGATTTGACGGTATTTAGATTCATTTTATGGATTTAATTTGACCTTGTTGACATTCAACCGTCAAGAAAAGTCCACAAGGTCTATTCAACACCTCACCGATGACACCAATTCATTGAACTCCGTCGGTGGTATCCTTCGGCCAGGACAACACGTCCGTCCGATCCGCGTTGTATATTGACGCTACAATCACGCGGCAAGTAGAGATCTGATTTTGTTTTAAGAAACTTCATATTGAGCCCATAAAAACCGGGGTTCCTTAATGCCATCGATGCTCTTTACATCCCGCCAACTCCCTAACCGTGATGGAGAAACGATTCATTTTTTTAAAACTCTGTAGATGAGGGTTAGCGTATGATCAACTGATACAAGTTGTGTTCAAGACTGCTCCACAGAGTGTGCGTGCACCAGCTCTGCCCAAGCTCTGACACAACGGCGGTATAACGTACTGAGAGGGGTGAAGAACCATCGGTTCTTGCCGCTGGTGTATCGCTCCTCAAGCACCTTCTTGACAGTCTTCTTGGCGTCCTCGCGCTGGGAAACCTCCTTGAAGGTGTCGTTGGAGACGGCACCCTTAAGACCCTCGAGCTCGAGAGTGTAGCGAGTGGGCATCAAGTGGTTGTAGTTGATGACCTTGATGAAGGGCTTGATCTTGTTTCGCTTCTCCTGGCGGGTCTTGGACATGCGGCGGGTGATCTTGGAAGGGTATCGCTCAATGCCGGCAACGAGGGCGTGGCCGAAAGGGTGAGGCTTGTTGCCGTTGTCAACGGGCTGGATGATGACAACCTGGATGAAGCAAATTGAGTCAGCAATCAATGTTTTCTCTTGACAAGTCGATGTGAAAAATCGTGTTCCGTAGCACGGCGATCCTCCTCTGTTCTGCGCCTCGAAGACTGGTTGCCAACGGATAAAACACCAAAGGAGTATTTCATGCGTCTTTCTATCCCTCTTCCTAACCGTATGTTCCTTTTGTCTTTTCTTTCTTCATCTGGCGCAGAACTCGGGAGTGCCAAGTGCCATGGCATTATGGAAAGTTGCTTTCTGTCGCGGGCGTCGTACCTTCTTTCCGGCGTATCTGCCGCGGGTGATGATGGCGACTCGGCCGACCTTGAGGAACTTCATCTTGTCCGGCGGGTGTGTTGTCGGGTCTGCTGGTTAGTGAAGTTGCGAGGAGATGACGAGACAGAAAATACGCAAATATTTTGGATATTTTGTGGGCAGGTGCGGGCTGGAGAGCACCTGCCGTGCCCGTGGTCACATGATTGTGGATCCTATGGCTTGAGGTAGGCACAAGGTAGGCACCCCTCATTGGCCAGAACTCGCGCATCAAATTTTGGTGCACTTATCTAATCTTGCCTTGCATAGGTAAGCTGATCTCTAAAACTGTCTATCTGGCGTGAGGCCAAGCTAACAGCTAGGTATCAGCTATCTCATCTCACTGCTGTTTCCGCGTACTTGATACCTAGTCAACCCTTATAATGCCTGCTGCACCAACATATATCATCTCCCGCGTTGCGGATCCAATTTTTGGTGTCCTGATTGGCCTCTCAGCGGCTGCCACCAGAATCAATCGTGAGGAGAAAGACAAAGGTCGAACAACTCAACAAACCCTTGAGGCTGCACGACGGTAATAAAACTCACTATAAACGGAATTTGTTTGGTTGGAGAACTAACTTTATGTTAGAAGAGTTGGGCTTTCTTCAAAGTCTTCTTAAATATTGATTCACTTCAAACCAGGGGTTGTTGTGCCCCTTCACAATGTTTAATCTTTATAAATTGATGGCATTTTCATTTTAAGCCTTGTTGGATATCTTGCTTCATTTTACATATACATTTTATTCGCCAAACGACGGACCATATTCCTTCTTCATTGCCTCCCGAACAATCTGTCCGCAAAGCTTCGCTGTTGGGTTGACGCTGACAGCCAACCCTTTTGCAATGGGGTTGCCAAATCTTCCTCCAAACGCAAGGTCTCGAGATGCGGCCTCCTCAAAGTCTAGCCTCTCCCATCTCGATTCCTCAAGGGCCTCGTCAATATCCAAAGAACGACTTAGCAACAGTCTGGCTGTCCTGAGATACAATGCTGCCCTTTGCGTATGAGCCATAGAGAGGGTACGTGCAACTTGTGGAGAAATGGGGGTCGTTGGGGATGGTGGGGAAAGGAGTCCAATCGAGGTTTCCATATCACCTAGAGCTGTGACAACGGCCTTTCTCCTTTCCGACTGATCAGGTTTTTCGATTAGAGGCATAGAATTGTCCTTGGTATCGGAGAGCAGCATGGCATCTCCGTATAGCCGCCTGAGAATCTGGACTCGGTTGTTTCTGGCGCTGGCATAGTTGGGATATTCAGAAATCATGCCCTCGACTGCTGAAAGGCTTTGTTGATAGCCCTTGACAGCAACATCCTTAGCCTCTTCGGCCCCGAGACTCCTCAGCTGTGCCTCGAGGCTTTGAATAGAACGAATGATCTCTCGCTCCCTTTCGATCACCCGCTCATACACGCTGGAGTCTGTGACATTCGGGTCGCGAGGTAGTGAGGAGTCAAGGACAATGCCGGCATATGGGTTCGACTCGGGGTCCTTAATCTTTTCAAGGATGTTGATGTCGTGCTTGCTCAAGCATACAGAAGCCATTCTGGCTGTAGTGGGTTGGCTGTTTGAGTGATTGCTCAATCAAAAGTTGTCCGAAAGCTCTCAACTCAAATATTCTCTTCCAACACTCGGCAAGGGCGAGATAATCAGCGAACAGTGTCGTCAGAAAGCCTCTAATTGAAACGTTCGGAGAAACTTCTGTGACGTGCTGGGTAACGGCGATGGCGGTTCAATGGGCTTACCGGACGTTCTAAATATCATTTTCCGTCCGACAATGGCATGCTGGATAAGCCACCTATAAGAAAAAAAAAGACGTCTCGGCTTAAGCAGCAGATCGTTGCCCACGCGGTCAGCCGTCATGTCATATTCTGACATTGGATATATCATTCACAGGGTTGGTTCGGCCGACTGGTCCCCGCCAGTTCCGCAGCGGTAGAGTGGTTGTTAAGCCGTGGTGGTATCTCCAAGAACCCCGGCCAATGTCGGCTCGGGGCGGTTGGCGCCGCAGCGGGACTATGCCGGGGGAAGTTCCGCAGTGATACTACGTACCGAAACACCACAACCTCCTTCAACCTCGCTCGGCTCTACCGCTCATGAGATGGAGCAATTGGGCTGTACTGGCTACTGGTTTTCTGATGATATCAGTCAGACCGCCGTCTGACGCGGACTCCCCGCGCGTGACCCTAGGCCCTGCCATGCCGGGTATGGCTTTGCTTTCTTACGCCGCAAATACCATTGGTTCTCCGTCTTGGTGATACTCTCGGGCCAACAGGATGTCTCCGATGGATCTGGCTGGCATTGAGTTATCTCCTGCTTATCCTGGAAGGTGTCTTGGGCCGTACAATGCCCTTCTCAGACGGAGCCGTTCCGTGAAAATATGACAAAGAAACAAGCAGCACCTGTTGCCTCAAGGCTAAGCCGGGCTTTGAATCAAGGTTGAGATTTATTACATATACCTGCCTGTGGTCCCTCTTCTTGTTCATAGCTATTCATCCAACTCATTCTCAAATCAACTCTAGCTTCTCGAAGCCGCCACAACTATATAATTTAGCTCCAACTGGAAGCCTCAAACAAACAAACATCAACTCTATTTTGACATCAAGGACTCACCCATCGAACCGTCTGTGTGTCAATGTCCCCTTCTGCCATTACCAACTCCCCTCCTCAGCAGGCATCTCAGCCTACTACTGTTCCTACTGCTTCTTCCCTTGATCAAGCAAACACCTTTGCGGTTCAACCGCCCCCTAACTTCACCGGCTATGATCACATAACCTGGTGGGTTGGCAACGCCAAACAGGCTGCCTCTTATTACACCAACCTCTTTGGCTTCAAGCCTATTGCCTATAAGGGCCTCGAGACCGGAAGTCGATACTTTGCCTCGTATGTCATTGAGAATAATGATGTCCGTTTTGTTTTCACTTCGCCCTTGCGCTCTGAGGCTCACTTCCCCGACGATGAACCCATCTCCAAGACAGACCGAAAGCTCCTAAGGGAGATGTATGCTCACCTCGAGCGCCATGGTGACGCCGTGAAGGATGTCGCCTTTGAGGTCGAGAGTGTCGAGGGAGTATACCACAAGGCTGTCCAGGAGGGCGCCATTGCTGTCCAGGACCCCAGCGTCAGCAAGGACAAAGAGCATGGCTCCGTCACCACAGCTGTTATCTGCACATACGGAGATACCACTCACACTCTTATCTCCCGCCAGAACTACACCGGGCCCTTCCTCCCCGGGTACCGCAACTGGAACAAGAAGCACGGTGCCACTGTGTCTCTGCCAGAAGTTCCCTTGGCCCGCATCGACCACTGCGTCGGTAACCAGTCCTGGAACGAGATGGACTCGGCCTGCGCTTTCTACGAGCAGTGCCTTTCTTTCCACCGCTTCTGGTCTGTGGATGACTCTCAGATCTGCACTGAGTTCTCCGCCCTGAGCTCTATTGTCATGGCCTCTCCCAACAACGTTGTCAAGATGCCTATCAACGAGCCCGCTGCCGGAAAGAAGAAGTCTCAGATTGAGGAGTATGTCATCTTCAACTCGGGCGCTGGTGTTCAGCACATCGCCCTTCTTACCCCCGACATTATCACCGCTGTCACAGCCCTCCGTGCTCGTGGAGTCGAGTTCATCGACGTCCCTGAGACATATTACACCAACATGCGCCATCGTCTCAAGACAGAGCGCCGCAACTGGGAGCTCAAGGAAGAGTTTGAGACTCTTGAGCGCCTTAACATTCTCATCGACTATGATGAGGGTGGCTACCTACTGCAGCTATTCACCAAGCCCCTTATGGACCGACCCACGGTCTTCATCGAGATCATCCAGCGCAATGATTTCGATGGCTTCGGTGCTGGTAACTTCAAGAGCTTGTTCGAGGCCATTGAGCGTGAGCAAGCTCAGCGTGGCAACCTGTGAGGAGGTGTCCCTCATAGTCCACACTTAATGGTGGGAAACAGAAAAGATTGCATGTGCCGAACAAGCACACTCTAGTAGCATTTACACGAGGAGGATAAAGTGGAAACCAAAATTTTGTTGAAGCATGAGACGAGTTTACGACAGCATGACATTTGTTGCAATCCTTGACAGATACACCGATGCCAGCAAGGCCTTATGCCTGCAAAATATGTTTAGAATGAAATGACTAAACAAACAAAAAGTTTAGCAATTACTTTAATTCCCATGATGCGCCATTGCCAACGTGATAATATCATACTCACTTGCGAAGCCGATATTACACATGACTTTCTCCAACTATTTCTTCCGTCTGGGTATAGGTATATAGGTCTTATTTTTCTTCTTCTCAGGCTCAGCTTGAATCATACCCTGGTTATTCACCTGTTATCATTTCTATGTCGTATCATGTCATAGCCACATCGCCGTTAGTATGTGCAGCTGTACCGTCCGGTTCGCCCGAAGAAGCGGCACCATCCGCCTTCGACACTAAACTCTGGCAGCCAGGGCAGTTATGAACGACCTCATGGGCAAACACGTCACAATCGATGCAGAAGTGCTGTCTACACACCTCACAAGCATATCGCCCACTCTCGCTGACACCCTTGGCTGTCTTGGGTGCGCCACTGTCTTCCTTCGATCTATCGGAGCCTTTGTTCTTTGGTGGCTCGGGAAAGGGCGCAAGGCATGCGAAGCAGGCTGCAGAGCGGGTGGCTTTGGACCACGGCACTTCGACCCAGTTCCGTAGCGGGAAAAGATGGTGGTATGAGCGAGCAAGATGGGTTGACAGAATCAGAGTGAGATCACACGATGGGCATTCGGCCGGGATGCGGCAGACGCGAACACCACAGCGGGTACAGAGATAACCCTCGCGGCAAGGCCGATTATGGCATGCGCAGTAACTCGTAGTGCCGTTGGGGACGAGTGTCCGCGACGGGAATCCCATCATGAGCAAGCTGGCCGTGCTTTGCTCAAGTGTGCGCGTTACTGGGGGTGTGGTGGCAGCAAGGAAAAGCTCGCGGAAGTGCACCTCATCCATCGCGATGTTATACTGTGACTCATCGCCGGCGTTGGTTCGCGAGCATAAGTCAGCGCAGATAGCAAGATGGGCGGACAGGCCGACGATAGATACGCGTATCCGGTCGCTGATGAGGCTGCCAATCGTCTCGTGAATATCGCCTGGATCGCTTGATAATAAGGCGCCGTAGATAATGAGTACTTCTCGCGTACCGTGGGAAGGCGCATGGCTGTATCAAGTCAGATCAGTCGTTCTTCAACACCCGCTGAATGATTAGACTCACAATAAGGCTCCTCGACACATCTCCAGAGCATTCTGCAGACTTGGATTGCCCTGGGGATCTTGATTCTCTAGTCCCTTCAACCTTTCCAAATGTTCCGCCGGGTTTCCTCCAACGTCACTAATTCTAACAGCGACACCATCGCGCATCCCAATAATTCCCAGCTGCGAAATTGGATTTTGCTCAAAGAACTCTCGAACAAAGGCAGCTGCGTAGCTCAGCATGAGGCGATACCTTGTAGGCAGCAGATCCTTCTCCGTCATGGCGAATGACATGTCCAACACGAGCACCATATGTCGAATAATTCCTCTCTGCAGTGGCGTGGTATCGCGCAGTAGCCGCTTTCGCTTCTCCGCCTCGAGGGCTGTGAGACTCAGTATTCCGTCCTGATCCTCCTCTGGTAGGTTCGTCTCCCAAGTTCGTTTCGAGACTTCCCAGGCTCTAGCTGAGTCGCCTTTTCTCTGTTTTGAAGATTTCCCCTTGGCAGCTTGGGGGTCATCTTCGGCGACGCGGTGGTCCATGAGATCGTCGTCCGACATATCGGCGACATACTCGCCGTCGGAGTCGGCCATTGTCGTAGTGCTTTTTATCTTGCTTTCTTGAAGAGTGCGTGGTTTTAATCGGGCGTTCGTATTTTCGGGATCGTGGCGACTATTGTATCGGTATTGCGAGCGGTATTGAAAATTCTGACACCTAACTATGGAGGAGAGAACAAAGATGGCCGTGAAGATGGTAGTGACGGAATTAAGTGTACAAGGCTGACAATGCTGCACAGCCTTGTCTAGGCAGATCCACTCCCTAGATCTTTAGAGTTGATCTTCTAACCAATCGCGCGTCAACAAAACCAAGCTTGGATTGCAAGGGAAGGTGTTAGTTCTCATAGGTTGCAGCTTGTAAGTCGTTTGAGGAGGAACAGTACCAGTAGTTACTCTTTGTTAACATCTGGAACTAAGTCACATTGCATATCAGTGTAGAAAGAATTGTTACTTGATTAATCGAATCTAGTTTCGATTTCTTATGCATTAGTCGCTCATCAGGGTATAACTACGAAGTCGAATACTAATCACTACTATATACAAGCCAGAGTTGATCTAGATCGTCCTATCTTGCGACAGAATCCGTCAAGATGCAAACCAGCAAGCACTTCCACCAATAAATCCCATTGGTGAAGTTCCACAAAATCCCTCGTCTCGGATCCTAAATCGTGTATAAATCGTCTCGACACGAGCATCCAACCACAAGTCTCTCGTATCGCGTCGCATCAGGGATATCCAAAAGATCCACACCTCAGAAAAAGAATGCCAACTTCATTTTACTTCAAACAAAAAATCGAGTTCGTAAACGTGCGTACGTCGTTCGGCCGTGAGCTAGGCCGTCGAGTGTAAATGAGAGATATCGAAACCAAAAGAATGCGCCGTCGCCAAACGCCGTCCCAAGAGCAAGAACACAACAATATTGATGTGCTATATTAAGGGTAGGTGTTGGTGACGGGCATTGGCCAGTCGTCCTCGGTAATGCTGGACCAGAAGATCCAAATCATGATCACAGCCAGTAGCGTGAAGAAAGTCTGAAAAAGAGAGCCGTCGACCTTGCCGCTCGAGCCTTCACAGATGTACTTGCTAACAGCGTAGTTGAAGACCTGGCCGAAAGCGAAGAGGAGCGCTGCGGCGGCCAGATATATCATAGGACGTGTCTCGCCAAGGATTCGGATAACAAGAATGGTCTCGAGGACGAGGAAGGCGACGATGAAGATCAGAGGAACAAGCTGATAAAGGACGTAGAGGGCGATGTTTCGGTTATCGGGACTCTTGTAGCTATCATCCCAGTAGCCGGTCCACGAGAGGCCAGTGTCGAGGGCGATGTAACCAGTTCCAACAAGCAAGATACCAGCCGAGAGTACGATGAGGGCGATCGAGAGGGGGGTTCCGTCGTCGATGATCTGGTAGCCAACAACTGCATTGAGCATTAGGATCCAACAAGTGGCAATGATCATGCCAATATGAATAGCGGAGAAAGCCTAACGGTATTAGTTAGTGCCTTGTAGGGCAGGCAAGAGGTTATAAACTCACAATTCTCACGGTGCTATTCAGAGGAAACTCTCCCACGGAAAAGATCTCGCATATACTGATGATGATGTAGCCGATGAGGAACAACTGCATTTCCCTTCGACCAACAGCTGCTCGCTTCTTTTCTGATCGCAGCAAGAGAAAGCCGGCGGTGGCGATGGCGAATCCGGCGAGGATGATGGATCCCAAGTTTCCGAGATGTCGGCCTCCGCTCAGGGAGATACCCGTGAGCTCACATCCTCCCCAATTGCCATTTTGGTCGTGGTTTTCGGACAGAAGCTATCGACGATCAGTAAGGTCCCCATTGTTTTCCTAGCTCCACATGACGCTGCATAGCGTAGATCGGACGTACATTACAAACTGGGAGAGTAGAATCTCTGCAAAAGTCCTGTTGCACACATAATTAGAAAATGAAGCTTTGATTGTTGAACGACACTCGAGGGCGTACATGAAAGTTTCCAAATTCGGTAGACCCCATTGTGATTGCGGATGCGAAAACTCCTCGTTCAAAGGGGGTGCATCCACTAGCAACCACAATTGGGGGGGAAGAGAGAGTAGTAGTCGACCGAGTAACGACGTTGATGGACAAAGAAGACAGGCGATCGGATGATTGGATTGTGGGATTTTTCGTCGAGTTTTCGTATATGGATTGAATTGAAAGCAAAGATGCAGAGATTAGAGTAGAGTAGAGTAAAACAAGGAAAAAGGTATTGAGCGTGGATTTCCCCGACCCCTTGTCGAGTCTATCGTGCCCAGGCGTGTCAGTGTCGGTGTCGTTGCTGGGACGGGGCTAGCTAAGGTAAAGCTGCGGGTGGCTGGTGGAACGACAAGCTACAGGTAATTTCGCTGTGTGCAGGTGAGAAATGCAGCGGCTTGCGACAAAACAAGGCGAGAGAAGTTGTGAGTGACAATGATAAGAATAATTAAATAAGATCAATCTTGCCGAAACAAAATCTGGTGGAAGACGCAAGATCCAAGGCAAGGTCGCTGTGATGACGGTACGGTACAGGAAAAAAGCTGGTTTCGTTGGACGCACGCGAGAAAGAGGCGACAGTAGCCAATATAACATAACATTAATGGCCCCGGCCAGCGGGTCTCTACTTTAGACTTAGCAGGTTTTTGGGGTGGTCTCAGCGGTCGAGTTCAGGGTCACATCGCATCACTTTCACGCCTACGGGCAGTCCACTCCAGACTCCAGAGTCCAGGGAACCAAGCGAAGCAGGGGTTCCTTTTTCCCAAATCTGAACTGCTCCGGCAAAGTTAGCCTTGGCTTGGCCTTCCTGCATACTGCAACTGCATGCTGTGTTGTTTAGGTGCGCGCCCCACGTCAGGCTCGAGATGCTCTAAAAAGTCCCCCCGGTCATCTAAAAACGCAGGTACTGCACCTCCCGGGGGCCGGAATGGCCTCTAAACGGCCGCTGAGTGGCTGTAGGAGCGGACATCCACTGAACGCTAACAGATTTGCAGCGGGTGATTGGCTCGGACCATCAAATTGCGATGGGCCACGCTTGGTGAGGCCGGGGTCATTGAGATTGCTGTTGCAGGCATGAGACATCCTCTTTTCGTCCTTAAGTTGAAAGTCTGTTCTGCAGATGACAAGCTATGGTCAGGTCCGTTCGCGAGGGGAAGGGTCCAGCGGTTAAAGGGCAGAAAGAGTTATTAAAATGGCATCATGTCGTTGGTATATTGATCAACTTCGGCCCTCAGGGTCTGTAAGGAAAGGTGTGTAAGTGTGGTTGTGCAAAGGTAGGGAGGGATGAACAAGGGAGGAGGCTTGTGGATGAAAGAAAAGTGACAGAAAAAAGCCTTCTTTCTTTGTTTGTGGCACTTCATTACCCTCGTATCAATGCACAATATCCGTATCGAGGCTAGGTACGGATACTGTATGTAACTTCATCAACGTCACATCCCGCCAACGACGGCTTGGCCCAGAGAGCAGAGGCTGGGGAATGGGCGTTATCCTTCATGCATGTCACAATATAGACGACACAGATTCGTCAATGCAGATGAACTCATTTACAGCACAGTTACAGGCCTCTCTCGTCTCTCGATTCGATCATGTTCGCATCTGCAATCTTGCATTTGGCGGTTCCCTCCACCATTAGCCTCGCTCCAACGTGGATATAGGAAATACACCATGATGCCCTCAGCCCTCAAACATGACGCTAGATGCAGCGTAAGGATAATGAGGGCGGGTCGTAGTGCAGCCGTTTCGTTTCACTCGACCAATTGTGGTCTAAAGCAAATTGCTAACTCGGCACTTACAAGATCAATGGCGTTCTGTGTTCAGTGCTTCATGATCATTGATTTCCTGTCTTGCCCAACTGGCATGAATCTTGTTATTGAGTGAGCTCTCTCCCTTATCTACTCTATTCAATGTTTATATCCCTCGGCTCATTCACGATACACCCTGGGCGATGATGCCCTTTGCAAGTTCAGCATCTGGTACTCTCGTACTCCTGGCCCAATATGTGACCAATTAATTCCTCTATGACATGCCCTTGACCGTGTCTCCCTCGAGCTAACTATGAGTAAGTCGCCAAACTTGGAAGCTCAGATTGCCAAGAGGCTCACCATTACCCGCCACAACCGGCCAAGGAACTTGTGTGGTTGATGCGGGAAAAGACCAATCTGCTTTCGATTCTACCAAATTTCCCTCTCAGCCCGTCAGACCAAGGATCAAGAATCTCATCCCCATTGCCACAACCTTTAGAGATCGACGGCACCAGCCACGTCGTAAAGTGTGGCCCACTTTCTTTCTATTCCTGCGTCTCTATCCAGAGATGTTCGCTGCAGTTTCCTGCTTGAGAAACCATTCCACCATCTGGGCTGAAGTCCAGACCTCAGATCCCCAACTTTTTTCCTTCTTCTTCAATAAGCGTGCAGCTCAGCTGATAATCGTGGAACAACAATCTCCGGATAATCCGACCATTTATACCAACAAAAGAAACCTGCACCGTTTCAGAATCATGACATACTGGCTTCGTCCATTCTTAGGAAAGACTCGACTTGGTGCTTCAATTGGTGCCTCACGTTTCAACGTCATGTTTCAGGCCAGCCTTCAACACCGCGCTCTTAGCTCTACCACGCCGTATCCAAGACGACGATCTTTTGGGAACTAAGGTCATGCTCGCATGTGGCGCAGCGCACTACTCGTTGTCATGTGGCTGTGTTGTCCAACTCAGCTATCTCTGTGAGGCGGAAATCCTGCTTCGACTTACACTTGGATGGTTGTTTCTAAGCTTGACACGTGTAGCGGTGACGACCATGAGGCGAATCTTCTTATCTTCTGGAAACTGCCGCTGTCGTGAAGAATCCTCGTAGGTTGTAAGCTGACAGATGTGGTATCACGTACTGGTATGTTTTACCAGCTGAGCTTGTGATGTTATCGCCCGTGAGCTACTGTTTGATGAGACAATCTCAGTGTCGAGGTGAACTTTGAAACACTGTCTTATGCAGTAAAAATCGTGGCATTCCAGCAATGGAAACAAATAAGATTGCGCGCTTACAAAGTGCTGGTGAGTTTGTTGGTTTGGATACATCCCGAGATCGATGCATGTGGCTCTAGGGTAGTCATATTCAGACACTGTCTATTTAAGTGAGATGATACTCTGGCGAAGTGGTATCATTTAGTTTTTGGCTATCTAGTTACTTCTTACAAAACATCCAGTTTAATTCTGACAAGAGAGTTAACCGTGTGGCTTATAGTCTGGCTGCTCGATGGTTACACTGCAATATACTAGCCTGGCACAGTTCAAATGTCGTGCCGTTGTGGTTACGAGTTAAATCGAGACGCGCGTGTGGTAAAAAAACAAATGATGAAGAACTTGACTACAGTATAGAAGAACCACGGAAAGTGTATATTGACTCTATATTTAAATCTAGCAGTGTTCTACATTATCCTTATACTGCTGTTCTTATGACCGTAAAGAACTACCAGAGTGTCACTGCCCGCCACTCGTAGGGCAAGCAATAGTGACAGCTCGAGGGCGGCTCACAGGACGAAGTATTAATGCGAGGAGCTGAGTCAATGCAATTTAGATATATGCATGCAATAAGAGGCTCGTACCTGCAGCAATCCTGCAGCCTCACCCGGAAATGTGTAACCCAAGCAGTGACCCCGGGACTTGGAGATTAGGAATACATACAAAAATAGAAACAGAGAATAGAGCACAGGTCGGCTAATCCTGGAACGAGCCTCATATATAACACGGATACAAAAGTGTTTCGAGATACGCTAGACTGTGTGTAGATGGGCCGTGTATGGGCCTGCTCACGACGTTAAGAAGGATAAGTGATAATATGTGACTCCCTATGAATACAAAGCAATATGTGACGGACATGAGTGTATATGGCTTATATTGTATTACACGAATAACGTTACGTCAATCAACGTGTTTCATCCCATCCAGCAAAAGAAAGTTACGTCGATAGGGCCGACATGCCAGACTTGTATCGGAACAATGTGGATTGCGCCCACCATACAGCAGGCACAATGATTATACAATACTAGAATTTACAAATTATGCAATATCTCTGCTGGGATTCTTGCCAAGACATCAGGAGTTATACAGCTATCAAATAAGCAAAATGGCGCTGTAGGTATGATGAAGTACGATTCCGAGACAGGCACTTATTACAGCCATACTATCTATATGAAGCTCTTCCAGTATCGTATGGATTCCAGAAGAGTTGAAAATAAATTTATAGACAGTATCGACATAAACAAAGAAAGGTAAAAGTTGCACCGCTACAACACGCTGCGGCAATTGACAATTCCTCGAGCATTCAAGCACAAGTTTAGCATGGAGATTTGTCATAGTCCCCAACCCCAGCCCACAACGTTACCTATCGCAAGCTGACTTGTAGGATATTCAACCATAACAGGAATGCCACAGATATAATGTACTGCAGTTCTAGTCTTTAGACAAGTTTTATAAACTACATCTTGTGAGGTCCTCGGTTGCATTGTCAACAAGGCTGGTGTGTACCGGAACCAGAAAGGAGAATGGCACGAGGAAGGTCAGAACAAGATTACGGAATGAAGTTTAGAAGAGTTTATCATACCTAAGCATAGGTATTGTGTAGGCCTTCTTGAATATAGCTTGTCATATTGGACAGTTGCTTCCCCCACGCTTTACACTTAGACTTATACTTACACTCAACGAAAGTGTTGGCCATGGAACCAGCACCATATAGGGTCGTACTGAGAGCTGGCTATAGCTTGCGAATTGTGCTTCAATTTACCCGGATTTCGTTTAAGAAACCACATCCATACACTGAGATGAACGGAAGCCGGAGTTTAAAACCTGACTGAACTATGTATGTCACTGACTGAGATATTGCACTCAACAATTGTTTGGGAATCTATATATAAACTGATGATCAATGTGATCACGGAAGTGAAAAGAAAGAACGAAACAATTCTTATCCGTCTCAAGTCTCAAGTTTGTAGACGGGCAGGCGGGTCAGGAAATAGTAGGAAACACAAGCTCTGTAAAGCAAGAGACATGAAAACTCCATCATATCTATGTACCTAAATAGAATCTAAATATTTTAGAATCTAGTCATATTTATTAAATCCCCTTGTTATTTTCTGACACACCCAACGGGATGCATGAGTTGAGGTTCTGAGGCTCTGGCTTCTGTTACTTGATACATGCGTGATGACTATTGACAGTCTCACATGATAAGAGGCTGGACCCTGAGCCCAACACAGGAATCATGCGATTGAACTAGCGGGCCAATGCCATTCGAAGGGTTGATAGCTCGGGGGGACAGCTTATTTTCCAAAGGGTCGGTCAACAACAGATCGCCATGCTTTCATATCGAACCTTGCTGCACTACCTGGTAAGTTTGATAGCACGGTCCATGCCGGTGGTGAGGGCGCATAAATAACTACATGGCAGATTGATAAGAAGTATTCGCATCCGTTTGTTTATGTGATTCAACTTGTTTTCAGTCCAACGATGGAACAAAATAAACGTTTAAACGGTTGACTTGAGCGAGCCTGTTAAAGACATGGTCTGCGGCAAAGCCAATATCTACTCTGTGTCTGAATCTGATGGAAACCTGAAGTAGGTAGTCGAGACCAAGGGACCCAGTGACGTAATCGGGGTCCACCACGAGTCAAGCGGTCCCGCCAAAGAAGTTGATTTACGAGAGACGATAGGCCCGCGAACCTGAATTTACCCTCTAACCCTGACTTGAAGCTTGTGTGAGTGGAACTAGAAGAAGGTTGAGATTTGGCATCTTTGGCTATGGCTTTGGCTTTGGGTTTGGGGTGGAGGAGAAAAGGTACATGAAGAATACTTGAGAGCGCGTTTGTATGACTATGTGATGAACGAGTCTGGGGGTTACTTAGTTTGTGGAGAGAATCATTACCTCGTGGACACTGATTTCGTGGGGAAATAAGAAAGTGACATGAACCGACCGCTTTTAATTCTGGATCTTGGTTGGGTTTGTTGTTGATCTTGGGTTACGCATGTAGTACATGATGTTGCACTGCCGGAGAGAATCTAGATTCACTGGGAAAGGACAGTGAGAATACATCCTTTCATTTGTTGCACCAGAAACAATAAAATACAGAAAAAGTAGAACTCGTGAGCTACGTTTCCTGTCAGGAGGGAAATACTGTAACCTGCATATTCCCATCCAAGGTCATACTGAATGGGAAACGAAGCATGTGACTGGCTTTTTCTCACACAGCCTCATCTGACTTGTCTCAGCTGAAAGGAGATGGTTCTTGTGTGGGCATTGTTGGTTATATTCATTTTTATTTTTAATACATTGAACAGAAATAGGTTTTCATGAATAAGCTGCCTTACACTGATGAACCACCCCCACTGTTAGGACCAACGTCTTGGCTGCCATCCGTGTTCACGCACCCCACACTCACGATAGTACAAAAATGAACCTACTGACGGTCAGTGACGGACGGGAAGCCTGCCCCGAGCGCCCATTGTAAAGACGCGTGGAGAAGCGCCCGTCAACGTGGAGTCTAGGGGCATTCTTATCGAGTTGATCAGACCGGGGGTGTATGTGAAATCGTTGCGAGATGATACTAAAGGGTGCCGTTGAAATTCAGAGTTTTGAGGCTTGGGAACAGATGAAGTTACCCCTGAGAAAACGGTGGAAATGGAAGCTGAAAACCGATAGAGTTAATTGCCTGATGATCATGCAGTAGAGCAAGCCCAGTTACAGGGTGGAATCTACAAGAGATATGGATCTAGTAGTATCAGTCAGTAGATAGATGCATTAGAGAGATGCAATCAATCTGATAGCATAGGCACCTCCTGAAAGTTCATCCCCTGAGCAGCCATAGCCCATAGCCCATAGCAGGTACCTACTGTACCGTAACCTCCCGTACTACCTATTTTCCAGTCTTCTCTACTGCTCTCCCCTTGCTCGCCTTGGAGTTTTAGTTGTCAACCTGTCCTATCCCTTCATCTTGGACAAACAGCATTTTCTCCTTGAATCCCCCTTCCTCTTACCTTCATCCTTTCATCCACCAATTTACTCTTTCGTCGTCAGTTTCCTCACCCTTGAGTCAATCATTTTTTATCCGCATTGTCTGCCCCTGCTGCTGTCTCGCCTGACATTTATTGGGATTCGTCACTTAGCGCATCTACCATCCATCGTCTATTGTCTGCTCCAGCTCCAGTTCCAGTCTCAATCGTGGTCATCTGCTACCTACTGCATCAACCCCAGCTCCAAACCACCACGCGCTGCACTCCAGGTTTTCCCCGGTCTCGACTCTATCCCACCAATCTACGGATAGACAGTTCGGTATCGTCTGTGTCTAGACTTGCTCTGTTTTGAAGATCGTTCATCAATTCCCTAAAGAAAAGAAAAGGCTTCATTCACAGCGCGTCGCTTCCCAGCAACACCTGCAGTTGCTGCCGCGCAATCCGCCTGTACCGCCCAACACACGCATTTGTCCTTGCTTGAACCTGGTCTTTGCAAAGTCACCCCAAAGTACCTGATCCCCAAATCTATGCTGCCGAGTGACGCAGTTTGAGCTACCGTCAACAAGGGTCCTACAGCGAGCGTATCACTATAAGCATCCATTCTCAACTGACTAGGAACCCACACGCCCAATTGAACCCGCGCCTTGGTCAGCTATCAGTGATCACTATCTTTCTGCCTGTTTACCAGCCAATTTCATTTTATTTTAAATTTACCGATTGAGGGTGATACTTGGAATAAACGCCGGTAGACCCTGATTCTGCACCGTACGGGACCTCTTGCCCACCCCCCGGTCACCCGACCCCATCTTTCCCATTCCCCTCCGTCTTTACCTGGGCCGTTCAAGGTGCCGATGACCTCGTTGTTTCTCGGCTTTTCCTCTTCTTCCTCCGTACCCTTCACCCTCAATCTGTGTGCAGACGGGCGCTGCTGCTTAACAGCCCCCTCCTCCCAAAATTCCTCCCTCCAAGTCCTCACGTCTTCCCTCAAACATACCCCTAAGGACCCTTCGTCCTGATAACCACCACCAAGACCCAGATTCACAAGCGACGTCATTGCTCGCGTCCCGCAACGACCACGATCGTGACTCCGGCGACGACAGCGACGATAGCCAGCATCGTCACCCCAACGGCGCCAAATCCCACCGTCGCCCGCCTTATTCCGGCTCCGAGTCGTCGTGGACTGACACCGGTGATATAGGCGAGCAGCTCGCCGACGAGCACGACCCTGTTCGTCTACAACTCTCTTCCGACGTTGAAGACGAGCTACTAGCAAACGTTCATCGCCGACACGCCAAGAACGGCAATCAGAAGAAGAGGGTTCGCATCCAGGACTCATCGCACCACCGTCACGCTCGGTCGCGATCTCTTATCAACAAGGAGGCTATCGAGGTCCCCAATTTCAACCCTCCAGGTCCTTCCCGAGCTGAACGTCTACTCGGCTCCATCATGGCGGGACGTACAGGTTCAATCCACGGCCTCACTGGCAAGGCCCTGATGTAAGCCACATTATCGGTATAGCTTTTGCCTCGGTCGCGCGCTAACACCGTCCAGCTACTTCACCAGTATCTTTGTATCACTGGGTGTCTTCCTTTTTGGATATGATCAGGGTGTCATGTCAGGAATTATCACGTAAGTTTCGGTACCTTGAATTAACGCATGCCTGCTAATGCCATACAGCGGCCCATACTTTATGGATTACTTTGGTCACCCATCCAAGGCCTATGTCGGAACTATGGTAGCTATTCTAGAGATTGGTGCATTCATTACTTCCTTAATGGTTGGTCGTATTGGAGACATTATCGGACGACGCCGCACCATTTTCTACGGATCATGCACCTTCTTCGTCGGAGGCGCTCTTCAGACTATGGCTACTTCAATGCCTATGATGATGGCTGGGCGTTTCATTGCAGGTTTTGGTGTCGGTATGCTCTCGACCATTGTGCCTGTTTATCAGTCTGAGATTTCTCCTCCTCACAACCGAGGAAAGCTGGCCTGCATCGAGTTTACAGGAAACATTGTTGGCTACACCACATCTGTTTGGGTTGACTACGGCTGCGGTTACATTGAGAGTAACTATTCATGGCGCATTCCTTTGGGTTTGCAGTGTGTTATGGGTGCTCTCCTCGGACTTGGCAGTCTTGTCATTGTTGAATCACCCCGGTTAGTCAAATCTCTCCAATGCGCTGGTAGAAGTAGTTTGCTAATTCTTGCAGATGGCTTCTGGACAATGACCATGATGAAGAAGGCATGGTTGTCATTGCCAACTTGTACGGTGGCGGCGACATTCACGACCCCAAGGCTCGAGATGAATATCGTGAGATCAAGATGAATGTCCTTCTTGGGCGCCAGGAAGGCGAGCGAACTTACAAGGATATGTTCCGCCGATACAAGACCCGAGTTTTCATCGCCATGTCTGCCCAAGCGCTCGCCCAACTCAACGGCATTAACGTTATTTCATACTACGCCCCGTACGTCTTTGAGTCTGCCGGTTGGGTTGGCCACGATGCTGTCCTCATGACTGGTTTCAACGGTCTCACATACCTCATGTCGACAATTCCACCATGGTACCTGGTTGATCGTTGGGGACGACGCAAGATCCTTCTCTCTGGTGCCACAGCTATGGCTATCTCATTGTCGCTCATCTCCTACTTCCTGTTCCTCGATATTAAGTGGACTCCGCGACTGGTTGTTTTGTTCGTCATGATTTACAATGCTGCCTTTGGTTTCTCATGGGGACCTATCCCCTGGCTGTACCCACCTGAGATTCTCCCTCTCAGCATTCGATCCAAGGGTGCCAGTTTGTCAACAGCCACAAACTGGGCTGCCAACTGGTTGGTTGGTGAGATGACGCCTATTCTCCAGGAAACGATCAAATGGCGCATGTATCTGGTCCACGCTTTCTTCTGTGTGGTCAGTGTCGTAGTTGGTAAGTTCTCACGTCTACTATTTTCTCATAGCACCACTAACATCTTGTCAGTCTATTTTATTTACCCAGAGACTTGTGGCGTACGCCTGGAAGATATGGACTCACTTTTCGGAGATGCCAGCACCGTCGCTGGTACACCCTCGTTACACGGCACTGAAACTGGTTCGTTGATGAGAGGTGGATCGCCTGCGGGATCATCCCGAGGGCTTATTGGACCCTCATCCGCCATACCTGGTCTTTCACTTGATCCTCCTGCGATCGACGATGACAGCAAGTCTCAGATGCAGTCTGGGCCTGACGACCGAGGCGTTGGTGGGTGGCTGTCAAGAGTGGTTGGCCGAAACAGATCCGACAGCGGTAGCAGCGCACAGGGTCGTTATGCTCCTCTTGGCCAGCAAGAAGAGGCCCGACGAAACGACTATTGATGAAATATTTTGGAGTTAGTCGATAGAACAATACCTGCATATAGATGGCGCACAAGGCACTGAATGCGTTATCTCCTGGATACACGCAGCGACGTCTTGAGAGATGGAGTTACACGATGGGAAAGAAAGAGGTGGCTGCGTCCAGGAGTGAAAGAGGCATTTACGACACGAAGGTGATATGTGTGTTTTAGACGAGAGTTTGTTGCATTTCTTTACAAGATCTCTGGATCGATATATTTTTAGACCGAATCCTCTTGGAGTTAGATGGCCGGTGTAACGGCCTGTATGCCTTACATAATGATATCAGCGGTTGTATACAAAAAAGAACACCTCTTCCTCCTGACTTATAAAATCAACCATATATCTTTTAATCTCTTTATCCTCTGAGGGAAGTTTAATGTTATAAACTATAACTACGTGCATCTGTTAATCCAGAACCGCTAAAGTGGGTCTCCATTTTACAGCTTCTTGCTCGATACAACTTGACACTAATGATACTCAACCTCGTATACAACATTCACAACCATGGCCAACATTGAAGTAATACACGCCTACCGAAACCTCTACCGGAACCTCCTCAAGGCAGTTCAATATACTGTCCCTGCCCGTTTTGTAGCACGCGACCAACTTCGGAGGGCTTTCCGCGAGCCCGGCGCCACATACGATGAGAGAGGCATCAAGCGGACCATATGGTTCTTTAAGGCTGCGGCCAAGGAGAGGGGATTGGAAGACAAAATTCTGAAGAACTTGCTGCGCGTCCATCAGATGAGGTTCCGAAAAAAGAACTACTCGTCGCATGATCCGCTGAAATATGCAGAGTAAGGACGGACTGTTGACCTCCAAATTCATGCAATACTGATTTCTTTACAGAGAAGAGATGAAAGTGGCGAGTTTGACAGCGTATAACCACTATGACATGACAGTTGCTATGTTAAACAAGACCATGGGGCTGTGTCTGCGATGAGCTCTCACCTGAGGATGGATGCTTGAATGAGTGAGGACTGTTCGAAATGTCTTCGTGAGACTTAGCCTCTTGCAAGGCCGATGGCTGGAGGCACCTTGAAAACCGGATACAGAGAGATCATGCCTGGTTGCGCATGAGAGGGGCACTGGAATTATTTCCATGTAAACACCTGAAAAAAACTCGGCAGCTTCCTTCTACAAGGGATTTGAATCAATTTCGAGGAGGCCTTTGTACACTACTTGTATCATATATGTAAGGGAGTCGGAAACGCTTTTGTAACCGGTATCATGATACACTCCTTGGGTAGGAAAATTTCTGGATACTATTTCAATACATTCTGGGCTAGGAATCTCATGCCAATTCCGCAAATAAAGAGCGTATCTCGGTAGTACATATATATTACACTGCCCTCAAGATCCCAAGCCTTACTAGGCTAGCCTTAGCCAGTCAACGCCATGTGAAATGCAATGCCGTTTCTCTACTTCCAGTCGTTTTTGTCTCATTCAAGCTTGACAGGTTTCTTATCGATCTTCAGGAGGAAGCTCTACTCCTCACCTGGAACAACGATGTCGACACCAAGCTCCTCAGAAAAGACCTGGTTCATGCTAGAACTATCTCTGTTATAGATCCAGTCGCCAACGGCAGTGCCCTCCTTCTGGTTCTGGCTCTCGCCAAAGAGGCACCAGTCGTATCGCTTGGGGCCTGAGATGGGTGATGACAACCAGATCTGCTTGTTGGGGGGCTGCTTATTTATGACGTACGTACCCTTGTCGGGCCAGTTGATTGTGAGAACACCGGCCTGCGCGTGGGATTGTTAGTAGATGAACCATGATTTCAATCGTATAGAGCTGTACATACCGCGTACTCGACATCGATGTCTTCCCGCTGGTCCTGGAGCTCCTCAAATCTATTCACAACATTCTCGAGATACTCGTCTGCAAGCTCATGGTACTCTTGTTCGGTGATCTTGGCGACGGCAGGGGTGGGCTGGACCTCTTCGGTTTCGTTCAAGGGTTTGGCAGGATGTTCAGTATCGGGCATGATACCTCGCTTGCTGGATATCGTAGTCGAGAAGTAGCGTTGCGAAAGAGTCGGGGAAGTTGCTAGACGTGATACATGGGCCGTAGATGCGACTCGGAAGCTCGAACGGCAAACGGGTGTTGAGGAGCGGATGGCTCGTGAAGCTAAGCGGGAAGCTTGAGTTGCGACTTGTCGGGCCATTTTGAAGGTTGACAGCGTGAGTTTGGAGACGTTGTTTTGGTGGTGGAAGTAAGTTGTAAATTAGGAAGAATTCGGTCGGTGGAAGTCGAAGTCAAAGTCGCATTCACTGTAAGGTCTTTGGTTAATCGCTATTGTTCAGATGTTTGATGATTCGAAGCAAAGTATGATGGAAGCTCCCCGCGATGGGCAGACGGGAGGTGCAGCAGCGACTGGCCAATTGCGCCGCTAATTCCGGGGGGAGGGTACGTACCTCGTTGCAGCTCCCGCATCCCGTCATCAGCTCCGCGCCGTCTTCGCCAAAACAAGCCCCACCATCGACCGCTTCAACCTACGGTGCAGTAACGTACCTTATTATTATCTGATCCTACATTTGCGCTGCTTCATAGGAGGGCATGAAGAATCTTGGCCCTTAACCATGATCAATGCTTTTCTGGTCTTCAACGGCCAAGGTCAGCCGCGCCTGACCAAGTTCTATACCCAGCTGGTACCTATGCTATAATGTCCCTTCTTACTATCATAAACTGACAATGCGCCCTGTTAGGAAACGAGTATACAACAGCGCCTCATTTCCGAAATCTTCGCTCTCGTCTCGAACCGCCCAGCTGGATCCTGCAACTTCTTGCCCCTCCCTCCTCTACTCGCCGCCTCGGGTACTTCTCACACTTCGTCAGAGGAGCAAAATGACGTTCCTACGCTCGTAACATACCGCAATTATGCGACACTGTACTTTATCGTCATTTCGACTTCGACCGAATCGCCGCTCGCCCTGATCGATCTGATTCAAGTTTATGTGGAGGCCCTAGACAAACTCTTTGAGAATGTCTGTGAACTGGACCTGATCTTCAACTTCGAAACACTACATTCTACACTGTCGGAAATGATAATAGGAGGTGTCGTGATAGAGACAAATCTAGATCGCATTGTCTCAGGCGTTAAGGCGCAAGGTACAGTTGCAAAGAGGCCAGTGAATGAAGGCAGAGGGCCTACTGGTTTGGGCAGTGGACTTGGCATGGGTGCGAACTTTGCTTGGACTGGACGATGATCACCATGATAACTGAATAAGAATGACGAAAGGCATGCTAGAGCGGAGTACAGGATACACCTGCCTAACGAGATATCCATACATGCTATGTCTCCAAGGGAATAACGCCAAACTCCATGACTTCAATAATATACATATAGATAACGGTATCTCTATTTTGACTCTGGCTCATCCTTGGGAGGTGCAAAAGGCGGCGCATCCGCTCGTCGTTCGTATCGCTTCTCAGGGTCAACAGTGCCAAAGAGATATTGCGTCTTTCGTCGAATCTGAACATCGGGTTAGCAGTCGTTCTAGTACTATACGATATCTATGCGCACCTCTTCAGAAGGCTTATACTTCTGGCCCCACCACTCGAACTCGGAGTAGAAGAAGATCCAGACTAGGGCAGCTAGGAGTTGGGTTAGCTGGTTGTTTCGAAGCATCTGCAATGAGACTAAACTTACCGACAATCGTCACAAGCTGAGCGCTCTTGACAAACTTGATCCATCGTGGTGCCCGACTTGCCAGGATAATGCGACGCTTATACTTCTTCTCAAAGCGAAGTTGTTGCTGGACAGTGAGTTGCTTGAAGTTGGGAGGCCACACTTTGCGAGCCTGATATGGGTTATTTGCCACAGACAAAGGAGCCTTCTTCAGGAGGTTCTCCTTGGCAGGAGACGCCATACGCCTGAGTAGAGTCGGAAACATTGTGATTGAGTTGTCTGCGACTTTTGCGATTCAACTGTTCAAAAGATATTCAAGCTCCGCATGATGGCGTCGTTACGTCGGTATTGGAGAATCTCCAATGAATGCGCCACAGCACCGCCACATGTCCCACCTACCAGACACTAGCCACTTGACGCACGACACACGACGGTTCTGCCCCGCGATTTTCACCCCTCCTTCGTCAAGTCCGATTTCACTCGCTTACTGTACCAAACGGTGACTCAAAATTTCGACGCGGAATTCAGAAGTTAGTAAACCTCGTTCACTCCTTCATGTATGCCCTGAGACGCAAGGAAAATAACTGACCAGGAGATTTTCTCGTCTATCATAGGTCTTGTCCATCTGCGACTATGGCTTCCACCGATTCCGTTCCCAAGGCCATGGAGGCCCTAAATATTTCCAAGACCAAGGAGCTCAAAGGTGCAGGTCCAACTTGCTTCCCATAGCTCGGAATTGTTATTCTAACTATCACTAGACTGAGAAGCGAGACACCCTGATCGCGCTCGAGAAGAAGTACCAAAAGAAGTGGTCGGAGGATAAAACTTTCGAAAGCAATGCTCCCAGCACTGACGAGGTGCCCCTCCATTCCGTCTCCGCCGCCGAGCTTCGGGAGCAGCAGCCCAAGTTCTTCGGAACTATGGCCTACCCCTACATGAACGGCACTCTACATGCTGGTCACTCTTTCTCCGTCAGCAAGGTCGAGTTCGCCGCTGGTGTTGCCCGTCTGCAGGGTAAGCGTGCTCTCTTTCCTATGGGTTTCCACTGTACCGGTATGCCCATCAAGGCTTGTGCCGACAAGCTCGTCAACGAGGTTAAGAAGTTCGGCCAGGACTTCACAGGATACAAGGAGGAGGATGAGGTTGTTGAGGAGGCTCCCGTCGCCAAGCAGACCAAGGAGGACATCACCAAGTTCAAGGCGACAAAGGGAAAAGCTGCTGCTAAGCAGGTCAAGATGCGTTATCAGTTTCAAATTATGCAAGCCATTGGTATTCCTACCGATGAGATTCACAAGTTTGCCGATCCTCAACACTGGCTGCAGCACTTCCCTCCCCTCTGCAGGGAAGATCTCACCAACTTTGGTTGCCGTATCGACTGGCGTCGATCGTTTGTGACAACCGATGCCAACCCTTATTACGATGCTTTCGTTCGATGGCAGATGAACCGTCTCAAGGAGCTGAACAAGATCAAGTTCGGAAAGCGATACACTGTCTACTCTATCAAGGATGGACAGCCCTGTATGGACCACGACCGATCCGAAGGTGAGGGTGTTGGTCCTCAGGAGTACACGGCTCTGAAGATCAAGGTTCTTGAGTGGGCTCTCAAGGCCGCCGAGACCCTGAAGGGTAAGCTGCCAGAGAACGCTCAAGTCTTCAACATTGCCGCTACCCTGCGCCCCGAGACTATGTACGGTCAAACTTGCTGCTTTGTTGGCCCCAAGATCACTTATGGTATCTTCAAGGTTAATGAGACCGACTACTATGTCATGACTGAGCGAGCTGCACGCAACATGGCCTACCAGGGCATCTTCGCCACTGAAGGTGCCATCGAGAAGGTTGCCGAGATCGTTGGTTCTGACATGGTAGGCTCTCTGGTTGACGCTCCCCTCTCTCTTCACAAAGAGGGAGTCCGTGTCCTGCCCATGGAGACTGTTCTACCCACAAAGGGTACTGGTGTTGTCACCTCTGTACCTTCTGACAGCCCCGATGACTACGCCACCGTGATCGACCTGGCGAAGAAGGCTGATTACTACGGTATTCAGAAGGAGTGGGCTGAGCTTGAGATTTTCCCTATCATCGAGACACCTAGCTATGGTGACCTCTGCGCTCCCTTCCTGGTCAAGAAGCTAAAGATTGCATCCCCCAAGGACACAAAGCAACTGGAGGAGGCCAAGGAACTGGCTTACAAGGAGGGATACTATCAAGGTGTCCTTAAGGTTGGCGAGTTCAAGGGCGAGAAGGTTGAGGTCGCCAAACCCAAGGTCCGTCAACAGATGATTGATGCTGGCCTTGCCTTTGCGTACTCCGAGCCTGAACGCAAGGTTGTCAGCCGATCTGGCGATGAATGTATTGTTTCTCTCATGGACCAATGGTACCTCGATTACGGTGAGGAGTCATGGAAGAAGACTGCCCTCGATTGGGTTGACAACGGTCTGAACACCTACACACCCGAGACCAAGAACAGCTTTGAAGGTGTCCTTAACTGGCTGAACCAATGGGCTTGCGCTCGAAGCTTTGGTCTGGGATCCAAGCTGCCCTGGGACCCACAGTTCCTGGTTGAGAGTCTGAGTGACTCAACCATCTACATGGCCTACTACACTATCGCACACTACCTCCACAATGACATTTTCGGAAAGACACAAGGATTGGGGCATATTTCCCCTGATCAGATGTCTGACGAGGTCTGGGACTATGTCTTCTGCCGTCGTGAGCTGAGTGATGAGACCCTCAGCACCAAGATTCCCAAGGCGACTCTAGAGAGCATGCGTCGTGAGTTCGAGTACTTCTATCCTCTCGATGTTCGAGTCTCAGGCAAGGATCTAATTCCGAACCATCTCACCTTCTTCCTCTATGTATCAATTGCCATATTCCCTCCTGAGTACTGGCCTCGAGGTGTTCGTGCCAACGGCCATCTGATGCTCAACGGTGAGAAGATGAGCAAGAGCACGGGCAACTTCATGACCCTCCGAGACTTAACCGAGAAGTACGGCGCGGACGCTTCTCGTATCGCTCTTGCTGATGCAGGTGACGGTGTGAACGACGCCAACTTCGAGGAGGATGTTGCCGATACCAACATTCTGCGACTGTATACCCTCAAGGAGTGGTGTGAGGAAATGGTTCGAGATCAGGACCAGCTTCGAACCGGCGAGTTCAACTCGTTCCAGGATGCTCTTTTCAACAATGATCTGAACGCCGTTACCAAGGAGGCCGTTGAGCAATATACCAACACCAACTACAAGCTGGCCCTGAAGGCTGGCCTGTATGAGTTGACAAGCGCTCGTGACTTTTACCGCGAGGCTTGTGCAGCTGCAAACATCAAAATGCACAAGGACATCGTTCTCCGATATATCGAGGTGCAGACTCTTCTTCTAGCGGTCGTTACTCCTCATTGGTCCGAGTACATCTGGCTCGAGGTGCTGAAGAAGGAGGGCACCATTCAGGTCGCCAAGTTCCCCGATATCAAGGAGGTTGATGCTTCCCTGTCGGCCAAGCGCGATTATGTGCGAAGCACTGCTTCCAACATCAACTCTGCCGAAGGTCTACAGCTGAAGAAGAAGGCGAAGGGCAAGGAGACATCATTCGATCCCAAGAAGCCCAAGAAGCTGACAATCTTTGTCACGGACAAGTTCCCAGCTTGGCAGGCCAAGTACATCGACCTGCTCAAGGAGATGTGGAACGTTGAGACCAACTCTGTCAACGACAAGGAGTTGAACGGAAAGATCGGCAAGATGGGAGAGATGAAGAAGGCAATGCCGTTTGTGCAAAACCTCAAGAGGCGACTTCAGACTGGTGAGCCAACCAGTGTGGTGCTGGAACAGAAGCTTGCGTTCGACGAGAAGGAGACTCTCCTACAGATGGTTCCTGGACTGAAGCGAACCGGAGGATTGAGTGTATGCGACATTGTGTTAGTAGAAGAAGGAGGCAAGAAGGGCAACAACCTGACAGCCGATGGAAAGCAGGTGGAGATTTCAGTCCCCAACGCCGAGCATGCTGTTCCTGGTCAGCCAACGTTCTACTTTGAGAACGTCGAGGCCTGAGTGTAACTTAGCCCGAAAAGAGGAAAGGAAGGAAAATAGAAATGATGTTCCCTGTTATTGCCGTTGCCGTCGCCGTTGGGTTGTCAAACAAGAGTACGTACGTAGTACGCAGACCGACAGGTGAGGTTGCGTGTTCCTGCGTGGGATAATGGGTGGATGTGGATCCAGGAGATCTCTGTTTTGGTTAAATTTGGAAAAGTTGCCGATCACTTATACTCGGAAAAGGCTTGTTTTGCTATGCCAGGCGTGCCATTTCTGCCGATTGATCTGGAAAGGGATGTAGTCGTAGACATGAACGTGGGCCTGCCCCATCTATTTCCGTAGACAAGTTCGGGCTACCTCAGCTCACGCTCAGCTACTCAGCTACTCAGCTTGTTGACCCAGTAGGCTATGTTTAAAGGTGCATGTGCATGTGCAGTCTATGCTGACTGTGTAGCGTAGAGTTGTGGACCATGATTTGCCTCCAGGAAGTCACGCAGAGTATAGTATCTGTGACTGACAATGGCGAGGGAAGAAGGAAAATAAAAATAGATATTAGTTACATGATTCATTGCCAAGTTACAAGTAAAGTTCGAGAGCTTTGTATGGCGTATTAAGCAAGGTTGAGTGAACCAGGCATGGATAGAATTAGCATCGACGAGGCGAAAGGAGACGACGTCCGGGCGCGGCAACGTCTTTGCAGATACGTTCCATGATTCGTTTCAGTGAAGGGATGATTCATTAAAATGGTTATTGATTAATCAATTAATTAATTGCCTGGTTGTATCCGTACGGATATAGAACCAACGGGAAGTTTGTCCGAGTTGCATTGCATGTTTTCTAATTTATTTCTTTTTCTCCGAAGCATGACATGTCGGAGCAGGGGGGCGGAGGTTGTTCAATATCAAATTGATATTGAATATTTCCGTCTCTTCTGCAATCGCCTTGCTCTGTAACATGCCCCTGGGGAAACACTCTATGTATCCATAGTTTTGTCACAAATGTTCCGGGGCAACAGGCAATAATGATAAACAAAAGGGGCCCCGAAAGCTTGATGATGCAAAAATATGGAGTTTTCTGGGTCGTTTAAAGGAGAGAAATAAAGAAGATTGGAAGGGGAGGTTGAAATTCAAGGGACCTGGTCGTTATCCCTATTATCGGGAGAGTCCGTCCACCCAAACCCATTGATTCAGAGTCAGATTAAGTTCCATCAATTGCGCGTCCAGTGCGGTAAAGACGGGAGCCAGGGGAGGGGAACCACTAATATAAACAAGCTCAGCACAGGCCAGAGACCACTGTTCTTTTTTGTAGGGGCCGATCAACCCTGTCAAGCCTGCTTTGGTGACCGACTTTACTTAATAGTTAGAGTGATCGATCACTAAAGTTTTCTTTTCTCCACTGAGTCTGATTCCTTGTAATAATAGCAATAGCAATAGTAATACCGCCAGACTCGGTGGGCGGCATATCCGCGCTGACCTGTCTTGGCTGTGCTGTTATATTATTAATGCAAGGCAAGGCAATATAATGCACGGCAAGGAACTGATTGAATAAGTAAGTGGCTGGATGATCAGTTCAGTTTATTTTCCTTTCTGGCCGTGATTATCCGTAAGGTCAAGGACAACTGTGATAGTGGCCACGGCTCTGGCCACAGCCTGGCCTGAGCCGGTTTTACTGTGTTTATTTGCTTGCGCGTCAGAACCACTTAAAAAAAATATCCAACACAGATCTACAACTTATTAGTCCGAGCCGCAACAGAGATCCCAGCAGTGGAGTTTCAGGGATGACGGGCCAATGGAGGAAGCGGAAATACCGGGAGAAAGCCTGAGAGGGAGGGAAATATCATATCAGCAGCCGCTATTTGCGCACACAGCCCCTGTAGGCTATTTATTGCATTGCATATTTCTAGTGGTAGGATATGGAGATTGCTGTTATATCCCGTCCAGTACTTGTGCGGTTGTAGTTGTACAGCAGTCTCCAGTTATCTTTTGGGTGCCGTTCCTTTTTTAGAAACTCTTTGTCTCCCAGGGTCAGACTCATCTTTTTGTCTGGCGTTGTTTTGAGGGAGCTTGCGCAATCCACCTCCACCATCTCTAAACAAACTAATCAACCCAACCTTTAGACTAAATGGGGTATCCCTTGATCTTCAACGATACAGTGCAAGTGGAAGAACTTGGCTACAGATGAATGCTATGACGTTATTCTTCTGTTGCCCAGTGAATCCCATGATGATCAATCGTCTCTTGAACCTTGTTATGTGTGTATACATCCAATACTATCTTGAAATGCAGCTAGCAATAGTTGGCTGATGGCGTTGTACTATTATGTAGAGTAATTTAGATCTCTAATCCTAATCCCCTAGGTCCGTGGTCGTGGTCGTGGTCGTGGCCGTGGGCGTTGACGTTAGCGTTGGCTGGCTCTCCCGCGGTGTGCATCCATCAGGTCAGAATCAGATCAATCTTGACTTCTCCTGCATATGGCGGCAGATAACATCGACCTGGTTGGTTGGTTCGAATAACGACATATGCTTATGCCGCTGATGGCACTCCAGCCTACCTATGTGTGGTATAAGCAGCAGCACAGCACAGCGCAGCGCAGCAAAGAGGCGGCTGGTGTGAGGCTGGGTCCAACTATTTCCTTGTTGATTGTTGATTATTGGATTGCAGCCGCGTCAAGCAGTGTAGCCCAGCATGTCACAATACAGTATCTATCAGTACCTATCTGTAACCTCCTAATCATCTGCCGAACTCGACCTGACTGACTCAACTGCACTGTAGATTGCGTCGACATCTACGGAGTACGTAGTGGTATTGCCTTGATTTTCATGGCAGAGCGACAAAGAGAGAGGGAAAAAAAGAGCCAAAAGTGGAGATCCAACTTTCTGTAACTGACACACCGGATCAACTTCCTCGTTGAGGCCCTGGTATTGGGTGATATCGAATTATCCTGGCGGTGGAGCATTGCAACAGGGCTCCATCGAGAGGCTCCAGGCTTGGGGTTGGGATGATGCAACCGCCCCCTGGGGCTGGTATCATGGATGCTAAGCATGGAGCATGTATCTTTGTATAGCCTTGTATCATGTATCATGTAAAATGAACTGAACTGACTCTCCAATCCTTGCGACCTCAGACAGATATATAGGAGTCCATAGTCCTCTGCTCATTCATATGTTTTTTTCATTCTCAGCATCCACTCAACAACTACAATCGTTAAAGTCTCTCGTTTTACTTTTGAACCCGATCCAAATCTCTTCGAACCCTTTTCTCAAAACCCAAACAACCAAAACAACCTTCAAAATGCACGCCTCCGCTGCCGTCCTTGCTTTCGTCGCTGTCGCGGCTGCTGCCCAGACCCCCGTGGCCCCTGTTGCTACTCCCATCGCTACTCCCGGTGCCCGTTAGTTCTAACCCTTTCCTTCACGATACCTTCTTCTCCCGACAGTTTAACTAACATCTTCAACAGACAACAACGGTACCAAGCCCGGCTCTGGCTCCGGCTCCGGCTCCGGATCTGGCTCCGGCTCTGGCTCCGACGGCACCACCCCCGCCAACGGCGCTGCTGTTCTCGGCCTCAGCGGTCTCGCTGGTGCTCTCGCTGTTGCCCTTGCCCTGTAAATTTCGACACCTGTTGAACCTTGACAAGGGGTGGTGGATATGAGGACAACATGTACAAGCCTGCATTGTCCTGGAGGAACCGTGCTGGTGCGCGTTTAACTTTCGATGGAGATAGATCGGGTACGCGATCGTACCGGCTAGAATAGATAGATCAATGAAGCGCGATCGCTTCAGCTATATTAATACTAATCGCATACCACCATTGGATGATCTCTCCGTGACTGTTGTGTCTTCTGTACTCCCGTAGTGTGAAGCATGTTTTCATTTCACTTGAGCCTCACACCCCTGCTTATCTTTGAAAGCTTGGCGACAACCTTGAATTTGAAAGGTGGTACGGACATAATGCACGTCGGACGGGAAATCCTTTCCGGCTGTTGTGTTCTTATCTCCCTTTGTTGGTTCAGCCTGAAATCCTTCCGGGCCGCTACCCTTGCAACTTGGCTGAACTGATCGTGGCGGAACACAACGCCGATGCTACTATGTAAAACTCGCGCAGGCCAGGATTTGGTGTACCCTGGCGCTTCTCTTTTTCCGACTGATGGATCGATAAATAGATGTTCCTCCTTCATATGCAGTCGGATCGAAGACGTTGCGGAACCAACCCTTCCGAGAATATCGTATTTCGGGACTGTATCGTAGGCCTTGGGTCGCACAGAATGATTTGGGGCTTCCAGCGAGCATCGCAGTCGCGTCGCGGCGTATATGGCGTTGGCCCTATTGGGGTATTTGCATATATATGTTCGTGATTTTAGGCTTGACCTAAGCGGTGATAGGAACCTGGCCGCCCGATGCGCCTGATGTGGGAGGCTTCGGTAGATCGTCCTGGCGAGATGTTAGCTGGTCAATAATGAGGAGACGATGTTTTCGTGGAACATACCAGGTCAAAGATCACTCGGATCATGAGACTGCAGCTAGGGCAGACAGCAATATCCTGCTCATCCAGCAGGTCTTCGAGTGTGATCTGAAACTTGTCGCCGCAAGGACACGGGAACTGGTAAACTCCCATGGCCTCATCAAAGATCATATCCTCGATCTCGACCTCGTCGTAGATAGAAATACCCTCGTCGTCCGACATTTTGGCGCTTCGTTCTTGGTAGTAAAATTCCTTGGTTGGCCTAAGAGTCACGAACAAAAAAGGTTGCCCCGCGAATGCGACCAGAAATCAAAAATTCATTCTTCTCCCCGCGGAAAGTGGCGCGCATGCAATTGTCCAAATGTGGCTGACCCCTTTCTGTGGCGTAGTCAAATGTTAATCACATGCCGAATGCTGCGGGAGAGTGTGGGGAGGCTTGCGCCTGCCCCAGATTCATCGGCCGAGGAAGCTTATGTATGGGGAAGCTGTCTTCGATATGATGGAGCTCACAAGACGTTTCTTGGTCATGTAGCGCAACAATCTTACATCCATCAACACGTCTTCTTTCTGTTTCTCCTTAAACACCAACTTGAGACATTTTATCTGCACTACTAATTTTCTGCACTTGCATATCGGTTTCGATTTCAGATCTCCTCATGCGCCTGGCTGCCCTGGATAGATCTGTGACGTGACGTCGTTACGCCTCGGTTCACCACCAATTTCAACGCCCTTGCGACGAGTGATCGCAAAGTTTAGTCGAGCGGATCTACTCCTCCGTTCCAAAATAAAGGGCCTCGGGATTCCACCGAACAGCCATGGCGTCTCAGTCGAAGCTCGTTTTGCCGGGCGACCGCACTCTCCGCAGTATGGTCTCTCAGCTTACCAGCCTCTACGTCTCAAACCGCACACGTATCACCCGCGCTGTTTGGATAACACTGTTCGCTGCTCTTGCCAATCGAATACGTCTTGCTATTTCTGAGCAAAAGGCAGCTTCGGCGCGTGAAGCTGCGCAGCGCGCTGCCCGTCGCGGTACTACCTCGAGTGGAAGTGAGGAAACGCCACGGAAGAAAGTCGAGCTGAATCGCGAATTCTTTCGATCGCTATTACGATTACTTAAGATAGTTGTTCCTGGATGGCGCAGCAAAGAATCGAGGCTGTTGATGAGCCATAGCTTCTTCTTGGTTCTCAGAACTTTGATCAGTCTTCGCGTTGCCGAAATGGACGGCGCCATAGTAAAGGCTCTAGTGAAGGGCAACGGAAAGGAATTCCTCAAGCGCATAGTGTGGTGGATGTTGATTGCGGTTCCCGCAACCTTTACCAATTCTATGGTGAGTTTGGTCGCCATAAGTTGTTACGTTGCCATGCTAATCATGCCTCAAAGCTATCATACCACCAAGCCGAACTATCACTCAAATATAGATCCCGGCTCACACAACATATACATGACAAATATCTATCCAATCTGACCTTTTACGGCATCTCGGCTTTAGACGATCGAATAAAGAACCCCGATCAGTTGATCGCGGTTGATGTTTCCAAGTTTTCCAATAGTTTGGCAGAATTGTATAGCAACTTGGCTAAACCACTACTGGACATGGTAGGTTCCATCAATCAGAATTGACATAAGTATTGCTAACATCTTTAAGACTATATACACGTGGTCTCTATCAAAGAGTGTTGGTGGAGAAGGTGTCGTCTTCATGTCACTTCTTGTACAGCTATCCGCCAATGTGATGAGGGCACTGACTCCGCCATTTGGAAAATATGTTGCCGACGAAGCCAGACTAGAGGGCGAGTTTCGCTTCCAACACTCACGCCTCATCGACTACAGCGAGGAAATTGCTCTATACGGTGGCCATAACGCTGAGAAGGACACGCTGGACAAGGGCTACTTCACCCTCATCAAGCATGTCAACTATATCCTTCGACGACGGTTCTATCACGGGTTCATGGAGGACTTTGTCATCAAGTATTTCTGGGGTGCACTTGGTCTGATGCTTTGCAGTGTCCCCGTCTTCATCAAGATGCCGGGTCATATCGCAATGAACATGGGCGACCGAACAGAGGCCTTTGTCACCAACAGACGAATGCTCCTTTCTGCCTCCGACGCTTTCGGACGTATCATGTTCTCTTACAGGGAGGTAATGGAGCTGGCAGGATACACATCGCGAGTCGCTACTCTCCTAGATGTGATGGACGATGTTCAGTCTGGCCACTTCGAGAAGAAGCTCGTGTCATCCTCCGGCGTGGAAGGTAACGAGGCGGTGCTTAAAGGGCGTGGAACTGTCCACGAAAGCAACGATATCACCTTTGTTGATGTGTAAGTTTGGAACAATTCTTGACGGTTTTATCGCTAACATACTTGTTCCAACAGGCCTATCATCTCCCCCAACGGAGATGTACTAATCAAGGCGCTGTCCTTCACGCTCAGGCATGGTGACCATTTGCTTGTTGTTGGACCCAACGGCTGTGGCAAGTCATCTCTCTTCCGAATTCTTGGTGGCCTTTGGCCTGTATATGGAGGCACCGTCCACAAGCCCCCCTTTCACGCCATCTTTTACATTCCTCAACGCCCATATCTATCTCGAGGCTCTCTCCGACAGCAGATCATTTACCCCGACTCCCTCCGACAGATGCGCGCTCGTGGCGTTACCGATACAGACCTCCTTGAGTATCTCAAGATCCTCGGCCTCGAGCATCTCCCCGGATTATACGATGAAGGCTGGGATGCTGAAGCTGAGTGGCGCGATGTTCTTTCTGGCGGTCTTCAACAGCGTGTAGCCATGGCGCGCCTCTTCTACCACCGCCCCAAATACGCTATCCTTGACGAATGTACCAGCAGTGTCACCCTTGATACGGAGAAGGCTATGTACGACACAGCAAAGGCATTGGGCGTCACTCTTATGACTGTCAGCCATCGTCGAAGCTTATGGAAGTACCACTCACACATTCTCCAATTCGATGGTCAGGGTAACTACGTCTTTACTAAACTTGATGCCGACCGACGTCTTAAACTCGAAGATGAGAAGGAGGAACTTGAGGTTCGACTACGCCAAGTACCTGAGCTCGAGCGTCGCATTGCTGAGTTAACAGCCGCCTAAACATCCACTTCAACCTGAGAGATTTCACAGTGAAAATTTTGTTGGATACCCAGCGAGGAATGTTTGGATCGAGCTGTGTTATATAACCAGGAGTTCAGAGTTCGCTTTTAGTAAAGTAGTGTGTTGCATATTATACACCAGAAATGCATTGGTTTGGCTGTTTATTGTTTATCTAAAGTATTATGATAGCTCGGGGTGAAATTTAATGGCATTGACAGCTATGCCCAACCATTTAAACGTATCCTCCATATTATAGCCATCCTTGGCGAGATTTTCCGTCTACAAGTTATCCGGGTGATAAGGGCATGTCTTCTCGTGTACACTGTTATCGCTCTTCATAATATCTTTGTGGTTCGCGCCACACTCGAAGCAAAACTCATGCTTGCATTTAATACCTGCGACTCACGAGAGTCAGTACTGAATCAGATATTTGCTTGGGTCAAGCTGATAGTTCTGCGACTTAGTGGCGCCCGCCAGTGCAGTTAATGCGATGGCCGGGAGCCCACGGTTTGTTGCAGCCCCAGCAGAACTCATGGCGGCATTTGATGCCTAGTATCGTAAGCACTTAACATCTGGCCCTGTGCCATCACACCATTGCTGACAGGTTTGGGGTTTGGGTTTTGGGAATACGGGTATATGCAGAGCTAATAAATATCACAAAGGGTCCAGTGAACTTACAAGTCATATGTGAGCTATTGCCGGGTTAGATACACGTTGACATGGTTGAGTTGAGATTGGGTTGATACTTACCATCCATGGTTCTTCTCGATCGCCCATCCACATCCAGTACATGGCTTGGTTGTGCGGATCAGAGTGGCATTGCTCTTTGCCTCTTCTCTCTGCCTTCTGGCTGCGATCTTACGAGCGAGTTGTGCCGCCATCTGAGCCTGTTCCCTCTCACGGCGATGTCTCTCTTCACGGCGTCTGGCTTCAGCTTGGTCTTCAGCTATAAGACCCTGAGCGAGTGCCATGTCAGCCTCTAGCTGAACCCGTTGGGTTTCTGACCATCTTTCATTCTCCAATTCAAGACGGGACCGAAAGTTTTCTGGATCAGCCAGAAGTTGATCATATTCCTCACAAGACAGAGTTTCATGCCAGGCAACGTTGTGTTGGAAGCATGAGCGGTGGTTGCAATGAAGACAAGTCACAATAGGATGATCGGACCCCGATTCGTGTATTTGCCCAGAGCCACAACCGGAAGTACACCATATGAAGTTTTCAGCCTCCGACATGGCAGCTCGTAACGCTATTGTCTCGTACCTATATTCTGTCAGCTATAATCTATGTGTTCTGGATGTTTCGATCGTACTTTGCAAAGGTCTGCTGATTAGCATAACGTTGGATGTCGGCGTATTCTAGCAGCTCTCGACACTCAGGACACCTAATCTCGGTCCAGAGCTTACTACTCAAGTCCGACTCAATTGATAGCTGTATGCAATCAAGGCACGTGTTTGAGACATGCGTACACGTTGCCGTTATAGAGAAACGTGGGAAGCCCCCAACATCCTTGGTGTCTGCGCAAACAACACACTCTAGAGTACTCACGGCAGTGCTTCTTGGAATCCGCTGATGTGTAACAATCACATCGGATGAGTCAGAGGCCTTTTGGTACCGCTGCCCAAACCTAGAAAACAAGTTATTAGCATATGTTTGAAAGAAGCAGTCATATGAACGCCCGGAAGTATACCCAAGATTCGGTGGAGATGGCTCGAAAATGCTAAGTGTTTTGAACAAACATCCCTCAAAACCTCTACCGTAGGGATTTTGGGGCAATAATTAAGAAAAGGGGGTGAATAGACATACCGGAATTCATCAGCTGTTTCGTTATCTGACTGTTCCAGCTGGCGAGGATATGCCATTGCTGTTGCGTCATCTTGCTGTTCAGATAAATTCCTATGTAGATTTGTAGATGACGATGACGAAGAGGCAGCAGCAGCAATTTTAGGCCGTTTGTGAGGTAGTTCTGTGTCCCTCCCGGCGCTGCAATCGTTTTTGTTATGGTCAAGATCACCATCAACACCAACACCTGGGAGGTTGAGAATTGACGCCGCCACTGGAGCATAGCCACGACGGGTCACTGGAATCGATTTCTGACCAGAGATAGTCACGGAATCTGCGCTTATATTAGGAAGTGAGGTTGTAGCAAACTCTTCATCGTCCAGAAATGAAGGTCTTTGGTATCGAAATGCTGGTCGAGCAGAAGATGAAGGAGTAGGAGTAGGAGTAGGAGTAGGAGTAGGAGTAGGAGTAGGAGTAGGAGTAGGAGTAGGAGTAGGAGTAGGAGTAGGAGTAGGAGTAGGAGTAGGAGTAGGAGTAGGAGTAGGAGTAGGGACTGGGAGTTGGGATTGAGCTGCTGAGCCATGTGAAGATGACAATCCAGAAGGTGTCGTCTTCAACTGCGCTGGGGGATCCTTTGGCGTATGGGACTGCTCTTCGGTCGTTTCCTCATCGTCTACCAACCAAACGGAATCGGCATCATCTCCAAAGCCGCTCATGATATCTGGGTTTACCCGGCCATAGATTCCTGTGGATCTTGCAAACATGTTGTTCTTAAGAGGAGACGCGTCTGTATAAGGGACGTATGTGCGGGCGTAGGGATCTGTTTCTGAGGTATTCACAGTTGGGGGTTCAATTACTGGCTCCTGGGCCACGACTTCTTGGTGATTTTGGCGATCTGAGAGACTTGAGACAGTGGAGGGAACGGAAGTCGGCGGCAGTGGATAGAAGAATTGTCTACCGTAACGACGATTTTGAGGTTGCAGCTCGTTGACAGACTCGGTCGAGATAGTGGAGGGAACAGAAATGGGAGGTAGAGGATATGTAGGTTGCTGTTGATCTGAAGATCGATATGAAGGAGGGGATTCGGGGGGGATAGTGCCGATGGGAGTTGTAGGATGATTCTCGGTAAGTGCAAGTGCAAGTGCAGGGGCAGGTGGAGTAGATATTGCTGTCGTTTTTGCCTTCCGTTTGTGCCAAATGCTAGATGTTTTGCTCCTAATACAGCAAAACATCTTCCAAAGACTAAGGTAGAAAGAAGGCAGGCACGACAAAGGGTAGGGTTCCACAGTCCCAACTATGAGATGGTCCCTTTCTTATGACGAGACTGCGTTTTGTTTGCCCCCAGGTAAGCAGGACTGGTACGGGTTGCCTGTGAAGTTTGCGGAATCGTAGATGGCCAGGAAAGTGAAGAAATACCAATGTTGTCGAGTCCAGTTACCTCCTACCAAATCTTTCAACTGATATGGTACGGCATGATCCTTTAGCTCAGCTGGAATGTGCCATTGGGAAATAGATAGGTAGGTAAGAAGCCAGCATCTTACGAAACAAGAATCAGAAATCACACCTGGGTCAAGCAAGGGACTTTGCCCTGAAACTGAAAGTCCTAGAGCAAGACAAGGCAAACTACTAACATTAGACTAGATACTCACTCTATGCTACGGTAGAAGCCGTATGTGCCCCGCTGGGCTGAATTGGAAGTGGAATGGCTGAATGGTGGGTGGATGAGCTGGCATATTGAACCTAAGAACGCCCGATTAAACTGTACAAGGGGCCCCACCCCCGCCAAAGTCAGGGTGGGTTGTCACTCTTTACATTGCACCCCAGGGCGGCATTAATAATATTTGACGTCCAAGGCTGGTAAAGACAATATTCAGACAGTACAGGTCAAGTATGGCATGCAACACAACTATACATCACGAGCTGATGGTGGCTTGTTATTGTAACGGTATGTGCAGGTCCAGAAATCAATAATAATAAACAGCAGCCCATCTAGACTCATGTTCCTGCATAAAATCATCTGTGCTAAAGTAGATCTTGCTATACGACGATTATCGCAAGCAACTTGGTTTACGCCCAACTCCAGATAATTCAGACCATCTTACCCCGAACATGTATTTAAACTTAGACATATTCACAGGTCACCGTGTTATATCGTTGATCTATTGATTGTATTAGCAAACGTCATTGGCAAAAGGTGCTCCCCGAAAGACTCACTATTGTAGAGCAACGTGTAGGTGGTAGATGCCGAAAGATAGACAGCTTCGATCTTGCAATTAAGCTCATAGTACCACTGATCGTCTGAGCCTTGTCGGCGACCTAGCTGATTCTCCGGGATGTGGCTGACATCTGCCTCAATGTTTGCAAGAACTTTAACGTTCTCGTCGCGACCCACACGTGCATCTCGGGGCAACTGGTCGTTGTAGATTGTCATTTTAATCTTTCGGATGCGACCTTGGCTAACAGGGCCAGTCCAAACAAACGAAGTGAAGTATGGCTCGTTCTCAGACACGGCCGAACCCTGTATAAGTGTCAGTTCAGTTGCATGTATATGGAGAACTTGTGCTTTGATACTTACTCTAGTGATAAACCATTCCATTGCAAGAACTTTGTAGCATCCATCGAGACCACACCATGTTCTTTTGCTCTTGAGATGCCCATGAAGCTTGTCATCCCAGCGAGCACGCCATTCCGTCCCGTAGTGCTTTCTGGCCTTACGATTCTTCACTCGAACCACCGCAAGGTCTGGAGCAGCGTTGGCAAGTCCTTTGAGCACAGCACCTTGGACGATAGCTTGCCAGGCATTAGGGGGCTGCATAATCTGTACAGACTTGTCGACCGCGATTCGAAGTCGCTCTTTGAGATAGCTGGAGGCTCCGAAACCACCAACTAGGAGAATGGCGCGGACAGGCACGTTACTAGCAGTGATCTGATCCTTTACCAATCGGATTACCTCAAGCACGACAGGTTCGAAGATGGTTTGAAGGTCTGACGCTTTCAGGCTGAACCGACCACGGCTGATGCCAAGGGTCTTGTTGTTTGCCAAACCTGCCACCGGGATGTTGTAAGTCTCATCCGGCGCAACGTTCAAGGCAAACTGGCGTTTGACCTTTTTCTCAAAAACCTCCATGGCCTCTGCCATGACTTCTTCGTCGAACCCCTCTTCTTTGCCCAGCTTCCCTCGAAGGTACTTGGCGAAGCGCATATTGAGAAATGTTGAGCCGCATAATGCTCCTGAGCCAGGTGCTGCCTCCTGAACCTCAAGGATAGGCTTGAGACCCGTGATCGTGTACGAAATCAGATCGACAGTACCACCACCAGCATCGACAACAACGATGGTGTCGCCGACTTTGAGTCCATGAGGATCAAGGCCATGGAGAGCGTAGATTGCAGCAGCCTCTGGTTCGGAGACTAAGTGAACCTGCTGCTGGGAAGTCGAAAGTCCCGATGCCTTCTGGCATGCCTTCTTGGTCTTGTCTTTGGCCAAATCGCTCCAAATAGCGGGAACGGTGACGACAAATTCTAGAGGAGTGCTGTTGACAATGCTGTCACCGAGCTTTTCACGCAAGGTATACAGTAGATGGTCGCCGAGCTGGGAAATAAAGTCGGTGACAAGTTTGTCTACGTTTCGGCCGCCTCTTGCGCCATCAGAGGTCAATGTCTGGCCCATGGCCTGCAGTGAAGGATCTAGATCTCTTGGTAGATATTAGCTATCAGAACTGGATGTATTGAGGACTCTGGTTACGGACAGCTTGAACCACTCAACGACTTCATCTTGAGGTGCAGTAATGGGAATGGAAAATCCCCATTCAATCTTGTTCCCGTTGTATCGGAGTTTCGAGGGGACCTTGTCGCTGGACTCTCCCTCCTTGTTGGCGCTGGATACAGGCCATTGTGTGATGCAAGTTCGCCTTGACGGGTTACGACTTTCAGCCCAGGCAACTCCAGAATAGGTGGTGCCGAAGTCGATACCGACAATGATTTTCCGATCGGTTATTTTGAGTTTATCAAACTCCATTATGCTTGAAGGCGCTTATAATATGAGAAGAGAGACTGTATGGTGATAATACAGAGACAGTATGCGCTTCGTTCTGTAGCTCGAGGTTGAGTGGCACAATATGTGATTCGTACCTGCGACGGGCAACACGTGCGTGACACACGGAACGGATACTAAACCAGGGAAACGATGTCTTGGTTAAAAATGAAAGGAAAGAAAGGGAGTCAAATCCAAGCAGAAGAAATAGTTGGAAATGGGAAGGGGGTGGGGGAAGACAAAGGGGAGTGAATGTTTGGAAGTAACCTGCACCTGCCCCTCCCTTTCCCGTCGGTGTCGCCAGCGCCATATGGGCGCCTCACAATTCGGGTTGCTATGAACCTATGATGGATGCCTAGGAGGCATCTAAGTCTATGGAGCTTTCGGAGGTCCGGGAAGCTAGAAGGCATAGATGGAAACATAGCCCTTCAGTCTAGTAAGGTAGGTACATATGATGACTTACCTTGCCCCGTTTGATCCCTCAGAGCCCGGATCCAACATGCACAGGAAAAGGGCCTATCACTACAGTAGGTATTCAGCCTGGTACACATATTAACAGGTAGGCAGGTACTCGTATATCCTGGATTTTCCTCACTCTTTGGGCTTGCACTGAGCTCTTGTTCATTCATATTGAGGCTTGCACCAGCCTAAAGCTGGATTGTCCTGCAATGGTCGGACAAGGCACCCGCAAGGCTGCATATCTGCTCTCTATATCTGCCTCATTGACGTGACTAGAGTCTAGGAGTATTATCCGAACAGGAAAAGGATGAAACAGCCTTGGAATGAGTCAACGGTCCTTGTGCTCAGTTCTTCATCAATCCATAAAATGAATCTGCCTCGCAGCCAGAGGACTTAATAACACGATGTACAGTACAGTTAGCAAATGCCACTAAATGCTTTAGTTTCAGCGGATACGCTTGCGGCTGAGCTTGCTGAGCTTGTAGTTTGCCCTGCCTGAACAGGGGTTGCCTGCCGATCACTCAACGTACGATGCGGGGTTGATTGAGAGCTCCATTGATTATCACAAGACACTTGAGCTTGGCTGCCTAAGCATCAGTCCCAGGAACTAGCCAACCTACATGATTGAAGAACGCTGCAAGATACTCCGGTTCTGAATTCATTGGATTGTCGCAGTATATCACTTCGGTGTGACCAAGCCCAGATAATTGTAGGTAGTCAAAAGAAAATAGGAAGTGGTCGGTGATCAGCCTTGGCAGGGTCCTCATCCTTGTTTACTCCAGATGACACTTGAAGTGAATGATTTGCAGGTGCATCGACAGGGTGAATATTTACTCCCAAGGCAGTGTTCTTAGAATACCTTAGGTAGCTTCCATCATCCAATATCACTTTTAGACACTGCTCAACCTGAAACGAGACAAAAGCAGCCATTTATTTCTAGGCTTAATAAAGTGGCCATCAATCTCCAGCCTTGACTTATATCCACACCCCTCCTCTCCTCTGCACTCACTCCTTCTTCCCTCTTCCTTCTTCCTTTCCATGCAGCCAGCCTGCGGACAGTTCAATTCGGGCTGGAAGTCACTACCAATTCGTCTTTGGAGCTGCAGGCATCCGAGAAGCAAAGTGCCTCGCCTTCTCATATTTCTCTCTCGCTCCTTCTTTGCATTGCCTTAGGTTATTGCTTTGACTTGCCCATTCTAAATTCATCATAATAGTTCCTTCCTCGATTGGGCTTAATCTGTAGCACTGCACCGTACTACCTACCACATACATTCATTAAACATACTGCGTCACACTCACTCTCTCTCTCTCTCTCTCTTCCCACATGATAGGAGAAACATAACCAACTAACGAGACCCTCTCTACTCATCCTTTCAACTTCCTTCACCAATGGCGGATGCTCAGGATCGCGACTCCCCTCCCGTGGTACCTCCCAAGGAGCCCATTGGGGCCAAGACTACAGAACCAAGTGCTGATCCGAAAACAAAAGGCGAGCCTCCTGCCTCTAATAAAAGAGAGAGCGAAAGGGAAGGTCAAGAAAAGTCTCGTTCTCCCGAGAAGCGAGCTCACAAAGTGTCGCCAAGATCAATCCCTGGAGGCTGGAATGACGATGAGACCAGCGAACCAGTACTCAAGGGATATGAAACAATTGAACAAGGATCTCAGGCTCAGAAAGGAATGGGAAAGCAAGATCTAATGGAGTTGGATAATTCGGTTGAAACTCTGATCACCTTCGACGATGCCACTGTCCATCAGTCCCAATCCCAATCGCAGTCGCAGTCGCAGTCGCAGTCGCAGTCGCAGTCGCCGCCACTGCGTAGAACTGGTCTGCTACCCACATCTGAAGAATTTCAATCACTCGATCATCTTGCCGGCTTTGCAAACGATAGCCTCACTCATACCGATGATAAGCTAAAAGAGGAGAACATTCTTCTTCAACGTCACATCCAAGATCTTCACAGAAAGCTTTCGACACTCAGCACCGACAGACAGATTGCGGAAGAAAAAGCAGATAGATTGTCAGAAAAGGTCGACAGCATGAAGCAGAGAATGAGCTCCAGCATGACAGAGGTCGAGCGCAGCAGTGAGACCCTAGCTACTAAGGTAGAAGAACTGACAGAGGAGAATCGCGCCCTAAGGGAACAACTCAACGATGCCCAATCTCACATATTCAGCCTTCAACCCTACCGGAAAGACTTGACTCCAGAAGAGGTCGGACAGGTATGAACTTCGCGCCTTTCTACCTACGTACATCGCTCCCTTTACATTTGCTGACTCTTTATGCTAGGAGTATGATACTCTGGTCGAGCATGTTCAAGACTGGGTCCAGAAGTTTATGGACCCCTGGCTCGAAGACTACAAAGACGGTGTTGAAGCCCTCATGAACAACGCAAAGAAGAGAGCGGTCGACGCCAACAAGTTCAGAAAGGTTCTATACCAGTACCCTGATTTGGCCAATGGGTCCATGTTTCCTGAAACGGACGAGGACATCATCGCATCTGTAATAATGAGATTCTTACACGACAATATCTTCCAGTCTGTTTTGTATGGTTCCATTCCCCGCTACGTCGAGCTTATCAGTTTCATCGAAAACCAAATGCAGGCATCAGTCGAGCCCAAGAGAGGTACGTGTGGACCAGTATTCTCAATCTCCTTTAAGACTGCCTAGGGCCGTTGACTCACACCCGTACATAGACCTCTTCTCTGTAAGGACATGGACTGCCGAGGCATACAACACCCTTCTCAGTTCTCCCCAATTTCGATCCGTTCGACAAGAACGACGTGAGCAAATGACTCAGGAACTTGCAAACATACTCAAAATCTTCTTCAAGAGAGAACAGTTCCAGTGGTTTTGCGAAAACCTAAGCAAGCGAGTCGTGGTCCCTGCCATGAAGCTTTATGAGAAGTTTCTAGTTTCGACTAATCACTTCTACCTCGACATCAACCCCTTTATCGTCAGGGCTGGGGGAGAGCTCACTACGTCAACCGATTTCATTGACACAATCCGAAAACTCGACTGCAGGAATGTGCTCCAGAACCGAAAGGCGTTCAACGTAGAAAAACTCGATCCGCCGCCATCCAAGAAGGAGTTGTATCATCGCCTGCAGAATATCTGCACTGTGGTACCGGCCTTATACATGAGACAGATCGGGCAGAGAGATGCTATCAAAGATCCAATTGTAATCCGGAAGCAACAGATGCTGGTTGCCTGGGGGCCGGAAGAGAAACGCCGCGCTTATCAAAGCGGCGGTGATCGCACACTTGTCTCGCATTTGTATGCTTCTAAAAGTGCAGCCGAAGGATGGGCTGCCTTCTTGAAGTGAATGTCTTTGATGACAGCATAACAGTCACCCAAGCGACCGATGAATCTTTTGAGTTTTCGTCATGCATAACGAGGAACGGGAGAGCTTACATAGAAATTGGGATGATGATAAGCATGGGACAGGAAGTTGGCATGTGCTATTGTCTCTTGAGACAAGATTGACTGCACAATTTATTGATGAGATAGCGCTCACCTAGCCCAGGTAGCTCTTGGTCTTATAGCAAAGACTGATATCATAGCTTTTGGAGATGTGCCTTGTAAAAAGCCCCTTCGTGAAATTGTCATGTGTATTAGAAAGGATGCCTTCAAAAACACATGTTACGGTTTTTTGCACAATAGCTTCCAACTCTAAACCAGACGAGCATATGCAAAATCCGAACTTGAGGGGAATCCGATTCTAACTGATGTCAGGATTTCCGACATCTATTCATTGTGATGGTTCATTCCTAGTCATTTAACGGCACAGCAGAGGTAAATTATGAACTCGACGCCTAGGTGGCTCTCGATGTAAATTGTACATATGTGCTACAGGCACACGCCAGCTCCTTATGACCACAATATCCTAGCTATCCAGAACACCAAGCTTACATGATGAAAAACAGTAAAAAAGGAAAGGAAGATGAAAGCAAAGTGGTCTTTTGGTGAGGAACAAGAGAAACAACATCAGCGAGAAATAAAAGGCAAAGAGAAATAAAGTTGAAAAAAGTGAAAATGAAGAATAGCCAAACCCTCCTTTATCACCAAGAGGGCGGCGAGGTATCAGCACACATTGTATATCCATCCTTTCTTTCCCCTATTTCACGCCATGTCTCGCTATGTGCCTCAAGGTGATCCAACCTTGCTCGCTCTAGTTGTGAATACATGTTTTCTTTCTCTCATCCCCCCTCCTTAGGTTGAAGAAAGCTTTTATAATAAAAACCAGAAATGACAAAGGAAGACTGTAAGATGGACCGGTGTGGGTCTGTTCGTTTTGCCTATTGGCTCATATCGGTAAGGGAATATGTCGTCTCGTCAATGTTGGGAGGCCTTATCGTCAAAGCCCACGTTGTACCGGCCAAAATAAGCCCGGAAGTAGTCCTACTCCTCATCCAGACTTCCCATCGTGTCGTTACCCTTGTTGTTCTTGCGGCCAAGCTTGAGCATGCTGAATCTCTTGCGGACGCTGCCCTTCTTGCTGGCGAGCTTGTTCTCTACAGCCTTGTCGTTACCGCCGCCGAACTGTTGTTCGAGACTTCCTCGACTGCTGAAGCCTCCAGGTGATTCAGGGGGCTTCTCGTCTTGGGATTGAGTGCGGAAGAAGCTATGTCGGCGGTTGTGCTCTTTGCTTTGGCTGCGGCTGAGAGAACGGCTGAGGCTGCTGGCGGTTTCAATATCCCCGGCAGTCTCCTCGGGCTCAGTTGGTAGCTCGGGCTCCTTTTTCTTGCTGCCGCCAAGGAAGCTGAGTCGTGTGCCCCGTTTCGAAACTGGTCTGATCACTGAAGCCTCTTCCGTTGTAACGCCGTTGAGTAGCCCAATGTTCTTAGCCTTTGGGCTAGCTTCTGAGGAACGAGATGAACGCCTCCACGTTGGAGAAGGAGTTGCGACATGCTCGCGCTGTGGCTGAGGTGGTGTCAAGTACGCTAGCTCTGTCGCAAATGTGCTCTCGAAGCCTGTACGACGAGTTAGTAGTCTGGAATGTCTCCACTAGGAACTTCAACTTACATCTATGAAGCTCATCGTGTTTGCTGCTGAGAAGCTCATTGGGACTTCGGGCGAACATGGCGAGACACCTCTTGACCATGATTGCATGATCGACAAGCGCCATCTTAATTGCGCTGTCTTGAGGCGTTAGCTGCACTTCGGGCGCTTCTTGATCCTCATCTTCTTCGGCATCCTCGTCGACCTCCTTGGGCTGTGGTAGTAGTTGGCGGTAACAGGCGACACTGTTCTCGGAAAAGGGGTTTACGGAGACGCTCGCTGCGTCAAGAAGAAGCTGTGCATGGTCTCCGTTCCCATCATTTACTCGATGCTCGAGGGCAGTCATCTCTTGAGTCTTGCGGACAATACGCTCCAGGGCTGTCTCGTGAGCACCAAGGTTAATCTCCTGGGCGTCGACAACTTCGCTGCGACGAAGAATAGTAGGGAAGGCATCGGCAGTCGTGAATACCAACTTCTCGGCAGAGTGCTCCTTCACAGGGCCAGTCGTATTACGTCTTGTCGAGATAGAAAACGTCTGGGGGTGTGAAGATAGCAGGAAGTCTCTGATCACCTGCGGGACGCGTGCGCGCTGGAAGACTTGATGGTTGAGATCACGATGAGGTGTGACAGCTGAGATCACCAAGAACTGTCCTTCCACGTCGTCCACGTCCCCTCCGGTGACGATCTGAGCGGCCGGGTATTGTTCTTGCATACGGTCTGCGAACGCTGAAGCGCGTTCACTAAAAGATCCTTCATATATGTATTCCTTGTCTCTGATGTTGGCGTTGAATCCAAGGCCTTTGTAGACAACCTTGAAGTACTTCGGAATAAGCTTGTCGCTCTTGGCGATTGTCTCGTAAATCGTTGCGATCGCCCGCTCGGTCCTGGCGAGCTTAGAGAAATCAAAGATGTTGTTCTCGTACTGTGCTTGTAGCTCCTTGTACGCCGCCAGAGCATGGCTCCACGACTCTCCTTCTTCGAAATACTTGATCATGTCGAAGTAGAGCCTCTCCTTTCGCTCGAATTGCGTCTGCGCCGGGAAATCCGGGTCTGGAAGTGCGGGAGTTTGGGTAGTCGGGTCCCATTCATACAAATCAGCATGAAGTCGAAGAGCCAAACCGGCTTCGGTGTTGTTTCGCGATTCAGCTTGCAATTCTGCGAGCTGGTGCACATATCGAACAAAGATCTCCTCCTTCTGCATGTCGCGAAGGAACTCCATGAGTCGAAGGCGGTTGATTAGGTGTGTTGCTTCATCAGTATCATCGCTACTGTGAACCGCAACTAGAAGGTCAAGGAATTCGTCAATAGTGCCAACAAACTCGCGTAGCGCAGTGTACAAGGTTTCATCGGGTTCGTCTGCTAACGGTCCGAAACGGTCAAGGATCTCAGAGATAAACAGTTTCTGGAGAATGCTTTCGGTCAAGGGTTTCTCCTTGAAGAACACATCCAAACGGTCGATCGTCTCAGTCTGGATGATCGAAAGGTCTTCGCTCAGAGTCCATTCACTGACGATCATGGTCTGCAGCACCTCGACCGCCATTCTTCGAAGGCCTTCATGCACGCTGAGACATAACTCAACAATAGGGCCAACGAGCGCTGGAACATATTGCACTTGATATCCTCCCATCTTAGAAAGGCTGTATCGGCTCCGCTCATCGGGCGTCGTCTCCCATCCGATTGCCTCCCAAGTGCGACGAAGGAGTTCAGCACCCTGTTCTCGAACATCACCCGCGATCTTCCACACAGCTCTTCGCTTCTGCTCTGGAAAGGTTTCAAGCGCAAGAGACGTGCTGCCCACAAGTTTGAGGAGTGTAGTAAAAAAGAGTTTCCACAGCTCGGTATTGAAGCTCTCTGCTTCTTCCGGATCAGGGAGAAATGCGTCCAGCATAGTACTAGCAAGATACTCAAGCGTCCGCATGGTCGATTTGTGGTGATGAATATGTACACTCAACCATCCTAAGGGATATGCTTCTCCCTTCAGAATGCTCATGTGTACTCTAAGAAGATTTTCTAGTAGAGTAGTCAGGTCGTCCTCGGCAAGCTCAAGTTGCATACCGGAAGGTGAATTAGAAATTGCAGATAGAATAGCAGAAAGCTCGACCAGGGCTTCATCGAATTGAAGGTCATCATTAACAGGTTTAGTAGGGAAAGGGTATGAGGATGGGAAAAGAAGAGAAAGGCGATCCTTTGGCTTATGAGGGGCTGAGAGGATCGCTAGGTATGAGTCGATTATTTTAGGAATGTGATCGGGGATCTCAGAGCCGAGGTAGTCGATTTGGCTGGCTAGCACAGAGCAGCATAGACGGATCTGATCCCTCCACTGATCTGTTAATTGTTCGGTGTGGCCCCAATGAGGAGTGATCCATCGAACTGTGTTGGTACTCAATGCCAGCTTTTGATCTGGATGAGCAAACAGGTCCAGCTTGCCGTAATTGATAATCAGCACAAGCTTATACAGAACGAGCTTGCCCTTAACATCAGTGCACGAGTCCATAAAGTCAATGGCAATGTGAAGTATTTCCTCAGTGTTCAGCATACCAGCAAGTTCTGGTAGCCACGTATGGAAATGCTGCACAGCGAGTGTCTGAGTTCCCACAAGGGCAGGGGCAGAGTTGCGCATCATCGCGTCAAGTGCCTTAAAGATGGCACGAAGTTCGCGTGTAAAGCCCGTGGCGTTGGAGGTGATGCCAATGCCAGCTTCCTTCTCCCTTTGCTGGTTTCTCGCATGTGTGATAAATTTAAGGATGTGCCTGACAACTTTAAAGGTAGCACGGAGCTTCCGAGCAGTCTCGGGCTCCGTTGGGTTCTGAAGAAGTCGTGTAAATGATCGCATCAAGCATGGCGTCGCAAAAGGATAGTTGAACTGGTTCTCGGCGTATTGATCCACCAAGGGGCCTAGGTTAAATCTTCGGTCATGGACGATGCCTAGCACTCGAACTAGGGCAGTGAAGACAAGATCCTCAAATTCGGAACTCCCAGAATACTCCACAAGGGCTCCAAAAAGGCCGTCCAGTACATCATTCAGCAGTTTAACCACCTCGATCTCAGGCACAAAGATGAGTTGTTTGAGTATGTCGATGACCTCTTCTCGCTGGAGATCACGCCACTTCAAGATTCCCAAGATCACTCTATCTTGGGAGAACCGAGTGCTGCAGAGATAAGTGTTGGTACGAAGGATAGCAAGAGGGCCGGTTGTTTCAACTGAGCGATCATCTTTGTCTTGAGGGCTCCAAGAGAGTGATAGGTATCCGCCCTTCCCGCTCGGTCCAGGCTGGGCAGTAGAGGTGTGTTCGTCTATCTTATAGAGCAGTAGGCCGTGTAAACCATCCCGTATGAAAGCTCCTTGATCCCACAGCGGGATGTGGCCTACAGCAAAAGGCGGGTTGGGCATATCAGAAACAAACATGACAACGTGAGCTTGTGAAACATCGTTAGGGGCCAAGGAGAAGCGCAATGTCTGATCCCAAGGCTCTCCTCGCTCCGTAGCTATCGACTTGAACGTACTCAACGCTTCTGTGTTGGAAGATGCAAAGATGCAGTTCTCGATTCGTTCGCCCGTTGCCTTTCGAACCTCGAGGGTAATCTGTAGGTTGTTTCCATGGACACTAGATGGCATGGCTGTTGCACTACCGCCAAATCGTGACAGAAGGTTCTGCTTCCCCAGTGTAGCATCGGTCAAGGTGAAGTATATGTCCGAGCGAGGTCTTGTAGGGGCACCGGAAAAGCCCATCTTGCTTGTCTTACTCACACCCGAGAGCATCGTTGGAGTAGACTTGATGAGGATATCGGCATCCAAATGATCGAAACTCTTGAGCTGGAGCTGCAATCGTTCTCCCCTTCGGGACTTTTCGTAATGGCCGGAAGGGCTGTCAAGCAATTCCTTGACCAATGGGTCCCAATCATCTCCGGCTTCCTTCTCGCCTGCGTGTCTTGATGACGCCGACCAAATGTTTACAAGATGCTCGACTTCGTCGTCCTGCTTCATGATCGGGTTCAGTCGTAAAACACCAAGCCCAATCGTGCGATCTGCGGTCTGTACACTATCGATCGGGCTGCCAGTTTTTGAGCCTGCCGTGCTTGGTGGTGCAGTGCCTTCCCGGCTCTCAGCACCGTTCATTGATAGTCGTCCGTCACTCTGTTCGGCAACAGCATCCATCCGTCCCGCAGGCGAACCTCTTGAGATTCCGGTTCTTGAGCTCTTCCCACCCCACATAAGACTTCTTCGAGTATTCTTCATTCCGCCTGCAGATGTCGGTTTCATTTGGTCTCTAGAATATGAGGCTGATGGTGCGGTTCCGGAACGAGACAAAGGCTGCGAGGCAATAATTTGTTGAGATGCCAACACCTTGACAACGAGGAAGAGTTCGGTTGCTGCTGAAGGTACGTCGCCCACGTCTTGCGATGATAAGTCAGTGAAGAGTGTCTTTGTTTGGGCATGCTTGGCCAGGTTGACGAGTGTGCCACCAGCAGGGATCTTGACGGTAAATCCTTCTGAGAGAGTAAAAGGCTGGCCATATTGAGGTTTGCTGACAAGGTAGAACACGAGCGAGGTCTCCTCAATCGAAGCACCAGCAAAACCCTTGATGTCGATCATGAGGTGGTGAAGAGCTGTCAATTCGGCATTAGACTGTGGAGGCTCGTCCAACAAGCTCATTACGGACTGCAATTTAGTGACCTTAACAATGCAGTCGTCGGCTGTCAAGACCCTTCCTCGCGCTTCGGGATCCCGCACAATGACCTCTCCTCCACAAAGCTTGTTCACCCTCACCAAGTCCCAGACGGTCTTCTCGCGTAGGCGGTCATATTCGTGCGCAGTGAGAACGTTGTACAGAAATTGTTGACGGTGTAAGTTTAGACTCGTAATCAACTGGGAGAGCTGGTCTAGTCGGCCATATTGTCGGGAGAGGAGGAGTTCGTGTAGGTTGGTAGAGTGCCATTCTCTAAGACATGAGGCGATTTCGTCGATCAATGGCTCTGAGAGGGAAGTCGGTGTCTCATCTCCAATCTTCAGCATCGGTACGGGCGCAGCAGGGCGAGGAGCATCAGGGTCTCTGTCTATGGGCACAGGGATACTCCCCAAGGTACCATTTGGAAGCTCTCTGAAAGGGATTCTGCCTTTGCTCGAAATCGTTGACCTGTGTCCATCTTTTCTACTTTTGCGCGCAGAATTATTTGTCACGCCACTCTTAGCAGAATCACTTGCGCGTGGCATGTCGCCATCCATAGCGAGACCATCGCTTGCTGCATCGTCGTTCTCGTCATCCTCCTCTGGCTCCCCTAGCATCTCGCGAACTTCAACACAGCTTCGGGGGAAGATTCCACTGAACACGCGCGCTTCGAGAGTTTGGCCTTTCACTGAAGTCAGACCAGCCAGCAGACTGGGAGGCGCTACCAGGTAGCCGCGCAACCAGTTGCCGTCTGGCGTCTCTTCGATAATGTAGAGCTCATCGCCAATTTCGAGAGGCAGGTCGGCCGGGCTTGAGGCTGGAAATGGGTAGGTCGCGACGGCGAACGCGATGCGGGGGAGAGGCTGCCAGGGCATTGAAGATCGTAGGTAGGTACAGCAGGCTGGCCCAAGTTGTCAAGAAGGTTTAAGTTGACTGCCGCCGGAGCTGGCGTGGTGGAGAGCTTCGCAGTTGGGGGTCGGCAACGGCGAGAGGTAGTGAATATATTAACGGTTCGATAGAGAGTCAGGATAGGAGTCGCTTTTCGGGGTATGTGGTTTCGGTTGCTGTGTAGAATTCATCAAGAGATCTAAATTCCAGAAAGCAGTGTCAGGAGCTGTCGTTGAAAGAATGCCCCGTTGGCCAATCGCGGGCTCATGGGTGTGTTAGGTTCTGTTCCTGCAGCGCAAGGGAAAGAAACCTGGGATATAACGCGGAACAGGCACAAGGCACAAGGCAACGTCTGGATCGGTTCGAGTTTAGGGGCGAGGCAGTCGAATTCTATTCGAATGCGCCGATTTAGGACCAAGGCGTTGTTGCTGAGTGAGCTGTTTGGTTGGCAGGTCGCTCAAACCAAACCAAATCAAATCAAATTCGACCCCTGAGCAAACGCGAAATAGCTTGCGGCGGGTTTTTGGCAAGGGTTCTAGATCGAGGGGTGGCCGCAGCCTTTTTTCGCGGGATGAATATGGATGGTTGTTGGTTGGTGCTATGAGCTGCGAAAGGACTAGGTGCCAAGGCAAAGAAAGTAAGATATATTGGTAAGATAGAACAACGTTAGGGAACTGCTGTATAAGAAAAAGGAGACAATAAGAAAAAATGTCTTGTATTGTTGAATTGAAAGAGTGAGATGATGTGGGATATGAAAAATGGCATAAGTGACTGAATCATCCATACCGTGAGATATGTGCTAACGAGTAAAGAAAGTTGGGCTAGTTATGATACAGTTCCACGTCTCAAGAGGGAGGGGGTCGCCGCCTTTGGCACCAACATTATCCCTAGGTAGTCCCTACTGCAGATAGGGATATGTACGATTGTACGTGCGTTCTTTGGTCTCACTTTTGCAGATGCAAAGAAATCTGTAATTGCTTTTGTTCTTTCAGGGCTTCCCAATCTCACAATTCCTTGAACCTGTCTCCACTAACGACTGCGGTATGTGCTGCAAGTTAATGAGTGTGGAGTGCCCGACAAGCCGTGAAATATGGGGGATTGGATGGAACATGGAAGAGTGGATGGGACGGAATTAGCCATTCATTGGATCTGTCCTAGGGACCTGCAGCGGTGCAGCCTCTCTCTAGTTACGAGTCTACCTACTGTACTAACTTACAGGCCTTGGTCTTACACACCAAAATGGCATTGATCAGACGGCATCTGCCCGGGCTGTCTAAAGACTACCTAATTAATTAATAGAGTCCGTGCCATATTTGACAATAAAATGTTCAGACGAGATGAATACGCCCGGTTATCGTATTAGCTCGTGCCAGTAAAAGCGACGATACAAGTCCGTCCTCTGCAGGGTTCGCATTTTCCATTCTTCGAACCTGTGCCCTGTGACTCGAACTCTTGTGCACACAGGACACATCACCATGGGATTCGGTTCCCTTGCTTTGTCGTGATTCCACTTGCACTGCATCCAGGTCATGTTTTACCGCCACCAACTTCCATCAAAGGAATGTGGTGGTCTTACACGATACCTTCAAAGGATCAACCATCCGCCAATCGTACGGACATAATCAGAAACTTATTTCCGATATTTATCTTTACAGAAGCTTCGGTATCTCATTGTTCAACTTCGAAATTGGGTACTTTAAATAACTCCTTATCTTCATCAATCAAACCTTCTCCCAAGACAGCTTGTTCCATCAGATGCTACAGCACTAACACTGGAACTTAAACGTCCCATCCTGAGACACTCCACGGAACTCAGATCCGCGAGAATGCTCTATCCCATCCCTGCATCAACCATCGACCCTGCAGGCTGCGGGCTGCGGGCTGCAGCAACCCCAACTCTGCTGTGTCACTGTTACTCTCATCCTGCGTCGTGTTCGTGCTTTGTAACGGCTCATAGTTGCATGCGCGTGGCTTCCTTACGAGGCGCGATGTCATTGTTGTCGATTACGTGCCACCACAACCTCTAACTTCTAAAACACGATTTGCGATCCTGATTGGGACAAGCCTTTTCAGTATTGGTCTTTGTTGAAACACGCTAAGTTGACGACAAATAATATTCGTAAAACTTTCCTACCAATGCGAAAGATGATATTATAATTTGGATCGCAGACAATGAATCTAGCAAACCATGTAATACCACCGTCATGTCACATAAACTCTTATTGTTCGACACATTTAGATTTAGGAACTCAATACAATTTAACTCGTTTATTTGATATTAAATCCCCAGTCCGTGCTATGGTTATCCATTCAAATTTACCAAGACTGGATGCTTACCCTGGAACGCACCATCACTCGGTTTTCACGACTTCGCATTAAAACCTAGGATCCAATGAGAGGGTATATGTGGTTGTGCATTTGGATATTTTCGGTGATTAGCCTGTATTGACTGCGTCAGGTTCAGCTAAAGAGCATGCAGGATGTGTAGTCGTCGCATTCATAAGGGTTCTCCCATCACGGCCACAGAATCTAACCAAATGGCAAGAATACGAAACTATTGGACTTAACAACTAACCATCACTGACAGCTAATTAATAGCTGGATGTTAGTTATCCCGAAATACTAGTGACTCTCCGGTAATTACCCTTCGGCACTCGAGACAAGATATATAACCCTTGTCATTAAGAGGGGGAAATCATCCTAGGCCATCGTGGTAAAATATCCACTTAACAATCATATCTGGCTGGTCTGTATCCCAATCAAAAACTCCGTTACACCACGGGTTTATGATCGCCGTTATTTAGACAAAAGAAGATAAGGTAATAATCACCTCGGCACTTTATAAACTGAACTCGATAAACCACTTACACTAATTCTCTTATCCATCCATCACACAGCCTCTACAGATGTAATAGCCAAATTTGCATATATAGTTGGCATTTCCAAACATTTCTTCCTATACGCCCAGCAAGCCATCTAAGTGGTAGATCAACAGTCAGATATCTTCCCCTCACGAGCATACCTAGTAAACCCCCCACATCCCAAGCTTTTTCTAAAGGTATATGCAGTCGGCCATGATTCCCAATAAGGCAGTCCATAGCAGCGACACCCACGCTACGACCGGAAGCACCTCTATAATCCGCCAATTCGATGCTCCTATACAGCCTCGTGCCAATATAGATCATGTGGACTGACGTGGTATCGCGCAGTAGAGATGGGAAGAGAGGGTTCTTAAAGGCGGTAGTTTCCCTAGCTGTGTGATTGATCTTCCAGACTCAGCTTTTCCCTCACTCAGTCCACCCAACACATTGTATATATCCAAGGTTGTTCTTTTTATTCTCCAAGTCTTCGAGTGCTAACATCTGCCAAGGCGTGAGGAACAAGATGGTGCTCATTTCCCAGGTCATATCGGGCCTCGCTTTTGCTGCAGGTGTGCTTGGATCGCCCATCGAGCGTCGGGCTGTTATCAGCCACGACGCTGTCGTCGGATTCCCGCAGACAGTCCCATCAACCACTGCTGGATCGCTTTACCTCAAGTACAAACCATTCCTTAAAGTATTCAATGGATGCGTGTCCTTCCCTGCGGTCGACAGCCAGGGCAATACCGGGTATGTATTATTCTGGCATATCTGAAACTCAGGCTGATCCGGTGTATTAGTGCAGGACTAAACCCGACTGGTTCCTCTAATGGAGGTTGCAGCAGCAGTACCGGACAGGTCTATGCACGAGGCCAGGCCTACAATGGCCGCTATGCCATCATGTACTCCTGGTATATGCCGAAGGATTCACCCTCAACAGGCCTAGGACACCGACATGACTGGGAAAATGCTGTCATCTGGCTGTCTAGCGAGAGCACAAGTGCTACTGTGGTTGGCATGGCAGTTTCTCAGCATGGTGGATACGACAGAAGGGCTTCGGGTACCTTCTCGGGCAACAGTCCCCTAGTAGGATATACTGCCAACTGGCCGACTAACCATGAAATGATCTTCACCAATGACCAGGGTGGCCAGCAGCCTTTGATCGCCTGGGAGAGCTTGACTGCTGCAGCTCGTACATCTTTGACGAACACCGACTTCGGCAGTGCCAACGTTCCCTTCAAGGATGGCAGCTTTGAGTCCAACCTGGGCAAGGCGGTTATTTAGGAAACTGTGGATTGGTTGTCGGAACTGCCACCATGCGATGAAGTGAGGTGAATCTCAATATAGTCGCTGATAGTGAGAAGTCCAGAGCTTCTGGGCTGGTGAACTCCCCAAGTATAGGTACTTAACAGTATGAATACTTATTATGAGTTCAATCCAATGCCTGAAGCACATAGTCTTCCATAAGTCGTACTGTATTATGTGATCAAGCCAGGGGATGTTTTGGTGTACAGCACATGCAGTAACGGCGATAGATGATTGATAATTGTGCTCGAGTGTTCGTCCAAGGGTGTTGAAATTGCATCATGCTTGATCATGAGTTGACATGTCGTTGTTATCTTGGTTGTTTGCCACTCTCTGTCCATCCAATGATAGTCTTCCCAAAGATTTCTTTACCAGTAGAACAGCCAACGAGACTCATCAACTACAGTGGGCCACGGACGGATGAAGCATGTGGGCCAAGCATCATCGAAACAAATCGTCTGCGCGTTAGTTAAGCTCAACCAAGGGTCCACCACCAAAAAGTTAACATAATGTGGTGATAGCCTCTCCGATAAAAGATACAGAATCTTCGGAACCAGAAACAAAGTGGCGAGCAGAAGAAGACACGGATGCACAAACACGTTTAGAGGCCCCTCACTAACCAGCAGAGCACGCTCAGCCGTTGGCTATGGACGTTATAACTTATCAGCGCAAGCTAGGGGGTTGACTCACCGTAGCTCGCCTTTCGGGTACAGCAGTGCATGGCCCCGCGCTGTGGATTGACATCATCTTTGGATTTCTCCTGCTTGCGCAAACGGAGGGGAATGCGCTGTATTAATGATGGCGCCTCCTTTTCTCGATTAATTCTTTTTCTTTTTCTTACCTTACCTACATATCAGTTCCTCAAGTTAGCCGAGCACAACCGCAATAATACCTTCCTGTCTTGCTTGAGCTTGATCTTTCTAAATCAACATTTATTTCTCCACGCAACAGAGACATTTGTTACTCGATCCGCTGATTTTGAAATCTGCACTGGCAAAACTTACCATTGAAGGCATTTTCAGCAATACTGTACGCTTTTGAAAAGAATCGGCAAATATGGGAACGCCTTTCATTACCTTCCTCGGGCCTAGTAGCCTCGAAGGATACAAGCGCGGGGCTCCTATAGAAGAACAGCCACCGACAATTTCACAGACCTTCCTGGATGCAATGGAAGTTCGTGAACAGGTCTTTGTGGAGGAGCAAAAGGTCCCTGCCGAAAACGAGTTCGACGATGATGACCCGCGCGCATGCCACTGGGTAGTATACGCAAGTATCAACAAGTTGGAGGAGTTGGAGGTTCGCGACGAGGAGGGCAATGTGATGCAGCCCCGGAAGAGCTCGACACGTTCAACACCGATTGGAACTATACGACTTGTACCATTCCCTCATGACCCGCACCCGAAAGAGGGAGGTAAATATTGGAACGGCGTGTTAGAAGGTGAGAACGGCGACAAGAAGGGCCACCAAAATGGGAATACGGATGCGCTTGAAGTGTCTTCAAACAGACCATACGTTCTAGACCGAGAGACGACATTCCATAATGGGCAGGAACCATATGTGAAACTAGGACGCCTGGCAGTCATTGAAGAGTTTCGAGGGCGTCGTATCGCTGGACTCCTCGTCAACACTGTACTCAGCTGGCTAAAAGCCAACCCTTCATACTTTGATCCCAGCATCAAAGAGTACGGGCTCGAGCAACTCAACCCGGCCAACTGTGAGCAAACAATCCCCCAGTGGGCAGGACTAGTGTGCGTCCACGCGCAGTCGCAGGTGGAGGGCTTCTGGAAGAGATGGGGCTTTGAGGTGGATGAAGGTATGGGGACTTGGTCGGAAGAGGGCATGCCACATGTTGGTATGTTTCAGCGACTGGAAATAGGAGAGAAGACAGTCCGTCTTGATTAGATACCCTTTGTTGCCATGAGTGGTAGTTTTACGGCATGCATATATGAATTAGACAATGGGTTGAGGGCAGTAAAGATTCAGACGTTTATATGTCGACAGGGGAAAAGTAGTCGGATTACATTCAAGACATGTGATATAATAAACATGGACGAACATTAAAAGTGTAATTTGAATTTAGTTCATTCAATTCTCAGAAGCTCGACTTTTTTTTATTGAATCTAGAGCCACCTAAGAAAACCCATAGCCGCGTTCCCAGACCCGATGAACGCAAAATGCAATTCTGAAAGAAGCCGGAACACGCCAAAGCCAACCCTTCCAGTCATGATACCACCGTTGCACCTTTTATCGGTTGCTCTTGGCCACACGCTCCAACTCGTCCTTCTTCTTGATAGCGTAAGAGTTGCTGGAACCCTTGGCAGCGTTGATCAGCTCCTCGGCAAGGCACTCAGCAATGGACTTGACATTGCGGAAAGAGGCCTCGCGGGCACCAGTGGTGAGGAGGGAAATAGCCTGGTTGACTCGGCGGAGGGGAGAGACATCGACGGCTTGTCGTCGGACGGTACCGGCGGAACCAATTCGGGTAGAGTCTTCACGAGGACCACAGTTGACGATAGCGTCGACGGCGACCTGGATAGGGTTCTGGTCGGTCATGAGGTGGATCTGGCCCTAATGTTAGCACCTTTTGTGATCGCGAAAAAAATAATATTGACCCTTCTCGTAGAGGGATGTTCAGGTGGGACGTACGATCTCGAATGCGTGGGCGACAATTCGGACAGCCATGAGCTTCTTTCCGTTGTTGCGGCCGTGGTGCATCAGAGAGTTGGTCAATCGCTCAATGATAGGGCAGTTGGCCTTGCGGAATCGCTTGGTGGCATATCGGCCAGCGGTGTGGGTGACGTAGACGGGGTTTCGCAGGGAAATGTAGTCACTATCGAGGCAAGTCCGTCAGCATCTCGTCGCGCACAAGTGAGGTTTTTGAAGATAATTTCCGCAGAGACAAAACGTACGTCAGGGAGATGTCGCGGACCTCGACATCGTAGTCCCACTTGTTGAAGAGCTTGACATTGCCAACCTCCTTGACAACATCCTTGGGAAGCACCTCGTAGAGGGCGGAGTTCTCGACTTCGATCTCGCCGGCGTCAGACATCTTTGCTGTTGCAGTGGTTTACTGGACTGACGGGCTTCGGTTAGTACGACTGTGATCGAAGTGGCAGGAGTTCAAAGTTGACGATGTGGGCGCATCTGAGATTCGAGAGAGACGGCCAGGAGGGCAGAATGTGCCTCTGGGTGGGGCGGTGTGAGCCAATCACGAACGCTTAAAGTTCGGGTCGGGGTCGCACCTTCTTTTTTCTTAGGGCTCGGCTGCCCTGCGAAACTCTGGGTCGGTCTTTCCACTTTCCATTCGTGCAGTGTCAAGTTAGAGAGGTTCTTCGGATTGAACAACACACTTTGTCCAACCCAGTCAACCGCCAGCACATCAGACAATATGGTAAGTTCACGGCGACGCCCTCACGGCGGACTTTGCGAAAAATGAGCATTTGATTGACTTGAACATCAGGCCCCCGCCGTTGGAGGAAAGAAGCAAAAGAAGAAGTGGTATGTATAAGGCGAACCGCACCGTCATCGACGATATCACGAAACTTACGCATTTCCAAAGGTCCAAGGGCAAGGTCAAGGACAAGGCCCAGCACGCCGTCGTCCTCGACAAGACCACCTCTGAGAAGCTCTACAAGGATGTGCAGTCTTACCGTCTGGTCACCATCGCCACTCTCGTCGACCGAATGAAGATCAACGGTTCTTTGGCACGACAGTGCCTTGCCGACCTCGAGGAGAAGGGCATCATCAAGCCTGTGGTTACTCACAGCAAGATGAAGATCTACAGTATGCCAGCCCTACCTACCCCTCTCGCACGAACCTCACATCACCCGATGCGCCTCCCTGAAACAACTGCTAACATCACTTTAGCCCGTGCCGTCGGTGGTTCTGACTAAATGCAATGAACGATAAAACTTGAGTCTCACGATTGTGCGTCTGGGTGGCCTGGACGACAGACAGGCCACATGGTCGGAGGTGTTGCAGGGCGAAAAACAAGCCTGGTTTAGGACGCTATTCATGCTCGGTTAAGCATTGGGACGGAATCGCTTTAGCACATACGGCAACGGAATGAAAAATCTTCGAAACGACCAAAATATGGTTTCCATTTGTAATGTGTATTCGTCTCGATATGACGGAGCGTGAATGCTGTCGTAGCTTATAAGATTCGTAAGAAGACGTCACTGCCTTATCATAGTGTATAGTCTCAACAGAATATCCGCGGGCACACCCTTAGAAGCTCGAGCACATGATCTTGTCTTTCCTGTTGCCCTGTATTGTCCGTCATGATGTGCAAGGGCTCATGAACCGTCAGCCTCCATGTCATCACACATGTCTAATCTAATGGCTAAGCTAAAGACGTCTGGAAACAGGAACGAAGTTTGTTACGACTGAGATAACGATGCCTTAAGACGGCTACGTTTTGTCCTTAACTACCTTACCTATACACAGTCCACCCGCTGTTGTCTTCCCTTGTGACTTTCACATGCTGGTTTCATAACGGTATATGTTGCTCAAGCGGGGATATACGCTAGATTAGCAACTCGACTATCCTTGTCAAGTTGGACTCAACCAAACTCAGAATGTTTATAAGACTGTTTCGTGTCTGTAAATGCAAACAAAACAGGCATAATGATGCTCAAGAGAATGTGGCACGTAAGCGCAACGGAGCCCTTTTGCTCTTCTACTCCAACTTCGTAGATGTGGTAGGTATCATATACGGCCTGGAACCAACATTCCATTTTGATCTTGTCAAGTCGTCAAGCACATAGCAAGTTGCGCCATTTGCATCCCGCACAATCTGTATCCAGAGCGCCATCCCATTGTGGTTGCTCTGCTGGTATTTTTCATCACTGCTGGACGACCGACAGAACCAGTGACTGTACCGTAGCAGATTGAGCTTCAAGAACGTAATCTGAGATTATGTCGAAATACTAGAAATACAAGCCCATTGATACGGTATAAAACGTACCAAGGAGGTTATCGTGCGACACGTGACCATGATAAACTTGCCAGGCTCAAACATCATGGCTGACAACTTAAGATAAGATAGCTTCGTCGTGCAATTGGCATTTCAAGAGAAGCGATCGGCCATTGAACTACGGGTTGTATAAAAGCGCAAAGTCTTCCAATGGGCTAGAAGTGTGTAAGGCAGGTCTCTTGTCTAGACTCTTGGCCTTTCAGTCAGATATCCAAAAATGGATATCGATGCAGGTGAAGCGACCTAGCCTAGGTAATCCACGTCGGTTATCCGAGGGCGGACGACAAGAGAGTCCACGTGAGATTCACCACAATCAATACAATAATAATAACATAAAGATGATGATGTTTTAAAGAAGACTTTAAAGAGTACTAAAGACATATTCTAACCAACAGAATTATTCAATTATTTAATTATTTCACTATACCTAATTGAAGATATCTTGGTGGAATATTTACGTCCTGTGTTTTATTTTCCCTCGGCCCTATAAGAGAAATAGACAGACAACAGTGGTACTCTAGTAACTTATCATCACCTCAATGGAACGGGTCTATGGGAGTTGGGATTTATCATTCATTTTGGCAACATATTGATATCTGAAAATTGCTCATTCGACGTTGCCCTAGGAGTACGTCAAGTATCTTACATTGTAAGCTCTCGTTCAGGACATTTGCTTGCCCTTCAACTTACAGTAATAGTAGCTAGTCTGTTAGGAACTTGGGAAAGGGGTACTCCGTAATTATGGCGCACGTCAATATTGATGGATCTCTAGTTCAATTTCCAACTCTCAGATAGGTATCCGTACCTCGATCTCCGAGACGCTACAACTTTGAAATGCCCGACAGGGGAGTGGACACCGTGGTATCTGTTTTGTTTTTTTGGCCACAGCTCAGCTTCGATAGGCCAATGGCTTCAGAGAGGATCGGCAGAATTATTGCAGGGTCTCGAGCGATTTAATGGCTTTGAAACGGGTTTACTCCCGAACATCAGTCAGATACGGAGCACCTGTACGGATTCAGATTTAAATGATCTCAAAGAAATCACGAAAATGTCCCTGTTGAGTCAATGTCAAGCTAGTTTTCTACATATCCATTGGCTTTGGACGGGCTTCCCGAGAGATAAGAGAAACAACAGACCTCAATGGAGCCCAAACTGCATGACGATAAGCATCTTGTCTTTGTTCGTACTGTACTGTACAGTGCGTGTTGCGGGTAACACGAAGAAGGCGGTGGCGGACTCTTGACTCGGCTCAAAGGGTGTATCAAACAAGCAAGCCTGGGGGACGCTGTAACATTTCTCGGCCTCTAATCTCTGACCGTCTCAGTCGTTCGGTGCACTCCAACCCTGATGCTAGAGGCTTGTAGGCGGGCAAGAATTAAAGCGTTTTTAGCTCGGCCTGTCTCCCTTGCGGCTGGTGGATCTGAAAGGAAGTTTGGGGTCGGGGTGTGAGATATCAAAACCATCAAGCGTTGGGCACGCTTTCACTGGGCACAAGCTTCCAGATCATAAATTTCGTATTGCGTCGTACACTCCGAGTTGATTATTAGTAGCAGCTCCACAGTGTTCAGGAGGAAATCAATTGACTTGCATCAAATCTGCGGCTATTCCGGGCGAAGCCCCTTGGCTACTGGGCACAAGTAACAACTAGCCCGAGCAAAATTTGAAGCAGATGAGGAAAAAAAGGCAGTTCCCCGTATTATCGGAAGCTCAAACAAACAGACACCAATTGGACGGATAGGTTAAACCAGGGGGTTAACCCGGGGGAGGCGATGGGAGATCCAACCAACACAGCGCGGCTCACCTCTCCATTCATGGAAGTGAAGTTATGAACGTTCACGCACTGTGCAAGGTGTGGCAGGCTTATTTCGGGCGATGCGACCGCTGGAGGCAAGGCTTGCAGTGGAGGAGGGTGCTGCTGGAACGCGGAGCGGCTAGTGGATTGGTGAACGAGCCGGGCAGAGAGAAAAAGGTGGGTGAATGGATGTCATGATGGAGGGATGGGGTAGAGAAAAAAGTTGGAAAGTGAGAGAGAGACAAGTAGACTGACGACATTTATTCGAGATGGACCAATCGCAACACACAATGGTTAGGGCAACAGTATCAATTGCTTAAAGCACACGAAGCTCTTCTATCTGTATAGACGAGCAGTGCCAGCTATATCAGAAAATATTTTCCAGCAGTTCAGGTTATCATGGATCCTAGGTCCTCTCTACCTAGGTGAATATCCTAGGCGCCAGCTCATCGCCTCGCAGGCTCGCTCATGTACACTGTACAGCACAGTAATTACCCCATACAGTAGAAGCTCCCATGTCTTCCCAGGACGGGTCCAGGTCTCGGCGCTCGACAAAAAATCGGGGTGAACCGGCATCTCATCTTGCAGCCGGGCAGCAAGCTCAAAGCTCAAACCCAGGATGAGCGCAGGATTTGTACCAGAGAAGCTCCACATTCTAGTCCACTGAGTGCCACTGAGTGGCCACCTGGCCACCCCTGAGAAAGTTTAGAGCTTCAGAGGCAGTACAAGGCTGTGGCCTCAGGCTGCCAGTCCCTGTTGTTGCCGTGGAGAGAATTGCTGGTTGGCTGGGGGTCCCAGCTCCCTTTTAGTGCGTGCCCGGGAAGAGTCGCTAAAAAGCGCCTCTCGTTCAGATCCGCCGCAATTTTTTTCCCTCCCCCCCCCCCCAAATACCACTCACCCCCCGTCGGCGCAGATTTATTTTCTCTCGACTCCCTTCATTCTCTCTCTCTTCCTTTCTTCATCCTCAATCTCCCCTCAATCCTTTCTTCTTTTTTTCAAGGGAAAGACCTCAGAACCGCTACTATGTCTGTCGAGCAACCTCAGAAGGTCTTGGGCATGCCGGTAAGTTATCACAATCTTATCTTTGATGGCTCTTCAAATCCCCTCGATCGTGATATGCCACGCCTGCAAAATATCGCCTCGAATCAGTCACCCGCTATCAAACTCCAACATTAAATCATCAAATATCGATGGTTTAAATGCAATTGTTTAGATGGCGTTGGTGTTTTGGTTTGAAATCCGAGTCTTTTTGTGTGGGTGCGGCACCTCACTCGAGCAACGAAGTCCATCGATCAAACTTTTTATGATGCAATTGCTAACTTGTCTCACAGCCCTTCTTGGCCGACTTCTTGAGTATGTACCACTTCGCGATCGCCTCTCAGTCATCGAAGAAATGAGCACCCTGCCATTTCACTGGGCTTGGTCAACAACCGCCTCATAGTCCATAATACTGACAACACTGATAGTGGGTGGTGTTTCCGCCGCCGTCTCGAAGACTGCCGCCGCTCCCATTGAGCGTGTCAAGCTCCTCATCCAGAACCAGGTTTGTCTCACTAGGATTTCTTTCCAATTCGGTCACTAACAACCACAACAGGATGAGATGCTTAAGACCGGTCGTCTCGACCGCAAGTACGCCGGTATTGGTGACTGCTTCAAGCGCACCATGGCTGACGAGGGTGTCATGTCCCTCTGGCGAGGAAACACCGCCAACGTCATCCGATACTTCCCTACCCAGGCTCTGAACTTCGCTTTCCGTGACAAGTTCAAGAAGCTCTTCGGTTACAAGAAGGACAAGGATGGCTACGCCATGTGGATGGTTGGTAACCTGGCCTCCGGTGGTGCCGCTGGTGCCACTTCGCTGCTGTTCGTCTACTCTCTGGACTACGCCCGTACCCGTCTTGCCAACGATGCCAAGAACGCCAAGTCCGGTGGTGACCGTCAGTTCAACGGTCTCGTCGACGTCTACAAGAAGACCCTCGCCTCTGACGGTATTGCCGGTCTCTACCGTGGTTTCATGCCCTCCGTCGCTGGTATTGTTGTCTACCGTGGTCTCTACTTCGGTATGTACGACTCTATCAAGCCCGTCGTCCTCACCGGAAACCTCCAGGGTAACTTCCTTGCCTCTTTCGCCCTTGGTTGGGTCGTCACCACCGGTGCCGGTATCGCCTCTTACCCTCTTGACACCATCCGTCGTCGCATGATGATGACCTCCGGTGAGGCCGTCAAGTACAAGAACACCATGGATGCTGCCCGCCAGATCGTCGCCAAGGAGGGTGTCAAGTCTCTCTTCAAGGGTGCTGGTGCCAACATTCTCCGTGGTGTTGCCGGTGCTGGTGTCCTTTCCATCTACGATCAGCTCCAGGTCCTCCTCTTCGGCAAGGCCTTCAAGTAAGCGCTTTGTATAACATACCCTGTATAGATGAGTGTGTGGAGGAAATGGATTCGGGGGGAATCTTAATCTGCGGGCTTGACATGGTGTCCGCTGGTTGAAACTAAAAGGCGAGACCGAAGTGCAGATCGAGAGAAGTTGTCACAGATACCCGACGTGGTCCTCTGAAACAGCAGCTCTTTACGGGTTAGAGTGGCATAGGCACGGCGTCTTTTTCTAATCTTGCTTTGCCTTCCGTTCTAGGCCGCTGTAATTTATACACCAATGCAATTTCCCTTTACTGTATCCTGCTTACTAGTGATCCTGTGAAGTTTGATATCATTTTCAGTGACTCCCAGGCGTCGAATTGTCTGTTGCCCGCGACCTTTATTCTACTTCATGACGATAGGGTTGCACGAAATACATCGCGGTGAATGGGATGACTAAGCATTATATCAAGAGTTGACGTAGTCATGTTTACCCAAATGATGTTTCAACCACTCACGTAACCCTTTCTTGCTACATCAAAACCTAGTCACTCCTTAACCACAAACGCAATGCCACCTACGAAGCCAGCAACAGGCGCTGGCCGTGGTCGACCGAAAGCCACAGCCAAGAAAGCAGCCAAAGCACCTGAGCCCGAACCCCAATCAAGCAACCCGTTTGAGCTCTCCGATGACGATAACGACCGCGCTGGACCCTCGACACGCGAAGTACAAGTCGTCGAGGATGAAGAGCCCGACAAAACGATACCCCCAGAGCTCCTGACGCGGCTTCTCCACGAGTTCTTCGCCAAGGACGCAACACGGATATCAAGAGACGCCAACGCTGCGGCGGGCAAGTACTTTGATGTATTTGTGAGGGAGGCGATTGCGCGAGCTGCGGTTGAGAAGGATGGCGGGTTTCTAGAGGTCGAGGACCTGGAGAAGGTTTCACCTCAGCTGCTACTGGATCTTTGAGTAGAGGCTGCTTTTGAAGCAAGAGGTCCTATGGTTTTAGACTCTATTCGAATATGGCAAATAACCTATCACGTGCAGAGTGCGGAGCGGTTCTAGGGTTGAGGAAGCTCCCCAGATATTGATCGGCTACAGTATGGGTACGAAATACTATCAGCCGCTCTATAGTGTTTGTCCATGCTAACGCAAAGACATTAGTCTTTTGAGCATTGCGAGCTAGTATGACAAGCGGATGCATCACATGCCACTCACTTGGCTCTGGCAATCCATTATCAAGAGGCGTATTGATCTCCCGACACGATGAAGTGGTTCTTGACTGGAAACACCATATCGATGTTATGGTTTACCAAAGAGAATCAATAGGAAAACTATTGTGAGGTACGAAGAGCATGTAATGTTGAGTGCGTGTTCAATAAAATAGAGGAAATAGGTCATGATGTCAGAATATACAGTAGTAGAGGACATGTTTGTTCGACATTGCTCTAGGTTAGTCTATCTTAATCAGAGCATAAAAGGAGTGGTCAATACGCCGGCTTTGCCCTCTCCGGCGGCAAACAATAACACGTATATGTCTTTACATACGTGCAATCATTTCAAAGCATGCTCTGTCTTGTTGCCTTGTTGTTGTCTGAAAGTATTATGGTTATAGGCCTGGCAACGGTTTCAACTGCTCCGTTCAACGGGGTCTTCCATGGCTTATGCCCACTGTGATGTCGTTAGGCCAATTCTTTTCTGAAGAAACTACGCAAAGAGGAATACCAAAACTACATCGAGCGGCGGCAACTATTAACTGAGTTCAATAGATCCCAACTACGAAATACGATTTAATTGTTGATGTCGTGGGGTAAGTGTTAGGATATAGAAGTTGAAGTTGATAACGTGACAAGCATTACTTAGTAGATTGAGTTTCAGAAACTCCCAAGATCTCGCCCCCACACCGCGTTTAGAATCTGCAACCAACACGAAACGTCGCAGCTCAACAGCCACGCTGCCACTGCAACGCTCTCGTTTCTTGCTGGTAAAGGCCAAGAGGTATTCGTTTCAAAACCGCTGACTACCCCGTGAAGGCCTATAATGGCCGCGAAACTATATCCGTCTCATGGGACAACGGATGAGGCACTTCCGACGCAGATGTACTCCGTACCCCTGGTCTATTTGACCCTGACACGGCTGGGCCTGGAGCCGAGGCCCTATAGTCACCCGAAATATCTCTGAATACTACGCATACTAAGCGCCATGGGTGGGAAGTTTAACTTTACGGAGGCCAACCGACCATGATCGATGACTGGCTTTACATGGCATATCCAACTAAACACACTTTGGATATATGCGTATGGAGACTATTTCGAAGAGACAAGCCCTCAGTATTGGCTTCAATGGCTATTTATGACAAGTGTCGTTCTACAGTTTAACTGAAAACACCAGAGGTTTTTAAGATTGATATGGAAATTGACCTGACATATAGCCTGGGTAGTTCCCGAGCCTTACCAAAGTCAGCCAGCCAAGCAAGGTCTTGCAGTCTTTGTTTCATTCCCCCAAGTGAAGGCCTTGTCGATAACGTCTCATGCTACTCCTGGCCTGCAACTCAACCGATGAGCCGAGACGGAACCTCCATCATCCATTCTTTCTTGGCCTCTGGGAGCTCTGGGGCCGAAGAGAGGCGTGCTTCAGATGTGCTTCGAAACTCGTCATCGGGGCTGTGGCCGCAACAAGTCAAGCCGTGATAGAGAGTGTATATATAACCAATCCATCCTGTCTCGTTTTTGTTTTGTTTCTTGTTATCTCTCTCATCTCTTTCCATAATCAACAGTCTGGTCCTGTTTCCCTTTGTCCTTCTTTTTCTCTTTTTTCTTTTCCACTTCTTAATTCTCTTCTCTTTCTTTGACAAGGCTGGTCCCTGAGAGCGCAAGTCGCATTTCCGTATTTGATAGTATTTCTTCGAGTATCTCATCCAGAGTATCCTTTCCCTCGTCCTCAACTAGATACCCAATTCTCCAGTCTTTCAACATGTATTTCTCACAAATTGCTATCGTGGCCCTGGCAGCTGCCGCTCAAGGTATGTTTCTCTGTGTTGCCGCACTAGACAACGACTAACATTCGTTCTAGCCGTCGATGTTCAGGTCGTCGCAGTTGGCAGAAACTCCGCCACAAACTCAACAGACATCAAGTTCTGGCCCGAGAAGATCACAGCAGAGCCAGGAACTATGGTGCAGTTCCAGTTCTGGGCTGGCAACCATACCGTCACACAGTCCAACTTCGATAACCCTTGTATGCCCATTGGCAACATCCAGTCCAACGTCACTGGTATCTACTCTGGTTACATGCCTGTCGAGGCCAGCTTGGCAAAGGGCATGATCCCTACCTACACAATCACCATCAAGGACAAGAAGCCTCTATGGCTCTTCTGCAGTAAGGGACAGCACTGCCAGGGTGGAATGTCAATGGTCATCAACGAGAAGTGAGTCAGATGCAGCACCTGGATAATGATTTACTTACTGACTGCTGTATAGCACATCCGCCAACTCTACAAGATCCCTCAACAACTACAAGGGTCTCTGCAAGGGCTCCACAGCCTCAGAAGTTGTCCCAGTTCAGGCTGGCGGTTCCCCTCAAGGTGGAAACGGCGGCAATGGCACCGTTCCAGGCGGCAATGGCGGCAATGGCGGCTCCGGTGGTGGCAACTCTGGCGACGGTAGCGACTCTGGCAGTGACTCCGGTAGTGACTCTGGCAGTGATTCTGGCAGCGACTCCGGTAGCGACTCCGGTGACGACAGCTCCAATGGCGGCAGCTCCGACAACGGGTCCTCTGTTGTTCCTCCAACCGGCGTTGCCACTCCTGCAGCCACCGGCACTCCCACAGCTGGATCAGGGGTTGTTACAGCTGCCGCTGCAGACTTCTCTGCTCCCATCCCAATGCTGCTAGCAGTCGGTGCTGCTGCTATGTTTGCCCTCTAAGTGGACATTGAGCGTGGGTTGCGTTTGTGTGTTTGGAATAGAAATAATGATGGAAACAATTAATCGGGATATTTGTACCAATTGCTGGACCGGTTGGGAAGCCTCGGGGTAGGCACAAGCATCTACGATGTTCACGACAGAATCGCCCTAGGTCACCTGGTGGTTTTATTATGGGATAGTGTACCAAGTTCGGATGTTTAGATACTGTTGAAAATACCCTAAAATATTAGAGATCACAACGCTTGAATATTTAAGATTGCCAACTTCATTGTAGAAGAGTTTGACTACTATATATCCAAGTGAAAGGAACACAAGAACAATGGAATACCGGCTAATAGAAAAGCTTTACAAAATAGTACATAGATTTCGACGCAAGTCAGCTCACTGCTTTTTGGGAATCTTTCTTGCCTTCCTGCCCTTTTGAGCCTGGTCGCAAAGCTTCTTGGGCTTCTCCTTTTCCACCCAGTCAGGCTCCCGAAGCACGTATCCCACCTTGCTGTACTTCTTGTTGTTGGCAAAGAAATCAACCCAATGCTTGAGTGCGGCGTCAGCCTTGACCTTGGCTTCCTCTCGCTCCTTAATCTTGAGCTCAGCAAGCTGTTCGGGGGTCCAGTGAGAGTCGACCTCGGGGTCGTCGAGAGGCAGAAAAGTCTCTTCGTAACCGCGGAGATCGGCAGTCTGGTCCTCAGCGAAGCAACCTGTCACGAAGCCACGAGCAGCGTCGGTGGCAGCAAAGTAGCTGTATGAACCACCAGGACCGTACATACGACGGCCGTTGGAGACGTCGTAGATGGTACCGTTGATGGCGAGGAGAAGAGGTCTGTCGGGATCGGTACCGTCGTGGAGAGAGAGTTCCTCCAGGGTCATGTATGTAGGTGGTGGCTGTGTGAGGACAGACAGTTAGCAGGAGTATAACAATGGCAATAGCTCGAGGTATAACTCACAGGTCCGAGGATCAATTCCTTATAGAATTTTTGAGTCATCCACTCTGGCTTGTTCTTATGTCCCCACCAGAAGCTCTCCCCTCCGCTGATAACATAGCTGAGGCCCATCGAAGCTACGACTATGAAGCTGATGACACGCAACACATCGACGTAGGGCGAGTAGCCATCCCAAGGGTCTTCTTGATCAACTTTGTCAGATGATCTCTTCTTGTGCTTCTTCGTAGGAGTTGAAGGTTGGGAGACTTCAGAATCTGTCTCGTTCTTAGGCTGTGGCTTGCGCTGCCGGAGGGTTGATTCGTCTGCCATTTTGAGGAATTGTCAACGTGTAACTAACGGACATAAGTTGAGGCGTGACTTGAAAAGAAAGGAGGAGAGAGTTGAAAATAGAGAATGAAGTGATTTATAGAGTAGTTTAAAGGGGTGATCTTAATATGGAGTGGCGTGTCTTGACACCTGGACCTGGCCTTTCTGCAACTCTTCCATGGATCTTTCAAAGTTAATTAATTAAGGCAACTGCGACGTTGGACCTGACAGCTTTATCGTGATTCTGACACGCTTATCAGCGAACTCACTCCACTCCGCGGGGTCATCATCATTCGATGAACTTGATTGGGTTAGAGGGGACTTAGATGGCTACAGCCAAGCCCCTGGGGTACATCTACGGGGGAAAGTTCAGCGCACTTCGACAGGGTCACCTGACGTCGCTACTATTGCTACAGCAACAAGACACTCATTCTGTTGACACGGTGCCCCACACATGAATGTGGCATGGTAAACAATCGATAATATAACAGTACCACTTTACTTTTGCCTTATCACAACATACTAAAGCAACACCTGAAGTCAACTCTGCATAAACCACAGCCACATCCACAACGAATTCCACATCGACCAAAAGCTCGATCCCGTTCAAGTAGACTCTTCAACTATCAAACCTTCACTATAAAAATGGAAGAACCAAACAGCCCATCGGGCTCGGCAGGCGGTCCACTGCAAGCAGTTACAGCAGACCGCGTAAATCAACAACGAGAGCGAGAACCCGCCTTCTCTCACCATCGTGGTGCATCAAGAGATAACGCAGTATTCGACAAGATCAGCCAGTTTAACAACCTCAGTGTCACCATGCAATCGAAACAACTGGAACGCAAGACAGCAGATGCTGCCTTAAAGCGGGCGATGCTTGGCCGCGAGGAGGCCGAGACTGAACTGCGAAAATACAGAGACGAGACCAAAACGCTACGCAAGGCCATCGATGAGGGCAAAGAGCGTGAGAGGAAAGTTGGGGAGCGTCTAGAGACATTAATGGTAGGCATACCCTTCAAGCTAATGTAAACAACTTATGTTGACCATCCCATAGGAGAACTATGGACGAGCCAAGGAGACACACGCACATACACAAGCCCTTTGGGAAAAGGAGATCCGCCGAGCACGAAAAGAAACATTCAAGACACAATCATCAATTGTCAAACTCCAGGAAGAACTCAAGTCAGCCCGCACCAGCGCCAAGATGATCGACGAAAACCTCAAGCGCGAAAAGGAAAGGAGCAAGGTTCGAGAACAAGAGGCATTCGAGGCGCGATACCAGATCGTTGGTGTCCAAGAACAACTGGACCAGGCTCTAGAGCGCATCAAACTCGTCGAACAGGAACGTGATGCCTATAAGACAGCAGCCAAGAACGAGGAGGTTGCCCGTATCGCTGCCGAGGGACGTATCCCTCTACCATCACAAGATGCTGATGACGAGTTTGCTTCCCCTCAGAAAGAGAAGAGACGTGCTTCAAGAGATCCCCGTGTTTCGCTATCGGTCATGGACATTATCTCATCCGAAGCCAGCGAGGCCGAGATTGAGGAATTGGCGACCCAACTACAATGGGAGCGTCAAAGAGCAGATCGTGCCCATGAGATGGTTGAGTTCCTGCAGGCAGAGTGCCACCTACGTTGCTGTGCTTGCTCCAAGTCCACTCGACGTGCCAGTGTTGAGGCCCCTCGCCAGAAGCGTAGAAGCTCGATTGGCCTCGAAGGACCTAATGACAAGGTACTCAAGCTTGATCGTCCGGCGAGAGAGGATGAGAAGCGTGCCGCTACCCCTCCTCGCATTCAAGAACCAACATTCGAGCCTAGACCCAAGATTCATGCTGATGTCAATGTTGAGGCTAAGGTAGACACCAAGACTGAGTCAGAGCGGGAGCAATATCTGGAAGAGCCCCTCCAACGCGGCATGCCCAAGTCCAGGAAGGAATTACGTCGAAGCACCATCTTCTGTCCTAAGGAGGGAATATTTAGAACTGTCTCTGAGCAAGAGGCTGAGATCTTCGAGGCGCAGCGAAAGGTTGAAGAGGCCGAGGCCGCTGAAAGGGCTCAAGAGGAAGCTCGTGCTCAGGCTGAACATGCTGCCGTTGATGAGGGTGCAGTTGAAGAGCCAGTTGAGGCCGAAACCTTCGCTGGTTACAACACTGAGATGGAGCACCACGCGTCTGAGTATGAACACAACCACAGAAGATATGCCCGAACTCCTTCGGTTGAGCCTCCAGCTTTTGCCATGCTTGCGCAAGAACGTGCTTCCCTTGCCTCGCTCCTCGATGCTCCCCACAATGGCTGCCACACCGCCCCTATTCCTTCAATACCAACCATGCCAGATGTTTCTGAGGATATACTCACCTCCCCTGAGACTCGACCTCACACCACCAATGCTTTCTACACCGTCACTACTACAACAACTGTCCCCATCCTTGACGACAATGCGAGAAACAGTTCCTCCTTCAACGAACGTCTTCGTACTCCCTCGCACAACAGCACAGGTACCACCTTTGACCTGTCTAACCCTGCCCTTACTCCAACCATGACTCGAGAGCAGGCTCTCGCCAAGATTCGTGAACGTCGTGGTCGTGCCCGTTCTATGGCCCAAGGCACGCTAACACCAAGCCGTCGAATGGTTGAGGGCGTTGAGCGACGGGACATGAGTGCTCCCACAGGCAAAGTTACTGGCAAGGGACGATGAATGTTTGAAGATGGAACTGGACGAACCATGGACACGACTTGACGAATACCCCCACTACTCTTCATATTCACCCCTTATCCCACACTTTCGACTCTCCCTCTCCCCCTGGCTGCACTTATACAGTTGCCCCAGTTTCTCCTTCTCTTGATGGGCCTCTTTGTTCTCGCTCTCACTCACCTCTGCCCATCAATCATTTTCTCTTTTTCGGCAGGGCGAAGGGGCGTTATTCCGTTTTCTTGCTTTCAGCCATTGTTACCAGGTCATTAGGGACTTGAGGGAACATGGTGCATCATGGAGCGAATTTGTGTTGTTTTGCTTTTATTGACGTTTTCTGGACGGGTTCATAGATAATCATGCCATGTATAAAACGCTCAAGTCTTTTGCTGGCCTTGGCCCAGATTGATATGCGGTGGCTGGTCTCGTCTCCAAGTTGTTTTACTCCGTATCTGCAATGACACGATACATACGTTAGCACCCTCACATCATTTTATGATCGTCTTGTTCTGTGCGTATACTTGAGGTATCAGAAGTATCGTTTTGCTATGGTATCGCTTCCAGGATGCTATCCACTAAATTATAAACATCCAAACAATTCGCTCCGTAGGTCATACATATCTTGCATGTGTAGACGTTTCCAACTAGATTCCCAAAAAACCTCTCGACATATTTCGCGTCAACTGCGAGCTCATCGCATCGAGCTTGGCCGCCACCAGTATACACTCAACGCCCTTACCATTTGGCGCATTCTGGATGCGCAACCTCCACTGTCCTGTTTTGATAATCCATTCCTCATCCTCGGAGTCACCATCCACTCGCTTTCGCTTTCGTGGGTATTCGTTTCCAGAAGATTCTGAAGCAGCAGCGTTGATAAAATCCTCAAGATAGTCCTTGCCATCGAGAATAATGGCAGACTCAGGCTCAAGGGCTACACGGACAAGATCTTCCCTCAGCAGGGAGTTTACAAGATTTGTTGGTTGGCTCTGCGACTGGTTCGTTTGAGAGAAGTTCAACTTTGACGATACGAGTTCAAACAACTTTGCGACACGGGCTTTGGTGTCTCTGAAGAACTCGGCCTTGGAATTACCCCCCGAGAAATGAATCTTTGTCGTCTCACCGCCAATCTCAAGAACAAGCTCAGCAGGCTTCTCGTCCACATACGGTCGGGCATATTGCACGAAGCCTGATAACGGGTCATGGTTACTTATGAAAACGCTAATACCGCTCTTCTGAATATTCTCAAGCCTAAGTACCATCTCGTCCCGTCTTGTCGCTTGATTGTAACTCAAAGAATGCGGAATGAGGCGCTGCTCGAGGCCCTTGAAGTGGAAGTATCGCGCATCGCTGAGTAGATCCTGGCGGTGTGTCTCGTCGCGTATGCGAATAGGATACCCGCGCAAAAAATGGAGGAGCTCAGCGAACGTGTCGGCGCTGCGCTTCGGAACCGACGGAGGTAGGATTGAGGGTGGGCGGATGAGGCCTTCGCGATCAAGGCCGGGGAAGAGATCGTCGGGGCGAGAGAAAAAAGCTGCGAAGCCGAGGGAGAAGTAATTGGGAGAATTACCCGGGTCTTTGAAGATTTCGCGGGGGATCTGGAACTCGCGGTGCCCAATGGAAATGAATATACTCTCCTCATACAGCTGGGAGATCAATTTGGGTACTGAAGATTCGCCAAGGTCAGTAAAAGATCATGGCCGTCCCACGGGAAGGGCGACAAACAGCTATAGAACTGTGCATCTGAAAAGAGTCGCACAAAGTGCTCGCCATCGCGGGGCTGGACATGGTATCCTTGGAGATGCAGAGAGATGTCGCGAAAGATGACAGGGTCGCGATCGATATAGAGCGTTCGAAGGGATGAGCTCGACTCATCGCCTCGTTCTTTCACCGACTCCAATTGGCAAACAAAGTACTGCGAGAAGTAGGAGGGTGCTACAGGAGATGTTAGCCAATTGTCATACTACCCACCATCGCGATGCGATAAGTGCTTGTCGCAAAGGATCGCGAAAGCTTAAATCTTACCGTCAGAGGACAACGAAGCTCCCGAGAGCTTGAATAACTCGCTGCCGATCTGAATGGGAAACACGCGCTCGTGAGGCAGAATGAGCGGTATTCGTGAGACGTTGCGCTCCGACAGCGGTTCAACTGTCGAGGGCCCTGCATCGGAGGAAGCAATTGAAGTCATTTTGACGTAGCGAGGGTTGCAGAAGAGCTAGTGGATCTTCTTATTTATATCTTTTCCCTGTTGAAATGAGACAGCGTATAGACGGACGCCATCCTTGTCTGGTAGAAGAGAAGAGAAAGAAAAGAGCTGAAGTAAGGTCGCAACGTTGTAAGGTGCTGGTGCAGCGCCTGAGGTGTAAATTTAGGTCAATCGGCCGCCGTTCAGAACCTCAGACTAACGGCTTACACGAGAGGTGCACAAGCTTGCGCCACTTGACATGGGTTGTGGCTGACAGATATATTATCAACCAAAGCCTTCTGTTAATAAGACACATGAAACCAAAGTCACGATGGTCCTTGATTATTTTCATTCATACCTTAGGTTAGTACTCTATGTGCCTCTTTTGATCTCCATGAACCAGGTAACTAACTGCGTTGTGTAACATGGTGCATGTTCATCCTCTATTGGTGTGAACTCTTCCTGATGCAAAGCAAGCCTCCCACGGCGTCCATTATATAGAACATTTAAACCCCAACAAATCATGGGTATGGTATTCACCGGCTCATCAACTCAACTCCGCTTCGGACAACTCCAACAACCGCTCCCGTCTGGATAGTTTCGCTACTTCCACCAGCAACTCTATGCTCGATATTGGCGAGACCGTCCAACCAGGTGATCATCACCTCAGGGCTAACTTCTAGCTTTACCAACTCCTCAGACAGTGCTGTGATGATATCAGCCAGAGCAAGACCTCGCGATACCTTCAGCGCATTGATGGTGGTGAGGCAGCTTGTAACATCTGATGTCTTGAGCAGCGTCGATACGATCTCAGTAATGGCATCTGGTGGTGGTGCTGCAATGCAGTTGTAGATAGTTTCTGTTGTGATGTTTTCGCGCTGGATCTCGCTGTCAGGCACCTTTGGTGCGTCCTTTGCTCGCAATGGTGTGCCTAGTTCCCTATTAGCAGTTGATCAACATCAAGTTCACGTGGACACTCACTTGAAGCATGGCATGCTTGTAGAACGTTCAGCGCTCTTCGCATGTCACCCTTGCTCAGCTTCACCAGTGCATCGACCGCCTCTCCTCCAATCCTGACATGCTCCTCTTCCACTACCTTGTCCACCAGCACTCTGATGTCACCCTCCTTCAGGGGACTGAAGCGAAATCGCGTACATCGACTCAGAAGCGCCGGGCTGAGCTTGTGGGAGTAATTGGCAATAATGCAGAACCGAGTGTTGGTTGTGTACTTTTCCATGATTCGTCGCAGAGCCATCTGCGCTGTACTTGTCATGGCATCAGCCTCATCAAGTATGATGAGCTTGAAGCCAGCCATCGAGTTGCCAGAACGGCCAGAGGTGCCACCCATAGAGAAGATTTGTTTTGTGCTGGCGAATGTCTTGATCTGCTCTCGCACAACGTCGATACCACGATCGTCTGAGGCGTTGAGCTCGAGAACCATCTGGCGCATATTGGCAGTTCCATAGATACGGCGAGCGAGGGCGAGAATTGTCGACGTCTTTCCGGTACCTGGAGGTCCGTAGAGGAGGAGATGGGGGAGGCGGTTCTGGTCGATGAACTTGTTGATGGTAGCGAGGATGTCCTGATGACCGGAGACGTCATCTAGGGTATTAGGACGGTATTTCTCGACCCTGATATTTTGTTAATATGTAGCCCCTGGGATACCTGGGTTTGTCAGATTCATACCAAGGTAAGCTGTCCTCGGCCTCAACTGGCAGATTCGCAGCGCTTCGTTTGCCCTTGTTAGCTTCTGAAGAGAATGTCACATCCTTAGTGGAAGCAGGGACATCAACGTCCATCTCATCCCCGAAATCAGACATATTTGTCTTGTGTTTTATCGGTATTCGTGGCTAAGATTGAGGGTATAATTCGGAGATCGTCGTGGGCGCTCGAGTTCGGTTGGTTGTATGGCAAGTTTGAATATTGAGGTCACTAGGAGACGCGCGCTAGGTTGCACCTACGCGTCTAGACGTGTCGGTCAATTAAGACCCTTGTACATAGCAACAGCCAATCACAATTCTCTATTGTTAGGCTTCATGCTTCAACATCCATATGCTTCTTGTTATTTAGAACACTGCAATCGTTCTCGAAATATATTCATTAATACCCCACTCATTACAGCTTTAGAACTATCTAGAGTCATCCTAACCAAGACACTCCCCGGTGATTTAACCAATTACTCGTTCCAACGCTTGTCATTCATTGCCCTATATGCTCATTAAAAACAAGAACATCTAATTTATGTTCCAGAAATCACCACAAATGATGCAAGGCAATGTAATTTCAGAGCTTTTTATCTCGTCACTCATTGCTCGCTCATTTGGTTCGTTCCCAAGCCTACAATCTCAAACATTATGGGGATTATAGCCACTGCAAACCAAGCAATACCTGGGCCACGGGTTAGCAATTATAGCTCTGGGTAGAGAAAGCACCAGGGGAACTCACCTGTATATACGACAAGCTTTGTTATAACCTCAACGTCATATCGCACACGGGGCTTGATCAACTGCGAGAACATCTCCTTTTCTCCCAAGCCGTCCTCTGTGTTTGTAACAAAAATATCGATCCGATCATCCTCGGCGGCTGGAGTTGTCACAACCTCGCCTGTTCCCATCATCTTCTCGTAGTCGGTAATATGACGAGGCTGTGAGCCGGAAGTCTGGGCACCCTTTCCAGAATGGTCCTCATGCATGGTCTCGAGTTCGGTGTTGTCTGATCTGCTCTTAAGGCTATGGTTGCTGCTGACGCTCTCGCGCCGCTTGCGTTCCCTATACGCCAGAGTTTCGTATGCGTCTGCCGCACTTTGAGGTCCGATGGACACAGAGCGACCTCGGGTTGCGGGGTTTCGGATGCTCTCAACCATTCGAGGGAAGTCTGAGGGTGAAGGGAATAGAGTATCGATACGAGACCCAGCCGGTACAGTCTTGTACTTGCTGGCAGGGGTAAAGAATCGTCGAGGCATGTTGACACCAATTTGTTCGAAGATTCGGAACAAATGAGGCAGAAGCTTGAGCAACAAGGGCTTCATCGTCTCGCGCCACATAAAGACGACAAGAACACCAAAGACGATTCTGGCCACATTGGCAACCAATCCCAGGTGTGTGATATCCACGGTAGTTCCACCATGCGCATGACTCTCCCAGGGATCAAGCGCGATCTTGCCGTACGTCCAAGTGCCAAACTCAAGACCAACAAGAACGCCAGCAAAAGCAACACTATCATCGTAACACGGACAATCATCGGCTGGCTCGGGATGAATTCGCACAAGAACCAAGATGATCAGCGTGGCAATAAGAGGAGCAACCCAGGAGCTTGAGTGCATGTATGCATCCAGTGGAGGTCCGTAGTAGAATTCGAGGAAAGAAATAGCAGCACCCATGATAGATCCAACAATCACATCAAGGAAACCATGCATGCCACAATAAAGACGTCCGAATATGATCGAAATAGCGTAAAAGTATGAGAGAAACTCTAGTGCGATCTTGGTCGTCGCAGGGAGTGTATTCTCGGGGCTACGCAGTATGAGGAGCGCATAAACGGCGACAGATACGGCATTGGCGCTATGTGTCGAAGGGAAACCGTATTCGAGTGCTGCAGAGCCTGACATGGTAATTCGATGGAGAGGGGGCGATAGAGGACGCGGAAGTGAGTAGAAGTCCTTAATGAAGCCCGTCCAAAAGACACCAAGGGCGAGGATGTGAACAAGTCTGCATAGTAAAGCTTGTTAGCCATATGTTCCACCGTGAGAGCACAGCTCTCCAGAAAACACAGTCACTGTAGCTGCGACCCATGATCGTCATCATGCAGCGCAGCGTAGTATATGTAGATTAGGACTTAAGATGACCTACCCTTTGCCAAAGGCAGCATGTCCGCACCAGAAGCAGATAGGCAATCCTATCATAAAGAAGGTATGTGTTCCGAGGTTGGCCGTAATGGCAAAGTAACTATCAAGAGCCGGAGTTCGCATCTTCTCCTGCATCCAGGCAAGATATGGCGTCTCCCATCGGATCAGGGGCAGCATTTGCTGGCGCAGGTCGTATCGCCATTTTGGCAGGGCGCGCTTATCTGCGATTTGAAGGCATCAGTAGAGCGCGCGACGCAAGAGAAGCCCGTGGTTCCAAGGCGTACAGTGATCAAGACTCCTCAGACCCGCATCAATGACATCGCCGCCTTTGGCAGAGCCATTCGCTGTCGTGGGGAGAACCGTTGCGGTCGTCGTGGTAGCGGGAACGTTTATGTTGGCGTTGGCGCTCGGCAGCGGGGCATCATGTCGAGGGTCGTTCATGGTTTTGCGGCGGGTGGGAAACGTCAATTGCGACGAGGACGGAACCGAGAACGACGAAACATTGAAGTCGATAGGATGCTTGAGGGAGGGTTTTCAGGGAGCACGTGGACTGCCTGGAGCTTCAACGGACAAACACCCTGCAGAGTAGTAATTAGTTGTATCCGTAGTTGTGATGTAGTAGCCAACAATGGAGGCTGGCGATAGTTTGGAGTGGAGATATGCACATGCACTATGCTACATGAAATTGGCCTGGAGCAGGATCGCGGTTCAGTTGTAAGAGGCAGGTGAGTCAATGTTTGTCAGCACTTGAATGTGTATCAACATCAACAATATCCAGTAACAGTTGATTAATCCTTGTTCTTGATGGAGAGCAATAAAGACCAAATCATTTGTCCGTCATCGTCTTGATTATAGGTTGCCTCATCATACTCGCAATAATGCTCCTGGCTCACATTAAAGCACGGAATTAGGTTTCAGCCCATCGGTCGCTTAACTTTGCAGGCCTCCGCCTTCCTCTTTATCCTCTCACCCATGGCGGTCCCCTAATTTGAGCGAAACCTATCATGGGCGCTGAAGATGTCCACTAACAAGAAAGTCAGCCACTCCTCATATGCACCTTGGTTAGCAGTCTAGGTATGCTTTTGTATAGTCGAGGCATCTCATAGAACGCAATAGGCTCAGATACGCAATCAATAATTCCAAGGTAAAATCAGTTAGTGGATGATACTCTCTTCTCATCTCAACATGTTCAGTCAGGAACCGAATTCTGGAAGTAAAGTGCCACAAGCCACAACAACATTCAGCTTTAATTCTAGCTTTCAAGCAATTAAAAGGCTTTAGAAACTTGAAAAACCATCAACTCAATTAACAAATATAAACTCAAAGTTACCGTGAGGAGACACTTAGGAATAATATCCTTGTGTTTAAAACTCCGGAAGATTTTGATACCGTAGCTCTATCCCTCTCGCATCGTCTGGCTCGGTCCCATCGACCTCCCAAAATTTTATCACGGCATCGCCAACTCACCCCAACCGCTCTTTAACACACACCCGTCCGCTCCCAATGTCGTACTCCCTCCGCGGTAAGCACTGCATCGTGACCGGGGCCACCGGCTCAATCGGCTTCCGTATCGCGGCCGCCTTCGCAGAGCAGGGCTCCGTCGTATCGCTCGTCAGCCGGTCCGCGCCTGATGCCCGAGCCAAACTTGAGCCGCAGCTCGTGCCTTTCAAGCCGGACCCGGACACGTATGACTCCGAGGATCCGCCTCCGTCAGCCCATCGCTTCTTGCATCTGGATGGCACAAGACCTGTCGCGTTCCAGGGCTTCTTTGGCGCCACTGCTGGCCGCGCCGATATTCTTGTCAATTGCGCTGGCATCAGTCAAACCTCCTTCTTAAGGAGGACTTATGACAGTGACATCACAAAAATCCTTGAAACTAACCTCAGGGCCACAATACTCGCCTGCAAATACGCCAGGATGAAACACAATGGCATGTATAATACTGCTTACCTTCAACTACATTATCTCACACTAATTCTCCAAGGATGCATTATCAACATCTCAAGCCTTATGGCGAATAAAGACGGAGCTGGTGCTTCGGTGTACGCCGCTTCAAAAGCTGGCGTTGTCGGTACGTTCATAATCTCTCTCAGAATTTATACTACATGAATTATGTACTGTTGTACATGCCCAAAACAACATGCTCACTCCGTGTCCTGCAGCTTTCACCCGTGCCCTGACTACTGAGTTCAGGCCTCGATCCATTCGCGTCAACGCCTTGCTGCCAGGTTGGATAGAGAGTCAAATGTGGGACGGTAAGTCTATTCCTCCCTTTGCCTTGCCAAGGCACATCTATAGGCGCCCTTCGCCCATGTGAAAAGGAGGTGAATGTTGATGTGCAACACCCGGTTTTAGATCTCCTGCCAAATATAAAAAACAAATACCTCGAAGAGTGCCCTGCGCATCGTGCAGGAACTCCTGATGAGGTGGCTGACGCTACGATCTTCCTGGCAAAGAATCAATTTGCCAATAATTGCGTCCTAAACCTTGATGGTGGTTTAAGCGCTACATAGCAAAGCCCTGAATCTGACGATATGCGTGTCGCCCTTTTTAGCCGTTGAATCTCAGTCATCAATGACGATCGCGCCACCGTTGGCTCGACCTTGGTCCTCGTCCACATCGACAATTTCTGTGCTGGAGTCTGAAATCTTGAGCTTCTTGAGAGGTGGATTGCCATCGTCGGCGTGCGGTCTCTTGACACCCTTAGGCTCGACATCGACAGCCTTTCCATTAACTTCGCCGTTACCATTCGATTCGACAGGCTGAGGCTTCTTCGGTCGACGTGGAATGTGGGGAGTATCTGAGAATGCGACCTCAAAAGGGTTCTTATCCTCTTCAAATGTACTATAAAATGTAAGCTTAGTTTAGCGGCAAAAAGTATATAAACAAACCCTTCTTGAACATTGATGACAACGTTCACAAAAGTGTCATCGTCGTCTTGGTCAATGACTGTTAAGAACGAATCTTTCTTGATACCTGCCATGTTTGTCAGCAAAAGCGTAGTGACATGTCTATTTAGAACGGTCTTACCGAGTTCGCTCAGTTTCTTCGGTAGGTTCTCATCATCTCCATCTTCAAAACACTCGACCAGAGTTCCTACATCGTTGTTTACAACAAACTCCTTCCCTTCAAAGCCCAGCTTCGATTTGACAACATCATCTACAAGGTCTTTGAGAGTCGCGCGAGACAGGTCTGCAGCAACACTGGTGAAGTAGACGCCGCATACTGGGCAGTCAGGATTTGGCTCCCTAGACCTGTCAGGGGCTAGGAGTCGAGCCGGTGCAAATGGGGTCAAGAACACCTCCTTCGACTTTGCATACTCGCCTTTCAAAACTTTGAAAGACTGGAGAACACAGAGACCAGCGACAATGGCATTTGTTGTGGCGATTGCGGGGATGATGTTGCCGGCCATTTGCTTAGTATCAAATCGAGACTTCTTGTCGATTCCGAAGATTGTAGATCGGATGTTGGCACTTGCCGTCACGAAATCGAGAGTATCAATATCATCCTTGTCAAAGGTGATTGTGGGTTCAGGATCTTCAGGAGCTTTGTTCTTCTTGAGCTCCAGGACTCTCTTACTTAGTCGGTCTAGGCTGTCGTTGAAGACTGCTAGACTCTCTTCAAGAGACCAAACCCTTTGGTCATCGCTCAGAATCATGCCTTTGTTAGCAATAGCATCTTTTGCTTGCGCTAGAACGGTCTCGTATTGAAGAGGTTCAGGGGCTCGTCGCGAGTTCCACATGCCCTCGACAGACCGTAGTCGCTCAACGTCGGCGTTGAAAACCTTATCGAATAGCATATGGGGGAACTTGGATGTGCCAATGGCATCCCGAATCTTTTTGAGGGCTTCCGATTCCTTCTTCAACTCTTCGATTTCCTGGGCTATTGAATATTAGCAATCGTCATTTTGTATCTAGAGCCTGGACTCGCCATTGTCAGCATCGGTTGAATGGTCGAAAGCCGCCTGGTCTTCACTGGTGCCGAATATTTCGCTAGGAACTTTGTTAGCAGTATTTCATGCGCAATTCTCAAGTACGTACTTGAGCAGGTAGCTTTTGCCCCAGACGATGCAGTGGATAGGCTGACTTGGGGTGCTTCGGATTGTGCACACAGGGAAAGACTTAGGCGCCTCTTTGGTAGTGCAGTCGTAGCATGCGGTAACGCCTTTCTTGATAACCTGTACCTGGCCGTTGAACCCAGTGGTGCCACTTTCGATCAGCGGTACGTCAGCTGCTAGACACATCTTGTTCACGTGTCTGCGCGCTTCGAGATTGTCCAAGGCGTTGAAAGCAATACGAAACTGCTGGAACCATGCCACCGTAAACTTGTCATCTTTGATGTTGGCGTGGTGTGCGACAATTTTGACGTTCGGGTTGAACCGTTGTGCTGCCTCCTTTGCTACCTATACATTGGTAAGTATCTAACCAAGCTCCGATTAAAGGACGACGTACTAAGGCCTTGGATTTCTTGATATGTTCGTGACGGAAGAGGAACTGTCGATTCAGGTTGGAAAGATCGATAGTGTCGAGGTCGACAATGTGAATTTCGCCAAAGCCTGTGAGTACAAGGTTCTTGAGTAGCTCACAACCAATTCCACCGGCACCAACCATGAGCACGCGAGCCTGCGCAAACTAAGTTAGTTTTTGGCAGACAAAACCCAGAAGAAAACGGTCGACGTATAGTGTCGCTAACGATCTATGCGCTGCTCCCAAATGTCACATCGCGTCGAACATCGATGTGAGATAGACGCAGGGGCGGATTTGGCTCGGTGCACAATAAACGTACCTGCTTTACGGAGGTATTGAGGGATGCGCCGAGGGATTGCTGATTATGACGATCGCGCGTTACAGCAGGCGGACGTCGTTGAGGCGCGCTCTCGGAGGAGGCAGCTTGTTGTTGTGTTTGCGGTTGTTGCGCAGGAGTTGCATCTGCAGCTGCAGCCGCAGTCTGAGCCTGGTCGGCACTCGTCGCATCCATCGTCATCGTTGTCGCTCAATGAAGGTGGAAATAGGATCGTCGGAGATCAGTAGCCCGATCCGAGGGTTGCGCATACGGGTGAGGTTGATGCGCTTGGTTCGCGTTGGTGAAATCGTGAATAAGATCGCGATGGGCTGAAGATGGGAGGTTGGAAGTTGGTTTGGTGAATTGTGTTAGTGGTGAGAGAGCTGTGCAGAGCACCTAGCAGCAGTGCAGGGTGTCGGGACGGCCAATGAGATGCAACTGTCACTGCGGTGCGAATCGAGCTTCTCAAGCCGGGAATTCTGACTGAAATCCAGGTCTATGATTGGGCTCCACTATTAATCGTCACTCCACTGAGAAGTGCAGGCGACACTCCAGCTTTTGGATGGCACATTGATAAATGGTACTTCAATGTAGTTGCCGGCAGATGAGAAAGGGCTCTTCATCTTTCGTCTAATCTTAGTGCCTTTCTTATTATCTTGTTGAGCCAATTGGTCGCTTCTAGTTAGGAGCATTAACATAAGCCTTTGTCCCCCGTGTTTCTTTTGCTGCGTTTCAGCCATGAATCGCCCTCCAACTTCAGCTCAGTAGGAGCCCAATACCCTGGGTCAAGTGTCAGCGATGAGCTGCGACCGGGGGGCCGCCCCCAGAAGAAAAAATTAAGGGATCTAAATACTCACTCGACTTTGAAAGTCTAGACCGAATGATTCAGACAAACAAGTTTGGGCTGCCCCCATTGGATAGTCATTCACTCTTTGAAGTTCTTTTTTCGTACCTTTGACTCTCACTTGACTCTTTCATTCTCTCTCTCTCTTTTATTCTCTAAGCTTGACAATCAAAATTCGTAGCCATGTCTGACGACGAAGTTGACACTGAGCTTCTGGAACTTCTCCGCCAACATCTTCAGGGGAAGATCGAAGTCCACCAGGAGCCCGAGACAGGTGTTCTCGAGAGTGCTGAATATGTCTACGATAGCTGTATCGACATCGCCGTTGATATGCGTGCATCAAAAAGGGCGGCGGAGAGCATATACAAGCAAATGCAGCAAAAGAGCTACTCAACTGCCACCTGGTCAGAGCATGAACTTCATCCCAAGGCCAAGGATGAAAACACGGTTAACTTCATCTTCACCATGGACTTGCTGAACTTTTCCTTCTGGTCTGAGTTGCCTGATGATGAAAGATTTGCCATTGAATATCGCGGAGAGAGGTGGACCGGTTATTGGAGTTTGGTGGCAGCCCTCCAAAGGGCCCTTGACGAAGGTCAGTTTGGTTTTCTTTGTCCGCGATGACTCACCAAAGAAACTGACGGTTTACTTCACTCAAAGGCACCCCTATTACAGATCCTTTCTACTGGCAAAATGAGCAAGAGTGCACTCTCGAGTCTCTCAGGCATGTCTTTAGGTCTTGTACCGAGGAGGAGATACCGCTGCTTGAGGAGCGCTTAGACTGCCTTCGAGAAGCCGGTCAGGTTCTTTGCCAAGTAAGTTAATACTAGGAAGCCGCCATTATAGTAGCAAAAAATATTAACAACGCCTTCAGCACTACGATGGTTCTGTTGTAGAGCTCATTTACGCAGCCGATGGTTCTGCAGCACGCATGGTAAACTTACTGGCACAAGACTTTGGCTGTTTCCGAGATGAACATCGCTACGAGGACGGCAAGATGATCCGCCTCATGAAGCGAGCTCAGATCCTCGTTGCTGATCTTTGGGCTTGTTTCAATGGCGAATCGTACGGCGAATTTCACGATATCGACAAGATCACCATGTTTGCCGATTATCGTATCCCTCAGATCCTCATGACCATGGGTGCTTTGTATTGTTCTCCGGCCATTGCAGCAACCATCAAGGACAAGAAAATGATCGAGAGTGGATGCGCATGGGAGTTACAGATACGGGGTGAGTTATTCAACATGTAGTGTAGTATTTCTTGTTTGCTAAACGGAAACAGCTTGCAGTATCTGGTGTGTCGAGTTGATTCGAAGGGAAATTATGCGTCAACACCCTGGCGCCCATGTCAATGCCATCCTTATAGACTTTTTCCTCTATGACAGCATGAAGGAACTAGAAGCGGCTGGAAAGGAACCCATTCCTCATCATCGGACTAGAAGCATCTGGTACTAGATAGAAGCCGCAAGGCCTGCTCCTCTTTAGACTTTGGTGTTTTTAAATTTTTGGAGTTTAGGTCATAGATATGCTTTAACGAGTTCCCATTGAGTTATAGAACAATTGACGAAAATAAAGCCATATCGGCAAGCAAACATTATTCTCCCAAACGCCCTGCTCCCTACAACGTGATTTAATACATGGATAAAGGAACAGCTTAAGCCCCTACGGAAGTTGAGTTGAGAATCTCATCCATATGCGCCCTTTCGATGCTGTTACCCTTGCTTTGTTCCTTAAGAAGAACAGCAAGGACCTCGATAGGGGGTTGTAGACCCAGGCGGTCCGCCCGCTGCCAACGCTTCATGCGAGGCATGCCGATACAGGGCTGTGTGAATTAGCTACAGGACATCCATGCTGAGTGGCAGGCTAACTTACACCATATTGTGAACTGACATCGAAGTATCGGAGAACTCTCTCACTTTGAGATACACCCTCTTGATGTAATCGTGGAGTAGTCCACTGGTTTTCAATGGACTTCCAGTACTTCTTGATCTGCGCATCTGTGATCTTCTCCGCCTGCAACTCCAACTCGGATTTCTCAGGCTCTGGAGCTGTCTCGGTTTCAACTTCTCTCTCGACAACCTCTACCAGCTCGAGCTCCGTAGCCTCGGATTCGTCGACAGCAATTTCCTCTGGCTCCTGCTTCTTTGCATGCTGACTGGGATCGATCTTTGTGATCGAGGCCGAGATGGTAGACTTCTTGGTATTCTTTGGCACCGGCTTTGTCACTTTGTTCGAGAAACTCAGTGTGGACTGCCCCTTGGCAGTCGGGCCCCGACTGCGAGCATTGGCAGCGGATCGTCGAGTTGTGGGCATAGTGGACTCAGCTTGTAAAGCGAGATGATGCTGTTGAGCTGTATGGATAGGTGGGTGACGTTTAATGGTGTGTAAGTGAGGCCGAAGGAAATAAAATCAAGCAATGCTGGCTGTCCTGTGGATATGTTCTAGGCGCCCGAACTGTTGGTCTAGGAGTGAGTGAGCAATCGCTTTTTGTATGGCAATTGATGATGATAATTCTGGTTGTAGTTGATTGACGGCCAGTACAGGGTCAGCGACAAGGTTGGCTGAGGGTGTATGACGGAGTGCAAGCCTTAAGATTGGCGGGGCAACGGGAGCAGAAGCGCGAGATCACGTGGGTGACATCATATTCCGCGATTGTTAAAGAGGTTGGGGATTGAAGCAGTAGCTAGAGTAGCTGAGCAGGTAATAGTGATGTATGCTCCAGTAGTTATAACCCCTAGTAATGGACGAGGGACTAGCAGTATCGAGTGCTTTTCATTAGGTAGATAAACCTAGAACTTCTTTTGATGGCTCACCTTCTAATGCGGTCGCTGCCCCTCATGTAAATCTCATTCTACAGCACATGTATTAACCGCCAGTGGCTTCCCGGTAGAAGGACAGGCTCCTGTTTGCACCAGCCGTACAAAACATCTCGCTTCTGACCGTCTTTGGTAGCCACTTCACTGACCAAAGGGCCTTGTCCGTCTCGCTATGCGTGGCAACGCAAGCAGCACGCTCAATTGACCACACTTTGACCTTTCCATCCATAGAGCCGCTCAGTAGATACTCTCCAGTGTCACTCCAGTCGAGGGAGGTGATCCACGAGGAGTGCCCTGTTAGGTTTCCTACATGCTCTCCGTGCTTCATGTCGTAGAGTGCAATAATCCCAGCGTCACCAGCTGCTGCAAGTCGGGTGTTGCCCGGAGAAAAGGCGACTGATCGCACAGGCTTCGCGAGACCTAAAAATTGTGTCAGTGGAGTACTAGTTATGGAAGAACTCAATGCAGCTTACCAGATAGTGAGTACAAGACTCTTCCTGTATCGTTGTTGAAAATGTAGACGGATCCGTTTTGGTGTCCGCTAGCAGTGTATTTGCCATCACGGCTCAAGTCCACTGACATGCCAAAGCTGCCTGATCCAGCACTTCCAGTCTCGTACTCTCGGATCTTGGACATCTTGTCGTCCAATACGTTCCAGACGTTGACTCGCCCATCGTTGGTTGTGGTAGCAAGGTAAGAGCCATCCTCACTCAATGCCATCGCCCAGGCCTCGCCAGGCTTGGATGAAGGGCCTGTGATTTCTCCGCTCAAGCTCCATTCACCAGTGTCGTTGTCGACTTTCCATACCTTTACCTCACCTCCAAAGCCAGCACTCGCAGCAACATTGCCGTTCCGTGAGGTGCACACATGGTGGCAGCCTAGTTTGTGCGCATCTGAGATGGACTGCTTGAGAGGGAATGAAGTATCAGTGGTATCATGAATATGCAGCGTAGAGGAGCCGCTACCTGATATCACAGCTTTGGGTGTAGTCGCAATAGAGAAAATATCGGTAATATGGGCTATGCATTCCCAGTAAGCTGGCTGTCCGAGGCCTTGCAGGCTTCTTGTCGCCCCGCGGCGGGGAGGATATGCTCACCATTATCCACGGTATGCGTGGTTAAGTATTGTTTCGACTAAGAAAATCAGTTTCCTGGAAGAAATTTAGATTATTCTGGTCAATCGGTCATACCATCTGTTCAGTTTCGAATCGGAGTACAGGTTTCCCTCACTCTTCAGTATGACGTTGTGTATGAATCAAAGTGCTGGTTGGGAATGAACTGCGAATGCCACAGGCTTGGTGGGGCATCAGAGGGTCATCAATAAAAAGCTTCAGAATAAAGGTATAATACCTAGGTAGTCAAGCACATAAAGCACATCCGTCTCTACAATGATTAAGAGAAAAGTACATTTTGGTAAAGTAACAGTATATGTAAACTTTAAGTGATGGTACCTAGTGTATATGGGGTAATTACGAATTAAATAATAATATAATGAGACACGAGAGGAATGTCTTCTGTCTATATGTCCTGAGCAACAACATCAGGCCATGACAATGATTTGAATTTTTTTATTGTTATTCCTATATGGCTCAAACGAGCCAAAACGCCCATGGTATGCATGATCTCGTCGTGACTATACAGACTCTTGTTACAGTATCGATAAATCCAATATTCCTCTCCTCTTCTCTTCTTTTCCTTTCCTTTAGACAGGTCTGTCGGTGGGGTAATCCTGTCGCCAGATTTGCTTCATTTCTGCAATATGTTAGGACTCACTGCTTATCATAATCATGCGAGCATATGCAGTATTTTACCTTCAAGACAAGTTTGGCATAACCTATGTGTGCGCTTGGGTTGACCACAACCAGGACACTTGCATAGACTGTTTACGTCCTTCAACGCCTTGCCCGCCATTTGTCTGGATCGCTTCTTTGAGTGAGAGACCTTGTTCTTAGGTACAGCTCGTAGCACAGACTCCCAGATATCGTCGATGGTGGGGAGGTTTAGAGAAACGCCGGGGATCGCAATCGATAAGGTCGGTAGAAACTTCTGGGTGAACTGGCGGAAATACACCCCAGATATAAGAGTCGGAGAGGATAGTCGGGGGAGGAAAGCGGAAGCCATCTTGAATAATGATATATCGAATTGAGGAAGATGGTGCTATATCGGGTTTGGTGGTTCAATCGAAGCCGAAGTCGGAACAGAGGCACAGGTGGAGAGGCCTTCGGAGCAGAATCAAATTGAATTGATCTAGATCCAAGTATTCAGTCGCAAGTAGCGGTTCCCTGTCGAAAGAAGTGAGCCGTTGGTTGTTGAGCTCGAATTGGAGTCGCAATGATCAAAATGCGCAAAGCTTCAAATTCCGATGCTCAAAAGTTTGATGCTTTCCCCAAAGTGCCGTCAAACCAATCATCAGCTGGCCGGCAAACAGACCCGCTTTAAACCAATGAAGCGGTCCAAACGCGCTTTCCCCCTTTCTTTCGGACCCTGGACCTCCCTGCTCCCTGACACCTCCCTTCCAGTAAGGAAATTGTTTGCTAAGGTGGCAGGAGCAGCCCAGTGCCTGAAAAGTTCCCCCCTAGCATCGTGTTTCCACGCCGCCTCTCCTAAACCTCCAACTCAGCTTCGCTACATCTTCAAGTGTCACTTTGACCTTGCTAACTCTTCGCGCTCGTCTCGTCCTTTGCTGTCTCGAGTCCAGTCCTTCTTTCTTGGAATATCCACAACATTCCCAAGCTTAAACTCTTATCTACGCTCACTGCTTTAATCGAAGAGTCTCCGAATTATTCAAGATGGCCTCTCCTCCTCTTAACACTATTTACCCCCAGAGTCATGTCGGTTTCGACAGCATCACTTCTCAGATTGAGAAGAAGCTCTTGAAGCGTGGTTTCCAGTTCAACGTTATCTGTGTTGGTAAGTATTGATACGGTCTCGAACCTAATTGCGCCTAAGGTCTCAACCACCATGGTGTGATAGTGGTGATGGGGCAGGCGGTCTGCAATCATGTTCATGTGCTAAACTATCTTGCGCATCGTAGGCCAGACCGGTATGGGCAAGTCAACGCTCATCAACACCATCTTCGCTTCCCACCTGATCGACTCAAAGGGTCGCTTCCAGCCCGACGAGCCCATCCGCCAGACCACCGAAATCCAGGCCGTTTCCCATAACATTGAGGAGAACGGTGTGCGACTTCGGCTCAACATTGTCGACACCCCCGGCTACGGTGACCTCGTCAACAACGACCGCTGTTGGGACCCCATCGTCAAGTACATCAAGGATCAGCACTCCGCGTACTTGCGCAAGGAGCTCACTGCACAGCGAGAGCGCTACATCCAGGATACCCGTATCCACTGCTGTCTTTTCTTCATCCAGCCTTCGGGTCACTCTCTTAAGCCCATCGATATTGTCGTATTGAAGAAGCTGTCTGACGTCGTCAATGTTGTGCCTGTGATTGCCAAGGCTGATACCCTCACTGTTGAAGAGCGCCAGGAGTTCAAGGAGCGCATTAAGGAGGAGTTTGCTTTCCACAACCTGAAGATGTACCCCTACGACAATGAGGAGTTTGATGATGAGGAGCGTGCTCTGAATGGCCAGATCAAGGTTTGTCAAACTACTCGGCCTTGCGATTGAAACATAAATACTAACATATGACAGAACCTTGTTCCGTTTGCTGTTGTCGGATCCGAGAAGTCGATTATCGTCAACGGTAAGCAGGTCCGTGGCCGTCAGAACCGATGGGGTGTCATCAACGTCGAGGATGAGACTCATTGCGAATTCGTCTACCTGCGAGACTTCCTCCTCCGAACCCACCTCCAGGACCTTATCGAGACCACCTCTCAGATCCACTACGAGACCTTCCGTGCCAAGCAACTGCTGGCCCTCAAGGAGAGCAGTGCTCACGGCGGTGCTAGCAGCCGACCCATCAGCCCTGCAGCCGACCGCGAGTTGAGCCGAAACTCGCAACGAATGACGATGAACGGCTACTAGGCTGACTTTTGTGCTTGAAGTTGTGCTGGCGATGGAGCAACGGCGTCTCTGGGCAGCTCGATAGCCCGCATTTGTTACGACACTCCATATATTTCACGGCCTGATGTAGAGCAATCTAAAAGTAATTGCTTTGACAGGAGGTTCGCTGGTCAACTTTGACCGTAATGGACCCGAAAGGCCTCTTACATTGTTTCGATGACATCGGCAAGCGAGCAAGGACGGGGGCAGAATCCTTTGGGGCACGAGCAAAAAGACGGGAACTGGTCATTATCAGACTAGACTCTTCCTGGCTGCGTGCCTTGAGCACTCTGTCCATTAGTCCGTATCGAAGCTGTACACGACTTTCTTCTTTCTCTTTCAGTGTTACCCGGAGAGCTATTTGGCCTTTTTCTATGCTTTAATAAGACCGATTACCCCATACTCTAATCTGGAGTTAGTTTCGTTGCCTACATAGTATCAATTCCCTTGGAGTTTCTGACTTATTTACGGTGCCAAATAGTGATATAGGATTGAGAAGTAGTGGTCAATGCTGCTGTTGATTTTGCTGTGACAAGATGCTCACTTGCACATGACGTCGCCTCCAGCGACTCAGTTACTAGACGTAGTGAAATCTGCAATGACTGACACACGTTTACCTGCGCTTACGTAGTATATGCAACGCACAGGCTTCTACTAAGGAAAGACCTCACTGGTTTTGGTATGATAGTGATATAGGGTAGTCAAAGACTCAAGACTGTATCTTCTCTTGCAACTTGTGATCCGACGTGTCAGAATACAAAGCGCCACTATCTCGGTGTTTCTTTTTATTCTTTGAATATCATATTGATGTGACGTGGTATTCTGAGGTTAGATTGGTCATATATAGATGTTCAGTTACGAAGAGCAAAGCTCCGAGCGTTACGCTTTAATCCATCTTGCCCCAGAAAAGCAGCAAATACATTGATCCCAAGGAATTGCATTTCTCTCCGATCATACATATTTATGACGGCTTAAAGCTATCATAAGATACACCTGGGGTTTATTATGTAACCCAGCATTTAATTGTGAATATTCTCTTTTTGTTGGCTGATCTGATACTGCTCATCATACTAGTATCTCAAACATCACGCAAGATGCCTCACTACACAAAAGACGACTAGCAAAGGGCCCGTGAACCAAATCCCTGCCATATGTTCCGACCTCCAAGTTTCAGAACCTTTATTACGCCATAAGGCGCTTATTAGATACGTACGGGGTATTTTGCAGCGTGGGGGATATTAATTGCCCGTGCTCATTGAGATAGCGTTTGCTTAGAGGGGCACTCCCAACAAGCAGGAAGTGCTGTGTCATTAAGAGATGGATTAGATAAAAGCATACTCGGTTCACAAAATATTCAGAGAATTTCACTTGCTAACTACGTATCACTTGTGGTTAGACATGAGACGCTTCGCCAAAGTCATTCATTGTGTTATATGACTTGCGGCTTAATAAGGGATACGTTCCCGTTATCTCAATGACCTTGGGTGCAATGCTACACAGATGCCTACCATGTGTGATGAATTACCAGTTGAAAGACAATGATTGGTGTTATAAGAGAGACACAGACCTTTCAGTTAGTTGTTTCGGTCGCAAGCAGGAGTGTTATTCCAGTCTTCCAGGCATAGAAATGTCTTGGTGTTAGACCAAGTGATGAAAGGAGTGAAGATCGCTGTAGCTTCACCGACCTCTCGGCGTAGTGAAATTGATGCCAAGAAAGACGCAGTTACAGTTACAACAAGTAGCCGGCCGTTGTTGAAGAAAAGTGTCGGTAATTTTAAACATCTGGAACTTGGAGATTGCGGTGGACAGGTTGTGCAAGGATGTTGAATGACAAGCATGCACCCAAAACACGGTGGAACCATCAAAGAACTCTTTAGCCCTTCCAACAGCAGTTTGTCATTGAGCCGCAGTGAATGGTTGATCAGATCAGATCTGGACATGACGTTTGAGTGGCTTGTTTACATGCAGATACTCACCAATGGCTGCTGTGAGACACAACCCTTTTTTGACTTTGGATATCCGGCTCAGTCTCAAATGTCTCTGGCCACTCGTTCCCGTCAAAGCCGTTCTCGTTACCCCGTTTCCATCGTCCAAGTCACCGAATCTAGACTGCAAACGGTAAAGCGAATTGTCTCCCAAGCGCCAAACTTCCGAGAACCCTGGCAACGATTAGACTAGGCCAGGGAACCCATGACAACCAAGGGTACTGTAATTCTGTATATGTGAGCTGCTGGTTTGGGTAGAAAGCAAGAGTACGGAGTAGAGTGAGCGAATTGAAGAGTTGCGAATTGGTGATAATTTGATTCCTTCTTATGATTTCCTTAGGTTCTGTTGTTATGCTCGCTACCTTAGTACCTAGCCAATTTGCTCACTTCACTGATTCACTCATCATGACCTCGTCCCTCGTATCAACGGGCCTTGGAGAAAAGTACTTAACTTATCAACCAAGTTCTGAACTTGGCCACAGGTCTTGGCTTTGACGCTTGGCTTCTGCCGGAACTCAATCTATCCATACTAAAAAAGCCTAGAATGCAGAATGCCATGGCCGGATATCCAATGGTGGTGTAATAGACAAACGAAAGCGGTCCAGGCTCACTTTGCCTTACCTTGGTTGTTCGTATGACCATGAACGTTATCCTGAGCGGCGTAGTTAGGTTAGAAGTAGATTGTGGTTTGTTGATGTCGTTATATGTGCACCAATCCCCTGCCATGCAATGTTTGGCTTGGCTTGGCCTTCGGTATTATTTCTTATTTGAGCTCGCCTCATCCACTGCTTCGGATCGCATCGCATCGCATTGAAGTGCACCTACCCATCTCCGTCCTTGTCCCCGTCTAATTAATTGCTGTTTGCTGCTTGTATCTAACCTCCACATAACATCCCCAGTACCCAGCAAAGGCAGTTCGATCGATCACTGTCGCTCTCGCTGTCTGTCACTGTCACTGTCACTGCTATCCTTCACCTTCCACCCCGACTGCCACTTCTCCTCCACCTTGCTCCTTCTCCCAACTCCATATGGTCTTTCTTGGCTAGGTAATTAATGCGCCTGCCGAATTGTGGTCCTTTCGCTTCTTATCGCTCTTTCCGATTGCAACGGGCTCAGTTCGCGCCTTTATTTTGCGAACTCCTTCGTTCTTCCCAACCCTCAACACCAAATTTCACGCACTCTACGTTGTAGCTCGAGCCACGTCCAGGTCTACAGCCAACCGCGGAACACTTTTATCACGACTTTTGGGACAAAACAAGAACAAAACAACACAACACATCACACAGAGATTTAGTAGCACGTTAACTGCCATGCTTGTACGTTCACTCTCTTTGCGCTATGGTGTATGGCGTATTGTGTCTCGTCCCACCACATACTGACGTGCGCCTTAGATCAACGCCGCCCTCATGGCCCTTGGGGCTGCGGTCGTCGGTGCTGTACCTCCCCTGGAGATCAAGGGAACCGACTTCATCAACCCTCAGACTGGCGAGAAGTTCCAGATTGTTGGTATGGCCTACCAACCTGGAGGAAGTGCCGGTTACGATCCTTCCACTGGGAAAGATCCTCTAAGCCACAAGGACGAATGCATGCGAGATGCTGCCCTTATGCAAATTCTTGGTATCAATGCCATTCGTGTCTACAACCTCGACCCTAATATCAACCATGATGACTGTGCTAGCATTTTTAATGCCGTAAGTGGTGTTGCTATTTCTATTGTAGGGACGGACTAACACACAACATAGGCCGGAATGTACATGATGATCGATGTCAACTCTCCCCTGCCTGGTGAGGCCATTCACTCTGAGGCCCCCTGGGAGAGCTACTACACAGCATATCTCAACCGTACCTTTGCCATTACTGAGGCGTTCGGCAACTACCCAAACACTCTTCTTTTCTTCTCTGCCAATGAGGTTATCAACAACGAAGCCACTGCCGCGCATGCTCCCCAGTATATCCGTGCTGTCACTCGCGACCTCAAGAACTACATCAAGAATAACTTGAAACGCCAAATTCCCGTTGGTTATTCGGCCGCTGATGTTCGCGAGGTTCTTTGGGATACCTGGAACTACCTGCAGTGCTCTGATCCAGAAGATGAGGGTGATATGAGTCGTGCGGATCTTTTTGCTCTCAACTCGTACTCCTGGTGTGGCGCTGAAGCCACGTACGAGAGCTCTTCTTACAACGACCTTGTGTCTGGTTTCGAATCCACTTCTGTTCCTATTTTCTTCAGCGAATATGGCTGCAACCAGCCCCAGACTCGTTACTGGAACGAAACCCAGTCCATGTACGGCAAAAAGATGACCCCGGTCTTCTCTGGTGGCGTTGTTTATGAGTATACCGAGGAGGACAACAACTATGGACTCGTCAAGATCAGCGGCGATAAACTTCGAATTCTTGGTGATTTCAACCGCCTCAAGAACCAGTTCGCTAAGATCGACTGGAAGGACGTTCAGTCTCAACCTGCAAGCAAGAACCCAGCCAAGGCCCCAACTTGCAAGGGTTCCATCATCAAGGACAGTGGATTCGACAACAACTTTACTCTTCCTGTTATTCCCAAGGACGCCCAGAAGTTGGTCGACAACGGAATTAAGAATAAGCCCAGCGGAAAGATCATCGACATTTCGGACTGGAACGTCAAACTTGCTGTCAGTAATGCCGATGGCAGCGCGCTCAAGAATCTCAAGGTGGTTCCTCTTAAGGACGATGAATCCAATGCGTCTGGTAGCAACGACGCAGACACCGGCAGTGAGACCACCGATGACAAGAACAGTACCAGCTCTGACAACAAGACCGAATCCTCAGGAGGAGCCAACGAAGACGATGAGGATGCTGCCGTCATCACTCGGCCTTTAGTCTGGGTTATGGGCCTACCTCTGGCCGCTATGATGTTTGCGCTATAATTGACCTGTCTGGAACAGGCATACGATAATGGAGGAGATGAAAAATGTGCAGCATTTATCTAGTGCTTGGAGGGGAAGTTATGACACGGTTGCTTTACATATGCGAAGAGCATACGATACCACTCGCTCCTACCACCGGTGATAGGGCGACTTCTTCTCGGACTCGTGTTTCTGGGTCTGCTCACTTGAGGACTTTTCCTCCAGATTTGAGCCTTTTTCTTTTATCAATACATTGCTTACTTACTTTAACTCATGAATTATCACATGCTGAACCAATTCGGTACGGTTCTACCACTCTGTTTACGCGTGAAAAAACAACTCTACAAAGATCGGAAAGTGACGCTCAGAACTCGAAGTTCGTTATTATCAATACTAGGCCGACCTCGGATCATGGTCTTGATTGCGGTACTATTCACATATAGGTGTTGTCCTTCCGCCAGCGCCTGAGCGACAAGTACCAATAGCAATAGCTCATTATCTCACCACTGCGAGCCAAAAAACAACAACAAGCAAACGATCAAGCAAACAAGCAAATACGTAACAATAGCGGGAGTCCTTCAGCCGCATGAAGCAGAGTGTGGACTGTCGAGCTCGAGGAGAACCTTCACTTCTCGGTCGTCTTGCAAGGGGTCTTAGAAGACTTCGAGGACTTATCAATTTTGAGCTTATCGGCACTCTTGTTCTTCTCGCCATGTTTAGCAGTCTTTTGCTCAGAGATCTGAGGAACTGCTTCCTTGCTGTTGGTGTTGTTCTCAAGAGACTTGGACCCCTTGTTGGTCACGGCAGAAGATCCCGCGTCTTCAGCAGCTCCGGGGTAGTAGTGGCCGAAACTCCAACCGGTATAGATGCTCGGATCATAGTCGGGTTTGAAGGAACGTCGGCAGTAGCAGGGGCCGCACGCATCATGAGTGCCAAAATCGCCAGCGCGACAGCACCCAATGCAGCAGCTCGAGCTGTAGTAATCATCGTCATCATGGCCGTCGTATCCTGGCATACTGAGAGCTCGGGTGTTAGTCTCGGAAACATCGTGGGTCAGCATCCCAGGCACTTACTTTTACCGTGGTTGAACTGGACCGTCGAAAGGGTGATGGTAAGTCGACAGACGACTTGGCAAATATTTGAAAGGCAAGAGGGAGATCTGCGTTGCTGCAGACACAATGAATCAGAGGAACGGGTAACGAGAAGTGAAGTGGAATACAAGGACCTTGCTCATGCAAGCCCGAGGGTGATGTGAACGTTCCATAGACGCAACGAACACCCAAGAGGGAAGTGCTAGGGGGGTCTCTGCTTTGGAGAACAGGTAGACGGGCAGCTCAGTTCAGGGCTTGTTTGCTTTGTATGTTTAACACGAGAGTTGAAGGCTGAAGTTTGAAAGAGAGAAGAATGAATCCGCGTTTACTTTGACAGGTCCTTGTTTGTTGATGCTGACCCGCTTGGTCAACAGCAGGTGAATCACCTGGTTGAGATACTACGTAGTGTCCTTCTGGTGTCCTGCAGTTTCAGACCCCGTGGCCTATGAATTGCGTCAACGAAAGGACATTTCAAGTCTCGGCGCCGAGAGTTCGGCAGGCCGTAACCCCCCGTTTACTGCTCCGGGCTCCGGGGAGATCAAACGCCGTGTTGTATAGGGAAAGAGGTGGACACCAGCGACGGGTTCTTGCCGTGTTTGCTTACGAGGAGGCCGTGCGTTTTGCCCCTATCATGACTAGATATCGACTTGGAGGAAGGACGTCACCAGAATGGCCTGAGACTAACCTACTTACGATAGGTCAGGGTGACTATACCAGGTCACACAGAAGAAGTGACTACCAGCCAACCTGGAAGGAGCTTATAATGGGCAAACGATCATGCTAGGCAGACAAGACAGGAGCGAGTTGAGTATGAGGCTAATGTACAGGTACAGAAGGTGATATTTCCAAAACGGAACCGAAGTGCAGGACTGTGTAATACGAGACTCGATAGATCCGTCCTCCTTGACTTGGATGGTTAGACTACAGGAAGGAATGCATGCTGTGAACCATGATATATCAGCTTGATTATCAAGAAGGGGCAATAGGCCGCGAAAGACAAACGCGGCCGATAGGCATACTGCGTTTGAAGACCAAACAAGGTTCTATACGCAAACAAAGTCACTTCACGTATGAGATATCTCCAAGTCACCAAGATAGTTCATCAAATCCATAAGTGTCATCAGATCTATTAGCTTTCTTTCCGTCATAGCTCAAATACTGCCATACACAGCTCATTCGACCATTTGTTGGTCCCGAGCCCTAAGAATTGCATCGCACCACCTGGTTCCCGTTTGTCTATCTTGCATTGCAGTACAAAAAGTCATTCATTGCAGGTACCTCATTTTTATACCTGCACATCCCTTCATACTATACCAGCCCCTGGTAAAGTTTTCATTCTCTTAAGCCTGGAACTCCTGCGCCTTGCTCTCCTCCCACTTGCCGGGGACAAGAGCCAAAGGCACGATACCAGAGACGTGCATCTCAGGACCAAAGATCTTGGCGTTAAGGCCGAGCTCCTGTGTAGCAGCCTTCATGTTCTTGAGACCCTCCTGGTAGTTGGGACCAGCACGTCGCACCCAGATGGAGACGTTGTGCTCGACCAACTTAGGGGCGAAGTCTCGCAGCGCTCGGATGACACCCTTGAAGGTGCTGGCGACGTTGGTGAAGTTGGCAATACCACCACCGATGAAGAGAACCTTGCCCTCTTTGTTCTGGGGAGCGCGGAGGAGAAGGTCGAGGACAGTTCGGGCGTAGTGGTATGTCTGAGACTCGGTAGGAGCACCAGAGTACTCACCGTAGTTGGCGAGCTCATCGGCGAATCCAGCAGAGGCAATGGCATCGGCGTAAACAACGGAAGCACCACCACCAGCGACCAGAGTCCAGATACGGCCCTTGGCGTTCAGGACGGTAAGCTTCAAGGAAGCACCAGTCTTAGCATCGAGGTCAGCGATGTAAGCCTCCTCCTTGGTCAGCTCACGACCGAAGGGGGCGGGGAACTCCATAGGAGGACCGGCATCGATGCTGATCTTGCCGTCGGCACCAGGGGCGATGTTGGTAAGACCCAGAGCAGCGGGAGATCGGGCAATAGCCCACTTGGAACCACACTCGAAGTCGGCAGTCTGGTCCAGCTTGGCAGCAAGATCGAGGAAGTGGACAGCGGCGGAGGTCTTGTCCTCGTTGGGGATGACAACGAGGGGGTTGATCTCAAGGTAGGTGAACTGGCAGTCGACGTAGACGGCATAGAGTCGGGTAATGAAGTCGACAAGGACGTTGTGGACACCCTCGGGAACCTTCTTGAGGAGAGTAGCGGCAATCTCCTCGTTGGAGGGGTACTCGGCGAGGTCGACGGGGATCAAGAGCTTCTCAGCCTTGGCGTCAACATCACCGACATCAACACCACCCTCGTGGGTGAAGAGGATCCAGTCGCCCTATAGATGAAAACGTTAGCAAACTGGACTGAGCGGCTTTAGTAACTAGGAGTAGACCAGGAAACCGGTAGCAAATGTGGGTTGCCTGTGGAAGGGTCGACAAGGCCAGGGACTGGGCTCCAAGCATCTCTTATCGTGGCATCCGTTCGCCCGTTTCGGTTCAAAGAATGATTGCCGGCGCGGGAGCAAAGGAGCCCACAATTCGTCTTCTTCAAAGCCGAACAGAGAATTCAAGATGCCAGAGAGCCCTTCCTTGTCATGTCCAATTTCCTTCTCTTGTGTTCTTCCGTCGTCTTTCAAGTGTCGGCTTCAAGGACTCTCGTCTACTGACGAGGAAAAAGCCCGATCCCACCAAACACACAGTGGAAACAAGATTTCAACTTACATCACGGACTGAGTTAATGTTGATGTAGTACTCGGTATCTTGGGGGTGAGGAACGAAAGGCTCAACAAGGAATTGTCTCAAGACACCAGCGGTGTGCTCAACCTGCTGCTCTGTACCAGCTCGCTCAGCAACCCAAGCCTTAGCCTCAGCCCAGGTCTTGTTCAGGGCCAGAAGACCGCTCTTTCCTCGTCGCTTGATGAGCTGATCGGGCTTGGCGACGAACTTGGCGTCGGCCTGGAGGAGCCAAGGGTAGGTGACCTCAGCCTGGTTCAGGATATCAGCAACGTTTGCATCCTCGGGGAAGTGCAGCGAGGCGAGTCTGCTAGGAGGGTTGTGAGTGGAAGACGCAGGAAGAGGACTGGGCTTGATGACGGGGGCGCGAGTGAGGTGGTAGTTGAGGATGGCCTTGCCGTCGGCCTCGAGAATCGACTTGGCGGACATTTTGAATTATGAGGATTTGGTGAGGAACGGAGAAAGGTAAGTTTGGAATGAGCTGGCGAGTGTCGGCTTATTCCTTTTTATTCAAGTCTAAAGGGGGGGGGGTTCTGGTTAGCAAGTGCTGGCTGTTTGATTCAAGATGAGAGTGTTGTCTCGCAAGCGTGCAACAGTGGCGGGTATTTCAACTTGAGGTTGTTGCTAAAACTAGAGCCAAAGCTACCAGAAGAAAACAACGAATTTCAAGATGACATGCACGAGCGCGAAATTCAATGCTCAAGTGAAGCGACTGGAATTGCGATTGCGGTTTATTGCGGCTCGATGTCGAGAGTTCGACGAGGGTCGGCGGGGAAAAGGCACACTCACCACTGTACACGAGCTCAAGTGGGCTGCGTCAATGGAATTGAAATCGAGGATTGAGAGGGTGAAGGTGAGATTATGACAGAGAGATGGGGCAAAAAGAGAAGAGGAAGAGGAAGAGAAGGAAGATGATTGTTCAAGACGATGGGAGGGTGAGAATGGGAGAGGGAGAGAGAAGAGCCAGGCACTGAATCACTGAGGGATTGGGACTGAGGTGAGCTCTCAAAAAAAACCACTGGACGACCTGAAAGAAGCTCAAGGGGAAAAGACAAGACGCGGGCGGAGGGTGGAGTGGAGGGGTCGGATTGGAAAGGCACCAGGGAGGGGAGGGGGAGACAGGAGACGACCCGGCGTGTTCTGGGGGGGCACGAGGCGGGCGGTCAGTGGAGGGGTACCTGGAATTACAGGGCAAACCAGCCAGCGGCCGAGGTACCTGGGCCCTGAGATTCATTGGGGCGGGGAGAAGGGGACGGGAGGCGTTGATCCAAAAAGCGATGAGGGCTGGTCAGGTACCGGTACAAAGCCCATGTCACTCGACATCAAGCTGTTGAGGACCAGAGTGGACCAGGGGGAGGCGACCCAAGCGGGACACCCTCGAGTTACGTACGATATCGAGGTTGAGACGTCGAAACAAATCTATCAGACCGCCGAAAACCGCAGCGACCATTGCTACTCTAACCCAATTCAATCTCCCAAGAGAAAGCTTCTGTCAGTTTCTCGGCCAATTCCATTTCTGAGTTGTTTTCGTTGCGCAGTCGCTCCCGTCTCTTCTTTTCTTTTTTGGGGTAACCCAGTCCACGATAATATCAGCGTGGGTTGGCTCCCAATCTAAGGCGGTGGGCGATGGTTGGTGACTGGTGAGGGAGTCCATGCCTCAAAACCCCGGGAAACGAATGGAAGTCTGCCATTTGATGAGACTGGCAATGATTGACTCGGAACCCGGGGAAAGCGCAAAGAGCTGACCTTGCGGTGAGTTCTCGATGCACCTCAAAGCTCAACTCAAGGTGAGGTGAAGTGGCTTTTTTCTTTTTGGTGGTAAGCGCCTGTAGGACGCCACCCCCTCCATGCCTCATGCCTCGTCTACCCCTCCACTCACCTCACCTCACTCACCACACCTCAAGCTCTTGAGCTATCGGTATGCCATTGAATTCCACGCTGTTCACTTTGAACCAGCCCAGTTGAATCCCTAGGGAACCCACAACTTCCGGCTGTCTACGGGACGAGTATCCATCTAATCGCATAGGCTTCCGATGTTCGGTGGATAGAAATTTCAATTAACAGGCTCTCTCTGCACGTTGTCTGGACTGCAGACGACTATGTGGAACATCAATCGGATATTACACCAGAGACCCAGAAGTAGTTTCATTCCGGCATGGCCGTTCAAACTTCAATGCAGATGCATATACAGATACAGATTCAGATGCATGCCTCATCATCAGTCAAGCCAAGTATTGCAGCACCAAGCCAAGTGGTAGGGCTAGCTTTAAGCCAACAGTACTTGGCTTGGCCACTGTGAGCGGGTGTCCCACTCAACAAGGGACTCTGCCTGTCTGCCGCCTTTTCAGTCTGTAGCACTAACACCCCTGGAAAAGGGTTCAGGAAGGATTGGAAGGATGGAAGCCGAATCTCAAGTTCTCAACACGATGCGATGCCTTGATGTCACCGCCGACCAACAACCGCTCGTAATTACAGTAAGCTCCAAACAAGAGCTGATCAATTCGTTACGCTTTGGGGTGGCTGTTGGAGCTCCGAAGCAGGGGCTTACGACATCCTCAAGGTTACTACAATGTCTGTTGACCGCGTGCTCAGGTGTCATGTCTATGAGGTGCCGGCGATCTTGCAAGATCTTCCACGGCAGTCCATAGACGCCTTGATGCACGCAGGAGATGGGTTTGGCTATGCACGGGAGAACCCCATGGTTTCGCGCAATCCTCAAACTACCATGTCTATTCGCTTACAATCGAGACAAGATGCGCTGGCCATGGCCATCGTATCTCATGAGTGTACTCTGCATTCACTGGCTCTGATGGTGGATTTGAGCCGTTCATAAACTTCTCAAGGCTCATGGTGGGGAGAAACGCCATCAACGCCTTCTTTACATGAAAGTGGAATGGCGGGACGTACAACGGTCCCCTCATACGATGTACCGATACTTTGGCGTGGGAGCTCCAGTCTTCAAGCTCAATCGCAACCGTCCGGGCACGAACAGAAAAAAGTCCAAGGATTCAACAGATCAACAAGAAAAAAAAAGAGGGACCCTGGAACGAGCGACATCCCCAAAGAAAAAAGACAGGCGTCTTCCCCAACTGGCTGGTAGATCAACTCACCTATTTGCACACCCATTACGGTGTAGAGATATTTTGTGAGATTGGCCGAGAGATTGTCCAACCTTGCAATTGAGTTTCTGGAGAATGTCATTTCCAAAAAGGCATCAAGAGAGACCCAGTTGCTCGCTCACTCGGAAGACGAGTGAGGTGAGGTCCCAAAATATCTTGTAGGTGCAGGTTCTGTGAGAAAACTGGTGCAGGCGGTGGCTAGTGATGTACCGGGAGGTGGGTCCAGAGACAGGCGGGGAGTGAGCTGGAGGCAGATGCCCCCCTGTCCCGCCATGTACTGTACCTGAAGTACCCGTTACTTGATAGACCCCAAGCACAAGCGTCAACCCCACTAAGTTTTTCGTGGTGTGGGTGATGGGTATTGGATGGGTTCTCATGACAAGACACCCGTACCGCGGGTGCTTCGCTGCTGCTGCTCCCTACCTACAGGCTACAGCTGCCTGTAAACAGCCTCATTGACCCTTGGAAGTCAACCAAAAACCAAAATCAAAACCAAAACCAAAACCAAAGCCCAGCTCTCACCCGCCCACCAGAACGACCCGTCCTGTTCACTCCTCCTGAATTCCTCCGTCCTATCCTTCTCCCCTCCCCCTCGTCTCAGCCTCCGTCTTTGACTCCTTCATCTGACGGATCTTTCACTGATCTCAATTCCTTCCTCATTTTCTCTTCATACATCTTTCTCTCTACCTAATTCCTTTGAGCCCGCTTCTCCCCCCAGAGAGCTCAGAGCGTTTCCTCTCCTCTCAGCAGCTGACACCTTATTTGGTCCCTCCAGCGCCTCAACTCTTCAACTCTCTCACCTTACTCACACCGTCGACTTCGATATTTGCAATGGCTGCCACTACCTCCAACAGCCTGTCGGCTAACGACAACATCCAGCGTTTCCCGGCTCCCAGCCGACCGCTGAGCCCTCTTCCTGAGCACGCTCTCTTCACCGACAAGACGCGATGCTTCGTCTACGGTCTTCAGCCCAGAGCCGTCCAGGGCATGCTCGATTTCGACTTCATTTGCAAGCGATCCAAGCCCTCCGTTGCCGGTATTATCTACACTTTCGGCGGTCAATTCGTCAGCAAGATGTACTGGGGAACCAGCGAGACTCTGCTGCCCGTCTACCAGCAGGTTGACAAGGCTATGGAGAAGCACTCCGACGTTGACGTTGTCGTCAACTTCGCTTCCTCGCGAAGTGTCTACAGCTCCACCATGGAGCTTATGGAGAACCCCCAGGTTAAGACCATTGCTATCATTGCTGAGGGTGTCCCTGAGCGAGTAAGTCGATGCCAATTGTAGCTATGCGCCTAGCATGCGTGCTAACCATGATTTCTTAGCGAGCTCGTGAGATCGCCCATGTCGCTAAGAAGAAGGGCGTTACCATCATCGGTCCCGCTACCGTCGGTGGTATCAAGCCTGGCAGCTTCAAGATTGGTAACACCGGTGGTATGATGGACAACATTGTTGCCTCCAAGCTTTACCGCAAGGGTTCCGTTGGCTACGTCTCCAAGTCTGGTGGTATGTCCAACGAGCTCAACAACATTATCTCCCAGAACACCGACGGTGTGTACGAGGGTATTGCTATCGGTGGTGATCGCTACCCCGGTACCACCTTCATCGACCATCTTCTGCGATACCAAGCCGACCCCGAGTGCAAGATCCTTGTCTTGCTTGGTGAGGTTGGTGGTGTTGAGGAGTACAAGGTCATTGAGGCCGTTGAGAAGGGCATCATCACCAAGCCCATCGTCGCCTGGGCCATTGGTACCTGCGCCAGCATGTTCAAGACCGAGGTTCAGTTCGGTCACGCTGGTTCTTTCGCCAACTCTCAGCTCGAGACTGCCAAGATGAAGAACGAGAAGATGAAGGAGGCTGGCTTCCACGTCCCCACCACCTTCGAGGACCTCCCCTCCACCCTCAAGGAGGTTTACGACAAGCTCGTCTCCGACGGCACCATCGTTCCCCAGCCCGAGCCCGTCGTTCCTAAGATCCCTCTTGACTACTCCTGGGCCCAGGAGCTTGGTCTAATCCGAAAGCCCGCTGCTTTCATTTCTACCATCTCCGATGACCGTGGCCAGGAGCTCCTCTACGCCGGCATGCCCATTTCCGACGTTTTCAAGGAGGATATTGGTATCGGTGGTGTCATGTCTCTGCTTTGGTTCCGTCGCCGCCTTCCTCCCTACGCCTCCAAGTTCCTCGAGATGGTTCTCATGCTCACTGCTGACCACGGTCCTGCTGTGTCTGGTGCCATGAACACCATTATCACCACTCGTGCTGGTAAGGACTTGATCAGTGCTCTCGTCTCTGGTCTCTTGACCATTGGTTCTCGATTCGGTGGTGCTCTCGATGGTGCCGCTGAGGAGTTCACACGCGCTTTCGACAAGGGTCTGAGCCCTCGTGACTTCGTCGACAGCATGCGCAAGGCTAACAAGCTCATCCCCGGTATCGGTCACCGTATCAAGTCCCGAAACAACCCCGATCTCCGTGTCGAGCTGGTTAAGGAGTACGTTCTCAACAACTTCCCCAGCCACAAGCTCCTCGACTACGCTCTCGCCGTCGAGACTGTCACCACCTCCAAGAAGGACAACCTGATCCTCAACGTCGACGGTTGCATTGCTGTCTGCTTCGTCGATCTCGTCCGCAACTGCGGTGCCTTCTCTGCTGAGGAGGCCGAGGACTACCTCAAGATGGGTGTCCTCAACGGTCTCTTCGTTCTCGGCCGAAGCATTGGTCTTATTGCCCATTTCCTCGACCAGAAGCGTCTGCGCACTGGTCTCTACCGTCATCCTTGGGATGACATCACCTACCTCCTCCCCAACCTTAGGGAGGCTGGAGCCCCTGGCGCTGAGGGCCGTGTGGAGGTTACTCTGTAAAAGATGGAGAATGATAATGCAATTGGGAAGGAAAGAAATAAGGCGTCGAGCATTTGATGATTTTGTGCCGGCCTGGACGCGTCGAGGAAAACCGACGGTCTGAATGAGACTTACAATACAATGTAACTAGTGCTGGAGGCCACAAGATGGTTCTCCATATTACTCGCTTGATCCTATAGACATGAATGTTGATGTTTGTTATGAGATTCTGATTGACTTATGCATTCATATCGAGTGAAGTATGTTGGGCTGTTATTGACGCAGATGGCTGTTGTAATATTGGGCGTTGCGTATTATAATCAATAGTGGGAAGTCACTGGCAAACCAGCTGGTCACTGACTTGCATCATGCTACAGCATGCATTAATATCCGTAAATGGTAAATGGTGTATATGGGCTATAGAGTACATCAGTTTACATGAAGACAGGGTGGTGAGCTGCCTGGATGTCAAAGAGTCACAATCGATGCATAAAGTAATACTAAAAAAACATGGGATAATAGAATGCTTATACGAATACACAAATATCTAGTCTCTTCTCATAATACGCTGGGACGGTGGACTCACGTGCTCTATCATGAGAAGTCCTCCAAGGGTGGTCACATGACACTGCGGAACCACGGAATTGGCGCCTGTCCCGGAAAGGTTTGGCGTGTCTGTGGATTTTGACGCCGAACATTGAGCACATGCTTTGACGACGAACGACGAGACGTGAACGGGCGGGCTGCTGTATCTTTCTGGGAACTTTTTTAACGAGCGCAATTTCAAGGTTCTTATGGTAAGGTAGACATAAATCCCCTTTATAAGTATGCTTAACTAATGCAGAAATCAAGACCTAGCGCTCCAATCTCTCTTCCCAAAAGATCAATCATCAACCACCACAAACGATATACACACGATGTCCTTCTTCCGCATCACCCTCCACCGATCTGCTATCGGTCTTCCCGAACGCACACGAGGTGTGCTCGCAGCGCTGGGTCTGCGCCGTCGAATGCAGACCGTCTTCCACCCTGTGCATCCCCAATTCGCCGGTATGATCCTCAAGGTCAAGGAATTGGTTCGAGTCGAGGAGGTGGACCGCGCGCTGAGCAAGAGAGAAGTCAAGTCTGCGCGGACGCCGGACGCCGGATTTTACATTGAGAAGGCTGTACCGAGAATGTGAGGCGAGGCAGATACCACGAGAGGAGAAACGAGGAAGTGTACTATAAACCGTAATGACTTTTGTACAACATATGGTGCAAGTTTGGAGGAAATGTAGAATTACGATCAAAATAAAACCGTGAAAGACTACTCTTAACGCAATTTCCCTTGTGTCCACGAAGTCGGGAAGTGGAAAGAGATGCGAGATGTATTTTATTAAGAAGACCCCTGAAACACCTTGAGCATGGTACTAGTAAAAAACAGGAATATGACGAAGACCCCCGGTATCCTACAGCTACGTGTGTGAAGCGTCCCCTTATCCCAAACGCGCTTCTTGTTGACCCCAAAAAGAGCACAACATGAACGGAACTTCCTGATTACCTCCTGTTGTTAATCTGGCAGAGCCCGCAGTCTGATATCACCCCAACGGTGGCAGGCCAAAAGGGGCCATGCTGGTCGGGCCATAAGGACCGTAAAAGTGAGAAGAGCTAAGTGACAGGGACAATCGTTGTTTTTGCGTGAGGAGTGTTTAGCAGCTACGAGCCTTGTCGATGTATTCCTGACTAGGAGTTTCGTACTCATTGACAAAATAGGTCTCGGCGTTACGTCCCAGCCAGACGTTGAACTTGCCGATCTCCTCTCGAAGGCGAGAGACGGACTGTTGATCCATATTGGTCTGCGCCAATAGTTCAGGGAGGGAGACTATCGGAGTCTAATTAGTTTTCAAGACAGGGAAGCTAACGATAGGCAGCGCATACCAATGAGTCGAGCGAGATGCTCTGCACCATAAACATCGCAGACATTGGTGATTTCAGTGTTGGCCTCGGTGTTTTCCCAGAGCTTCTTCAGGTCCATGTATTGATGGCGCTCAAAACTGCAAGAGTAAGCAATTTGAGCTATGTCTAAAGGAAGCCACACTTACCGGTACAATAGAATTCTGCTAAGAGCCTTCTCAAAGTACTCGCGAAAGCCGGCGATGACTTCCTCCAAGATATCCATGCTCGATGACCCCTCCTCGCGATGAGGTTGCTCGTGCGCGAGGTAATCTTCAAGAATCTTGGTAACTGGCTTAGCATGAGGGAGAGGGACTAGTTGGTTGTTCTTAGTAATGTTTTCCCAGTCATCTACCAGCATGGCTTGGATGTGGTCAGGAACCGGAAGATTGATCATTGGCTTGTTATGGAAGGAATCCTCCTACGGAAGCAGTTAGTATATGGCAAGCCTAGTAAGCAAGAAAAGGCCCATGGCCAATATATGTGAATATGAGGGCAAGGAAGCCTGGTGGATGCATGTACCGGCTCAAGTTGGACAGATGGGCTTCGGTTGGGCTCAGCACCAGATTTAGAAGGATCATATGCTTTCTCACGAGGCTGCTTAGGCTCGTTTTCGGCTTTCAAGGGCTGAGTGTAGCGAGGATCTTGGACTGTCTTCCCCGAATAAGTCACGTAGCGGTGGTTTTTGGGAGGGAGGCGAGTAAGGTGATCCTTGGGTCCTTTGAGGCTTTTCAACCTGATCTTTCTGGAAGGCTCAGTAGGTTCTATAAACTCGCTGGGCAGAGCCACGTCGGTCGAACCTCGAACGTTTGAGATGGGAAAGTGTTGCAAGGCAGGAGGCCCGCGGATAGGAGACATTGTGCTGCAGTGTTATTTGATAGGAGAAGTTGATGTGATGAAGAAAGAGACGAGTGTTCAAGAGTAGGGAAATGTGGTGTTGAGGAGGAAAGTTAGGGAGCACGGATATGTTGATATAAAAAAGGCAAATAAGAGCTGCGGGGGCAGTACGCAGTGGGCAGGATGATATCTGGCAGCAGTGGGAGCGTTCGATGCCAGGACAATGGTGAGGAGTGACAATAAAGGAGCCGTGGGGGAAAAGTGGCAGCGCTGTCACAATGGCAAGGCTTAACGAGAGGTTCTGATTCATCTGATCGAACAGACAGAACATCACCCTTTGGTACAAGAACAACACTCTCAAGCTTGAGGAGGAATTGGATAGTAGTGTAACAAAGTACAAATGCTTCGTCTTGCCGCCGGTCTCTTCATGGCAAGTGGCCTACTGGGCCAATTCTTGTATGTAACAGACCAGAACTACTGGAAGAAGACTTATATAAACCGTAACAGAACACCCAAGTAGATGCAGCAGAGGCAGGGTAACGGATCAAAAACAAACCAAATCAAGTCAAGTCAAATCAAAGAACAAAGAGTTTCTTACCTGTTCCAATTCCCAATCTTTGCCTCGTCGTCCCCCTCTGCCCCCTTGAACGGTGGCAGAGCCTGATCGCTCCTCGCTGACTCTAGCAGACTCGGCACCGCTTCGAAGACCCTTTTTGGGCAATTTAGTACTTCTTTGGATGTTATGCTTCACCTGCGCGTGAAGTTGTGCAGCCAGTTCCTTGTGCTCATCATCGAATGGGCGGATTCGATCAACCAGCACCCAGTCGTCCCAAGTGTTCTTCCAGCCTTTATAGTGGACTTTGTACTTGTATCCATCACTGGGCTTCTCACCAGGCTGTACGTCCATGATCTTGGCCTCGTAGAGCATGTCCATATGGAAACACAGCACCTTTTCATCTTTGCTGAATGGCGGTGGCGCCGGCTGTTGACGAGCGGGAGCCATGATTGTGATGTGAGTGGTGAGTTTGGAGTAAAGGAAAGAAGAGCTCCAAAAGTGGAAAAGAAGGACAAAAAGGCCAAAAAGAGTAGCACAACAACAAAGTAAAGCAAAGTTTATGTCAATAAGCCAGAGATATTGTCCTACAGGGCTCGACAAAGTCTAACTTTGACGAGTGTTGATAATCAAAAACTGAGAATAGTGCCACGGATGAGACAAGATGAGATGAGATGAGATTGAACGGCCGGATACAGTAGATTATAGTTTTGCGACAAGTACACAATTAGTTCGCGTTAATGAGGAAACAGGGGACAAGGGGGGTCCCTTCCTCAATGCACGCGACGCGACCAACAAGTTAGCCCCTTCTTTCTTTAAAGCTGAAGAGAACAGAGCCCAGCCCAGACCAGCCCAGCTCAACCTACTAGGTACTTAGTTAGGTAGGTAGGTCTGCTCGGGCACGATAAGATAAGAGATTTCAGGTGTCGTAGAGAAGTGGCGGGGTCTCCTTCGGGGCAGTCTCCAGGGCTCAGAGGCTCAGAGACATCCATTCACTGGGGAAAAGCCCTGCAAATGCTTCTCCCCCCGCTGCTGTTGGGCCGATCTCGCAACTTATTGGAACTGACGTGAGTCAATTGGACGCCGCTTTGCACCAAAACCCAAAAAGTTTCTTGAACTTGCATGCATTGAATCACTTGCAGTGCTCACCTTTAAAAACTCTTTTATATAACCCAATTCACCTCTAGACTACACACTTCTTCTGTCTGACTTCATCCTCCCACACTCTGGCCATTGCTTCAGGCAGCTCTTCACCATGGCTAACATTCCTGATCCCACTGCTGACTTGGACTGGACCTACAACGGCAGTGTCATTGAGCACTTTGCCCGAAATGCGGAAGCACATCCCGAAAGGGTTTGTGTCGTGGAAACCAAGACCTCAGAGACTCCAGAGAGGCAATTCACATACAAGCAGATCTATGAGGCCTCTAATATCTTGGCCCACCATCTCACCGAAGCCGGAGTCACCAATGGCGATGTCGTCATGATCTGGGCTCATCGTTCGGTTGATCTGGTTGTGGCTATCATGGGCACACTTGTAAGTGTCCAATTTGCGATTACCGCCCAACCACAGCTTGAAACGCTGACAATTGTGAAAAAAGGCGTCTGGTGCTACCTTCTCAGTGCTTGACCCTCTATACCCCCCTAGCAGGCAACAAGTTTACCTTGAAGTTGCCAGACCTTGTGCTCTGGTAAACATTGCTAGGGCGTCCGACGAGGCTGGACCGGTTGCTCCTCTGGTCAGGAGATATATTGATGAAGAGCTTAACCTCAAGACCGAAGTCCCCTCACTAAGAATTGGGGACGATGGCGTCTTAGCTGGAGGGGAGGTCAATGGGGCTGACCTTTTTGCTCAAGTCCGAGCTAAGGCATCATCCCGCCCAGATGTTATTGTTGGCCCCGACAGTAACCCTACGTAAGTTCAGATTGCCCCTCTACTCATCTTGTTCTCTGCTAACATGGATTTATCAGTCTAAGGTTTGTTTCCCGTCTTTGATTTTATTACCACTTAATTAACCCCCATGACAGTTTCACCAGTGGCTCAGAAGGAAAGCCCAAGGGTGTCCTGGGACGTCATTACAGTCTCTGCAGATACTTCCCCTGGATGGCTGAGAGATTCAACTTGAATTCTGACAGCAAGTTTACTCTTCTATCTGGCATTGCTCACGACCCTGTCCAGCGAGACATCTTCACTCCTCTCTTCTTGGGTGCCCAACTTCTCGTGCCCTCTAAGGAGGACATCCAGCATGAAAAGCTCGCAGAATGGATGCGCGAGCACAAGCCCACTGTCACTCACTTGACACCCGCTATGGGTCAAATTCTGGTGGGAGGTGCGACTGCTGAGTTCCCATCGCTAGACAGGGCCTTCTTTGTTGGTGATGTTTTGACCACAAGAGATTGTCGTTCACTGCGAAAGCTTGCTAAGAATGCCAACATTGTCAACATGTATGGAACAACCGAGACCCAGAGAGCTGTCAGTTACTTCGAGATTCCCAGCCACTCCAGAGATCCTAATGCTCTGGATGCTCTTGGAAACACTGTGCCCGCCGGCAAGGGTATGCAGAACGTGCAACTTCTCGTTATCGACCGTCAAGACCGTAACAAGATTTGCGGAGCTGGCGAAGTTGGCGAGCTGTATGTGCGCGCCGCTGGTCTTGCCGCCGAATACAGAGACAACCCTGAACTTAACGCTGAGAAGTTCATCACTTCTTGGTTTGTCGATCCTAACAAGTGGGTTGAGGCTTATGCGGATTTGGGCAAGGACGATCCACGACTCAAGGGTTACGTCCCCCGAGATCGTCTGTATCGCACAGGAGACTTGGGGCGTTATCTTGAATCCGGTGATGTCGAGGCCACTGGCCGAGCTGATGACCAGGTCAAGATTCGTGGTTTCCGTATTGAGCTCAACGAGATCGATAGCAACCTGAGCCAGAACCCCTTGATTCGGGACTGCAAGGTACGTAGAGGAACTCTTTACTCTTTCAATCTGACACTCTGACCTTTACTAACTTTGTATAGACTCTTGTGCGAAGGGACAAGAACGAAGAGCCAATTCTTGTAAGCTATATTGTTCCTGAGTTGAACGAATGGCCCAAGTTCCTCAAGACTCAGGGTCTGGAGGACGTCGAAGACGAGGGAACCGATATCGGACCTACCAAGGTTTACTTCAAGCGTTTCCGACGTATGCAAACCGAGGTCCGTGATCACTTGAAGGGTCGACTGCCTGCTTATGCAGTCCCAACTACCTATGTAAGTCTAGAGAATTAACACAAACAAGTACGCAAAATCATGCTAACGTTCTCCCAGATCACCTTGGAAAAGCTTCCTCTTAACCCTAACGGAAAGGTTGACAAGCCTAACCTGCCCTTCCCTGATATTGCGGAGCAGACTGAGGATGCCACCGAGGAGGACCTTAAGCGTTGGGAGAGCCTGTCTCCCACAGAGCAGACCGTTGCCGCAAACTGGTCTGAACTCATTCCCGGTCTCAACGCCAAGACCATCACCCCCCAGAACGACTTCTTCGATCTTGGTGGCCACAGTTTGCTTGCCCAACAGATGCTTTTGGTTGTGCGAAAGACCATTGGTGCCAATGTTTCCATCAACACTCTTTATGAGCACCCAAGTCTCGCTGGTTTCAGTGCCCAGATCGATAGGCAACTCAAGGGCGGAGCAGCTGGTGAATCGGAGGAGGACAAAAACCCTGAATATGCTCGGTCTCTGGAAGAGCTACTCAAGGGGCTTCCTTCCAAGTACCAGTCCGCTGAGCCAGCGACTATTCGTTCCAGGGCCAAACCTGTCGTGTTCCTTACTGGTGCTACAGGCTTCCTCGGCGCTTACTTGATCAAGGATATTCTGCAGCGTACCAGCCGCCAGATCCAGCTCATTGCTCATGTTAGAAGTGTCAAGGACCCCAAGGGTGCCTTTGCTCGTCTTCGCCGCTCTCTCGAGGGCTATGGTATGTGGCAAGACGAGTGGGTATCTCGCCTGAGCTGCGTTGTTGGTGATCTGTCCCAGCCAAATCTTGGAATCGAGGCATCGGCTTGGGCCAACTTGGCCCAGACTGTTGACGTGGTCATCCACAACGGTGCCGCTGTTCACTGGGTCAAGCGATATGCAGACATGAAGACCGCCAACGTCAATTCTACCATCGACGCTATGAGGCTTTGCAACGAAGGAAAGCCCAAGACCTTTACGTTTGTCAGCTCGACGAGTGTTCTTGATACCGACCACTATGTCAACCTCTCGGATAGACAGGTCAGCACCGGTCAGGGATCTATTCTCGAAGAGGATGATATGATGGGTAGCCGCACTGGTCTTGGAACAGGTTACGGTCAGACCAAGTGGGTTTCAGAGCAGCTTGTTCGCGAGGCTGGCAGAAGAGGACTTCGCGGTACCGTTGCACGACCAGGCTACATTCTCGGTGATATTGAGACCGGTGTTTGTAACACCGATGACTTCCTTATTCGAATGCTGAAGGGTTGCATCCAACTCGGCGTTCGACCTCACATCGTCAACACGGTCAACGCTGTGCCCGTGAACCACGTTGCTAACGTAGTGGTAGCGTGTGCACTCAACCCCCTCCCCGGTGGTGTTCATGTTGCACACATTACGGGCCACCCTCGTCTGAGAATGAACGAGTACTTGTCCAGCCTGGAGTACTACGGATATAAGTCTCCCGAGGTCGAATACACACAATGGAAGGACGAGCTAGAGAACTATGTTACCGCTGGTGGACAAGAGAAGGATCAGGAACAACATGCTCTAATGCCCCTGTACCATTTCTGTGTTAATGATCTCCCTGCCAACACTAGAGCTCCCGAACTTGATGATTCGAACACTGTCAAGATTCTCAAGGAGGATGCGGAGCACTGGACTGGCATCGACGAGAGCTCAGGATATGGAATTTCGCGAGTAGACATCGGACGATTCTTGCGATTCCTAGCTGAGACCCAGTTTGTGTCCTGGCCCACAGGTAGAGGCAGGCCACTCCCCGAGGTCAACTTGACGGCCGCTCAGCTTGAAGCCGTTGGTGCTGTTGGTGGCCGTGGCGGTAGCGGTGCCCCTGCTGCTACTGCGAACAAGTCCTAGACGGTCATGAGAGGACGTATAAAAGTTTATGATTCAGCGGTTGGTTTGGGTTGGCTTGGATTGGCTCTATTGGAAATAGATAGGAAATCTACCACGAGCTTTGTTTTTGTAGAAAATAAACACAACGCATAGCAGTTGAGAATGTTTTTAGTTGCTTCCTCAAAGTGAGGCACCTAGATAAATTAAAATAGTGATGAAATATATTCTGATATCAGAGCTATGAAAAAAAAAAAACAGATCACTTTTGCGAATAGGAGAATGAACAAAAAATGAACTGTTGATATCGTATCATTTGGAGCTGTTGGCTAACAGTACACGACTCGTAGATTAGAACTTGGATCTGGGAAATAACTATGGGGCACTTAACACTTAACGCGCCTGGCTACAGCGCGTCGCGGTTACATCACACGCATATCATCAGAAACCTCCATGATTCCTCCTCCACTAGACTAAACCCTTCAACAGCGACAAACATAGTCACGGAATCACCAACTTGTTGAAGTTCGAGTCCACGAAAATGGCTCCTACAGAAGCCGAGCTCCTTGCCAACTACCTCATCCAGCCATCCACTCTGACCGCTATCATAACACTCGAGCAGTTCAAGGCTCTTTTCCCACGGCCGCTGCAGCCATCACCGCAAGTTCGATTGCTATTCCGAGACCTACAATCGCAGCGCACAGATCTTCTCGATGAGGTAGCCGAAAACATCGCTGATGAAGCGAAACGGGGAATCACAATCCGTCGAGAAGTCGTGCGGGCTAAGCGAGAGGCCGAGCGAGAGGATATAGATGCGGAGATCGAGATGGAGCGTGCAGTAGGTACCTTCGAGACTCTACAATCCACGAGTGCTGACTGAGGTTTTGCGTATAGTTATTTGGTGATGCGTCAGGCGCAGCAAGTGCGAAACATACACTCAACTCTGTTATTCCTGAACTAGAGGGAGCAGCGGGCGCCCTCGAAGCTGAAATTGAAAAGTTGAGAGAGGAAGAGGCAGCGTTGCTCGAGTCTGCGCAGCAGACTATAGGGGCATTGAGCGATCTACGATATGGCAAATTTGCCAATGGCCAAATAAGTGAGGAAATTATTAATAGTCTTAAGACCGTGGAAGCAGCTTGCGAGAACAAATCATGAATCATCAGAACATTATTATGGGCTCTACACCGGGTTCATACGAAAATCATGATATTCATTTCGGATCAAAAACTTGATATAATTGCGAGACGAAACGACCTTTTATTCGGCATCAAATTACTTGATAATAACCCACCGAGCAATTCCTAGAATCGACTTATTGGGCAGCCTGAGCACCGGCCTGGGGAGCCATACGACGAGACCTTTGAACTGTTAGTAATGGATCTTTTGCGAATTGGAAAAGAACTCACATCATGGCACGGCTGCCGAAAGACACAACAAGCATGAAGAGCCAGTTGGGAACCAGGTTCATAGCCCACATGAGGTAGCCAAAGGGAACGGAAAGACCGAACTCAGCAAGCTTTCCGTTGAAGGGGTGGAAGTAGGAGCTTGTGTGGTGGAGGAGCTCATCCTTGTTACCAGCGGCGTGGAGGTTGACAAAAGTGTCGGAAGTGGTAGTGGTCAAGTTGAGTCTCTTGCTATAGACCTCGACGGGCGCAGGCTCGGGAAGCATCTCGAAGACGTAGAGGCTGGCGGGACCGGCAGACCAGGCATTGCAGAGAATGGGCTGGTTGTCGCAGTTCAAGTAGGCCATATGAGGGGTGTTATCGAGGAGCGCAAACTTGGCAGCGGTCTCGTTGAAGGCCTGCTCGACGGTGTCACAACGGCCTGCGGTTGCGAGTTAGTGTTAGATCAATGTATAGAAGATTACAGCGGTAGCAAGTCACATGGCGTGTCGCATTGCATCGCATGTTCCGAGATGTAGACGTACCATAGCAGGTCTTGTTTCCGCCAGAGACGAGCAGCCACCACTCCTCAGGAGTAGTAGCACCAGCGGTCACGGGCTCGTAGAGGGTCTGCTTCCAGTTGTCCAGTGTCAAGACATTGAGCTTCATGGAACCAGCCTTAGCCTCAGCAGCGGCAATAGGATCGTGATGACCCGGGTTGGGAATGTATGAAGCGAACTGGCCGATAACATTCTGGAACTGGGCCTTGTACTGGTCGATAGGCGAGTCCTGCGCAGCGGCGAGAGCGGGCAGAGCCGCGAGGACGGTGGAGGATGAGAAGCGCATGTTGGCTGTATTAGAGATGATTATCAACGAATTATGGCGCAAACTAATCAATCAATGTCGACCTTTAGGGGGAGATACAGATGGGTCGGAGAGGAATAGAGAGGAAGAAGAGGAGAAGGGAAGACGAGACAAGACAGGACAGGACAGGACGAGACAGGACACAAGTTCCGGTGGAGATGAATGGATGGATAAAGACCAGCGCAACAGAGCAGACCCCCAGTGAAATTGGCCCGCACGGGAAAAGCTGGACCCTTGTATCGTTGGGGATATTGTAGCTTCCCTTGTAGTTTAACTGCTCATCCATGTTTTCTGGTGCTTACCTTCAGAGAACCGCTAATTGACAGTAGCGGGTAATTAACTTGCAAAACAGCTAACATGGGTGGCATAAGGTGATTAGCTTTAATCTGAAGAAAAAGGGATAATGGTTGAGGTCGAGAGATCATATTAACGTTACTATAACTATACATCCTAATGTTCATTGTCTTCTACCAAACCTACAGTAGCTTACTATCTGCGGTGTACTGTACATGATGGATTACACCACTGACCTGAGTTTCCTTTCCTGCTAGACACCTCAAAAATGATCGAAAAATGATGACACCTAGCAGTTAACATTTGATAGCTCTGGACCCTCATAACAAAAGGTAACCCAGAGCTAACCCATGTTGTGCTAGACTGTTAGGTGTCAGTTCCACTGAAGTTTGAACTGGACAATCCTTCTTAAGCTCTCCCCACACTAAAAGATAGGCGTCCTTCTCAACAATGGACACCCATGTCCAAGCCGAAGGTCGCGCCACTAACACCGACGGATAAACACTTATTCCGTGTCTTTCACACTGACTTCATTGTACGCGCGCGTCTTCCATTCAGTTAATCACGGATCGCGGCCAGAGCTGAACGACAAGGTGGTGGCTTTCAATTTCAGACACAATTACGAATACTTCAAATTTTTTGTCAACTTTTGAGACTTCTCTTGATCTATATACGGGTGATTCTCTCCTATTCTATACGACTCCTGCACGTCGTTGTGCCCACCCTATCCTAATAACACATCCATCCGTCATGAACACCCAACCGGGCCAGCAGGGCCAGGGCCAAGGTCAAGGCCAGCAGCCTGCTGCTGGGCAAGCTCAGCAACGCCCTCCACCAATGTACCAACCGAGCCAGATTCGAAGCTTGCCAACGTTGAGTGAGGAGGAAAAGTCCAAGTACGAAGCAGGCTTACAGGGCCTGTGGAACAAGGCCAATGGTTCTCCCCAGAACAGTCAGGAGCATATTGCTGCGCGTCAGAAGATTATAGAGTTCTCGAAGATGCTCATCAGTAAGATCCAGCAACGTAGGACACAGCAGATGCAGGGACAGAATACCCAGAACCAACAGGCTCGACCTCAACAACTGCAACAGAACGCTACCGGACAGACGACGCCACAGACACAGACGCAGCCTCAGCAACAACAAGCCACCGGAGCTCCTGCTGGAAATCAAGTCGCTGCCGCCGCCGCTACAACTACTCAGCAAAACCGAGTTCCCGATCACATCCTACAACATGTGAGCAAAATCAACTTTCGAGCTCCAGCTCAGGTAGCCGAGAAGTCAGGTGCCGATGCGAACAAATGGGTCGAGGAGATCAAACAGCGCTACACCAGAGCACTGATGACAATGGACAACAGTAAACAGAAGGTTGCCCAGATTGATAAACTTATCAACGACAGGGCTGCGGCTGGATCACCATTCAAGGAGGACGAGTTAAGACAGCTGCAAATCAGGAAGGACCAGCAACTCAAAGCACATTCTGATGCTCACAAATGGGTTGACAGTGTTCGCAAGCAGCAGGGTAACCTGCAGGGCACTGGTCAGGCACAGCAAGCTCAAGCTCAAGCTCAGGCACAAAACGCTGCGAGGGTTTCTCAGCAATCTGCCCCTACACAACAAACTCCTGCGACTCAACAAACACAACCTCAGACACAGCAACAACAACCACAAGCCCCCTCGCAAGCGGCACAAACCCAACCCCAAGCGCCGCCAGCTCAGAACAACGCCCAGAGCAATCCTGCCCCCGTCAACGCCGCCGTCGAGGTTGCCAAACAGCAGTTAGCTGCTGTCGGCCGGGCTTCCCCAGTCAACGGGACCCTTGGAGCCGCACCAGCGCAGGCGCGTCCGGCGCAAGGCACCCCCCAGCCCGGTCAGCAACAACTTCCATCTCCGCAAGTTCAGGTTAAACAAGAACCTGGAACTGCTCCCATAAACCCCGCTATGGCTTCAGCAGTCATGCAAACCCAGGTTGGAACACCGACGCAGCAGAACGCCCCTCGAATTCCTACACCTCAGCAAGCAGCTGCGGCGGCAGCTCCAGTGACGGTGGCAGGTCCCCAGCGAGCTCTCAGTCACTCGGCGGCAATGGAAATGGCAAACCAAAAGGCTATTAACACTCCTGGAAATGGACCCATGCCAGGGCGCCCTGCCGCAACTGGAACACCAACACCAGGCAGTGCAGTGAATCAAGGTGTGATGGGGCCTAATGTACCTCAACAACCAACCCCACAGGGCCATCCCCACGCTCATCCTCCGCAACCACAACAAACTCCGATGCAGTCCAAGATGCCTATCCCCAAGGTTCTGCCCGATAAAGCCACAGCAGTGCCTCAAGGTGTTGCGATCGGAGGTGGAGTTAACACTGGCCGCCCAACAATGTCCCAAGGCAGCGGAACACTCGGTGGTGTTATGAACCAACCTGCGATGGCTAGAATCCCGGCGTACAATCATGAAGCTGAAGGAGATCACGTATTGAGTAAGAAAAAGTTGGATGAACTTGTTCGACAAGTGTGCGGAGGTCCAGCCGAAGGACAGGATGAAAACATGCTCACCCCTGAAGTGGAGGAGGTAAGCACTTTTGCTAACGGAAGGTCGAGTGAAATTACTAACACGGTTTCAGAACGTCTTGAACATGGCAGACTCGTTTGTTGACAGTGTGCTGCATGCAGCCTGCCGCAACTCCAAGGAGCGCGGGTCAAAAGTGCTTGAGATTCGAGATATCCAGCTCGTGTTGGAACGAACCTACAATATCCGTGTACCCGGGTACTCTTCTGATGAACTCCGCACTGTCCGCAAGATTCAGCCATCTACTGGATGGATTGCCAAAATGAGTGCTGTCCAGGCGGCCAAGGTCATGCCAGGCAAAGGTGAATAAACTCGGCCAAAGTAAGGAAAAGATGATGAAAGGGGGTACGGCTGCGGAGAAAAATGCAAGGTGTGTTTGTTTATTTTACATATGAGGCGTTGGGTGTATACCCGGAACAGACTGGCGCAAAGGGTGGTTTCGGTACTACTTGGAGGACACGGCTCTCGGGTTGAAAGCACCTAAGATGCATGTGGTTCTCTTGCAGGATGTCTACGTCTAGACGCTGCCTACGATACCGATAATACAAATTGACTATTTATGCTTGCTTCACTACAAAACTTCTGACAATGACTTAGCTGAAAATGTGTAATAATGAGAATAACCTATTAATAATCTTAAGACAGGATTATACAAGATGTAATAGAATAGGAGGGTTTATGATAACTTGTATTATCTCATATAAAGTTTAGATATGAGGAAGTTGTTGGAACTTTTGCCCACTCACTGTAGTGAGTTACGTAGTATAGAGAGTAATAAGCATAAATTCAACATTGATACTAATCTTCAAGTTATATCACCTGTTATCATATGTAATGGGTATTCGTTCTAGAACACTCGAAGGTATAGGCTGCTGCGTTACGTTGAGGAATGGATGTTTGCATATGTAGCTAAGCATAGGTACCTAGATTTGCACAACTTGTTAGGCTGGTTATAGGTTATCTTTGTGCAAAAGGCCAGCTGCAGGCAACATCGAGACGTCACTCCTTAGAGCCCCACAAGGTGCCAGCTTATTAAGGTAGCGCCTCAGATACCGGGTACTTCAGTGGTACTTGCGAATGCTGCAAAATCGCCGCCGCTCCAAAGTATCTCTGCAGCCCGTTTCGTCTCCTGCTGCTGTCGCCTCAGTTGCCCACTGGCCAGTTAGCAAGCCCCAGTCTCCATTTGGTGAGCTAGCACCAGCAGCCAGCAACAAGCAGCATCACCTCGAACCTCTCCCAATCTCATTACCAAACCCTCAACGACGACCACTGTCTTGACCCTTCTTGACAGTCCCTTCCCCGATCGATCTCGTACTTGCGCTTTTGTAAAAACCCACTGTTATAACCAACTCCCCTTCAGCTTTATAACACAAACGCGGCGACAAGCTGAGGCGCGCGCACGACTCACGAGGACCTACAGTCTTCTTCCACTATCGTCATCAACAGCTTCTGCCTCGACAGATTTACTCTTTGATCTCCGCTTTACATACTCAGAACCACAGTCATGGCCGGCAAGGCACCGAACAATAATGGCAAGAAGCCTGCTGGGAATAATGTCCAGAAAAACAAGGACGTTGAGATGACGGACAGCACAAAGCCTAAGGGCAAGAAGCCCGCTAAGGATGCCGATGAAGAGATGACAGTTGTCGTTCCTCCTTCCAAGTCGAAAAAGTCCGATAAGGCAACGGCCGATGCCGAAGGCGATGTGGCAATGGGCGAGGAAGAGGAAGAGGAAGAGGAAGAGGAAGAGGAAGAGGAAGAGGTTGACCCTGTTGTTCAGACTATCGCAGGTGAGTAGTAGCTCTTGTTGAAGCTGGACATGCTTAAGCACAACATCCACTAACATTTGAGTCATAACATAGACATCAAGAGCAACTTTGCTTTGATAGACCGTGCCGTTGCCCTCTTCGACGCCAGATTCTCCCTCCGCGCCCTGCGATCTATCTCGATTCTCCGCAAGCGTCTGACTCCCGACATCATCGCCCATGTCATCTCCGAAGCCTTCCCAGCTACCTCCAACTCGAGCACTATTGTGAAGCCGCTTCTCGCTGCCATTGAGCGTGAGGACGTTACCCTCGGCCGACAGAGTGGCTCGGCAATGGAAATCGATGAGGCCAAGACTCATGGAAAGAACGGCTCTAAGAAGGAGGCTAAGGACCTCATTCCTGAGATCGACATTTTCCTAGGTATCCTTGTTCAGGTCTACCTCTTTGACACCAAGCAGTACCAGCGTGGATCCGATTTCTCGAAGTACCTTTCAGACAGGGTCCAGTCACTCAACCGCCGCACACTCGACTCTTTGTCTGCCAAGGTCTACTTCTACTACTCCATCTTCTGCGAGCACATCGCACCTCTGCCCCCATCCCCCCAGTCTCCCGTCGTCGCCATCCGACCGACACTCCTCGCCGCTCTCCGAACCGCCGTACTACGAAAGGATGTTGACACACAAGCCTCGGTCATTGTTCTTCTGCTGCGAAACTACCTCTCAACTTCGCACATTAACCAGGCCGATCTCCTGGTTTCACACACTCAGTTCCCCGAGAACGCTGTCAATAACCAGGTTGCACGATTCCTCTTCTACCTTGGTCGCATCCGAGCTATCCAGCTGCGCTACACCGAGGCCCACGAGCATCTCACTGCTGCCACTCGCAAGGCTCCCTCTAGTAACTGTGCGCTTGGCTTTGCCCAGACAGCTACCAAGTTGCTCTATGTTGTTGAGCTGTTGATGGGTGATATCCCTGACCGGGCCATGTTCCGCCAGCCAACAATGGAGGTTGCTCTCCAGCCCTACTTCCTGCTGGTAAAGTCAGTCAGAGTTGGCAACCTCGAGGATTTCGAGACAGCAATTGCCGATCACGCCGATACCTTCCGACGGGATGGCACATACAGCCTTATTCTCCGTCTAAGGCAGAATGTTATCAAGACAGGCATCCGTATGATGTCTTTGTCCTACTCTCGCATTTCACTTCGAGACATCTGTATTCGCCTTCAGCTCGGTAGCGAGGAGTCGGCAGAGTACATTGTCGCTAAGGCTATCCGTGACGGCGTGATTGAGGCTACTCTGGACCGCGAGAGAGGCTTCATGAAGAGCAAGGAGGTCGGTGACGTGTATGCTACCCGTGAGCCGGGTGAGGCATTCCACGACCGAATCCGAGCTTGTCTTGCTCTCCACGACGAGAGTGTCAAGGTTTGTTGTTACCATGTACCTTGAGGCTGAACCCAAACTAATCTGATTTCTGCTAGGCTATGCGATTCCCTATGAACCAGCACCGACTTGAGTTGAAGAATGCGCAGGAAGCACGAGAACGCGAGCGCGAAATGGCAAAGGAGATTCAGGAGGGTGATTTGGATGAGGATGACCTTGGCGGAGACTTTGACGGTATCTAAATTACCGTACACCGCCCGGGCTTCAACATCTCCTCTCGATCGCGTATAGGGTTCCTCTTTGCCAACAGCATTAGGTATCTTTACTGTAGTTTCTACTAATGACATGCTTGGCGCTAAGAATGATGGTGGTTGTCAACAGGTATATGATGATAGAAGGAGGCATGGCGGTTCCGAAGGGTAGATGGTATAACCAATACCTTCATGTATGTGTATTAGATGCGTCGTACCGGGGAGATAAATTTGAGAGCATGAATTCGCATGTGATCCTCAGACATTGACTCGGGATGTGCGGGCTGCCTACCCTGATGTAAGGTAGGATACATTTCTCAATGCGGCTCCTAGAATGGACAGTCAACCAGTGAGGTTTGCCCTTCGAGAGCACGAAGCATCCTTTTGACAGTGATAATCCTTAGCCGAAGTTGGCTAGAATGTTGATTCAAAAGAACATGGTTTTGTCTGGTCAGCTCGCACAGCCGCATGATCTTAAGCTTGACAAGACTAGGTTTCATACATCATCTCTCGTGCTGATACAAATGTAACGCCCTGTATACACAAAACTACGAGTTGGTTTCGTCACTTTCACAAGTACATGTGCTTTCAGATTGGATAGTTGTAGATTGACTAACCCTACCCTACTGCCTGGGATTGGTCGCTGCCTACCAATACTGATAGATGGGTAGGATACTTGGACAAACTTCCGTGTAAATAGTATGAACGAGGAAGTCAGTTCGTTACTGGTGTTTCCATGATACTCGCTGCTGCATGATAGGGGCTGCTATACGTAGTTGTTCAGTTGATGACATATCGCTGTTATATTAACCCTCTGACCATGAGATAGGCCCCATGGGTCGGTCAGCGAAAGGCTCTGAGAGAAAGCAAAGATGACAGCCTGGCGGCTGCGGTATATCAAGGAAGAGAACATGGCATGGGTAGGATAGGTAAGTGGCGCAGTTCCGTGTCAAAAGAGGTATCTTCCTAGGGAGTAAGTTTACAAACCCCCTTGATTTGAATAAACGATAGGCAACACATTGGACACAGCAATACGACTACACCTTGGGGAAAAAACCCGTCACCGTCTACGGCCAATATCGTCGACGGCAAACTGATCAAGTATATATCATCTGATCGAACTATACTGCAACTATGGCTTCCTAAGTCCCTTGCTCAACAGCTCTGTCCCAACTTCCTTGATGAGCTTCTCATCTGGGAATTTGGACCTTTTGGCCAGGATGCTATCTTCCGCACCCACTGCCTGGAGAAGGTCTGGTAGTTCTCCATCAAGTGGTGTGCCATAAACCAAGTTACCCAGAGCAAGAAGCATTCCATGTAGTGCCTCTATCGATTTCTCTTCCAAGGAAATAGCCTCTACTACTGATGCTGCAAGCTCAAGTTCATCATCCCCAGAAAGACTTGGCTTTGATGTCTTTCTTGCACGCCGGTTCGCTAACGACAGGTTAAAGAGAAGTGATGATGCAGCAACTCTCACATTGTTGTGACTCTCGTCAAGAAAACTAGAAGAGACAAGCAGAATGATTGATGCCCGTAATGGAGCTTCTTGCATTATCTCGTCAGGAAATAGGGACGTCGAGAAGAAATTGCACGCCATCTGTAGCGTGACAAGGCGGAGAGCGTAGGGACACTCAGTTTGTTGGTTAACGAACTCAAGAACGGCTCGCACGGTTTCGTGGTTCTTCTCCTCGGCGAAGAATCCGCTGATCCTGGGATCTGAAAGTGCGCTTCTGAATAAGTCGACAATAGTGAAGAGGATATCAATGGGAAGAGATGTCACTGAATCTTTAACCAAGCTTGATAGGTGGCTCAGCTCAGGGACAACCGCACTGGAGGGGCCATCTTTTGCTCGATCCTCTAGGTATCTCTTGAGAGCCATGACCTCAGATTTATTGGCTACTTCAGAACCCATCTTGAGCATGAGCTTGTCCAGTGGGGGGATCTTTGAATAAAGAACGGGTTTGACATCGGGGTTTGAGAAGGTAGGCAGGCGAAGTCTTTCGTGAGGATGAACAGGGTGCGCCATCTGTACCAGAAGTTGAACATTGCCTCGAAGAGCAGCTGGATCAGCCCCTGACCACCTATTTTCCTCTTCTCCACGTAGGAACGTTACAATGGTTGGCGTCGCCCTGATAGAGTACCGACTGCCGATTTCATGTTGCTGAGGCTGCGCGATGTCAACTTTGATGAGTGTCGCCTTATCACCAACTTCCTGCGCGAGTTCATCGTAAATTGGATAGAGAACTTTGCAGGGTGCGCAAGTCGCTGAGGTGAAGAAGACAACCGCACACGAAGTCTTTGCCTCGTTCATCAAGCGATCGAATTCCACAGAGTTGGACACATTTTTGACGCCGTGTCTTGGAGCAGCTACTGGTGCTTGTGCGCTCTGTTGAAGCCCAAGAATGGAACCATTTTGTCTTCCAGCGTTGATTCCTTGGGCGAGCTGGGGAACCAACATACGACCCATGGGCGAGTCGAGAACAGCCTGTGGCATCTTGACGATATGCTCCGGGATACCCTTCCCTAACAAAAAGTTTGCAAAGGAGTCACTGAAGTTGTTACAGTTGTGGTGGAAGAGATCATATGCCTATCGGTTGTTAGATTGAGTAGATACGAAAGAACAGGGACTGGCAGTACTGTACCTCTACTGTAAAGATCGGCCGTAAAGAATCTAGGAACTCTTCAATGACATCGATGGGCAGATCTGTCTTGCCGAGAGGTATTCTCTGCAATGGCTGGCCAAGGTGAGAAGAACCAGGCCGAATCGCTATAATGCCTCCATCGTAGACGTATTCTTTGCCGTTGAGTTCTATGGAAGTGTGGTATATGGCGTCAAGCTGAAAACCGAGGATGCCTTGGGACATTTGACGGGCCAAACCTCGTGAGAGGTCATAGACGAGAAGTTGGACATCCATTTCTCGTTCTGTTGTTGGTGAGTGGAATGCGGTATTCTTGGCTGGTCAAGGATCTACAAGAGTAAAATACCGATGTCAATTTTTGGAAGAGTTTAATAAATGGCGTTTTGAGTAGTGAGTGTTGCGGTTGTTATGGGTTTCAAAGGCTTAAGTTTACGCTGCCTAAGACAGTGATGGAAGTATAAGTGAAGCAGGCAACATTGCGTACGCCTTTGATTGAGCGATGACTGGAACATTCTAAGACGATGACGGATAAGGTCTACGTAGGAGGCGATTATTGATCTGGTGGTATTGCTATTATGATAGGTGAGGCTAATAATTATATGATGGTGAGAGAACATCTCATATCAGAAGAGACTAGATTTTTGAATACTTTGCTCCAACTTCATGTGTCTTTGCTCTGAATAAGGTATTTCTCAAACTTCATGACATCGAAAGTCGCATCTTGATGATAGGTGGAGCGTCTAAAATTAGCGTTTCTTTCTCAGCTTCTGCACTTTTCAGGGGCTGATCTCCCCTAAAGATTGATTCTTCTAGCGGCCTAGTTCCCCCCAGCCCCTGACAGATGGGCCGTGATCCATCGCCATGGCCGTGGAGGTGCGTGTGGAACCCGAAGATGTGAGGACGCAGATTGGCTGTAATTGGTCAAAGTGGCTGCGATTGGCTGCAAGGTACAACCCAAACCATTTCCGTATCTACCAAAAAAAGTATCTGACCCCCCCTTTCTCACTCTACCTCAATCCAATCCGTGTTATCACAGCCATTGCCATTGGATTGCCAGTTCGTCAAATCAACCGCATTTCATCCCTTTAATTAATTCCCCTTTGCTTTGCCACGTTCCTCTCACCCTCATTCTTGTCTCTCCCTACGCTTAAAAGGGTCGAATCGAAATTATCCGATGCTCGACCGAGTCCTGTCCTTTCTTTAAATAGACCGACAAGACGAGACGAGACGATCTTATCTCCCTCTCCCTTCTCGCGAGACCCGCGCTCATGAGAACACCCACATCGCCGCCTTCAAAATTCGGTGTCTTCGATCCTCACGAGAAACCAGACCGATACAACTTCAAGCCAAAACGGCAAGGCATTATTGGAAGAATGAAGGAATCTTGGATGACTCAGTCCCAGAGGACGAGGTGGATTAAGACCGCCGCTATCGTCTTTGCGATCGTTACCCTCTTCTACTTTATCTCCCCCAAGGGTGTCGAAGTGTACAACGAAGGTACGCCTAGTGGAGGTAGTAGCAGCAACTGATCAAAGTTCGAATAACTCCATACTAACGCAACGATACAGTTACTCACCCTGCTCAGGGCAACCAGGCCAACAATGGCCAGTCCCCCTCAGATTCCACTTACGGCACCGATCGTTGCACAAAGTCCTTCTCCAAGGACAAGCCTATTGTCCAGTATGTTCTTATGATCGACGCCGGCAGCACTGGTTCCCGAATCCACGTCTACAAGTTCAACAACTGTGGTTCTACCCCCGAGCTCGAGCATGAGGAGTTCAAGATGACCGAGAAGGCGGTCGGTGGCCTCAGCAAGTACAACGGCGACCCTGTGGCCGCTGCAAAGAGTCTCGATCCCCTTATGCAGGTCGCCATGGACACTGTTCCCAAGGCCCTCAAGGGTTGCACTCCCGTTGCCGTCAAGGCCACCGCTGGTCTCCGAATGATTGGCAAGGAAGCCTCCGATACTATTCTCGCCGAAGTCCGACGACACCTTGAACAGGACTATCCCTTCCCCGTTGTTGACCAGGAGAATGAGGGTGTTGTTATCATGGACGGTTCTCTCGAGGGTGTTTATGCTTGGATCACTACCAACTACCTCCTGGGCAAGATCGGTGGCCCTGACCATAGTGAGACAGCTGCCGTTTTCGATCTTGGTGGTGGCTCTACTCAGATTGTTTTCGAGCCTACTTTCAAGGGCGCTGCCGCCGGTGGAATGCCCGAGAAGCTTGCTGCTGGCGACCACAAGTATGACCTTGACTTTGGTGGTCGCCACTTCGAGCTTTACCAGCACTCTCACCTGGGCTACGGTCTGATGGCCGCTCGCAAGACCATCCACGAGACTCTTGTCAAGGATATTGCCAAGACAAAGGGTGAGGACAAGGCCTGGCTCAAGGAGCCCATTGTCAACCCTTGCATTGCCCCCGGAATGACCAAGGCTGTCAATGTTACGCTCGATGGCAGCCAGGACCCAACCCTGGTTACCTTCACTGGTCCCTCTCAGCCTGCACCTGCTCAGTGCCGTAACTTGGCTGAGAAGATTCTCAACAAGGACGAGACTTGTGCGCTTGCTCCTTGCTCTTTCAACGGCATTCACCAGCCTCTGCTCTCCAAGACCTTCACCAAAGAGGACGTTTACATCTTCTCCTACTTCTTTGATCGTACCAAGCCCCTTGGTATGCCCGACTCGTTCACTCTCCGTGAGATGCATGACCTTACCAACACTGTCTGCGCGGGAAAGACCGCTTGGGATGTTTTCACCACTATCCCCGAGGCTATGGAGGAGTTGGATGGCCGCCCTGAGTGGTGCTTGGACCTTAACTTCATGATGGCTCTCTTGCATAGTGGCTACGAGATGCCTATTGACCGCGAGGTCAAGATTGCCAAGAAGATCAAGGGTAACGAGCTCGGCTGGTGCCTTGGTGCCAGGTAAGTTTCGATAATTTCGCCTTTGTTCGTTCTCTGCTAACATCGTTTCTAGTTTGCCTCTTCTTGCAAGCGGCTCCGGCTGGTCATGCAAGGTCAACCAGATCGCGTAAAGTAATACCATAGGACACAAGGCGTTGAAGGGAGATGTATGACCTTTTTCTTTTGCTATTAAACCGATTCTTTTAGAACGGTAACGACATTTTGGATGTGGCGAAACCATCGTGACGGATCATCAGTTTCATGAACTAAGGATGAATTAGACTGAAGCCAGGATTGGCTTTTCGGGGGAACAGGAGTCCTCAAGTTGTCATGACATGCAGATTACTATAGAACTACTTAATACAAGGTACCCGCCTCAGACTGGCGCGGTCACCATGCCCAAGACATCTTCAATGACATCCTCAGAACCAATATCTTCCAAGAGTGCTTCTACTGCCTCTAGCTTGCTACCCCATTGCATACTCCTCTCCTTTTCAGGGGGAGTCAGCTGTATTCGATGCAAGTAAACCTTGCGGGTAGCGAGGCCAACAAGGGCTGGCGTTACGAAATCTAGGCGGTGCAAAGCAGCGAGGCATCGCATGAGCTGACCAAAGTGTTTTGTAGCGGTTGGGCTGATGCCTCCAGCGGCAGCTCGGTGCATGCGAAGGAACGAGATGATGTTCATCTGATAGCGAGTAACCTCGACATCCACCTGAGCCTCCTTGCTGAGTGTGCCAAGGTAACTAATATCCTGCGAGATAGTTAGCGACTGTATGGGACAGAACCGAATTCAACCCACGCTTTCAAAGATCAGGGGTCGAGTCGATGTATTGTCATCGCCGGGACCCCTTTTCACAACACTACCCGTTGATGCAGTATCGGCATCGTTACCTGCGTCGGCCTCCTCCAAATTAACAAACCCATCTTCAGGATTGTGCCAGTATGCTATATATAAGAAGTCGTTCAAGTGCGCCGTCACATGAGCCTTGCCTCCGCTCAAAGCTTCTAATACGGGGATGAAGACGAACTGCTTCGGAGCAGTCTGTACAGATGTTCGTGTGAAGATACGACGGGTACGAAGGAGCTCCAAGGCCTGAATCTGGACTGCTTGAGGTGCTCGATCGAGATTCTTGGCCAGGACAATGTTGGCTATTCGAGAGGAAAAGGCACCACCTGGAGTAAGGGGACTTAAAGGTGTGCGTGGATGCGATGTCGATGGCCTCGAAGTAAAGTATGAATCGGGATTGCGCGATACTGTCGGAGAGTGGCTAGAGGGAGACGCCTGATTGCCCAATAGAAGAGCTGAAGCGAAGTCTTCCAATGTCGTAGAAGGAGTGCAATCGATTATGACCCAGCTGAGACCAAACGTCTTTGTAACAACGAGCTGCAGCTCCTGTATTAGGTCGTCGATAGCATCGGACGGTGTGCTGACGAGACAGTGTTCGCGACTAATTAAACAGAGGAGCAGGGCCAGCTCAAGATCGCTCAGGGCGTGGACCTTGTCGAGAAGGCTGTCATCCGCCATAATTCAGCCGTCTCAGCCTCGGTGATACGTCCATGAGGCCTTGACTATGATGGTTGAAGCTCAATAGACGACCTCAAACTAGAAGCTCAATGTCGCATGATAGAGGTGCATATGATGTCACGTGGAGTTGCACAAAGCTTAACAACCAGCGAATTGGCAGCCCCACCCCCTTCGCTTTATGCATGCTGCTAAGTTAAACAAGGCTTAGCGTCGTGGACATCACCTCGAGCGACGGGCGAGGCTGCGACATTGGTACCTCCGCCCACCGTCATCTGCTGCTGCCATCTCTAAACAACACAAACCTTTCGCCAATCCGATTTCCCACGATCAGACTCCTGTGCAATATCAAGCACAATCCAGGTAGCTCTGGACCTAACTGAAGAAGCCGATATACAGATATCAGAGGGATCCAGCGACGAGAGAAGCTAGACAAGCGACGGCGCTTCGATTGCATTTCGAACGCTCGAGATAACGTCATTAAACCACTCTTTCCTTCAACAGACGATAATTCACCATGTCTTCCCGAAAGAAGGTTCTTCTCAAGGTGCGAGATGATGGATACATCGCCAAGCGTTTTCCGAGACCTTGAGTATTGATACAAATGCGGAAAATAGGTTATCATCCTGGGCGATAGCGGTGTTGGCAAGACCAGCTTGATGAACCAATATGTACGGACCTCCAGTTTATTTCGACCTGAATATTACGATACTGATGTTTTTGATGGGGCTACAGGTCAACAAGAAGTTCAGCGCAAGCTACAAGGCTACCATCGGTGCCGATTTCCTAACTCGAGAGGTTCTGGTTGATGATCGACAAGTTACTATGCAGGTAGGACAAGCAGACAAATATGGAACCATGAGAGACAGAAGGCTGATTGCTTGAGATAGCTATGGGACACGGCTGGCCAAGAACGATTCCAATCTCTCGGTGTTGCGTTCTACCGAGGCGCCGACTGCTGCGTGCTAGTCTACGATGTCAACAATGCGAAGAGTTTCGAGGCGCTCGACAGCTGGAGAGACGAGTTCCTCATCCAGGCTTCTCCCCGGGACCCTCCCAACTTCCCTTTTGTTAGTGGTGTATTGGTCTGGGCTATGGAAGTATGCTAACACAGAGTTTAGGTTGTTCTTGGTAACAAGATCGATGTTGAGGAGAGCAAGCGAGTGGTAAGTCGGATATAGCCTATTATGAAGATGGCGATCTAACATTGTCAAGATTTCCAACAAGCGAGCCATGACCTTCTGCCAGTCCAAGGGCGATATCCCTTACTTTGAGACAAGTGCCAAGGAAGCCATCAACATCGACCAGGCTTTTGAGGGTGCGTATCCATGTCCACTTGCTATTGTTTAGTTCTAACGAGGTTTAGTGATTGCCCGCAATGCTCTGGCCCAAGAAGAGTCTGAGGAGTTCAGCGGCGATTTCGATGACCCGATTAACATCCACATCGAGAACGACCGCGATGGCTGCGCTTGTTAAAGAAACAGATAGACAATGCGGGGGCAAATATGACTTGGATCGTATGAGGTGCGCGAGGGTGTGGAGGTGTGGATGCAGATGGAAGAGGAGGGTAGTTCCTCTGTGTGGTGGATCATTGATATTGCCTGGATGTAGCATACTGAGGCAACCGGGTTTAGTCTTTTAGTTTGTTGGTGTTCATACATGGATGCGGCTTGTTCTTCTATTTTGCAAGATCTGTGTTTGGTCTTTGAGTGAAAGTTGTTGTGACTTTTGTCGAAGCAGTTAGCCAATTGTTGATACATGCCCCGTTCCGTAAGAGCCCCAAGTACTTTGTAAATATGCATCCCATCAGGCCACTCTGGAAACGAAAAGTCATGCCATTATCAACAAGAGAAGTCACTTGTATACTCGTGAATGGGGGAATTCATGTCAAATTCCATAACCGGAAGCTTGAGCTATCGCTATCGAAAGCTCCTCGGCACTGGATCCACTCGTGTCCGAGGCTGTGGAGGCTTCCAATGACAACAGAGACTCCTGAGCGTCGCGCAGTGATACCCCGGATTTCCAACGTCTCCACCAGGTGCAACTCGAGCCGTGAGAGGCCAGAATGGCACAGTCAGCAGCCGCGAACCTCGGCTCCCTTCGACTTGAACATTCGACGATGTGCGGAGAAGTTTGGAGCTGGGACAAACCTGGGGTAGTAATTAAATACCTACGTAGATTTAATTACAGTTGCTTGTACGGATACTTTCTGTTTCTACATATCTTTAGCATCTCTCCTCGCCTTCCTTCTTCTTTATCATTCCCCATTTTATATCACATTACTTACTGCTGAAGCATTGTTCATCCTATACCAGCGTCACTCTCCTCCTTACCACAGTACACTGTAATTACCATCTCTGTCCACACTAGATCGCTATCATGTCGGCGAGAATCCCAGCCATCGTGGGTATTTCCATCCTCTCATGCGACTGAGAATATCACCAGACTAACACCATTCATCTAGGCTGCCAATCGCGTCAGCGACGCTGCTAAGAAGCAACTTGACCTTGTCGCCAAGTTCGTCGATGAAGAATGTATCCCGTCAGTTCCCCCTTTAACCTCAGGCAAGGACAGCTCTAACACTCAATAGAGCCGACCCTGTTGTAGAAGCCCTTGCTGGCGAGGGTGATGCCCGCTGGGAAGGCCACCCTTCAATCATTGAGGATCTCAAGGACAAGGCTCGCAAGCTCGGCCTATGGAACATGTTCCTCCCTAAGGGCCACTACAAGGAGTCCCCTGGCTGGTCCAACCTCGAGTACGGCCTCATGGCGGAGTGGCTTGGTCGCTCACATGTTGCCTCTGAGGCATGCAACTGCTCAGCTCCCGACACAGGCAACATGGAGGTGTTGGCCAAGTACGGCAACGATGCGCAGAAGCAAGAGTGGTTGAGGCCGCTCATGGACGGCAAGATTCGCTCGGCGTTTCTCATGACTGAGCCCCAGGTTGCTTCATCTGATGCTACAAACATTGAGTTGGACATTCGTCGCGAGGGTAACGAGTATGTCCTCAATGGCCAGAAGTGGTGGTCCAGCGGCGCTGGTGACCCCCGGTGCAAGATCTATATCGTCATGGGCAAGACGGATCCCGATAACAAGGACCCTTACCGCCAACAGTCGGTCATTCTTGTCCCTGCCGAGACACCCGGTATCACTATCAACCGCATGCTTAAGGTCTACGGATTCGACGATGCGCCTCACGGACACGGTCACCTTACATTCAAGAATGTGAGAGTGCCTGCTTCCAACCTTGTCCTTGGCGAGGGACGAGGATTTGAGATCATTCAAGGCCGACTTGGCCCTGGCCGTATTCACCATGCTATGCGCAGTATTGGCGCTGTAAGTCTATTCCTATTTATTCAAAGCTAAGAAAATATCCTAACCGTGTTGTAGGCCGAGCGTGCTCTTGACTGGATGCTCCTCCGCGTCAACGACGAGTCCAAGAAGCCATTTGGCAAACTTCTCCGCGAACATGGTGTCATCCTTGAATGGATCGCCAAGTCCCGTATCGAGATCGACGCCGCACGTCTCATCGTTCTCAACGCTGCCATCAAGATGGACGAACAAGGTCCTAAGAAGGCCCTCAAGGAGATCGCAGAGGCAAAGGTTCTCATCCCCCAGACCGCCCTCACCGTCATCGACCGCGCAGTCCAGGCATACGGCGGCGCAGGTGTCTCTCAGGACACGCCGCTGGCTTACATGTGGGCGGGCATCAGGACGCTGCGGCTGGCCGATGGACCGGATGAGGTGCATCTGCAGCAGATGGGACGTAACGAGAACAAGCGCAGTGCTGAGGCGACAGCGACTATCAAGATGCAAAGGGCTAAGACTGAGGAGCTGTTGAAGGCGTACGGAGTTGAGAGACTCCAGCCAGGTGCCAGGATACAGCACAAGGCGAAGCTGTAGGCTCTTGTTTAACAGGGTAAGAGCGAATATTTTTGTTTGTTTACTTGAGCATGCTGGCCGATAGGTGGTCGCATGAGTATTAGAGAATGTCATGTGTTATAACTTATAGCTATTTACTAAAATTGGTTGATGTATCATGCGTTATTCTGTGCCTAACCCGACTGCTCGAATAGCATCAGGTTTCATGCCAGGTGATATCTGTGTCCATACGGTATCTACTCCACGTAAGATCTTATTTACAAACTACATAGCCCGAGCTACGATGTATAGACTTGGGAATCATCGTTCATATGGAATGCTCAAAGCTTCATCACATCTTAAAAATCTAGATAGCTAAACAGACAGGACGAGGGGAGCGTCCACCCAGAACAAAACAACAAGACCTAGAACTCTACACAATAGTCTATGTTGTTTCAACCAATACAGCCAGGTTCAAGCTTAATTGGGTCTCACAACAACTCCTGTATCACCCATGCACGGTCTCTTCCCGTCATGAGTTAATTACCAATCCCTCACAGAATTATACACACCAGTCATGCCCACATTACCCCAGTGATGATGCGTTGTTCACAGCCTTCACGCCTAAAACACAGGGCCCAGCGTGCCAATTCTCACAGTGAAACCCCTGTAGCCTTCCATTCCAGGGGACGTTTGCCCGCTAAAACGCGGCAATGACCAACGTCATCGGCCCCGTATCCTGGCAAATTTCTTTAAGTGCCCCGTTGCCCCGTGAACAGCAGCCACCGTTTACTTTGCCTGCTAATTTTCACACTTGTGCAGTGTCCGGACCTATTTCATAGACGGCACTACCTTTATATGAAAGAAAACTTGCCCAATTCATCTCAACTGTTTTCTTTCACTCATACACAATCAAAGAACCATTTCCACAGACACAAACTTTTATCCTCTCTTCCATCACTCAAACTCTTTACTCTCCAACGTAAATTTTGCAAACTTCGCTACTTCTCACAACACTCACTTCCACTTCCACTTCCATCATGTCAGCCAAGGTTCTCGCCGATAAGGACGTCAACGCTCCCATGACTGAGCAGCCAATGGGCAAGGACGTTAAGAGCATGGAGTACCATCGCCAGGTCCTTCAGTCCAAGATGGCTGAGGAAGATACGTAAGTGATTCGTCGCTCAACTCCAGTAACAGTAACTAACATTGATACAGCGCCAACACCTACGTATCGCCTTCAGACAACATCATGAGCCCTTGCTCTGCTAAGATCAACACTCTACGAAACAAGCACGCTAGCAAGTTCGTCTTCCTTCTCTTTTCCAAACCCCTAGCAGTTGACTAACAACTCCCTCTACAGAGCCAAGCCCAAGACGCTGTTCGCACAAGCGAGTGCTAAGAAACTCCAAGGCGACAACCCCTTTGGCGCAAAGCCAGCACCTGCCAAGGCCTCTTTCCAGTTATAAAGCCACCGACAACTTCTCTTTCTTCTTCTGATTAAGGATACTCATATTCCAAGGATGCGTCTTTTTGTTTTTGCTGGCTAGTGGCTGCTAGTCCAAGGTGTTTATATGAACCACCGAAGGTCAGGTTTATGGCGTTTGGGGGTTCACTGGTCGTACACATACACGCACATATTCGTGGTGCGGGTTTAAACTTTGGCTTGTAATGATATGATGCGATGACTGGGGCTTGGCTTGGCTTCTTTTCTGGTGGCCGGTTTATGTACGATTCTTAACCAATGAAACATATCTTCGATATATGTATACAACATTTGTGCTTTGTGCTTGAAGATGGTGTCTTTTTATTGAACTTGCATATGTGGGCATACACGTCTATGCTTTCCAGGCGCTGACAATGTATACTACATCTTCATCAGCCACGGGATGTGCCAGACCGACTCGTTGAGGAACATGTCTTGCACTGGCACCCCACACCAATGCATACTTGAATGTGTCCTTGAGAGTTCTGTGAATACGGTCACAGACATCCTCGATAGTGCTGTTGCTGCGCACAATCAAGGCCTCGCTGAAGTCTGGCTCGGCACCCTTGCGCTTGGTGTAAATGCGGATCAGCTTGAGCTCCTTCCAACACCTATCCACGACATCCTGGATGCCCAAGTCATCCTCACAACTCATCACAACCGTGTGGTCCTCACGTGCCAGCTTGTCCAGGAAGTCGAGCGAGACACTGTCGATCTTGTTGTAGACGTAGAGACACTTGATGTACTTTCGGTGGTCCTTCATGATAACATCGATAAAGTCGTCGACTGTAGCGTTTTCGTCACGGACAAGAACCTCACAGTTGAGGATCTTGTAGTCGCGCAAGATGTTGTAAAGCATCTTCTCATCCAGGTTCTTGGGAGGTGACTGGAATGTGATCTTCATACCACCCGCCGTCTTGACCTTGAGGTAAATGTTGCTGGGTCTCACGTTAGTAGTGATTCAAGACTGTCTCAGTCAATACGCTTACGGTGCCTCTCGGTTAAGACGAATGCCGACTGCCTCCAATTCAGCCTCCAGCAGTGCCCTTTGCTCGGCCTTCTTCGTAGCGTCCAGAACCATGAGAATAAGGTCACTGGTCTTGGCAGCTGAAATAACCTGTCGTCCTCGACCCTTGCCCTCGGAAGCACCCTCAATAATACCAGGAAGATCGAGCAGCTGAATCTCAGCACCACCATACTCCAGCACACCGGGAATGGCTGTCAAAGTTGTGAAGGCATAAGAGGCGACCTCTGACCGCGTTTTGGTGACTTTAGATAGGAAGGTCGATTTTCCTACTGATGGGAAACCGACAAGAGCAATTCGCGCATCACCACTTTTACTGACATCAAACCCTGAGCCGCCACCACCACCAGCGCCAGGACCAGGCTCCAGAAGTTGCGCCCTTAGTCGAGCAAGTTTTCTATTGTTATTAGTATTTCCTCTTTAATGGTTTTGACAATGTGGTATAATAAGCATTGCCGAGTCAGACTGATTATGCTTACCCTTTTAATAGACCCAAATGATATTCTGGGGTTGCGTTAACACTATATTAGGATAAGACAGTCTACGGAAACGTACCAGTCGCCTTGTTTTCTAGGTATACGTTAGTTTATGTTGAAGAAAGAAGTTATGTTGAGGTAAAGGAGCAAGTTGTTTGGTTGATGTTCAAGCTCAGCTTAGAAAAGCTAACATGGCCGGGATCAACTGGTATGGAACTTGTCCATGTGTCGTCCCCCAGCCTGCAAGAGAAACTGGCCAATCCACATTGTCTTATCAGAACAATTCTTACTTACTTTGCGTCCTCTTCATCTCCTCCTCAATCCTATTGCCATGTCAGTGATGCCCCGCCATAGTGTTCCAAGACCCAACTTACTCCTTGATCTTTTCCGTAATATTCACCATCTTGTCGGTGGTTGAGACGTATGCGTCTCTGTGAACAGCTCAGCAATGGAAATACAAACAAAACAGGGTATAAGTCTCGAATTCTCGGCGCCTATTCAAGATCTAAATCATGAGTGGGGGGTTGAGAGAGGCCTGATGAAGAGGTGGCAGAATTCGGATATCAAGCTCCACAGGTGCGGTTGGAAGAGTTCACCGCCTTCCACTTTCGTTCACCCATTTCCTAGGATATGGATCTATCTTTTACAGCCTTGCATCATCAGCACAGGCTTCGTCGCGTTGCCATCACAACAAATTTTTCGACTTTCGACACAATGGCCGACACAATGGCCGACACAGCAGAACAAGTCGAGACGGCGCCGGTCGCTGAACAGGAGGGCCAGGATATGGCATTGGCCACAACGAATACCGAAGTCGCGGCGCCAACTGGAAAGAAGGTTGTCAAAAAGATCATTCGCAAGAAGAAGCGACCTGCGCGAGCCCAAGTCGACCCCGATTTCATCACATCAGAGCCTCCTCCTCAGACGGGTACAATTTTCAATATCTGGTACAACAAGTGGTCTGGAGGCGACCGAGAAGACAAGTATCTGTCCAAGACCAAGGCCAAGGGCCGTTGCAATGTTGTTAAGGACAGCGGATACACCAAGGCGGACGCGCTCCCTGGAAGCTACTTCTGCTTGCGCTTCGCACGTGGAATCTGCCCCAACGGCCAGGATTGCGAATTCCTTCACAGGCTGCCCGGAACCTACGATCACTTTAATCCCAACGTCGACTGTTTTGGACGCGACAAGTTTTCTGATTACCGAGATGATATGGGTGGTGTGGGAAGTTTCATGAGGCAAAATAGAACAGTCTACGTCGGAAGGATTCACGTTACCGATGATATTGAAGAGATTGTTGCGCGACACTTTGCAGAATGGGGCCCAGTCGAGCGCAGTAAGTTATCTTTCGCTCTGAGTAACTGATTTGTTACTAACGAGGAAATAGTTCGTGTTCTTAACACCAGAGGTGTCGGTTTCGTCACATATGTCAACCAGGCCAACGCCGAATTCGCCAAAGAGGCCATGTCGCATCAGTCGCTCGACCATGACGAAGTACTCAATGTTCGCTGGGCAACCGCCGATCCCAACCCCATGGCGCAAGCGCGAGAGGCGCGCAACATTGAAGAGCAAGCTGCCGATGCTATTCGCAGAGCCCTTCCCGCAGAGTTCGTCGCCGAGATCGAAGGCCGCGACCCCGAGGCTAGAAAGAGAAGGAAGATCGAAAGTAGCTATGGTCTTGAAGGATACGAGGCGCCGGATGAAGTTCACTTTGCTCGAGGAGCCCAATCAGTAAACCCCTTGGGCCGACAAGGCTTCGGTGTGGAATACCAGGAACGGCCAATGATCGAGAACGGCGAGTCCAGCGAGACACCGGCCCAGGTGGAAGAGCAACAACCGTACCAAGAGCCCCAGCAAGAGGCCGGTGGTATTTTCTCAGGTAGCACTCTTGCTGCTCTTAATAAGGCCAAGATATCAGTGGCCTCGAAACCCAAGGCCGCAGCTTCAGCGGGACCTCTAGTGGCATACGGCAGCGACAGCGACAGCGATGATGAATAGGGACAAGGCGTTTTGATCAATACTTTAAAAATGCATAGATATGTCATGTAACAATAATGATACCACCCACAGCACTTATTAGCTGTTAAATATTCTAGAGTACAGTGCCTCGTGTCGTCCAACCCATAAATCCATAACAGGCACCGTCTGTCCAGCTTCTTCTACAGGAGTCGTCCACTCGCGGTCAATCATATCGTTTATCATTCTTTGAACCTGCTGTCCAGCCAACACCTTCTGCGCCTGATACGGACCAAAAACACTTGCTCTGACTGCAGCAGATATCAAGGCCTTGATATGGCTCAGCATAAAGATATATGCTGTCTGGCGCAATTCCAGCCCAACGAGAGCACATATCGCTCCAAATAGCGGCGCCAAGTGCGCAGAGACAAGCGGTACCTCTTTCTGGCTTTCCTGTCTCAGCACTGCCGCAAATTCTCGCAGCGCACGCCCGTCAACGTCGGGACAGCTCGCGCGAAACGATCGCTCCCATATCCCCAACAATGCACGGCCTTGTGCGACACTGGCACGACGACCTACGGTGCAAATAATAGCAGCATCTAGCTGGTCATCTAGTTGGGGAAGAGATGTTGGTTCGCGATGCGCAGCGAGGACAAATGGGAGTGTTGTAGCGGCGAAGGAGGAGAGCGATGAGGGTAGAAAGGAGGCGAAAGAAGCCGAGGCACGCGGTTCATGAGCGAGATAAGACTCGAGACCGCTGCTGAAAGCGAATGAACCCAACGGAAGGGCCGAGTCTGAAAGGAGTAGCAAAAAATGAGTCGTTGCGGCAAGGTGAGCTATGTATTATAAGTTAACACTCCTTATCTATGGGATGAGCTGGGTCTCTTACGATTCAGAGTCAGGGGTGGCGATGGCTGGGCTTTGTGAAGGCGTGCCTTTGCGTCCTGGAGACGCTTCTCTAATTCATCAATCTCATCTTGAATGATATCAGCAGCACCCGGAGCAAGTATTTCTGAAGCCATGATGGGTTTAGTTATTTTGTGAGGTTAAAGTGAGCATCAAAATAGCTCGTTCAGAGATAAGACCATCCAAGCTTAAAATCTACTTATCAAAACCATGACAACCATCATCGTGTAAATCCAAACCAGGTCTCATCGAGAAACTCATCGAGAAACACCCCCAAACTCCACGCCAATTCCATTCCAATTCTTCATACTGATCGACGTTTAATTATCCGTAGCAAGGTATGCGTATTTAGGCACTCAACACACCTGAGGTATCTCTATATACATTATCATTCTCAAGGTCGAACATTCTCCTTGTCAAATCCCTTTCTTCCACGCGCCCGTTTCTTCTCCGCCATTCTCTGTTCAATTCGTGCGATTGCGGCAGCCCTACGCTCAGGTGGCAGCCTTGATGCATTAGCCATCAATGCGCTATTGTTTGGGTCTGGACCCCCCAGACGTGCATAGTGATCTTGCAACAAGTCGATTTTGTCATCCATCTTCTCAGCAGATGCAGTCCGTTTTGAACGAGCGATCGACTTAGCAAGTGCAGGTAGATCTGGCACAGCAATGTCATCTGAACTGGGTCGACCGGGAGTCGCGCCTCCGGTCTCCAGGCGCTTTGTGATTTCCTCGCCAAGATATGCTCTATTCCTCGGTGATCGGGGAACGAATGGCTGCCACCTAGGCCGCCCGATATCTGGCTTAGAACTAATTTTCGATGACAACGGCTTCGAGATGCCGATGTCTGATTTCGTGGCCTTCGAATGTCCGTCTTCGTGAAACTTTTGACGCAACGAGGGGATGTTGGGATCCGTAATCTTAAGATCCGTCGTGCCGTCTTCCAGATCTTTGAAGTCGAAACTTCGTCGTGCCATGTCAGGTCTTCGATCCCTAAAGCCCTCGTCCGAAGCAACGTTTCTAGGTTTTGAGACTTCCTCTCCAAGATGACCTGGGTCTGTTTGGACGTGCCAGCTCTTCGGTCGAACTGCAGGGTCATGCTGATCATGAACATCGTGGTCCCCAGCCTTAAGCGTCTTTATATCTTTCTTGAGTTCAGCAATCTTTGTATGCGCCCGTTCCAGCACTGCATTTGTATCTGCATTGTGGGCTTGTGTTTCATTGCGGTACGCCTCAAACTCTTGCTTAAGTTGACGCAGCTCTTCATCCTTCTTCTTATTTTCCTCCCTAGCTTCGCGAAGTTGAGCACGTAGCTCTTGCGCCCGCGATCCCTCACGCAAGGGTTCGTTCTCGGCCTTTCCTAGCGCATTGTCACTCATCTCGTTCTTCGCCTCCGCCAAGGCAGCTCGCTTCTCAGCCGTTCGGAGTTGGGTTTTCAGAGACGAGACCTGGTCACGAAGCTCGCTGGCTTCTTTGACTTGCATACGGGCTCGTCTTAATTCGCGCTGTGTTTCGATCAAAGTTTTCTGGGTTCTGGGTGATGTCGCTTGCCGTCGCTTGTGACCCTTGGAATCTGGATCATCTTCCCGGTCGCGAAGGAATTCCTCAAGCTGGTCTTCGAGTTCTTGCACACGAGTTCGATACTGTATAGCCAATGCCGTTTGTTTCGTTAGTGTTGATAAGAGCTTGGCGCTAACATCGTCGGACTGGTCTCCTCGCTTTGATGCAATTTTAGAGGCACCTTCCGCAATCTGTCTCTCCATTTCAATGACTTTTTGCTGTTCTTCCTTGAGCTTGACTGCGAGCTCAATCGCCTCCTCATCCTTTTGTTTCGCGTAAGATTTGGCGAGTTGCTTGTATTTGAGCAGCTTCTCCATTTCGGCTTTCGCATCCTCGTGGTACTTCTCGAACTCCTCCTTCCAGTATCTGCCCGACTGCGAATGTGGCTCATTAAGATCGATCGTAATGTCGTGTGTGCAGTGATCCTCATCATCGGCTTCTTCCCACTCGTCTGAGGAATCATCCTGGTCTTGTTGTACTCCGCTCTTTTGGCTTACAGATTTCGACGCCTTCTCCAGAGCAACATTCAAGCGCGTGCGCTGACGCGGCTCCGGTTCCTTGTTTAGGTTGGTATTCTTCTTTACGTCCTGTCCGAAAGACACGCGCTTTCGTCTTGTGGTGCCGGTACCAGGAGTCAAAAGGATCCCTTGCGGTCGCGGTGGTGTTTGAGATTCCTGGTCGTTCCTGGAGTTCTTATCTTTTGATGTAGCTCTCGTAGACTGGTTGATAGGTCGGGCTGGGGTCCCGAAAAGCGCACTCTTGAACGCTCTGGCGGCGAAAACAGGCGCGGGGGTATCAGGTTGGTCAATTTGTGTCGTGTCTAAGGGAGATTGTTAGTTGGTTCCACCTATGACGGTGATCCAATAGAAGGCTCATACCCCCATCATTGACGACCTCTGGCGCGTTCTCGCCGCGTCTCAGCATCCAACCCAACATTTTGTAATGAGTATTGCGCGTAGGCTTCGAAGAATTATGGGCTTGCTCAAGAAAGAAAAGGATTCGCGTATGCGATCATGAGCGATGGAACGGGAACATTTATTCCCCTGACTGGAGTTGTTGTTGTGTTGACTATCCTGTTGTGGCTGGATGAGATTGGTCGAGATAGTTGGATGTCAGTGTTGACTTTGGATTCCTGTGTTTACTTTCTGTCGCTGCAGATCATGGCCAAGCTAAGCAGAAGGGACCCTGACACCCCTGCCCACCCGGCTCCTAACTTAGAGCCTGCACTAGCGCTCAAGCAGGATCAGGCACCCCACCTGCAGCACATGCCAGGTGAGGTGAGTTGGTCATGGGCAGCCTGGCCGCCGCAAGAGCCGCTGCGAACCCCTCATCAGCCCTGTGGCCGCCTGTAATTCGATAAGACGACACCGCCTTTATGAGCTGTAGATAGGACTTAGAGCGTCCATCGCAAACTGAAGTGGCTAGGTAGGTAGAGTGGGTGGCAGTCAATGCTATAATAAAACTACCCCGCCGCTTTTTGCGACTCAACGTCAGAGGGTGACTTCTCTCATCTTGCATCCATACATTGGGTGTCTTTACACAACCACTTATTTCAATATTTCATTCTTATTTGCCATCATGGCTTCTTCCCTGTAGAGCGTCACGGCTTTTGCTGTGACTCTCCGTTGGAACTTGCGCAAACATGGCTGGGAAACAAACCGGGGTATGGAAAACGCCCTTAAATCCCAATATCAACAACAGTAATGAGTCAAGCTTCCCCGACCTCCTGCCCACCGCGAGCCCGGAGGTCCTCCACAAAATCGAATATGAAGAATTACAGCAAAATGAACTGCTTGCTCTCGAAGCTATCTATGGCGACGACTTCGTTATGCACCCGGGAACTCAGAGCGCCTGGAAGGTAGAGCCCCAACATGTCCCCCTCGAGCTACCCCGTCGAGATTCAGCTGGGCAACCGAAGCTCATGGCATATAGAAATCAGAACCACACTTTGACATACGGATAAAAGCATCCGTGGACGAAGACTTTGCTTGCACACTGAGCTTCGTCATGACCGCAACCTACCCGAAATCACCTCCGCTTATCACCTTGAAAAACTATGACCTTAAGGAGGTCACCCAGTTTAAGATCCAGAAATTTCTGGAGACGCAACCCAAGATATTCGCACAGGATGAACAAGAGATGATCGATCAGATCGTTGAAGGCGTGCGGGAAATCCTTGAGAGTGCCGCACAAGCAAAGGCAGACGGCAAGCATCTACCCTCCCTCGAAGAAGAGCGAGAACGACACGAAGCTTTCCTGGCAAAGTTAGCAAAAGAGAAGATGGAGGAGGAGGCTCGCAAAAAGATGGAAGAGACGCAAGAAGAGGAGCGTGTCATGGCTGAGATGCTCGAACAGCAGATCGAGCGACAAAAGCAGAAGGCTAAGGAATTGAAACGCCGTCCTAATGGCAACACGCACCAAGAACCTACTACAAGCACAGAGACGGAGGAGATAATCGAGTTCGATCAGTTCTGCAATGCCACGAACAAGTCGGGAGATACAATCGTGTTCAAGGCTGTTGCGAGCAAATCCGATCCTCGGCAAGGACCTGTGTCTGTGGTTTACACAGTCAGACCTGTTTTGACTAATGGACAAGGCAGCCTGACTATGGCTCTCAAGGAAAATATCTTGCGTACAACGAGCAAGGACTCAAAGGAGTTCAAACTTCAACTCCAGAGTCTTGAGTCTCGTCTTCAAGATCTCAAGACCGTAAAGCGAGTTCAGCACCGCCATCTCGTTGAAGTCCTAGATTTCAAGGTTCAAGCCGGACTCGCCACGGATCCAACTGTCGCTAATGCATGGACTATAAGCGTCTTGTCGCCCCTGGCAGAAAAGGGACCATTAGAAGAGCTATTGGAGCTTGCAGGACAGATTGAGATTGGCAAAGTGCGTTCTTGGACACGGGACTTGCTAGATGCTGTCAACTTTCTTCACAACAAGAATATTGCTCATCAAGATATCCATGCAGGGAACATTCTTCTGTTTCGAGAGCCCACAGGTGAAATCGTTCCTAAAATCTCTGATGCTTGGTATCAGAGGGAAATTCATTCCATCAGTACGCAAAAACCAGGAACTTCGGGAGTAAATACTGCCAAATCTGCGTACTGGCTGCCTCCTGAAATTGCTGGCGTGACAAACCCCCAGTACACGTTCAAGACAGATATCTGGGACTTCGGCGTCGTGTTTGTCCAGATGATATTTGGTCTCGACGTACTACGAACATACTCCTCACCTAGGAATCTGATGGAGTCTGTCACTTTGTCCCATTCTTTACATGAGTTAGTCAGTAGGTTCTTCAGAGAGGACAAGCAAAAGAGGCCTCGAGCTTTTGAGCTTGGATCCAGTGAGTTCTTGGCCACCGATGCGCCAATTCTCTTCGACGATACATCTGCGATTCTATCCAGTAGCCCTTCAACATCTTTACAAACTATCCCAGCGAGGTTCCGACGTGACTCGACTACTCATCGAGGCCCTTCTCTATCTCGGTATACTGAAGACTTTGTTGAAGAAGGCAGACTGGGCAAAGGAGGTTTCGGAGAGGTTGTCAAGGCAAGAAAGAAGCTCGATGGCCAGATTTACGCCATCAAGAAGATCACACAACGCTCACAGGCCAGCCTTACGGAAATTCTGAAGGAGGTCCGACTATTGTCCCAACTCAGCCATCCTGCAGTGGTTCGATACTACAATACTTGGGTGGAGGAAATCCCTGACCAGGGCGATATTGAGGATGATACTTCGACGGGTTACTTTACCGAGGAGAATACTCAGGGAACTGGATCTGCCGGGATCGATATTGAGTTCGCCACCAGTACAGGAGGTCTCGACTTCATATCTTCCAATGCCAATGTGGATTATGGATTCGACGAATCGGATGAAGATGAAGATGAGGACGAAGACGAAGACGAAGACGACTCGGATGAGGAGGATTCAGAAGAGGACGATGATTACTCGGACAATGAAATGTCCATTCACCGGGTGGTATCTCCAGACAAAGAAAGAAATGCTGTCTTCCAGCGGAGAGCTCGCTATCAACGCTCATACAGGACGATTCTCTACATTTCTATGGAGTACTGTGAAAAACGTGTAAGTGGCAAGGTTTCAGCAACCTCAAGCATACGTCAAATTTACTCACCAATATTTTTAGACTCTCCGAGATCTGATTGCAAGAAATCTTTACAAGAATACTGCGGAAATATGGCGGCTCTTTCGTCAGATTCTGGAAGGCTTAGCTCATATCCACGGGCTCAGCATCGTTCATCGCGATCTGAAGCCGGAGAACATCTTCATTAGCAGCAGCTCGGACGGAATTGACAATGTCAAGATTGGTGATTTTGGACTTGCTACCAGCGGGCAGTTCTCTGTAGAAAAGGTCGCCGCAAACACTCTCGAGACAGACGACATGACGAGAAGTATTGGCACTGCCTATTACTCTGCGCCTGAAGTCAGGTCAACTGTGAATGGCATATATAGCACAAAGGTCGATGTAAGTGGATTTTATATCTCCGGGAGTTCCTTGGCTGATAAAAAACAGATGTTTTCTCTGGGCATCATTTTCTTCGAGATGTGCTATCTGCCTATGATGGGCATGCAAAAAGCTGATGTCCTGGGTCAGCTTAGACGACCGACACCAGTTTTGCCATCAGATTTCAAGCCTGCGGACAAGGCTCAGACAGACATTGTGTTATCTCTTGTCAATCACAATCCCAAAGAAAGGCCCTCAAGTACAGATCTTCTGAAAAGTGGCAAGTTGCCCGTCCAGATGGAGAGCGAAACGATCAGGCGTACCCTCGCTGGACTTGCAGATCCCAGCTCGCCGTACTATCGCAAGATGCTTTCTACTTTGTTTGCAAAACGCATGGAACCTACCAAGAATTATGCTTGGGACATGGCTTCGGCAAGCTTGAGTCCACAAGACTTGCTCAACCAAGGCTTAGTGAAACAAGAGTTAGTCTCGATCTTCCGCCGTCATGGTGCCTTGGAGACTCCGCGAGGCATCATCTATCCTCGATCCTCTCATTATGGGGACAACGCTGTTCAGCTTTTGGACCCAAATGGTAACGTTCTCCAGCTGCCTTATGATCTGACGCTAGGAAATGCAAGAATGATGGCGAAGCAAGCCAGTGGGCCTGTTGTCCAAAGAGCATTTACCTTTGGCAACGTATTTCGTGATAAGCAGGACATGGGACAACCTCTTATGTTTGGGGAAGTCGATTTCGACATTGTCACCACTGATACTTTGGATCTTGCTTTGAAGGAAGCAGAAGTTCTCAAAGTGCTTGATGAGATCATTCACACGTTCCCTTCTTTGTCAACAACGGCCATGTGCTTTCATCTCGGACACTCAGATCTTCTGCAACTCATTTTTGAGCACTGTGGAATCGAGCCTGCTAGCCGGCGTGCAGCAGCAGATGTTCTGAGCAAGCTGAATATCCACAACTACACCTGGCAGAAGATTAGGATCGAACTGCGGTCACCAACTGTGGGCGTTTCAGCCACAAGCGTAGACGAACTACAGAGATTCGACTTCCGAGGTGAGTAAGCACAAATCGGGAGGGCTTCGGAGACTGACAGTGAACAGACACCCCGAACAAAACCTTCTCCAAGCTCAAGGTTCTCTTTGAGGGCAGCGATATGTATCAGCGAGCCTCTCCAACAATCGCGCACCTCAAAGAAGTAGTAGAGTATTGCAAGCGCCTGGGTGTAGGGACTAAAATTTACATCAATCCACTAAACAGCTTGAAAGAAGCATTCTACACAGGTGGCGTCCTCTTCTCGTGCCTTTACGATAAGAAAGTCAAGGATGTTTTCGCTGCTGGTGGCAGGTATGATCAACTCATCAGGGAATATCGACCCAGGGTTGGTGGTCAATTTGGAGAAAGACATGCTGTTGGATTCAGCTTGGCATGGGAACGGTTGGCAAAGATCCCCAAAGCCGGCGGGCGTCCGTTTTTGAAAAAGTCTGAAGACGAACCAAGCGGCATTTTCAACTCTCGGCGAGTACGTTACCGTATTCGAGCTTCCTTTTTATTTGTTGTTGATTTCACTAACCATGGGCTGCAGTGCGACTGTCTAGTAGCTAGTTTTGACGCTGCTGTGTTGAGATCATCAGGTGTTGAGATACTTCAAACTCTGTGGGCACACGACATTAGCGCCGAGATGGCAAAGGATGCGAGATCGCCTGAAGATCTATTGTCGAAACACCGAGACGAAACGTACTCATGGATCATCATCATCAAGCAAGACGCAATCTTGAAAGTCAAAAGTATGGGACGCAAAGATCACCCAGATGCAGATATACCCACGACGCAACTGCTGTCCTGGCTTCGTGCCGAAATTCGAGAACGCGACTCAAGGACAGTAGTGAAACTTCGTGGCAATAGCTCGGCCGATACCAACGGTTCTGGCGATAAGGAGTCTGAACAAGAAGTTCGTGTACTTGTGGCACAAACGCGGAGTAAAAAGTTTAACCGTAGAACGGTTGTGGAACAAGCCCAAGTCAGTGCGGGCAGTCTGGTGCGATCATTTCTCGAAGGGCCCATCTTGGCTATCGAGACAACAGATCAGGTTATGGACCTGATGCGTGAAACATGTCTCTCGGAGACTGAGGGATGGCGACAAGTTGAACAGTCAGTAACAACTATAGAGAAGAAGTATATACGTGAGATTCACGACCAGTTGGACACTTGGCGGTACAGGTACCAGAAGAAAAATGGGTCTCGACACGCATTCCTCTACAACTTTCGATCAGGCAATTGTGTATACTACGATCTGGGTGCTTGATATGGATGGTATGGTTCAGACTCGCCGTGGGAGGACGAATATGGTGGATGTTATGCATATGAATATTGATCGCGTTAGATAAGCTAGAGTGTCTCGGTATTCAGCCAAGTAGATGCCTTCTAAATAGGTAGATAAAAACTCAACTCATCATACGTGGATGCTTAAATACCAATCGTTGGTGAAACCATCATGATACCAAGCCATTCATTTATACGATGCTTAAACCTTACTAAGTCATGCATGGCTTCCCACACGTACTTCACGGTGTAAGGTAATAATAATATATTGATCAGGAAATTGTAGTTTCTAGAACAAAATAAGGAGACGTATTTCATCCCAACACGGTGACTACGACATATCCATCATATCCTCACGCAAACCGTTGCTCATAAGCGCCCAGAATCATATTAAATGGAATACAGCTACCCGAGAGCCGGGAAAGGCTGGAGCGGGCGGGAACGGGTACGTACCTAAGCGTGATAAGCGGGGCCAGGGTGGAGTTCAAGGGACCAAATGGCGTCAGGGGGCAGTTCTTAAGGGGAGAGGGGAGGATTATATGTTGCAAAGAACAAGATATTGATATCAATAGGTACCTTACATATAAATCTATGTTGAATGTAACTTTGAACGTCAAAATATATTTCTAAGCCTTATCTTATCTTATTGAGGATTGCTTCTTACCTGCCTATTCTATACATACATAAATACTCGTCTTAATTATCATGCAATAAAGAAGGCGCTTTGAAGGAGGCAGGCACGAGGAGGGGCAAACAAGGCAGGAGTCAAGAGTCAGTGTCAGACCCAGGTGGCAGGTGCGACTCCGGTCACCAGCCGGCTTTGGCGTGGGCAGAGTGGATTCCTTCCCATCATGTTCACACCCCTAGTCCCCGGACGGCGGCCTGGCCGATGTGAATGACTCTATTGATTAACTAACGATGATCCTTTTCTTTCTTTTTCCCCTTCTTTTCCTTTCAACCTTCTTCCTGAGTGCTTATTGTCGTTACTTGCAAATAAGCACAATAAAGCGTACACCACCTCTCATGATAAGATTATCCCTGTTCTGATTTCCCTTTCCGCATCCGTCCTAACGTTAGCCCTGGACGTGGTCGTTCATCAAGGTTATGCCAAAGCGATAAGCAATAACTGAAACCCAACCGCCTCAAAAAAAGCACAAACAAATTCCTTGTTTATCACGAGAGAGCAAGCGAGACCCAAACAAAAACCGCCAACGAAGCGAAGCGGCTGCAACTTCTCCCTGAGCACGAGGTAAACAAATCACCACTTTTGCGCCAACCGCCAATCGCCGAAGCCGCAAACGCCGGCCTCACGCCCCTCCTCGACCGCCCTTTCCGCGCCCTTCGCCTCTGGTTCTGGCGCTGGTGCTGGTCTGACTTATTAAGCCTGATCTGACCTGACTTGACTTGCCAATCTGCAAGAAACATCAACACCTGAGTCTTCCGGTCCCTTTGCACTCTCGCTCGTTTGGAGGATTTCCTACTGTAGGACGAACTGTACGACACGCCCAATCTCGGTAATCAACCCCAACCGTCAGCCATCATGGCGCAAAAGCGACTTATGCAGGAGCTGCAACCACTCCAGAAGGAGAAATGGGTCAACATTGAGGTACGTTTGAAATTTGCAGCTGGGGAAGCATCAGCGATTAACATAGTTTCCTATAGACCGACGACTCAAACCTGTTGCGCTGGAAACTCGGACTCTGGGTCGTCAACCCCGACAGCATCTGGCACGGAGCCTATCTCAAGGCCGAGATGAGATTTCCCCACGATTACCCTTATCAGCCTCCCACCTTCAAGTTCTTAACCAAGAACATCTGCCATCCCAATATCTATACCGACGGAAACCTCTGCATTTCCATCCTTCATAAGCCAGGCGAGGATGAGCAGTCAGGCGAACTAGCTAGCGAGCGTTGGAATGTGCTACATGGCGTCGAATCCGTTCTCCGATCAGTCCTACTCCTCCTTGACGACCCTGAGATCAACTCTCCTGCAAACGTCGACGCGAGCGTCCTCTACCGCGACCACAAAACACAGTACAACATGCTCGCGGAGGATATCGTGAACAAATCCAAAAAAGACATCCCTGCAGGCTCAAGAATGCCCACACCATCCGAACTTGCTGTCGTGCCACAGAAGCCGATCGATGATGACGCCGATTTCTGGAACATGACCGACGAAGAAGCAGACTTTGGCGGTAGCGACAGCGACGAGGATATGGAGGATTTTGACGATGATGACGATGACGACGACGACGTTCGAGACCAACGTCAAGCTTCTTAGCGAGATCATGCATTTACCAGCAAGGTCAAGTAGACGGATAGGCGATGCTCCCCGTCCTATCTGATTTTTCCGTGCCTTTTCATGGTTTCATCTTTCATCTATAGTATGGGGCATAGCGGGCTGGTTTTTATATTTCTGGGCGTTTAAGACAAGAATTGTTCTGGCTGGGGCAGCTTCTGCGAGTATGTGTGTTGGCATGATGAGAAGTGAGACATATTTGTCGTCTCTGATTTTATGCAAGCTGTTTTCGAGGAGCGACGGGTGTTAGCATCAAGCAAGATTTCTCTATAGACAAATACAGAATTTCATGGACCTTCACTATAGATACTGTGATAGATACTGCTTGCAATAACCCACACGTCACAGCAAGAGACAATTAGACAAGTGTTGAAGATATCTGTAGTATTTCGAATCGATGCGGTTCCCAGTAAGAACAATTCGAAGTAATGCTACTTACTACTGCCTTTCTCTACTCGAGATATACAGGAAAGACCGAAAACTCCATACGCTCAAATGCTAATCTGAGAACCATGCGCCACTTGTCGTAAGATAGCGGAGTTCGTCATCAACCACCTATCCTCCTATTCTCCCAAAGGGCAAGTGTAATGGTTGCGGCTACAGCAGGGACCTAAAAATCTGCTTCGCCTCTTGAATCGATTCGTCGATTCTTGTCCCGGCTGAATGTAGCCGCCGGCCTGATCGTTGTCGACGTCAATTATTGCTTCTCGTCTGGAATGTCCATATCCATCAGGTTGATGGACCCCTTCTGCTCTGATGGATTCCTCGATAGTGATATGAAAGGAGGCGGCTTAGCCTTCTCTTGCATCTCCGGACTATGAGACCCCTCCGCGGCAGACGTGGCACTATCTATATAGTCAGTTCCCACTGTACTAGGTGTCATCGTAGCCGATGCCGGCTCTGTCCTGGGCTCTGTTGAAGCCTGGGTTTGGGCCGGGAGCCAGGGTGGTAGTGTGTCGTTGGCTTGATAATCATTAAAAGAAGAGGCAAGATCGGACTTGTTTCCATAATCTGTCATCTCAGTGCCGACCCCTCCATTCTGGTCAGGAAAAGGGTTGTCGAATCCATTTCTGTTGTCGCTACCGATAGATGCTCGGTTGCTGTCCATCGAGTCGCAACTGTCTGACCGGTGCTTTCTCTTAGAAGGCGACAGAGGTTCGAAGGTTGATGTTCGTTTGGCTTCTTCAGCCGTAGAGTCTTCTTGAGATAGTTCTTGTCGGAAGGCCTTATTTTCCGCCTTGACAAACCGTTCTAGTTGGGACGAAAGACGTGTTTTTGGTGTCTCAAGGGCTTCTTCCGTTGCATATACAAGCAGCGGTTTCTTGGTTTCCTCCCACATGCCTTTCAAGACATCCCCGATTTCGATTTTCTGCGGCTGCGTTAACAAAATTCAACGCCATCAGGTATGTTCAAAGGCCTTACCTCTGTACGGACAGCTTGGTCCCCATTAGGCGTAAACGATAGTTTCCACCATTGATCCTTGCTTCCCTCGCCATCAAACTCTATCAAGTCCGCTTCCTCGCGTTGGCAAACATACACGATGCCAGGGCTTGTGACCACTCCGCGAAGAAGATACTTCTTGCAGGTGAAAGGTTTAGGACGATCTGGCTTGTCCGGCACAGTGAGAAGTCTCCCCAATGCTCTTTGCTTAGCCATGATTTGTTCCAGTTCCGCATCCAGTCCTGTCATCATGTTAGCTAGATCTTTCTCTCATTTGCAAGACTAAACCATACCCTGCATCCTCGTCTCAAGGTCCGCAAGCAGCTTCTCCGAGTAGTCTATCACATCCACAACCGTCCCATGTTGCTTATGCGTGATGTCATCGACATCAGGAGGAGCAGTACGATAGTCAGGGTATTTGTTGGTATCAAATCCTGAATTCTCCAATGTTCGAAATCGGGCAAAGGTTTCCAGGTAATTCTTGTATTCTCCCCACTGGTCTGCTGTCTTCCTCAACAGCTCACGCTTGTCGTCAATATTTCCGCTGTTCCAGGTCTCCTTCAAACGATAAAGCTGTTCCTTCTCGCTTGTAATCCGAGCCACTTCTTCCTTTGTCTGACACCAGCCACGTTGAATGCGGCGAGCCTCGTCTTTGCGGGAAGTGAGGTACTTCTCCGGATAGAATTCTTGAGGTATTTCGATCGAATCCTCTGGTCCGTCTCCAGTAGTATTGAGCACCAGAACCTCACCCATCTCTTTGAAGAAAGCCATTTTAGAACCCTCGTGAATCTTGTCCCATCCAAGAGTATCACTCCAAATTACATGGTCGAGTGCCTCGTACAGAGTCTTGATGAACCTGTAATCATTCCGCAAGTGTTCCATCTCGAGGAGGCCGAATTTAACATCTTCCTCAAGATCGTCCCCGTGAAACATTGCAAGAGCAGCAACTTGCATTAGTGGCTGAATAGAGTCCGAGTGCTTTTGTCCAAGCATTTCGTAGAATTGCTTCTCCATACCGGTGCTGTAGGGAGGGGCCAGAAGATCCGCCAGGACAGATACTGAGCCATATGCGCGCTCGGTGGAGTCCAAGAATGCCATTAGACGGTGAACTTCCTCGTCAAACGCAGAGTCACTCTTATGTTCTCCATGGTCCCAGGTCGTTGCTTGAGCCATCTTTGCCAGGACTTCCTGTGACAAGATTTCCTGTCCTCTCCACCAATCGTTGCTGTGACCATACGTAGCCGCAGGTGTGCCGATACTGAGGAGTATATTCCGTGCAATTGGAATTTCGTGCATGATTGTAAGAAGCCCGCCAAGGCAGTGATGCCCGCCGTGTACACCACTGTTAACAAGCATGACAGGAGCCCCTGGATCTCTCTTTCTTTTCGATGGCAGGACTTCGTTCGTCGAACTTTCTTTGGAAGGCCCGGTTGGGACCATAGCCCAGTTGCTCTCATTGTATGTTTCTCGTTTGGCGGGTCCAAAGACAACTGGCGCAGGTTCTGAGGGACCTGTGATATCGGATTCGTGCTGGGGCATTGTTATACCTGCTTCCTGCGCAGATTCGCGAATAGCTCGTTGTATGTCATCATCTTCCTCAGCTTGACTGCTTGGGACACCTGCGTATGACCTAGTCAGCACATGTTCAGCGGAGTGAGTGCGAGTAATACCGGGCACGTGTGCCGCAGTCCAGTCCACCATCATACCCAAAGGAGATCGATTATTTGATCGCGAAGGAGGTCTCGAAGGAGCGCCAAATGAGCGCGAGTCTGGCGGAGGGGTTACGCCTTGAATGACGTCGTGGTCGGAAGATTCAACGTGGAAGGCTACAGAGTCAGTTGAAATCAAAAGAATGGAAATAGAATGTACAGACAGATACCAGCATTGTTGTTAGCCCCGTCTCTATCAGCGTTGAACATGGAATCGTCCCAGAGCTTCTGGTATTTCGTTCTGAACTGCGTCTCTTTAGCAAGTACTCCAGATAGGCCGTTGTAGGGATGCTCGTACGCTCTCTTCGTTCTCAAAATATTGATCCATAACCGTTTCGGCATTGCCATGGTTCATCTGTAAAGGATATGTGTGTTAGTCGCATGATTACTTTGCATGGATCTAGCTCGGAGCTGACCTTGAGAGCTTGCACAATCATGTCATGATCGTGCCGGTCGATGTTCAAAACCTCAATGATTTGAGCGGCGGCTTCGTCGAAAGAGTCCGAAGACGCCATGATGTCGTCGTTGGTATCGTGGGACGAAGTCGAATGCTTTTTATGAAATCGCTAAGCTCTGTCTGTCAATGCGACGGTGATCCTCCCACCACGATGGAGCAACGAGCTTGATACGGTAGACGCGGTAGTCAATAATTCCGAGAAGTAGGGTTTGATACAGAATGATTTCCTACGTTAATTTGAAGAGATATAGAAGTGTCTCCGCCGAAACATACTCGTTGATGTTTTACTGAAGAATGAATGAAAATGGTAGCTTTCATTCGAGCTGCGCTGGGCGGGTGGCAGTGGAGGGGTGCGTGCTAAGCCCGATAAGATAAGAAATGGAAAATGCTTGGCATTGGCTTACACGTGCTAACCTCATGCAACTATGAGGCATGATGAGCCCAGGTGCAATGCGATAGAGTTTGTGCAACTTGTAATTATGTACCATACATAAGGTTTTGTAACACGAGACTGTTATTAAGAGTAAGCTCGAAGACCTAACCCAGATATTGTATTATGCATATAAAGCAGTAGAGTTAGTGCGACTTCTGAGAGCCTATTTTTTGTAGCACTGATGGAACCGATCTGTAAGTGTTCTCGAGGGTCAACACGGCTCTGTCCGCCATACAAGTTTCAGCTTATATTTAGTAGTTCAGTGTAAAAGTTTCGGCAATCGGAATATAACCACAATTCTCCTAGAATACTAGAAACAGATAAGATGTATAGCATTTGGAATACTATTAATAAACTCTTGTTACGGGCTTTAATTAGTGAAGCTAGCCAGACTTAGGAGAGTATTGTTTTATAATTTATTAAGCTAGGACAAGACTTAGGCAATCGTTAGAACTTTTATACGCCCACTAGATACGTAACTTCAAAAGTAATCTGAAACGATCATAGGTGTTCTACATTTAGATGTAGGAAAGTACCAAGTCGCCTCGATGCACCTCAACACTAGCAACGGCAGTGCTGCTTTAATGATCCATCTACTCTGTACCAAGAGATCTTTTGAAACATAAAGCAGTTCTAAGTTCCAGAGGTTAAGAAAGAGCTTAGAAGGTTCTAGAAGCTTCGACCATGAACTGGGGTTGTCGGGAATAGCTGCAGGTCTTAGCGGGGAACGCAATCCGCAAGTCACGATGACAAGCTTGGGTTCACGACAGATCAGTACGAGGTATCACAGGGCACAAAGACACGAGAGAGAAAATAGAGAGTACCTATTTACGGCAGAATTATAATTTGATGAAACTCCGTCATGTTTCTTATTTCGATCGCTCCAATTCAAGTCGAGAAACTCTGCGGATACAGAATCCCATTCGAAGGTCTTCATTGCTTGACCTGTACGTACTGGATTTCGGGCGTCTGGGGCGCTATCCCCACCACGGTTAGGTAGCGTCATAGGTCACTTATCCCTGCAAAGACCGTCAGGTATCGACAGATTGAGCCTGACACGAGAACATGAGAGGAGCATGACCCGACTTATTGGAGCTCTTTTGTGGGAATTGAGTTTGGGAAAATCGACTGTAATTGCTTCTGAAGATAGAATATGCAAGCCGAGTCACTAGAGGAAATATCTATGCAAGCAAAGAACTACTTGGTAAGTCGTCGAGACGCAGAATTCGAGGTACCTGATACATCCAGTTTGCTTAAGCGATCGACTCTCACTCGACGTCACCCCCACACGGGCACTTGGCCCATGGGCAGTCATGGAAGGTCAGCCAGCCTCCAGCCTCCAGCGTCTATTCCATATCAAGTTCTTTGACCTTGCGGTGTCTTTCTCTCTCCTAAAGGTGGAATCTTCCACAAGGTCCCATGCCCCAGTATTTCCAGTCCCAGCGCTGCTTCTCAGGATTGGATTGTCACGGTAGCATGGCGTAGTGCTTTCTGGACCTTGAAGCGTCACTGCCCGGGCTAGACTTTTAATCCTCGGCTGCGGATCCCATAGTTATCACGCCTCTCCCACTTGCTCAACCTTAACCATCTCTTCTTTTGTAAACTTGCACTTCCACTTGCACTTGCAACTTGCAACCTGCACTCAACCTACCTCTTTCCTTCACTTCACTCTACTGATAGTCATTACCTGCCATACCTACGATCACAAGCCAAGTGTCGCACTTTTGGTGCTTGTTTTACTACCACATTAACTAGCGATCAATAAGAAGCAACCTTTTATTTCTTGTTCCCCTCACCTACCATCGATCGTAGCTCGCCTCGTTACATTTCGACCACATAACATACCCAACACATCACCGAGACACATCCTTGATCACACGCTACCATGGTCAAGGAGACGAAGCTCTACGACACCCTCAACGTCAAGCCTGAGGCTACTCAGGACGAGATCAAGAAGGGATACAAGTAAGTATACAAAATTCCCTAAAACTGCGGAAGCGCAAAAGACAATACCACCCTCTTACCCCATGGTTCGTCTTTGATGCGGTGTGGCCAACCCATTATCTTGCATTCAATGAATGAAAAGAGCATGTGTTCTCATCATTAGCTTCCGCGCGACCCGCATGCCATCGCAATTAAGCGAACATAACTGACCACTATCTGTACAGAAAAGCGGCTTTGAAATGGCACCCAGACAAGAACAAGGACAGCCCCGATGCGTCTGAAAAGTTTAAAGAATGTTCACAAGCCTACGAGATCCTCTCCGATCCCGAGAAGCGCAAGATCTATGACCAGTATGGTCTCGAGTTCCTCCTTCGCGGCGGTGCAGCACCACCACCCGAGGGCGCTGCTGGTGGCAATCCCTTCGCCGCTGGTGGCATGCCTGGTGGTTTCAACGGGTTCAACTTCGAAGGCGGTATGCCTGGTGGAGGTGGAGGCACCCGAACGTTCCATTTCAACACTGGTAGTGGCGGCGCTGGCGGCTTTGGCTTCAGCAACCCAGAAGACATCTTTGCCGAGTTTATGCGCAGCGGAGCCACTGGTGGCATGCACGGCGGTGCCGATGAGGATGACATCGCCGGTATGTTTGGTGGTTATGGCGGCGGTGCTCGAAGCCGCGCTTCACGCGCGCGCTCAGGCTTTGAAACTCGACCTAGAGATGCAACCCCCGAAGTCACCACCGTTGAGAGACCTTTACCTTTGACTCTTGAGGAGCTTTTCAACGGTGTTACCAAGAAGATGAAGATCAAGCGTAAGACGTACGATGAAACCGGAAAGCGAGTACAGACGGATCAGATCCTCGAGGTTCCCATCAAGCCGGGCCTGAAGAAGGGCTCCAAGATCAAGTTCAACGGAGTTGGTGATCAAGTTGAAGGAGGTCGCCAGGACCTACACTTCATTGTCGAAGAGGTAAGCATCATCTAATGATGATATCGGCTACGAACTGATAGCTAACGATCTCGCAGAAAGAACACCCTCTTTACAAGCGTGAGGACAACGACCTTGTCCACGTCGTAACACTTGAGCTCAAGGAGGCCTTGTGTGGATGGCGAAGGACGGTGACTACTATTGACGGCAAGCAAATCAACCTCGAGAAGGGAGGTCCCACTCAGCCCAACAGTGAGGAGCGGTACCCTGGTCTGGGTATGCCCATCTCTAAGAAGCCCGGCCAGCGAGGCGACTTTGTTGTCAAGTACAAGATCAATTTCCCAGCAAGCTTGACTGCCGATCAGAAGCAGAAGTTGAAGGAGATTCTGTAGACACTTGTCGCACGCGAGGTTTCCTACAATTTGGGCCAGATATCATGCGCTTGCTGAATACTTGTTCAGCATGGACAGCATTGACAGTCAGTTCATATAAGACTTGCATTGCACAAAAATGGTGTTTTGGCGTTGGGGACATAATGAATAATGAAAAAGAGTCGAGTTTTACAGCCCGGGCTTGGTCATGGGAGACCCGGGTCGAAAATCGGAAATGAGCACAGAGCGATAAGAGAGTGGTTGGTAGTTGATTAGCATATGGCCTTTTGATATCCATTTGACGGCTGTTTTAATTAGTGTCTGTAGTAGAACCGATTTCTTATACAGCTGTCATAATACAAAGACAGATTGAAGATTGAATGATTTTGACGTCTGAGTAAATTTCTTAGGGCAGATTTAAAGCGAACGGTTGAATGCGATCACGATCTGACCGATTTGAACATGCTTCTGGTGTCAGATTGGTTTAAGATGGGCTGATACAAATCCCTCAAAGACAACAAGAGATAAATGGGGGTTCCACCGCTGCCGAGTGCTACTATTTACATGGACAGGCATGTTGTTGATAAACGGATTGTCGGTTCGAATTCTCCGACAACTGCAGCAGCATGTCTTACAACTTCTTCACATACACTTGCATGTCCCTCAGGCCAAGCCTGTTCCAGCTGCTGCAGTTGCTAGAGGCTCAAGAGTCGACGCTGATTGCGGGCCGGTGGGATGGATCATGGATGAAAACGGGGCCCTTTTTAGCGTGTGGTTTTTACAAGGATTCAAAGTGCAGTGATGACGACACTGAGCAGTTCCTAGTCGGACCTTACCTTACCTTATACCTTGGCTACCTAGGCTTGGCTTGGCTGAATGGAGGGGGAGGGGCATTTGCATTGGATATGTATCAGCGAGGGGTTTTGCTTTGACTAGCCTTCCACGTGTTAATGGTTCTGAGATATTTCTCATTTTGTATTGAAGACATGATTTTATGAAATAACTATGAGTTGAGCTTTGAGTAGGTGGTTAGCTAGGTAACTAATAGAACAGTCATACCCAATCTCTTCATCGTTTACATTCAAGGAATACAGTACCCAGTCATGACGCTCCTCTTCCTTTTTTCCCCATGCCCTTGTCCGCGGGGTTTCTCAACATTCGTCGTCTTACACACAGCTGATGCACGTTAAACAACCTCTGCCGTGCATTGGCAGACATACAACCCGGGAAACCCCCGTAATTACCTGACTTGACCGGGCGCCTCAGTCGCACCTGCATGTTCCAATCACAGCATGATGCAGAAGCAAGAGTAGGAGCGAGAACGTTGGCACTTGCCGCTGTAGCTTGAACTTCTCCATCGAACCCAAGGCAAGCCCATAAAACCTCCGTTCCCCCACAGTCGCTTCGTCACTTTTGTCTCTTCTTTCTTTACCTCCATTATTCGCTCCACCATATTTCCACGGCCTTCTTCGTTGCTTCTCTTCTTGTTTGCACCCAGTTCCCTCTGGAACTTGTTGTTATCTTCTCTCTAGAACTTTCGTCACTAAAACTCGCCAAAATGCCTGAGGTACGTGTACTAACTAACCTTCATGATGTCTACCTTGAGCACTTGCTGACATGCAATTATAGATCACCACCCTCCTGTTCGATTGCGACAACACCCTCGTCCTCTCCGAGGAGCTCGCCTTCGAGGCCTGCGCTGGTCTCATCAACGAGATCTGCGAGGGTCGTCAAGTCGAGATGCGCTTCACCGGCGAGACCCTCATCAAGGAGTTCGTTGGCCAAAACTTCCGTGGCATGCTCACCACTCTGAAGAAGGACTACAACATCGACATCTCTCCCGAGGACCTCGAGACATATGTTCGAAAGGAGGAGGACGCCGTCATTGCTAAGCTCAAGGAGTCTCTTCAGCCTTGCGTTGGTGTTGATGAGCAGCTCGAGAAGCTCGCCGCTTCTAACAAGTACACCATGTCCGTTGTTTCCTCCTCAGCCCTTCGCCGTGTCCGCGCTTCCATCGAGAAGGTCGGCCAGGACAAGTACTTCCCTGGCGATGTTGTCTTCTCCGCTGCCACAAGTCTGGAGACGCCCACCAGCAAGCCTGACCCTGCCATCTACCTCCACGCTCTGCAGAAGCTGGGCAAGAAGGCCGAGGAGGCTGTTGCCATTGAGGACAGCAAGAGCGGCACCCTTAGTGGTACTCGTGCTGGCATCAAGGTTATTGGCTACGTCGGTCCTTATGCCGAGGACAAGCAGTCCGAAATGGAGAAGACTCTGAGGGAAGCTGGTGCTGTGGTCATCATGCGTGACTGGTCCGAGTTCCCTGCTGCTCTACAGAAGATTGAGGCTGGAGAGGTTTAAAAGACCAGAATTCATGACAGCAATATGCTTGAATAAATACCCAAATATTACAAGTCGATTATATAGCGGAAGATATAGGCAGATTAATACAGATATATCCCAAGTTCCCATTGACTCTGAGAGAAACATTGATGATCTAGATAAGTCACAAGACATGGCTCATCACATAAATACATCGCATGTCACATTGCTGAGTTTCTTCATATACTCTGTGTCCAAAACCCCGCATTCACGCGCGGTGTTATTTCCTCCAGTCCATGAGGAAGCTATTAACACTCTGCAAAGTAGACCGGCTAGGGTTGGCCCCAGGATAAGCTGTCATGATGAAGCCCAATCTCGACTTTATGAATGTCTTTGTAAATGAGACGTGTTCTGCTGAGTTTCTAACTTTGCCCTCGTCATCGAACAGGTAGCATGATATAGCAAGAGCAACGCCAACCGATAGGTCTTTTCCAGACTCGCATGCTACAACGATTCGTTGTTGATCGGGTTCTGTAACTGAGGCGAGGTACTTGGCTGCGAAGTCACATATATCGGGAAGTGAAGTACGGAGGTTTCGACTAGCGAGTTTGTTTTTCCCAAGCCCGGTTTGTATGTAAGTCTTTGATTGGATCCATGAATCCTTTGGTGTTGTGTCTTGGGTTATGGCGATCCGACATTCTGAAGAGTCTGCTGGAAGTGGGAGAGCGCATACGGATATGTGCGGTGTGAGTTGTATCCGAGGACCTTCGTCTTTCTTACTAGTCGCATCTTCGCTGACCAGTTTCGAGATGAGGTCTGGCAGTTCAGCCTCTGGCGTCACAAGAAGCTCCTCAAGGTTCTCCCAGAACAATGGCGCCGTAAGATCATACGCCCACATCTCAGTATCATCAGCAGCGCCCTGGATATACCCGCCCTCATCCATCTCGCTGCCGACAACACGGCGGCTAGCCGTGCAGCAGATAACAGGGCGGTAGTCGTCGAATATAGATGCTGTGTCTTCTGGTGAAGGGAGGGATGAGTCGGGAGTTACCCAGAATGGGCGTAGTGGTTTAGTCAGGCATATTGGAAGGTTGAGATTGAGAGATTTTAAGGAAGAAACGAATTCAGGAATAAGAGCTGATATTTGAGAGTGAGTTGTTGCTGGGAGATGGGCAGGGAGATAGAGGTTGGCGGAAGAGGGGTGTGAGGGGAGAAGAGTGAGGTTGAGAACTGTGCACCAGATGGGAATTGTGGAGGATAGAGCGTCAGGCATTCCTATATAGGTCAGCAACATTGCTTTTCTCATGATATCAACCATCTATGAAGAAACTTACTCTTTCCACGACGGGTAGAGTCGACGATTATGATACTACCACTATATTAGCTCCTGACTACAAACAAGAGAACGGAGTGAAGGATTATCCAGCTTATACATACCCATCATTCTTCTCAATGATTTCAACCAGATGAAAGTTCAGCCTCCTCGTGCTAAACTTCCACGCGCGCTCATGGCCATCCGTACTCTTGAAATACGCACTCCCGCCCTTACGCTCCGGAGGGACATACCAGCTCCCACAGCGCTCGTTAGCGACAAGTGGTCTTGGACTGTATGAGGTAGACACTCGATCCACAAATTCTGCATCGTTGCGGATGCTGGTTAGTCGGTTGTGGATGGTGAGTGTCGTACGTTTGAGGGATGCCATGAGCTGGGACATGGAGGGCTGTTCATTTTGGGGGAAGATGAGGTCGCAGAAGTGAGGATCGGCCATGATGGCTGTGTTTGTTAAATAAGATGAATAGAAATTGGATTTCCTGGGGTTTGAAAGGGCTGAAATCGACTTGAAGGGGCAAAGAAGAGGTCTTCAATATCCGGTGTATAAAGTATGGTGTTGAGTTTTTGGTGGAGCTCAAGAATCAGAGGGCATGGTGTTTTAGTATCCACCCCGCATTACACGTAGAGTATAAGCACATTAACTTCTTATAAATCGAGAGACTTAGATATGGTGATAAAATAAGGCTTGGTCATTACTTTTGGTCATAAACAATCCGGCATATATACATATAACATCTGATATTTATCCTTCTCTTGCTTGTTTAACCCATTACTCCAGCCTCCACTTGCCATTCTCAACCACAATCTTCACCTCCCTCTTCTCATCAATACTCCTTCGACCAGCCTCGAGAATCGCGGTTGTGGCAATGGTATTTCTGAGAGTGGGTAGAGGCTTAGCGTCAAGGTCTTCAGGCTTGAGCTTGCCAGCGTTCACGGCGCGACAACCGTCAACGAACTTCTCGATGGAGATGTAGCCGTAACCAGTCTGTCCGGCAAAGTTGCCATCCTCGTCGGGGGCGTACTTCATGTAGAAGGGGTTGTACCACATCATCTGACCAACAGAGTCGTCGGCGACGTCGTAGCCTCGCTTGGCCTGATCGATGCGGATCTCACCGTTGGCGGCGAGGTAGTGGAAGTACTGGTTGGAGTGGACGCCGGCCTTTTGGGGCGCAGTCCATGAAGCAGTGTAGACACCGACGGCGCGCTTGCTGGGATCGTCCTTCTTGTTCCATGTGGTGAGGAGAGAGATGGTGTCCTCGGTCGCAGGATCGCAGCCTAGGTCAACAGCAACACCCTTGGAGGAAGAGGCGCTGACGCTCACGGGCACGTAACCGCGCTCCTGGACCATAGAGTCGTTGATGTCGATGTGGTGGCTGTTGAGGTAGTAGGAGATGTCAGACTCCTTGCCGGCCCAGGCCTTGAAGGTCTCGAGCTGCGACTTGGGCTGGGACATGTAGCTGTAAAAGTAGTTGAAGTCGCCGAGCTTCTGGGCCTTTGCGCGGGCATCAGCGTAGGCGGGATCGTAGCGCTTGTGGTGCTCGACGTAGACGTAGACGCCCTTCTGCTGAGCAAGGTCGACCAGCTCCTGGTGCTGCTCGAGGGCCTTGACAGCGGGCTTTGTGATCATGACGTGGATGCCGCGCTCAATGGCATACTTTGCGATGGGGAAGTGGGTAGGGTCTGGGGTGAAGATTGTGATGGCACTTCCGGGGCTGAGGGCGTCGATGGCGGCCTTGTAGGCATCGGGGTCGACCTTGTCGTTTTCTGGGAATGAGTCGAAGGAGGTGTCGAGGTTGTTGTAGACTTGCTGGATGTTCTTATCGAGATGTTCGCCTGGGGAAGTTAGCAACTGACTGAGAAAGGATTTGCTTGGGGGTAACACGTACGAATAGCAGGGAACTTCTTGCCATTGACTCCAACCATGCCCAGCTTGTTGACCTTTTCGCGACGGCGCAGGTCAAAGAGGCTGAGACCAACGACACCAACCTTCTTGTCTGAGCCAGAGGCACCTCCACCGACGAAGCCGGTGGTGTACTCTCCGGTACCGATCTGGTAGTGAGTTGTTAGCTGGTACTCATGGCTCGATTATGAGATGTGTGGTTCTGGGTGAACTCACCATCAAGACATTCAAAGGCTCCATTGTGACCTGAGGTGATGATAATGGAGGGGCAAGGCGGGGGAGGGGCCGAAGCTATGATGGGAGGAAACAGAATGAATATGAGGGTACAAAAGCGAGTTCAAAATGACGCTTCAGAACATACACAGATCGAGGAGAGCTCGAGATTGGTATAGAGGAGAGGTGTAGAGTGCAATCATGAGCTGGACACGAAGGTTCAATACTGCCCTTATGAAGGCTCGCTCATGTCTCCGCAAGCTTCACGATCAGGTCCCAAGCTGGGGGACGTTTCGGGGTTCTCTCCGCCTGCTATTGGAGGAAAATAGAGTCCCCGCGTTGAGCTCCCCCCAATGTTTAGTCTGCGACGGCTTTATGGAGTCATGATGCTCATGTGAGTGTGGGGAACCGACGATTTTGATAATCTGGGGGAGGGAATTCTAGGCATTCTACGGAGTACAGAGTAGCAAGGTAGTGAACGGGAGCTGGTATTGTGCTATAGTATATTGATTCGCGGTCATGATTCAAACGTTTTGTTACGGACATTAGCAAAGGTCAATCGATACTGTGTCATATCGGGGGCGGGGAAATTCCCCTTGGCAGATCCATGTTAAGAGGCAAGAGTTGGAGAGAATGATCTTCAGAGGGCAGCATGGTAGGTACCTTAGTACCTAGTTACCATGATGGACGACACATGACACGCAGGGAAATATAGGTAGAACTAATCAATTGCTTGAACTAGATAGGTAGGTAACTTCAGGTTAGTGCTTTGTAAAAGAAGCATCTCTACTTGACAAGATGTTATCGAGTTAGATAAGGCTTCTGGAAGAAATAACCCCCAAACCATGAGTATCACCAGTATATCACAGTGGATTGATTACAAGTGAATCGAGTCCACTGTTGTTGCACGGACATTGAGATGATGGAGGGGTTAGAGGGGTTCGAGGGGTAAGCTAGGCTTAGTACCTAGGCCGGGCATCTTCCATCCCCCACGCTGCTCACCCCCACAGAACAGGCAATCCCCCGGCTCATGGCTCGGTAACCAGGGATCATGAGTGATATGATTGTTCTAGAGACAAATTGAAGAGAATGCGGTTATGGCATAGGCTACTTGTTTATGTTGTGCAACTCCAGTAATCAATTGATAACAGTGCTCAATGGTTAAATGCAACAGAAATGTTAACTCCTGGGCATCTCGTGACTCCATTGAATCCCACCTACTACTAGGTACTTTGGGGGCATCATTACCAACAATTCTATAATTCTCCGCCCACTATGAACAGCCCATGCATCACCACTTACACGCATGCAAAATAACTCACACGTCCAATCTGGCCCCTTCCGGACAAACAATCTTTTGACTTGGTCAATTCAGCCGCTCCGGAGTTGACCTCACCAGAACATGCACTTTGCCTCTCCTGTACGCCGTATAAATCATGGTCAGTTCGGGGTCCAAACTTTCAGACTGCAAATAAAGGCAGAAAGGGTGACTCTCGACCAAACCTGAACTCGCATCGACACATCCCGGCCGGTTAATAAACATCAGCGTGGGATGTGGAACATGGATTCCCAAGCGACCCAACGGGTGCGTAAGAAGGCTGGAAGCTGAGCATCCTCTTCTCTCGCCCGTCCCGTCTAGCCGGTTCCCCATGTCGAGGCTAACCCAAGATTGAGAGCTCAGATAGGTACGGCATTGTAGGCTGCGTGTTGAGGCTATTGGAGGACGCATCTGTGGAATCTATCAGGTTGAAAGCTGCAAGCTATTACAAAGTGTGGTGCGTTCTAAATCTCAACAAATGCCGATCTCGCATGGCGAGGTCTAGTCACCCCAGCATCCATGATCCTGGATGGGAATTGGTTACATTGGCATAGCCATTGTCCCAGTTACGGTATAGCGATACAGATTGTTCACATGAGCAACGAGCCTCCAGCGCCATATCCTTGTATTGGCATATCTCACTCTTCGTCGTGCCTTGCTTGAGTTGAGAGATTGGACGGCGAGATCAGTCAAGACTCGGTATGGCATACTACGGTCTTACATGACAATCTCAACGTCTAACTTCTATACCATTCTTCTATCGGTTGTCACGCAACAGACATCACCACAATATTTGCTATTAGCTGCACCACATACTCCAATTGGGGGAAGATGGAGCCAATACCCACACGAGTATTGGAGCACTTGACTTCCCGAAGCGAACCCACCCCCAAACTGGTTACGGTTACGGTTACCGTACCGAAAAGGCACTTGTCGGTTCGACATGATGCCTTGAGAGTTTTACGCTATAAAGTCCCTCTTTGTTTCATTTAAACCCCGGCCTGGTCGTATTTGCTAGTTTCTGCGTTTCGTTTATTTCTCATTCTCTCTCTGCTGTCTTGTCCCTCTCTATCACCTCTTACAACCATACACTACCTACTACACATCACCCTATACCTCCCATCATGACTTCTTCTAACGGTACTACCAATGGCCAGAATGGCCACTCCGCCTCTCCTCCCTCGCTACCTACCGGAATCTACGCCCCCGTCATGACCTTTTTCGATCCCGAGACTGAGGAACTCGACATCCCCGTCATCAAGAAGCATGCCGTGCGATTGGGCCAAGCTGGTTTGGCTGGCCTTGTGGCCATGGGTTCCAATGGCGAGGCCGTTCACTGCACACGCGAGGAAAAGATCGCTGTTACCAAGGCCACCCGAGAAGCTCTGGATGAGGCTGGTTTCCAATCAGTCCCTGTTTTCCTCGGAGCTACTGAGGGTAGCGTCAAGGGCACGATTGAGCTGTGTAAGCAGGCTGCTGAGGTCGGCGCTGCTGCTGCTCTCGTCCTCCCTCCTTCTTACTACAAGGGCCAGATGACCGAGGACGCTATTTCTAGCTACTTCACCGACCTCGCCGATGCAAGCCCCATCCCTATTGTTCTCTACAACTACCCTGGTGCAGTCGCTGGCCTTGACATGGACAGCGACCTCCTCATCAAGCTCGGACAGCACCCCAACATTGTTGGCACAAAGTTCACCTGTGGAAGCACCGGTAAACTCACCCGAGTTGCACTGGCTGCCGACGCCAAAACCCCCTTCCAAGAGGGTTCCGGTTACCTCGCCTTTGGTGGTATTGCCGACTTCACCGTCCAGACTCTGGTCAGCGGCGGCAGTGGCATCATCGCTGGTGGCGCCAACGTCATGCCCAAGACCTGTGTCAAGGTCTGGGACCTTTACGTCAAGGGCAAGAAGGACGAGGCCCAGGCTCTTCAGAAGAAGCTGTCCAAGGCTGACTGGGTGCTGACCAAGGCTGCCATCGCCGGCACCAAGTCTGCTATCCAGAGCTACTACGGCTACGGTGGATACCCACGACGACCTCTTCCCCGCCTTACTTCTGAGCAGGTCAAGGGTATCGCGGAGGGCGTCAAGGAGATTATGGAGATTGAGAACTCACTATAGTTCATGGCTGATGTTTGAACCTGTTGTTCGCTCGTCCTCCCGGCCAATGCCGGTATTCATGGACGGATATGAGTTTGCATAGCGTTGCATTTAATGACAAAAAGAACCCCGATTGGCTCAGCAGTTGATAGTCGAGTTTGGGATACGTCTCGACTCGATCATGATCACAAGATTTTAAGTACATAAATGAATGAATGGAAGAATTGCAATAAGTTGACATGATTCACGTTTTGTTACACCGAAATGGCGCCTCTTAGTGATTGGTGGTACACATGAACTTGGACTAATTGGGCACATTTTCTCTCCAACATACAAGATGCCTTTTACATTCTATCATGACTGCCGTGCTCCTTCACCATGAGATAGACATGACATCCAATTTCAGTTCCGTTCTCGGCCCTGACTACCCTGGACGAAATGCCATAGAACGTCGACGTCATTGGCTGATTCGCGATCTACATTGCGTCTTATCCCTTACTTGAGACTAGCGGAATCGCAAAGAGCCGCTGATAGCCTCGGAATAATAACCCGAGTGCCAACAACACTTTCTCATCCCTCAAACCAATCTCACATAATTCTTGAAGAGACACATAAAATTATCCTCATCTCTGATTTTCTTCGGTCCCTCTCTTGATTGATTGTATTAGAGGGTAAAAATGCGTGATACTCCGAGCGGCAGCGCGGCACCAGCCGTCGCCGAGAATGGCGCGAGTGCAAGTGATGAACGAACTCCCTTGCTCAAGCCGACAAGCCAAGGCCAGGACCAAGATGCTGAACCGGCCAGTGAGACTCGAGGGGAGGAGCAGGCTCAAGGTATTCCGGCCGGACAGGAAGAAGAGACCACTGTGGTTGCTGAGGAGGTGTCGACTGCCAGACTTGCCCTCATCTTTGGTACGGCATGGATAGGTGTCTTCTTGGGCGCTGTCGACTCTACTATTATTGCAACTCTATCAGGACCAATCTCGAGCGAGTTTCAGTCCCTAAGTCTGCTTTCATGGCTTGCAACTGCCTATCTCATCTCCAATGCTGCATGCCAGCCTATCTCGGGTCGGCTGACAGATATCTTTGGCCGAGGTCCAGGTCTCGTCTTCAGCAACTTATTCTTCGCTGCTGGTAATCTTATCTGCGGCCTGGCTCGTGACCAGACAACCATGATTATTGGACGTGTTGTTGCGGGCATTGGAGGCGGCGGGTTGATGAGCATCTCCACGTTCCTTGGCTCAGACCTGGTACCACTCCGCAAGAGAGGTATCATTCAGGGATTGGGAAATATCTGCTATGGCTCCGGGGCCATGCTTGGTGGTGTCTTTGGCGGCCTGATTAACGACCACACTTCTCAAGGTTGGAGACTTGCCTTCTTGATACAGGTCCCTCCAGTACTTGTCTCTGCTGTGGCTGTCCATTTCTTAGTGAGGATACCGCCTAAGCAGTCGGATAGGTCATTCCTTGCACGCATTGACTTTATGGGAGCCTTCTTGACATCGGCATTCTTGATATTCCTGCTCCTAGGACTCAACTCCGGCGGCAACCTTGTCCCGTGGACACATCCTCTCCCGCTGACCACAATCCCTCTGGCAGTAATCACATTTGGCTTGTTTTTGTATTGGGAGAGTAAGGCGCGTCAGCCAATCATTCCTGTGAAGCTTCTCCTCGATCGAACTGTCCTGAACGCCTGTTTATGCAATCTTGCTTGCACCATGACAGTCATGGGTGCCCTCTTCTATGTCCCGCTATACCTGCAAGTTCTTGGGAGCAGCGCCACGCAGTCCGGTATCCAGATCCTGCCATCCCCAGTCGGAATCTCGATCGGATCTCTACTTGCTGGCTTCATCATGAAGAAGACTGGAAAGTATACCAAATTGGGTGTTGCGGGCCTGCTTGTCCTCATTGCAGGAGTAGTGGTTCTCACAGCCCAGAATGAGCATAGTCCTAAGTGGCTCATGGGTGTTTCTTTCTTCTTGATTGGTTCTGGATACGGATGTACACTCACGACGACGTTACTGGCATGCATTGCTGCTGTGGACCACTCTCAACAAGCTGTCATCACATCTGCAACCTGTAAGTTTTCCCGAGGAAAGACTTTGGCGTTTTGTAGTACTAATAAACTTTAAGATCTGGCCCGCAGTCTTGGTAGTACTGTTGGAGTTACCATTGGCTCAGCCGTGTATCAAAACATTCTCAAAGCCAGACTTTGGGAGAGGTTTGGCGATGAGCCCGGTGCCGCAGAAGAGATCCGTCGCATCCGAGACGATCTTGATGAAGTCCGTCATCTCCCCGACGGATGGTATGATGGAGTTATAAGCTCGTTCGTGGAGGCCTTCAGGGGTGTTTGGCTCACACTGCTGGCGTTTGCTATCCTGGCACTGATTTGTATTTCGCTTATGAAGCAGCATACATTGCATTCTACCATCGAAAGACGGTAATTATGTGCGAAAAGAAGGCAGGAGTATGAAAAGGTACAAGATATAGAAGAGATTGAGCCTGACAGCGACAAGATCAGTTAATGGAGTACCTGGAGCTACTGTTTCACGAATATGCAATAGGATGCACCTGCAGCCAGTGCTGTTTGATCTTATGCATGGTAGCGGTAATAGAAGTTTGTGCCTTCCTCAGTTGACACCATGCTATGGGAGACGACTTCCGTTCGAGTTAGAGTCGCTTGGGCATCTAGTATTGATGAATATATGAACCTTTCATCCTATACTTCCACTGCAAAATCACATCACACAGCAATACGCATCACTTTTGGAATTGTTTCTTGGACTAATTATCACAAGTCTTGAAATATTCACTATGGCTAATAATAATGAGCACAAAGTTTCGGTCAACTCAAGCAACCCACTCTCCGCAAACATCAATGTTGGCGGTCAAAGCATTATCCAAACAGAGACGAAGACATATTCAAGTTCAGACTCAGGGATAGACACGGAAACGGATCGAGGGCCTGCTACGGAGCCCAAGCCAAGAAACGATAAAACCGAAGATGCGATGGATATCGATCCCGAGGACCCGGAATCGGAAGACGAGGCCGCATTCACTACTCTGGAACTTACCCCCATAGAGAAAAATGCCAAGCGAGACTACACTCGCATCATGATGATTATACCGTGCCGCATGCACAGTTACGCTACAGCGCAAATGTTGGCGACGGGTAATGAGATCCTGCAAGCTTTTAGGAAAACCATTGCGCTTTGGCCTTTTCTCGCAGGCGAATTCAAGGTCATCAAAACCGGTAACGATCAAGACTCAGAGGTCGTACTCACATACCGAAGAGAATTCGATTGGTCCTCTATCCGCTCCCTGGTCACCTATGCTGATCCGATAGAGAGGGTTGCACGTCCGTATTCCCACATTTACAAGATACCATCAAAGAAGTATCCATCGATCCTAACTGCTTTGCGAGATCACGATCCCGAACATGCTAATAGCTTCGCACCAATTGCGCTCAGGCTAACCCTTGAAAATGGTTTATTTTTTATGAGTTTTGCGTTCAGCAATACCATCTTTGATGGGGAGTTCATTACCAACTTCTTTCGAGAGTTTCTCAACTTCTCGATGCAGACTGGCTTCACGCCAAGTCAGCGGTTAAGTACGTGATTGTACTCCCGGATGTAGTTTGGTGACCAGAAAATGGACTAATTAATATGTGTGGCAGACTTTGAGAGGAACATGCCCGAGATACTCAATTCTGGGATAGACGTCAAGTCTGAGTTTCCATGCTTTGATTGGAACAATGCTACCGAGATCGAGGAGCGTACACCCCAAAACGACCTGGCATTCGAAATCTTCAGTCTGCCTGAAGGCAGTGTGCATGGGACCTGGTTAGAAGTTCGAGATGAGGCCTTGAAATTGAAGTCAGAAAATTCTCCTCTAATTCAAGACTTTATATTCACGCTTTTCTGGGTTCTTATCACACGAGTACGGACTGAATCTGGCCTCATAGAGCGCAAGGGTGTTACAAGAGCCAACATCATGGTACCGGGGCATCTCGCAATAAGTGGGCGACACGAGAATGATCCTTACTACTATGGTAACAGTACTGTCAATGCAGTTGCTTCCTGCAACGCTACGAACTTGGTCGGTCGTGCTATTGTTTGGGACGACTTTGAGAGGCCGTTTTCTTCGGATTATCGACGGCTAGCTTGTGCGGGCATCTTAATTCGCAAAGCCAGGCGGGAGATCAACAAGACGTATATGAGTAAACTTTATGGGTTAAAGCAAGTCATCAGCCCTGCAGAAGATCAGTTTGCCTGTGACCGTGCTCTCCGGCCCCATACGGAAAGCGTTATCTGCGAGGACTGGACCAACTATGGTGCACACCTAGAGGCTCACTTCTCGTACCTAGAAGAGGATCGCCAGCCTCGATTTGTTCCTTCCATGACCGGGCTCAGGGAGGGCACTGTGATCATCCTGCCACGGAAAGACGAGGAATTTGGCGATGAAGGTTGGAATATCTGTGTATGTCTTACAGCGGACGAGTTAGAGAGAGCCAAGGAGCTTCTGCAGACTGAGGGCTGGGTATGAGTGATTGAGGAGTGTGTTCAGGATGGTTAGTAAGAAACCAGGAGTTCAACGACAAAGTTAGGACGAGCTAGTTTATCTCACAAGCTTGCGATGATCTTTAGAAAGCCTGCACGAATAGAGAACCTTGAATGGTAGCTCCAAACGTTAGCATGATCACAACTGCATGCTCAAACTTTGGAGATGTCTTGATTAGGCTTTCTCATCAAGACCGAGGTAGACAAAACCAGTCCTGTATTGACAGCAGTCTAGACTCGAATCGGACTCTGGAACTTGAAGCTCTGATGGTTGTCTGCATTAGTCTTGGAGGAACACCGAAAGGAAATGACATTTACATCATGAGATCGAGAAATGTCTTCGTAGTTAGATCCAATACATTTTGCATTCTCCCAAATCGCCCACCAGGTTATGAGTATTGGTCCTGATGTGGTATGAATTGCTTCAATATGTAAAACATTATCGAAGAGGCAGACAATGCCCTCAGAAATGAAGAACTGACAGTCCAGAGTTAAGACGAAGATTTGGATAGCTTCAGGGCATATGTGATCCCGAGACGTACCAAGATGTTAGACACGTGTAACAGAGGTTTGAGAGGTTAGCTTTTGCTATTCCGCCTTTATGTTCCGCTATCGAGCAAATTGAACTCAGAGAGACGAGTCCGGAGCAATGAGTTGATATAAATGCGGCGAGTTTACCTAATATCGTGGCTGAAGTACCAGAACAGCCCTCTCATACCCCCATGCGGGCCGCAGATAGCTTGAGGATATGTCTGATACCGATACACCCCAAGCTCGGGAGGCATAGCGTTCTTTACTCGGTGAGCTCTGTGGGACGCGAATGAACTTTTCCAGGCCAAGAAACAAGCACCGTTTTGAGACACTCGCTTTACCATTACTGGAGGGACCATTCCTCCCTGCCAAGGTTTTGTGTTACTCGAAAGGGAGGTCCGTATAACCGCAAATCAATATTGGACGGGATAAGAGTTGACATATTGATGTATCAACTGCGTACTGCGCTGAACAGCATAAGGATCTACTGTATATTACCCAATAGGAATGTCAGGTTTTTTCGTGCTCGGTACAGAAAGTCCACATTCCTGCGTAGGTAGTCACATGTAAGTAAAAGATAATGTAGACAGAACAAAGGCTCCTCGTCGGTTATTCAACACAACCATTTCTCCTGGTCATAGCTCCTATGCACGGATTTCAGACAATTTCGACTGGAAATAACAGATATTAATCAGCATGGCTGCGGGAGATCTAGACACAGCGGCCGACGGACTTGTTGAATAGTTGAATTAGTTGTCTGGCTAACCACTAGTCATCCTTTTACTACCCCAAGAACGTGGGCGAGACTACGTAAGGCTAGGATGGCTTAGGATCTAGACTTTGTCACAGCGCGGCGTGTGAGCAATCTACCACCAAATATGTAGGGAGATATGTCCAGATATTTGAGTCATCCTCTTGCTATGGCTTACTGGGGAGTGAACGTCTGAGACATCTAAGCATACGCCACTCCGCGTTCACAGAGGAAGCCACCTCGCTTGTGGGTAAAGTTACTTGACACACATCACATCATTGGGAAATGCTGAAGAAAGTGTATGTAGACGAGGGTGTGCAGGCCCAAAGGGGAAAGAGATTCGTGGTGGGTTATTAGTAGTTACTCTTCATCTCGCCTTAGCTTGTGTATTAGGCGTGAAGCACAGACGACGCTGGATAGCACAACGTCTGCTACTTGCCCGTAGCTCACTGTCTAGTATGAAGCTGTAGGGCAGAATGGCATGATGATGGTACGGCACACGGACCAGTTCTTATATGAACTGTGTGTTGGCTGTTTGAATGAAGGCAATTCTTCTTGTTGACTGAAGATCACAACATCATATTTCGCCTCTGATTCTGTCATACAAGTCACATGAACTCAAAGTTCTCCCAATCCGTACAGCAGAGACTGCATTGGGACCAACAACAAGACCCCGTCTCTCCGCTGAAGAACCGGTTGGAATCAACTTTGCACCTTTTGGTTTCAATGCTTCAGGGCTAGCTCCAGGCTGAACGAAAACAGTATCAGGGGAGCCTATGGCCCCTACGATTAGCCAACCAGGGCCGCTCTGTAAGTCATTTTAGCTTCCGGGCTGGCATCTTGACAGGCGCCACTCAACGGAAATAGCTGGCGTCTTTTTTGTGCTCTCAGTGACCGATCTAGCCTACCTAATCTACGGCCCGTAACGGGGACCAGTGCAAGGGCCTACAGTAGATTTAAGAGCCTAAAGTCTAGAGTCTAGACACTTGAAGCGAAGTGATTGTCCGGAGCAATAGCCGGGGAGGCTCTGCCTAGGAGCACTTAGTCCGACCCACTCCACACTTACACAAAGTACCTACCTCTATTCTACCTACTGTATGATAGTAGCAGCAGCAGATTCTAACACGAACCCTCTCTCATCAAAAAGGATCTGCTTAAACAGAGTTCAAGCATTTTTGGCTGAGATAGGCTCCAGATCCTGCTGATCGGTCAACGACGTTATGGCTGAACCTTGGACTCTGTGCCTGTGCCTGTGTCTTTTCACCAGGTGAACCGTGAAGCGGCCGACCCTTGGCATCTCCCTCATATTTGGTGACACATCGTAAAGTTATGATGTCGGTAACTGATCTCCCCGACCCTGATTTGCAAGATAGAGTTTTATGCAAGGGCGATCCTGTAAGGTCCCGTAAAACGGTGATTCGCCTGCCGTTCCCAGAGGAGAACCCTGATCGTAGGTAGATAACCATCGCAGATCCTGTCTTACCTAGATGTCTCGATCTGTCTCACTCACAATTAATAAACTCTCTTCTCTCTCTCTCATATAATGAAGCGCACTCTCCTACTCGGTGCCTTGTGGTCTGCACAGGTTGCCGCACAACGATATACTTATACCACACGGACTATGACAGAATGTTTCAGCACAACACAAGAAAGCTTCGGTCCTGCTGAGCCAACTCAGGGGCAGGACAAGTACTGGACTGTTGATATGCCTGAATGCCAGGACTGTCGATGTACAGACTGTGCCTATACAAATACATACACCACATCACTCGATGTCTTCTCTCCGACGGGCCTTGCCAAGTTCCCTTACCAAGTCAAGGAGGTCTACCGGGGCATGTCGGCTATGCCAGCTGATGCAACACCAACTGATGTCCCTTATGGCTTCACAACTGGTGTAGAGACCTGCAACAACTGTGGCGACGAGCCAGTGACAGCCACCATGACTTATCCCCGTGGTGCTTCGCCTTATCAAGAGGTCGTTCCCACAACAGCACCAGAGGTTGAGTCTGCTTTCCAGCGTCCTTCAACACTACGCACTCAGGTCGCAGACACAGAAGCCACTGGCTCTCCTTCAAATGACAGCAAGGCCACCCCTCTTGAGAACACCGTCCTCGAGCACAAGGTCTACCATTACAAGGTCAACGCACCAGGTACCTCTAAGTTTGTCAAGTTTGCCTTCAAGCGAGATTCTGACATTGGGGACGACCAAGTCGATGTAAAGACTCCCGGTATCCCATCCCGGGCTATTAGGAGCTACGCCAAGATGCGATTCGAAGCAGCAAGGGCAGCACCATCCGGGGATCCAGGCAGTGCAGCAGCTGGTATAAGACCACCAGCTGGTGTGGCAATAGCTCTGATGGTGCCTATAGCACTGCTGTTATAAACATAGCCAACAGCAAAGATAAAATGGAGGAGAGAAAAAGGGTTGGGAAATTTACGGGGATGCATTCGACGTTGTCATTGCATTGCATAGCTTATCCAAATTCGGAAACATTTCTTTTGTCTGTTAACGATAATGACGGCCAAGTAAGAAGATACAGGGGAGGGCCTAATACTTGCACTCGAATCGAAGATACCACCACAGCGACTGAGACGCCCACATGGGGTCCGATATGAGGAGGGAATGAAGTAGTTGGAATATTAGTTAAATACCCATCAATAAAGAATACATCAAACAAACTCAGCTGAGTGCCACCCTGCAGTGCCTGAGGTGTGACAAGCCTCCTGCTTGGTCAGAAGGATCAAGCAGAGAATGTGACAGAGGTTCTTTTCGATTAAGTTATCGGAGGAATTTTTCATCCTGAAGACATTCCCAGACAGCGTGTGGCGTGGGTGTGAAGGCTTTTGGAAGTACTACGTATGATGCAGATCTTGTTTGCTGTTGTGTCATATGCTACACGCTTTCGTGATGGAAACAGCCATCTCCAGTGTCGTTACGTAACTGTGAGATTGAATAGAGTGTATAACTTTAAGGCTGAGGCAGTTGGTGATGGTTTCACCAGGAAGGTTCAATGAACTGTTGTGTTGATTGAGTAAGGCACTGAATACTGGTGATATTCTAGCTGGTGCCTTCTTGCATTGCTGTTGTTTACTAGTAGCCAGAGACCCAACGTCGTATGCAATGGTCATTTCGGTGGCCATTATATGGTCTGACTCGAACGTGAGTGCATCGTCGAGTCCCCGTCATCAGTTGGTTCCCGCCTCTTAACTACAAATTTTACCTATACTGGCCAAAAGGCTTCAGGTATATTGGTATTCCAACAGGAGAAGGCATGTACTGTATTGTTTTACTCAAGTTATCGTGTCACGGCAGAAGGTTAATCCCGCAGATAACCAGGCTAGTTCGAAGGTTGTGGCAGTTTATTTTTCCGAAATTTGATGAAGCTATTCGCAGCGAGATTAAGGAAGGCGTGGAAAACGATAAGCGGCATTGATCCTTGTTGACGGGGACCGTTTCAGGCAGATTAGGTTGGACCCCGTATCCGCTGTGGCTCATGTCGCATAATTGCGACATTTTAACGATGATCCAGGATACAGTTGAGATGTACAGAGTATTGCTGTCGTTAATAGTCTTGTGATTTAAAACAACCATATTGAGTTTCTGCTCAACGCACTACTTGCCTCTCCAGAATCACATCCCCACTTCAATGTAACAAAACCGCAATAACATCCCGCATCTTCCGAACAAAAACGTCATGAGCAAGCAAATAGTACACGTAATTATCGTGGCGGGCCAGAGGATGCGCAGTCGCTCTCATTGCAGGTCATAACATTGGTAGAAAAAGATTGTACACTGAGTTGACCGTTGAGTCTTGAACTAACGGCTGCTTCCTTCATTTAAAAGCATGGACATAATTAGTCTAAAACGCTTCCGAGAAGTTGATCTCCGACTTGTGACGTACCAAGACCTGTCACTCAGCTGAAGCATAAATTTAGAAATTTAGACCATTTTTCGTCATCTCTTGCATGTAATTGGTCTATGAACATACTCATAGTGGTCCACTTAGATCTCTCTATGGTGGCGCAGCTGCGACGTGAGAAGTAGATAATGCCTTAGCAAGCCGTAGGCAGACATATTTCACCACCAGAACAGGGCATATTTTCGGTCATTAAGAAGAGATCTTTGTCAATTCTCCTCGGGGTTCATCAGCGCCCCTTGATTTAGTGCTGACGCCCGATAGTCAATAGATTATACTGATTATTCCGTAGTGACCGAGCGGTTCCTACGTAAAAACAGCAAGCCACACTCCCACACTGCCACAGTAAAACAGCCCTGCTGTTGCGTCTAGCAACGCGCGGCCCACTTCCCTGGAGGGAATCTCCAATTGGAGACTCTCTATTTTCCACAGTGGAGGCTTGTGTCTGGGCGGGCGTCATGGGGAGCAAGAGAGCCCTGTTGGCTAGGGGAATCAGACCTGTTTCGTCAGGGTTTCCAAGGACCATTGAACTTAATTCAGACCCAGCCCAACGTCTCTCTCGTCTTGACTGGACTTGTATCCTTTGTCAACACAAACATAAACACCAAACACAACACCGTACACATTCGCTGTGTTGTACTACTGACGATAAACGCTCTTTGTTTCTTGTGCATATATTGATTTCCATCTCATCTAGCCAGCTTATCTCATCTGTTCAAAGCATTGAAGACAACCCTTTAACTCCGATACCCTCTCAGCCCTTCGATTTTCAGCTGAGAACCCAACAAGACACATATCTACATCAGCAGCCTCGTTTTCCGCTTGTTCAACGACTAGAGCGCCCCTCAGCTCTCCCTAGGATACTAAACATCTGTATTTACGCCAATCTCGAATAAACCTCCAGCCATGCGGTTCGAAATCGATCCCGATATCGTCCCCAACCTGAAATTGGGTCTTCACTCTTTCCAGATCATCTTCTCCCTGGTCGCATGGTGTTTGCAGATCGGTGTTCTTAACGCCAAGGATGCAGAGGTCACCGGAAAAAACGGTTGGACGTTTGGAGTGGTAAGCCAAAATTAAACCGTTAAATTCATGATGTAAACGGCTGGCTAATGATGCAATGAACAGTGTTTCCTGTCTGTCCCTGCATGGATTTTTCTCATCATGACTCCGCGATGGGGTCGCACTCGTCGCTTTGCTCAGCCCCATGCCATGCTTGCTGTTGACGCTGCATTCACTGTCATCTGGCTATCTGCTTTTGCTACCCAGGCTTCCTACAACGCTGCTGGTCAATGCGGTACTGCCTGCAGCATCAGCAAGGGTATTGTCGGCTGCGGTGTCCTTGTGACGTATGTGCTTCCATTTGTGTTATCTAAATCATTGACTGACCGGCTCTGCAGTATTCTTTTCGGTGGCTCAACCTTCGTTTCTGCCTTCACTCTCAACTACTACAACAACCATAACATCCTGCCAGGTTACGACAACCGACAGATGGGCACCGACAACATCGATCCCGACAAGGCTGCTTTCTCCATGGCTCCTCACGGTGATGAGGCCTACGAGCGAGTTGACATGGACGACCACGAGCCCTCAGGAGGCAGTGCTTACGGTGGCGGCTACAACAACAACAGCTACAACAGCCACTCCCGCTACGGCGATGCCAACCCCTACAGCGCTGATGATGATGATCCTGATCGCTTCGGTGCTCTCCCTCCCCGAAACAACACTCTCTTCGACAACGACACCGAGTACCACTCCGGCGGCGCTCCTCCATCTATGCCAGCAAACTACGCCAACCCCACAGGCGGCCACCCCTATGAGGATGTTCCCGTCCAATTCCCCGCCGGCAACTACGACAGAGGGCACTAAGTCTTGATGGCATGTAAATGAAGGAAAGGATATATACTGGCTTCTCTTTTTTTTATTGCAACGGTGTTTATTTTTGCTTGGGTGAGGAAATAGCCTGGGAAACGTACGCGTCTGGAATGCGGTTCACATTTTTGTATGGTAGATAACGCCTCTGGTTGAGGGAGAGGCGTTAACGGCGTCATGAATTGTGCAGAAGTCAAGGGGATTTGATGATGCCTTGGATGCATACGAGTTAGATATTGCACACACAAACACATTCGAAGCATTTTTGGACACTCTGATACTTGTGGCTATCCTGTATTTTTGGACACTATAAAACCAAGGTTGTGTAAATGGATCCATATGCGACGTCTTTATTTTCGAAGATGCTCGAGCCAAACTCCCAACGCCTTCTGTTCTAAGCCAATTTTGATGCTCCGTATCTGACGACACAGCTATTCGACCTAAGCCGTTCTCCCAAACAAACCCTCTATCTTTTAACAGTAGCCTCATCTTTACTCCTGGTTCATCTTGCGGAGTCGTCTGGCAATATCCGACGCCGTCTGCTGCATGGGGTTGAGCGTGCGATCCTTCGCCATGGCAGCCGTATTATCGCCATACTTGGCCACCAGCTTATCCAACCACTCCTTCTCGCGGGAGCTCTGGTGTCTCTTCTTAGGCAGATCGGGCTGTCTGCTCTGCTCCAGCAGGCTCTTGACAACATCAGTTGCATCAGCATCGTCATCCTCAATGCCGCCCCATTCCTCAGCAGGGCCCTCAGCGTCGCTGTCGTTGTCGAGGTCGTTGAGCGGGTCGTTGAGCGGGTTGGGCTTGGAGGTACCGATGATGCGAATGATCTTTCCGTCGGCGTCGCGCTCGACACGCGCCTCGGAGACGACGGCGTTCTCGATGCTGGCGACGGCAAAAGGGTCGTTGGGGTATGCGCGGGTTGTGGTTGCGCCGAGCTTCTTCTCTACACCACCGGTAGGAGCCTTGAGACGGGCTACGAGACCGAGACGACGGTAGTTTTGAGACATGGTCTCCTTCTTGTTCCTTCAATCTGTGTTAGTTATGCTTCCTCTTCTATCGCAGGCTTTGGCTGCTCTTTAGAGTAATGAATGAGTAGCGTACCAGTTCTTCGCAATGGCATCGTTGCCTCGGGGGTTGAGAATCTTCTTGGTTCTGTTAAGTTGACGAACAGGCTGGCGGCCGGAGCGGGCCTTCTTCTTTTGCAATTCGCGACCCATGGTTGATGATGTATTTGATATTGGTATGTAGAGTTGTCAATGTATTCGAGCAGCGGAGGGACCTTCAAAAAATGCCCGCCAAAATTTGATCGCAATGTCTTATCGATAAGAGAGGTGGGCCCAGTGGATCCAAGCTTCACCACCAGCCCCTTAGTATAGGTAATGCACGACCTCTAAAATAATGAAACCCATAGCATTTGATGTGAATATTCGATAGCAGAAATATCAATCATAACCAGGCGTATCATCATTAGCTATACTCAAGTACTTGTTCCATGTTCTAGTGTTTTTTGTTGCAAAAACAGAGAAACTACCCTCTAAGCTCCTGTGGAGTCTCCTCGGTCTCTCATTATCCTGTTCATGAAATATCTATATAAACCAGCAAGCGTCATTAAACCTTAAACTTCCGGGGGTCCAACTTATCAACATCAGCGCTCTGTGCTCCTCCGTCAAAGACAAACTCAGACATGAGCTTGCCTGTTCCAGGGCCGTTTTGGATGCCCCAGCACGTATGACCCGCGGCAACAAATAGGTTTGGCACGCTGGTCTTGCCGATCAAAGGTCCGCTCTCATGTCCGAATCGAACGTGCTGCGGGAGATAGCATGCTTGCTTGGCCTTGATGGGTGATGCGGCCAGCACGGGGCTGAAAGTGCTGATGTATGAGATTATGTCGTCACACTGAGCCTCATCGCACTCAACTTGGTCTGCCGTCTCTGGGAGCGGCACGTTGGTGTCGGGCTCACCTATGTGGCGTTAGTATTCCTTTTGTCATATATGAAGGTGCGTGCTTACCGCATGCATAAGCCTCGTTGAACGGTCTCGCATAAATCTCAGGGTCGACGTTGCCCTTGTGTCTCCTCTTCTTCCCCATCTTGGCGCGGTGCTCGGGAACAAAGTCTGGTGGAAGCTGGATATCTGTAAAGACAGCATATGGACTGATGTTTGTGTCGTAGACAACACTATGCGCTCTTAGACCCTCGACCTTGGCTCGTGGTAGCACTCTGCTCGTCCAGGGACCGGCCGCCACGACGACATCTGTCACGGAGTCGATGGTCTTTTTCTCATCCGTATTGCGATCCAGATACTCTATGCTCTCGACACCGGCCTTTGAGGAGTTAATTTTGGTCACCTTGGCGTTGGTGTGTATTTGAGCGCCACCCTTCTGGGCAAGTTCTGCGATGGATGTTGTAAAGTGGAGAGGATGCACCTGAGATGTCTCCGTCTTGCCGGGTGCTCCCATCTCGGACCAGTCGGTGATGATCTCGCGTTCTACCCAGTCAAGATCCTTGGGTAGGTTGGCTGCTTCCAGGAGTTCCTTAGCTGCGCCGTTCTGCTTGGGAAGTTTCTCCCACGTCTTGCCATCCTGGTTCCCGTTTCCGTTGAGCTGAAGAGAGTTCAACTTGTCTCGCGACACCACTGCTCTAAAGCTGCCACATCCAACCTGGCGATAGCCCCATTTCTGAGGGCCGTTGTGCTCGGCAGCCAGCTCGGAGTGCAGGCGGTATGAGAGCGGAACCAGACATTCTGGATAAGCCCAGAGAGCGAGAAGACCACCGGCCTTGCCAGATGCGCCTTGAGCAACAGTGGGAGCAGCCTCAAGCAGAGTGATGGTGTGCAGGGCTGGGTTGAACTTGGGATGGCGGGTAAGGTAGTAGGCTGTAGTGGAGCCAATTATGCCGCCTCCTGAGGGGGTTTGTCAGCCTTGTTGAAGTTTGATATGATGCAGGGCGAGGCTATCAAGGTATGTGTGGATTGTGAAGGGGTATGTAGCAGTGAATATGTAGATAGATGGTGGTGGCGGGGCAACTAACCAACGACGACAATATGTCTCTTTCCCTCCATGGCGGTGCGGTCAAAAGAAGAATTAACTGCTAAGAATGAGGCTGATAAACTACTTGGAGCTGGAAATAACAAGACACTGAGAGCCTGTACTTGGCGTGATAGTCACAGCGTTCCCCGATGGCTCAGATCAGACCCGAGTCGGGGTTCATCAGTGACGTGCAGCATGAGACAGACGCCACTACGGATACTCGACAGGGCTTATCTCTTATCGATAAGGAAGCGGCCGACTCGGCGACGGGTGGGGACATCCGAGCCGGAGCTATTACCGAGCCGGGGAATATTCGGGGCGAGTGTTGAGCCGATATGGACTGATTCCAAATAGTACTACGTAGTAAAGAGAAGAGATGTTTGTGAATTATATAACGAGGCCGATTTTAGACGTATCTTAACTGAAGCTGGATATTATGTTGAGTTGTACTGTTGAGGCTCTACTGAAGCTCATATTGAAACTCGATTAGCGAGTAATAGACAGTCCTGAGCTGTCAAACTGATATTCCTTTCAACCACATTTACTCACTTATATATCTTTAACTCAATACAAAACCTCTTAATCTGCTATAGTAAACATCAAATTACAGACTCTAGGACCAATTACAAATACCAATTCCCTCTAGAAACACTCATCGGTCCCGGCGGAATTCGAGACCCCGAACACCTCCACCTCGAATACGTCACCAAACCAAAAATGGACCCAAGTGCCGAGGCTTGTAGAAAGCAGCAGCAGGAACAGCTCTTTCAAGCAATCAATACCGTTAATTGTGGTGTAACTCGAACAATTACAGCATCAATTACCCTATTCTGCCTTGTATAATCTCAGCTGTCTACAGCACTCAATGTCCCTGTGGCGTGCTCGGGTTAATTCCCGCTGTCTTAATAAATACACCACCAGCACCATCCACTCAACTTCTTTTCGTCCCCCGCTATTTTCACCTCCCAACAACAACATAAGACTTGCCTTGAATCACAGCAATTCTTGCAACAGAAACCTCTCTCCTAATTATACTCGTCAACTGAGTACTACATCCAAGATGGCATCTGCTACTGGCTTTTACGACTTCAAGCCCCTTGACAGTATGTTCCCAATCTCATCATAGCCAATCCCATACCCCGCCTCTCCCAAAATACTCACACTCTCTCCCTCTCACTTTCACTTTCATCCTTCAATCCGCTAACACACTCTCAGAGCGCGGTCAAGAGGTTCCTCTCGCCGACTACAAGGGCAAGGTCGTCCTCATCGTCAACACAGCCTCCAAGTGCGGCTTCACCCCTCAGTACGAGGGCCTCGAGAAGCTCTGGACCAACCTCAAGGGCAAGTACCCCGAGGACTTTGTCATCCTCGGCTTCCCCTGCAACCAGTTCGGCGGCCAGGAGCCCGGCACCGACGACGACATCCAGCAGTTCTGCCAGATCAACTACGGCGTGAGCTTCCCCATCATGCAGAAGACCGAGGTCAACGGCGACGGCACCAACCCCCTCTGGGCCTGGCTCAAGGAACAGCAGCCCGGTCTCCTCGGCCTCAGGCGCGTTAAGTGGAACTTTGAGAAGTTCCTCGTTGGCCGTGATGGAACCGTCAAGGGACGCTGGGCCAGCACCACCAAGCCCGAGTCCCTGGAGGAGCCTATCCTTAAGGCTCTCTCCGAGAAGGCTTAAGTTTTTTTTATGTGATGAACGAAATGTCTATACCCCGAAAAGTGCCTGCATTGAGCCCTTCAATCTAAAACGAGATACCCCGTTGGGGGTAAATGTAGGCGCAGTGGTTAATGAGAAGCTTTGAGGCTTATGTCGTACACCTAGATAAACTAATATAAGAAGTCAATCATGCTTGCAATGTGTAATTATAACATCTGATTATCATGAAGTGTTGTGTCTTGGCAGCACTTATACAAGACTCCGGTGAACTCTCGGTCTACCAATCATGACCAGTCAATAGATGAGAGTTTTAACCAAAATAAACACTTCAGAAGGCTTCTTCATACCTAATTATGTTATACCTTTTGGGGACTCCTCGCCGTATCACCTAGTCTAGTCTATTATTTCTCATCCATACTAACACACAAATTACACTCAAGACTTTTATCAAGAACCCCATCCACCATCACCACAACTCCACCACCTACACATTCTCATAGTAGTACCGCGTGCCAGGATCATACTCCAGCAGAACCTCCGCCTCCATCGTGTCAATCTTTGCCACCACTTGCTGCCACAGATATATCTCAAACGCCCCGGGCATGATAGCGGGCACCGTAACAGCGCATCTATAACTCCCCTCGTCCTCAGGGCTCAGAATCATGATGAGGTTCCGTCCAGGCAGACGATAGATTCCTGGAGTATCGTCGTCTGGGTTCCAACTAACTACCATTCCCGGCCGGAGACGTTCCTTAAATGGAACCCCTGCCATCTCTGACCGCGGGTCGCGGCTTGAGAGGCCTTGTTTCTCAGCTTCGTCTGTCTCGGGTCCCGGCTGGACTTCCTTTGACTTGTTGTTGGCTGCACGCTGGGAATCGATGTGAAGACGCCAGAACTTGGCCTGGAAAGCAGTCGCTTGCTCCAGTGTGACGTCTGGGGTCTTGAGGCAGCGAGTGATGAATTCTGGAACTGGGAGACGGAGGAGTTGGACTCCTGTCTCTTCGGGTGCAAGCTTTGAAGGGGAAATGGGCGGTGCTCCAGACTGTCATAGCTGTTAGTTAGTCACAACTTTTAACACTCAACAAGGGTATATATAACTCACGTTCTTCAAGATCCAGTCATGGAGTAGGTCCTGGGGCCAAGTACTCGGCTTCTTAGCGTCGTACTTTTGCACCACCGTCTTGGGCGCTGTAACTCTGAGCATCTCTCCGTATCGAAGTGTGTTCTTGGTTGCGCCGATGTCCAAGAAACTGGGGTTGACACAAGCCACAACGACAGTCTTGCAGCTCCTCTCGGCTGCCGGGTCGAAGACATGCTTGAGGACCTTGGTCAGAGCACTTTGTCGAAACGGTACATAAGTCTTCTTTCCATTGGCGAGTCCTACTGGGTCGATACTTGCTCTGCCGCGGATGCAGTCCTTCAGCACTGAGAGACTGACATTAATCTCCCGTGATTCTTTGATACGCTGGGCAGAGTGCTCTGTCACGTCTCGCGCTGCTTCAGATCCTGCAAGATCGATAAGATACATAAGCCCATCGTCAGATTGAGGCAGTTCAGGGTTCTCCAGACGGATTTTGCAAATTGCATGCGAGCGCGACGAGGAGTCGTTCTTCTGCGTCGAAGCCGTTCGTCGAAAAGACGCCGCCTTTTCGATATGATTGATCAGATTATCTGCGTCCGTGGCCTGATATTCAGAGGCGCCGGCAAGATGAGTAGATCCAAAAGAGTCCTCCAGGAGAGAAACTGGTTTGCGTGCGTTGAGGAGATCAAAGACCGAGTTACCCGCGAGTTCAATGATAGAGATGAAGACATTCCGAGAGCCCTGGACCTCACTAGAGAAAATTGTCTCGGCGATAAGACGCTCTAAGCCGCTGACGGTGAATGTTTTGCCTGAGCCCGTCTGGCCATAGGCGAACATGGTGCTGACTCCGCCGCCCCAAGCCCATGGAACGAGGGGTTTGACGAGCTCTTGGTAGATGCCCTCGGTTGTGTCATTTGAGTTGAAGACTCTATCGACATGGAAGCTTGATGACTGTTTTTTGTTAGTAATTCTCACGGGTTTGAGCATATATCGCATACTCACAAGCATAGTTGGAGGGCCTCTAACACGCTTCCGCAGCTCGTGTAAGTCGACAAGACCTGGAAGATTGTTTCTTGGGAAAACACCAGAGATTTGTCCCCCTTCTCTTTCCTCATCAAGCATCGGTCGGATCCGAGTAGCGATAGTGATATCAGGATTGGACTCATCACTGCTGGGCTTGGCCTTGATAGGCGCTGGCTTGAAGCGATTCACCAGTTCTTGGTAGCGCTTAGCATTATCAAGGAAGAATTGATCCATGGCAAATTTACAAATGTGATAGTGATCAAAAGAGAGAGAGCAGTGTGTTCAATTGTTTAGCCTTATAAAATAACGACATCGCTACTGATATATCATGTTCATATACTCGTCTCAAATAAGGGTGCCTAAACTACAAAAAACAACGGAGTAACACTGTGGCGCGCTAACCCAGCAACCCCTGATCACTCATCGCGAATGTGCCAATCAATTCAAAGATTATACGATGTTTCTTTGTTTTATCAATCAGCTATATCCGTATGTGAAGGAAATTACGGTACCACAGCTCTAGCATTCCGGCTGTGATATATGATAGTAGGTGAAAAACTGACGATTGGAGTAACTCAGACTAGCCCACCAGCGTTCGTCTCCCCCCAGATCACACTTACCCTACATCACTCACTTTTACATATCAGGCATTCAAACTATGACCAGGACCGCCAGGCAACTGTTTCAGAATCCAGTAGTCAACGCTTCTAGTTTTTATCAAATATTAAAGAAATGTGATAACATGGTGCTCATCTGCTGCCTGGATCCCTAGGCCTGACTGCTGAGTTTAGCTACACGGTGGAGTCGTGTCAGGCAACAGTTTTAACACCAAGTTCCTAGTTGACCGCCATATTGTCAGAGTTGTGGCAATTTCTTTGTAACTAACTAGCTCCAGGCAACCGTATAATATTATATGAGCTGTCTCTCAGATTGCTAGTGTTGTCTTTGTTGAGAAACGACCTATCAACTACTTCTCCTTTCTTAATGCTCGTTTCCACGTTGATATTCCCTGGAAAACCATGTCTCTGGCGTCTCCGGCTATTTGGTAACCATTTGTCAACACTTGATAAATGATGTACTATAAACACGGGCTGAACTTGCCGAAGGTCTGGGCCTGGAGAAGGAGTATCGGCGAAGCGGTGTGATACCCTCTGGGAACTTACCGGCAGGAAGAACGGCCACAGTCTGTAGGAAATACACAACTCACAGACCGTGGCAAAGAATACTCAAGTGATAGTGAGTGAGACCGAGGAATAGTATATAGGATAGACTGGTAGGAAGACATGATTGAGTACACAAGTATCATCAATCTCTGCAGCACATAGATATAAATTGACATGACAGTGGTCAACTGTGCACCTACAAAGGACACATGATTCTATCCAACCTAATTGCTATTACAATAATGAAGAAGGGCCTGTGTTGTAGTTGGCCATATATGAACAAGGCCTCTGGCTGAAAGTTTGAGTATCTCTCCTGGCAAAAAGTATCTTGGTTTTCTATACACTGTTCAGCCCAACAACACAAGTAACAACAAACATCAGCCTCATAACCAGGATAGTTTGGTTCCGGTCAGAAGTCCTAATGGCTAGTTCCGCAGCTGAACCATATATCTGGGTCTCAGACTTAAGGAAAACATGGCCAACCCTGTGACATCCATACCGCCAAGTAGCATCCTTTGGATACTCCCCATATCTGACGCGCCACTACAGTCCTTTCGGGTCAGTACAGGCACCGCAACAAGTTATGGCAGGGCAATCATGTCTCTGGGAGTAATGCTGAGCTGCCGCTTTGTTGTCAAGTGTATCTCGAGAACTTATTACTGATCAGTATATGACCTAGGCACAGTGGGAGCATGCCTGTTTGCAGAAGGACAAGTAAACACGACCAAACAACAGTCTAGTCGTCCGCATCGTAGGATAGTTTAGCAATATCAATGTGCACAATCCACCAACACCCGGGCTCGACACTGTGATATTCCGAATCCTATTCTTTGCGACCCAGCCTATGATCGGCAAACATGTCAGCACTGATCGGGATCAACGGATATCTGACAAGGAAATCGATCGCCGCATCAACAAACAATTTAACCTGTTGCCTGGCTTCCGGTATCCCCGACGTCGTACCAATCACAAAATTGCCATTGAAAGATCATGCTTGACATGAAAAGCTGACACCAAGACGTGGGTGGCCACCATGTCATACACGTATCTGGCGATGCTTATCGCGTGTCTCAAAAAGAGCGAGATTGGTTCCATATCTGGCAACATATCCTAAATGTTTGTCATAAATCGACATCACCATTTGTCTGTGGGGGTAAAGCTTTGAACCGTGATATAAAATTTCAGTTTGATTCACGAAGCCTAGATGTTGGTATAAGCAGGCTACCCTGTAGCATCATCGTATCTGACCTGAATGACAGGTTGGAATATTTGGCGAAGCAAAACAATTGAACTGCTCTCAGTGTAGTAACTCCCAAAGCGCGTCGCTGGTAGCCTGTGTATCCCAGATCTGTATGTTCAAAGGCCACTGCTCTTGAAGGAAGCCATGACCTTGAACAAAAAAAGATCGCTGCGTGGTGATGCGCTTATCTGGCCGATCGTTTCATCTTCGTCCAGTTTACCAGTAAATTGATTTCGATCTAAAATTGGAAGGATTTAGCCAAAACTCCATTTCTTTGAATTCAAGCTCATCATTGCCATGCTCAGTTCTTGCTGTCGTTTGGCACCCTACCCTATGCCTTCATTGGCCAGCAGTCCCCCAACCACACGCTCGATCATTAAGTGCTTATCTCAAAGTTGTCGCAAAGCGACATCATCAGTGTCGTCATCCTGTGCTTGCTTGTTTCGCTTGACCGATTGGATATCTCGGTCAAGCCACCATCAGACACACTAGCGATCAGTGCGCCAACTGTGGTCTGTCGATCACTTGCGCGCACCGAGAGGACCAACAGCCACAACACAACCACTTACTTGCTTTCCCTTCTTCTGATCGGGTTGCGGAAACCCTCCGCCGTCAGATAAACCTCTGCCTTGAATAGCCACCACCACCACCACCATCACATCCCACCGCTTGCTTGTCAGGCTTGTCAGGCTTGTCAGGCTTGTTAGGCGTGTCTTCCCCGGATTTCCAGAATTCTGCAATGCCACCCTCCCCCACACACAAGAATGGCCGCACACCAAGCGGTAAAGCAAATGACGGGAGCCAAAATGCAGGTTCAGATCGTCGAACTTAAGCTTGCTAGCCACTTGGCTTTCAGACTGTTCCGTATTTAGCAGTCCAACTGCAATAAAAGATAGGAGCGGAAAACTTTAAGTTAAAGAGATTTTGTAGCCTCTTCACCTTACGGGCTGCCACCGGTCCTTCGTCGGTTTGCGTATCAAGGAAGCCTGTATATTACGTACAAGCGGCGAATGAAGATAGGGAGTGAGCTCCTGGATTGTCATCACAGCCAGCTGAACAGGGCAAATTAGGTATCCACCCATCTGACGAGCAAGACTTGTCATGTCCGCCGAGGGATTGGAAGTCCTGTTGATAGGGCAAGGCGCAGTGGTTTGCTGATATTAACGCGATGCACGTCGTCCCATGAGACGAGACGGTGGCCTTGCCTGCGGCACTGCAAGTGTGCATTCTTATGTGGAGAAAGAGAGGCTTCGTACTCAAGACCATCTCGGGTGCTTCGTGAAAAGTCTGGGGAATGCGGGGGACGAATGAGGAACATTATTGTTACCATAACCGTTCCACTATGTCTGGAGGTATGCATATTGGACGGTCGACGTAGAACAAGACCAACTGCACCCAGGTTTCGGAGCATTGTCTTTGCTCGAGGCCCCATGATGTGTATCAACTGGAACTTTTGCACTATCAGAGCGGAGAGCCTTACCATGTAGCAGCGTTCTCCCGCCCACGAGGTTTCATGCTGTCAGGGCGTGCATGCGCTTGAAAACGTATGTATCAGCGGTGAATTAGGCTCATTCAAATTCACAAATTGCCTTCTGCAAACGTCCAAGCCTTGCATTAAGGAGTGGTGTGGCTGTCAATTGAACCACCATCATGCTACTGTATCCAGGGCCCGGCCCTTGACGGCTTGACGGTTTTTGGGTTCTCGGCACTAGGACGATAATTAAATCGACTGTTGAAGCTGCACGAGCCACCACAAACGACGGTAACAGTCCGAGACATCATGTCAGAATTCTTTGCGGCCATTCACCTTCGGAGGCCGAACTCTAGGGCAAGCCATGGGTGTGAAGGTACTTTGCCAATCCGTTGCAGCAAGTACCGCCAATCCATATCCCCGCGTTAGCAATCTCATGACACACCAACACCAAGAGACGCGGGGTCGGTAGGGTTCTCCATCTTCTTGTCGGGGACTGTTGGAGATCAAGGGTGGTTCAAAATCACCTGGCTAGACTTGTTGGGAAAGCCCCTGGCCTGAATTTTAGTCAAAATATCGATATTATTACGTGATGATAATAGAGGCAAGCTAAGCACGTGAAGCAATAAGTCAACGTGTAAAAATTGACATCGGTAGCTGTCCGCCCATTTTGCGGGGAAACCTGGGGGACGTGGAGACTGGTCCAGTGCCCCTTTATGAGAAATTTCAGGGACTTGTTTTTGTAAACCCTTGGAGTTTGGCATCTCTTCTCGGAGATGTCGATCAAAACCGTTGACATGAACTCTTCGGGCCCTAAACCATTCAGGCATATTGTCCAGGGGAGCCTCCGTCCACGCTGAACCAGGATGTGAGATTCACTTTGCGATCCCGATTTTTTAGGATCGAGCATAATCCAGCCAATCAATCAATCGCAATATAACTCGCAGACTTCGATGTCATGATAATACACAAGAAAGAGAAGAAATCCAGCCATGAACAGCCATGAACAGCCATGAGCAGCCGTGATATGTGTTTGAGTCAGAACCGATCATAGCCGACAGCAGACTTCTATGCTACGCCAGACGAACACCAGCCTGCCAGTTCAGCAGGAATCCAATCGAGCATAAACGGCCCTAATTGAAACTAGTGGTTCATCCGGAGCAGTCGGGCCCTTGTGTCGAGGACTAATCTTGATTCGTTCACCATTTCCTTCCCAGCAACGTAGCATCTAACCTCATCTCAAGCTTGTGGCAAATCGGACATGGACCCTAACACGTCAACATCGGCTGCCTCCCTTGCATAGTGATAGTAGAAGCTCTGATTCGCCAGGACGCGAGACAAAGACGATGGGAATAGCTAT